ATTGAGAAAAAAAAATTATTAGAATTAACTTTACTCAATGTCAACTTTCCCTCATTGCATTTTTTTTTACAAATTACCCGTATCCGATATTTTATTTGTTGTTTACGGTGCATATTATGACAACCAAAATGAAAATCAAAAAAAAAAAAAAAAATTTCATCCAGAATAGTAGTAAAAAAAAATCACATATTCCTATTTTAATGTTGACTAAATAAATTATAAAATTTTCAATTTAAATTTGAAATGTATGACATATATACACATACATACACACTTTGCTTATTCATTCATATTATAAGGTAAATTGGTAACATCAATGAAAAAAAAAAAGAATTCTGTTTAGCATTTCCCAATCGGCAATTCAATTGCCCGCAAATATAGATGTATACGGTAAAGAAAAACGTAAATCACTTTTTTTGGGGCAAACTTCATTCGGGAATGAAATGAATAAATAAATAAATAAATAAATAAATAAAATGACTAAACTTCAATGTTGGACAGATTTTTTTTTTATTCTTCTGGAACCTCATCATCATGAGATCGGAATAAATACTGCTCAAACAAATATTATACGAATATATAAAATTGCTGAGATTCATCGATTTTATTTTTTTTCGCTCTCTCTCTCTCTCACGCACATGAGAATCACGCAAAGCTTTTTGGACTATTCTCAAGAATCTTGAAACTAAATTTTATTTACAGTTCAAAATATAGTGAGTATCAGTATAGTGAGTATTTAGTTTAGTTTAGTTTTTTTTATTCATATATAACATATGCGGTATAATCATCATCATCATCATCATCATTTATTGATGATCAAATTTGTTGTTTTTTGTTGTTGTTGTTGTTGTTCATCAATGAACATTTATTTAATCATTATAAATTCATTCATATGTTATCTTATTTAGTTGATAGCAAATACTTCCGCATGTATACACATCGACAAACATCTCAATCAAATTCTTTCATTTGTTTGTTTGTTTGTTTGTTTCACGAACATGGACCGGAAAAAATTAGAAATTTTCTTGTTGATGTTGTTGTTGTTGTTTTTTTTGTTGTTGTTGTTGTTCTATTCTTTTCCTTGGCGACCACCAATATCAATAATGCCTTTCATCACTAATGTTTCTCTCCTGTGTTTGTGTGTTCAATACTTTCCATTAAATTTAATTCATTATCATTTTTAGTAATATAATTGTGTGTGTGTGTATGTGTGTACATAGCCATATGTTTTTCTATACTATTGATGAAGTGAAAATTAGTAAATATTGGATAGTGTTTTTTTGGGTGTGATGAATATAGTCTCAGAATATAAAAAAAACTCTTACTCTTTGCTATAATAAGATTTATATTATCTTTAACTTTATAGTTAGAATTTAGAAGATTAATAGATATATTAGATGGTTGAATAAAATAGCAAAGTTAAAGTCTGTTGTTAAAGACAACAACAACAACAACAAACAAACAAACATTGGAAAATTCAAGAAACACAGCAAAAAAAGAAAAACTCTCAATCACCATGTATATATTCTCTATGGTACTAAATATATTCTCAATGCAATTCTGTTCATTGCTACTTTTGCACAATCTACAATTAATCGATTTTTTAACAATACAGAAGAAAAAGAGTGATGAAAATGCTGGTAGGAAAAAAAAGACTTATGCTTTTGACCTTTGGAGAGAAAAAAAACCGTTTTCTAATAGAAACTTATCTTCAACAACATTCAATAAAAAATGGTTAAACAATGGGCTTAAGAAAACAAATTTTAGTTTCTAGCCATGATGATGATGATGATGAGCTTATGATTATGTTGCCGTGTTTTTTTTTATTTTTAGGAAACCCATACATAAATACATATATGGACATATTGATCACTAATAGTAATAATCTTGAGATTGAAGTTTTTGACTTGAGTCGATTCGAATCAAGTCAGAGGCCATAAAAGTTCATTTTCATTAGTATATTGTTATTGTTATCATGAAAAATTAAAATACCAAACACACCAACACGCATACCTATACAAACACACCAGATTGCTATAAATTATGATGAATGATCATAATGTGGATAATAAGAATGAAGAAAATTAAAAGTTAAATGAAAGAATGTTACAATATCAGATGCCCATATTATATTCATATACGGCTGGTTCAAGAATCTAAATTTACAAAAAAAGAAGAAGAAGAAGAAGCAGGTAAATAAGTAAAATTCTTGATTATAAATAACTGATTATTAAATTATCAATTTTGCTTTGTGTGTTCTGGTCTTTTTCATTTTCAATGTTTTTTTCAATTTTTTTTATTTATTGGACAATTTATTTTCATCATCGATTTTTTTGTGGTTTCGATGGTAATCCATTTATGATATATAGTCATATTCCTTGTGAATCGGTATAATTAAAATAAAATGTGATATTGCCAACAACCATAACCATGGAGTTTAGATTTTTTTTCCTCTCAAAAACATTCATCCGAAATCATCATTAAATTACATCAGTATTTTTCCAATAATAATATGATGATAATGACGGGAAAAACTTTTCTATCAATTCAATAAAATTACTTCAAGAATCACTAAAATATGATCCAAAAAAAACCCGGGGAAATAAATCGATGCCTATCCTCATTGACTGCAATCGAATCCATTTTAGATTCTCTGTACTCTCACATTTAAAGCATGTCTATCTGGTTTCTATGACAATTCAAATGTGAATTCATTTCAATCGGATTCAATTCAATTTAATTTCAAGCCAAGTAATAATAGTAACAACAACAACAACACAACAAGGACAATATTGTCCATTTATAACTAGAATGATCAATTCTGGTTTGCTGATTACCACCAGATTTCTATAGTAGAGGAGAGAATTACTGTCCAGAATTTTATTTAATATGAATTGTATTCATTGAATTATTTGTTCTTTTACCAGTCGTTGTTGTTGTTGTTGGTGGTGGTGGTGGTGGGAAAAACGCTCATGTTATATAATATAACACAAAATAACCGGATTTCATTTGTAAGATGCAAAATAGCGATTTCTTATTTGTATATTTCTTAGAATCGGCATTACTATCTTAATAATAATGTATATGTGTAGATGTGTTCGGTACAATTTATTTCATTCAATTCATGCAATATGATTTGATCACTATATTGTTGTGAACATTTCTTTCAATTAAACCGATCCTCTGACATTTAAACCAATGATGCTGTTTTGTTAATTGATTCAAATTTATGATCCAAGAATATATACCGATGATAAATCCCTGTGTTGAATGAATAATTTTTGCCTTTTTCTCTCTATATTTTTATCACATAATATTCAATTAACATTGTTTGTTAATATTTGTGACAAACTTTTTTTTCTGCCAACCTCATCAACCGATAAATGTAAACGAAGAAGTTTTTTTTCACTTGAAATTCATTTTTCAGTAGGATCTAAATCTCGTTAAAACAATGTGGAAAAAAATTCCGTTTGTTTTAATTTTCATATTTAAATGACATGCATATATTCGCATAATGAAATGAACTGAAATGAATTCCATATATAACAATAATTTCAACGAATTTCAGAATATTTTTTTGGCCATTTTTTCTGTTGATATACGTTGAAGTGTATACGTCAAGTGGATTGTGGAATCAAATCATCATCAAGCTTTGGTTACAATATTCGATAAAAAAAAAATTTTTAAAAGTAAAAAAAATTATTATGGCCAATACAAATTATTATTCAAAATTCACCTTATGGGCAATTTCATTATGTATTTACTGTATCATAAAAAAAACTATCCAGAATATTCTTGACTTTTCCGATGATGATGACGGTATATGTATGTATGGTGAAGAGCAGTTCAACAACAATTTCTTTCCATCTTCATTGAGCCACATAAATAAAAGCTTTTCGAAAAAAAAGAAATCATATGAAAAAGTAATCACATCATCATGCAAACTCTGTCGAACGAAAACAAAAATTGCTGAATCATCTATCTATAATTTGTTTCAGGAGAAACGTTTTCTTTTATCCTAAACAATCTATCTTTTTTTTCCGAAACATATAGTCAATATATATGGTTATGTAGTGTATATTATTATTGTCGGCAATCGTTGTCACATGTCAACAAGGCGCGTGCAATAATTTTGAAAATTTTTCTCTCTTTTTTTTTCGTGTTGTTGAATTTTTGATTCATGTTTATCGTGATTCAAGAATTTTTTTTCTTCGTTTCTCTATTTGTGAAATCCAAAACAAAAATTCAATCATGATGTATAAATAAATATTTTATCTTCCAAATCATTTTACGCAAAACATTTCGGCAAATCTTTGCTATTTCCGTTTTCCTTTTTTTTAAATTTCTTTTTCACAACCAATTCTAGATTAATAGGAATAATAATAATATCCCACTCAATTTTAAATTTTTTTCATTCTTTTGAAATTGTTTATAACATTTTGTTTTGTTTGAAAATTGTGTTTTGAGAATTCTATTCTTGAAAAGTTTTAAAATTCAAAAATAAACTTGTTTTCATTGTTTTCATTGTTCTCTGAGAAGATTCCTGTTTTTATTATTATTGTCATTCTTGTTGATTAAATAAATAAATAAATAGAGGCCAAAAAGAAAAAATAAAATCCACACATAGAAGCTAGAAACTTGGTAACGATAGATTCTGTACTTGATGAATACGGTTGGTAGTTGTTATTCTCGATTTTTTTTTCTGAAAAAATGATGGTTGATTTTATTTGATGTTCACCATCAGCAAACAAGATTTTTGTTTGTGTGCAGGAAAAAGGAAAAAAATCTTGTAAATTTATGTGTTCTCTCTATATCTCTTTTTTTTCATTTCACACTTTTCAAATTTTCTAGAACCTGTCCCATAATTTTATTCATTAGATTTTGAAATTGAATAAAAATTTCAATTTCATTTCAATCTACTCTTGTTACATTTGTATCCACTTAATTGTTACCGTTTTTTTTCGCATTTTTTTCTCGTTTATTTTTTTCAAATTGATTAGTTCCAAGATTTGATCTCACCAAACCTGAAGATGGTTTTCATGCTATCGTAAAGGAAAACGATCGAACGGTAATCATCTCACCAAGGATCAAGGTTGTAGACGGTTAGTAAAAATTGCATTTTTTTTTCTAGTCACTATATAAATGATTTAATAAAATTGAAATTTCATTTACATTTTCGTAGCTGAATTATGTAATATTGAAATTGTGAACAAACATCACAATGACATACCGTTCGAGGTACAGATTACCGACCAGCTTAATGGTGAAGCTATCATCACCGCTAAGCGCGATCTTAACTGTGAGAAAAAACGTTCTTATCATTTTACAATGAGAGCTGTATCGTGTACTGGACAATATTCGGCCAAGTAAATATTAATCAATTTATGACAAAAATTTTATTAAATTTTTTGTTTTCATCGACATCACATCGAATTAAATTATTTTTTTTTTTTTCATTTTTTCTAGCACTACTGTACACGTTACTGTTGAAGATGTCAACGAATTTGCTCCGGTATTTCGACAAGATTCTTATGTTGTTACTGTGAATGAAGGCCGCATCATTGATCCAATAATACAAGTGGAAGCGATCGATCATGATTGTAGTCTAAAATATAGCGAAATTTGCAAATATGAAATTATTGGCGGTGACAAGCTAAACACTCCATTCTCTATTGATTCCAATGGAAATATCAAAAATACTAGAGCATTGTATTATAAAGAATCACATAATCACATTCTTGAGATTGTTGCTTATGATTGTGGAATGAAGCGATCTAAACCTGCCATTGTTAACATTAAAATTAACAAAGTATGCACATTGGGCTGGAAAGGTAAGTAAAATTTCATCAATCAAATATGCCAAAAAACGGAAAACTCACCATTATTAATATTATTATTAATTTTTTTTCGGGTTTGGGCATTTGTTTAGGTATACCTGAACGAATGGAATACATACCAGGATCTGGTTCAAGAGTTTTGGTTCCGGACGCTGAATTACAGTTGTGTGATTTTCCCTGCGAAACTGAAAATGTCACTGTTCGTATGTCGTTGGCAACCCATCATATTGGTAAAGGTTGTGATCGAGACACTTATTCGGTTGAATCTCAACGAAAGCTTTGCGGTAAGTTTCATTATCATTCTCATTAAATAAATGCAGACATTGTTCGTGATTGCATATAAATGTGATCAATTTCAATTACTTGATTAAAAAAAAATTTTTCTTGCTATAAACAGGAGCCAATGTAGAAAGCATCGATCTACTTCCATCACCAACAACCGGATCAGACTGGATACGTGATTTGCCTACTGACGAAGGTCGAGAAAGTGACCAAATTTATGAATTCGATGGCACTAACAACGCTGTCATTGTTCCCGAGAATGTTTTCGATCACAATTTGACAAGCAAATTTACCATTTCATTTTGGATGAAACACGAACCTCCACTAGATCAATCCAATAAACACATCAAAGAGCACATCATTTGTAATGCAGATGATCATAGTAAGTGTTTATGAGATCCATAAAATTATCTAGATCAAAATCTCATCTTTTTTCATTATGCTCATTTTGCAGAAAAGAATCGTCATCATTATTCTTTGTTTGTTCGCAACTGTCGTTTGATATTATTGCTTCGTAGAGAATACAATGAAGAGAAACACACTGTTTTCAAACCTGCTGAATATCGATGGAAGTTGGCACAAGTTTGTGACAATGAATGGCATCATTTTGCAGTCAGTATGGATTTTCCGGACGCAACACTTTTTGTCGATGGCATACGATTCCATAATACTTCATCCAATCCAGAAATTGTCGACGATTGGCCACTTCATGCTGTGAAAGATGTAAAGACAACATTTAGTGTTGGTGCCTGTTGGGAGGGTAAAAAATCGAAAATGAATTTCTACTTCAGAGGATTTCTTGCCGGATTAACATTACTACGAGGACAAACAGACAATCCAGACATTTTTAAATGTCTTCATCATTGCAAAGAAGGCTTACGACAACCAAGTTCGGATTCAATTGATTCTGGTATTGATATTCTTTCAAGCGGCGATTCTACTTCTATTATGGTTACGGGCAAAGAATCAATTGATGTTGAAGATGTTGTTTCGCAAATCTCCTACATTAATTCAAGAGAGTATCCTACTCCTGGTCGACGTAGCTTGAAGCTATCCACCTGGGTGACGTATGTGATTTTTTTTTATTTATTCATTTTATTTTTTTCCACTGTGATAGGAAAATAACTCTTTATTTGCTATATCTGTGTTTGTATATGATTTATAGATGTTCTAATGGTAAAAAATTGAAAGTTCCACAAGTTGACACATACGTCATGGTCATGCCTGCCGATCCACCCACCATTCTGATTAATGGAACACCTAATTTGGCTCGCGAATATGAATCATTCATGCAAGGCATTGAATTATTTTCATCTGTTTCCATCTATATCAACCAGGAAAACGAAAATGATAATAATGAATCGGATAATGATATTGAAGACAATAATGATGAGGATGAAATGAATAATGTTCCGCCAAGTATAGCTAAACTTATTGGTGAACATAAATTGGACAGTTGTAGTATTAAAGTCTATCCACCATTGAATCCGGATCATGAATATTTTAGACTTCCTAATCAAATGATGCAACATCTTAGCATTCGCTATAAAGAAGCAAAAGATGGAATAATTATCTATGGTAATTCTATTGTTTTTAATTAATGCTTACTCATCAAAATTTTCATTCTTTTTTTTCTTTATGGTTTAGGCGCCGATTCCGTTCACAATTACAACCAAATAATTAGACAACTGATTTATTTCAATCGAAAACCGGCTTATTATTTGAATCGAGCATTTAAACTAACATGTTCAGAATTGAATAGACGTTTTAGCAGTAATGATTATATACAAACATTGACTGTCATACATCCGAAAATTGAACCAATTGAATCTAGACCACAAGCAAGTGGTATTGGCGTACAAAAATTTGTGGCTCATTCTCAAACAAGCGAACATAAGGTCGAATTAAAGGAACCACTTATCAAAAGTACTGCTCGTTTTTTCGATAACAGCATCACAGTCGATCCTAATGATAGTTTTGTCCGAGCTACACCAAGTATGTTACTTATAAATTACCTATTCTTGATCTATTAGATACAGTTCAAATTTAAAGGCCATACTATAACCATTTTCGGTTTTGATATTTATTCATTTCTTTTTTTTATTAAAATATTGTTCAGGTCACGCAGTTACCATCATAATTGTAGTTTGCGTAGGATTTCTTGTTTTTATGATCGTTTTGGGCGTTATACGGATTCGATCGGCCCATCATCGTAATAATGATTCTACAACGGAAGATCAAGAAATGGCATGGGACGATAACTCTCTGAATATTACCGTTAATCCTCTTGATGTATGTATATAAATTTTTTTCCCGATCATTTTATTTTATAGTCATAGTCGATTTATTGAGAAACTGAAATCATCATTTTTATTTATAATTTGAATTTAACATTTTTTTTCCATATAGCAAATTGAACAAGAACATGAGAATCCACAATTGAACGATGATGATGATGATAGTGATAGTTCAGATGATGCAAGCAGTTATCGTGAAGACTGTGAAACCAGTGAAGAAGAAGTGGACAAAACCAACAAAGGTCGTTCGGAATTGGAATGGGATGATGCCAATTTTTGAATTTAAAATTTTTGGAAAAAAAACCATCGAGCATAAAAACACATCAAGTCAGCCTCCACATTAAACAAAACATTATTATTTCACTCTCTCAATGATTTTTTTTTGCCCTCACTTTTATTTGTTGAATGCAAAATTATTTTCTTGTGAATCTCGTTTCATTTTCCGTTATTTATCATTTTTTTTTTATTTCCTTTCTTTTGTGTTTTCTCTTTGGATTGATTGTCTGATTGATCAATTTCATCTCTTTTTTCCTTGTATTCTTATTACACTTTTATCTTATTTGTAAATATCACAAAATATTTGATAAATTTGACAACTTCTATGGGGGGGGCTAAACCTCTACAATTTGAAAAGTTTGAGCAAAAAAAAAGAAAAAAAATTTAACCACAACCATCATCATAATGACCACCACCTTATCTTGATTAAGCCATTTATTGTATTTTTTTAAGAAAAATAAGAAAAAAGATAGAAGAATTTACTGCTACAATATTCTTTTTTTATTTAGTTATTTTTGGAAATCCAATTTTTTTCTCCATTATCAAACTCAGTAAAAAAAAAAAAAAAAAAAATTCAGAACAAACAAAAAACTCCCATTTCGATAGAATATAGCATAGTAAATAGTGTAGAATGTTCAATTTTTTTTTTTTCTATCCCCACACTATCTACGTTCGTTCTTCTTTGTGCCATATTATCATTAGATAATGATGAAATTGTATTTGTCGATCTAGTTCAATTACCATCATTGACATTCACACAAACACACACACAGACAGACACACCCATTCACAGCACCACCAGCGGCCATGTTTTCTCGTTAGGTATTTTTTTTTGTTTTCTTTCGTCTAGTTACTCTTTCACTATCTTTTTCTCTTGTTTTCAAAATATGTTCATTCGTTATCGTCTATTCATTTCCTTTTTTTTCTTGTTTTTTTTTTGTTTTACACCTGTCTTATTCACACTTCCTGTTTGAACGCATACACACACACACACACACATCTTTACACATGTTATGCAAGCGAATGCTTTATTGATAAAATCCTATTGATTGATTTTGATCTTGATCAAAATATGTGTTTATGAGTGTGTGTTAATCGATTATTTTCAATGTTCTCTTTTTCTCTCTCTCTCTCTCTCTTCTCGCTATCTATTGCTATTGCTCTATCCATTTAAAAAAAAAATGAATGGAATTTTCGAACCTATTATATATCGTGCGATTAATTACTGCTTTAAATCTGTCACATATCTGATCATTTTTTTTTGTCATACTTGTCTTTTCTTTTCGTTAATTTCGTAAAATTTATTCACTAACCGGAAATATAGGTTCGAAGATTTTAGTTTCACACACACACACACACACACACATACCCATTTATATACAAATGATGATTGTTTTCTTTTTGTTTTCAAATTTAACAACAAGATATCACAACTGAAAAATTTCAAAAAAAAAAAAAATTATTTGTTCAACATTGACAATGACACACACATCTATTTGCAGACAGAACATAAAAAACAAATTATTAACACACACACACACACACACACACACAACAAAAATGATACTGACACACAGACAATTATTATCAGAAATAAATAATAATAAAACAGGTCACCATCATTCCATTTCACATTATTGATAATTTATTATGATTATTTTGAAAATAAAATAAAAATTTTAATTTTGACAAAAATTTCATTCCTATTTTTATTCACTTGATGATGATTATTGATGATTATTGCAATTTTAGTAATCATTTTTTTTTCTTTACCAAATCTAATCTAATCATTGGTGAATATATCATCAATATACAATAACCATATGAAATGTTTTCGTATGCGTGTATACGAAAACGATTCGTTGTATCCATGAGTGTGTGTGTGTGTGTGTGTGTGTGTTGCATGTTGATAAATGATTGTCAAAAAAAAACCGGATACATGGAATGATTTGAAAATAAACAAAACGAAATTAACCAACAACAACAACAACAAAAGTTTGAACAAAAAAAAAGTGAAAGAAAATGGTATTTTTCAATTTCCGAGGACGTTGCCAAAAACAACGACGACGACAGCGTTTTATTTTACTCTATTCATATGGTTGGCTAAAAGTCGTTACGATTTTATTTTTTCTTCTCGTTTCATTATACATTGTTGTTGATGTAAGTTTTGTTTTCTCTAATCTAGAATTTGATTTATAATTCTCACTATAACTAGCAATAGGACATTTTACATTGAATTGAAAATTTATAAACACAGTCATTTTGTTAACTAAATTTCCTATCCTATCGGAATTTATTTTTCTATTTTATTCTTATATATAGATTTTTCTAATCAGCAATAATTTGTTTGAATTAGTACCGTCAAAAACCATCATCAAGAATCTTGAAGATCTAAATGAAGAAAAAAATTCATTTGACAAAAATTTGGTTGATGTTGTCTACACATGGGTGAATGGAAGCGATCCAGAATTGTTTTATTCATTGTACAATACAACAAATCAATTATTTATTAATGAATTGTCTCAATCATGTACAGCTCCAGTTTGTGATCATCATTCATGTGTTCAGTTGCCTATCGTAATTGTTCGACCTAAGCTGACCCGACCGAAAAAATATCTAACAAATGTCATTAGATTTGAACATGACAATGCTTCATTGGCCAACTATACAATATTGTTTTTTTCTCATTTAAAATTCGGTTTGTTCTACTATCTTTATCCAGGGTTATTATTTTAATTAATCAAAAGTTCTTTAACATTCACCAATCATTTTCTTTGTTCTTTAGTTCGAGAATTCGATTCCGATTGTATTCGTCTTATCGATGGAACAATTTATAAATTTTCAGCAACATTTCTGTCCACAAATGACCAGAATAAACAAAGCGAAGCGATAATCAAATTGGATTCATTGTTAATGCTCAGAACCAAAATAACTTTTGATAATCCAGCCAATGACCCATTATTCAAACATATCGATCAAACCCAGAGATCTGATTTCCAATTTATTAATCTAAGTCTCAATCAAAATGAATCGAATATTTACTTATATGCAAAATTGAATCCAAAAATCAACATAACAAATTTAACTACTAAGCTTAAATCTTTGACAAATTTTGAAATAGATTATCCTATCAAACTGCAAATTGCAGATCGTTTGTTTTTCGAACATCAATTGGAAAGAAACGAAAATATTTCAAAGAATAGATTTTTTGACAATGATGAATTGAAATATTCTCTACGTTCATTACATCAATACGCTCCATGGATCCGTTACATTTATATTGTGACCAATGGACAAATTCCTAGATGGCTGAATTTGGAACACCCCAAAATACGAATAATAACGCATCAAGTATATTCGACATGATTTCTCATTCTTCACCATATTCATTTCGTAATTTAAAATCTAATATATTCGTTCGTTTGTGTGATATAGGAGATTTTCGTGAATCAGAGTCATTTGCCAACATTCAGCTCATCAGCAATCGAATCTCATATACATCGAATCAAAAATTTATCAAAATATTTTCTCTATTTCAATGATGATATAATATTGGGCAAACCAATCTATTTGGATGATTTTTATACGAAAAGCAGAGGCTTTCGCATCTATCTATCATGGCCAGTACCAAATTGTGCAAGCGGTTGTCCCCTAAATTGGCTAAACGATGGTTTCTGTGACAAAGCTTGCAATTCATCACGATGTCTTTGGGATGGTGGCGATTGCTTGAACAATACAATACCAACAAACACACAGGCAAACAATTCCGATATCAGTCAAAAATCAAATGTTCATCCATTCTATTGTGCTTCGAATTGCCTAACTAATTGGTTGGGAGATTCTTCTTGTGATCAAGTCTGTAATAATACCAATTGTGCATTCGATATGGCCGATTGTGGTGTGGAACATTTTCAACAGTTTTATCAAATAATGATTGAGATGGAAAAATATGAATATCATTATCCATCCGATGCCAGTATAATTTATTTGAATTTCACTAAACTTAATGACTATCGCCATGATGGTCGATCATTTCCCATAAAGATTATCGATGCAAGTTATAATGTATCATTTATACATAGCGCCGTTTTGAATGAACGCCATCAAATTTTGGCATTAATGTTTGAACAGAATAAAATAAAAACCGACCTGAATCTAAACATAACGGGATCATTTCGAAAAAAGATTTTCAATTTCAACATTTTTATTCATCTCGGTAGTGTAGCAACGAAATCGCTAATAAATTATACATCGTCACCATCGTCTTTCAATTTAAGTTTAGTGATTAATGAGGAAAAATTACGATATTCAAAGATTATTGAGGAGAAAAAACATCGTATCTATGCTAAACACTATTCAACCGTATCGTGTGATAATGATTTCAAAGATATTTCAGATGAAATCAAGATGAAATTCCATAAAATCAACAATCAATTAGGAGTTGATTCTGATCAAAAAAAATTTTATTCCAAAGTAAAAAACTTATATCATCAATTAATATGTGATATGAATTTAAATTTGGAAAAAATGAGAGAAAAATTATCCGATTATTTTCAAGATGAATTTGTCCGATTTAGATCTAGAAAACTTATGGATGCCTATGCTGATTCATTGATATATGTGAATCATCTTTATAATAAAAAATTCGGGATCGAAGTTCGAAAAGTTCCCGCTCATATGGCACATTTTATGGATCGAGATATAATGTTCCGATTACATGATCGTTTTCAGAACGAGTTTGAAAAAACTTCATCACACAAGATTCGTAACAGTTTTGATATGCAATTAGCATTTTCATATTATTATTTTCTTATGAGTGAAACAAAAGATGTGGCTTTTGAGAAAATCATTGCCAACTATGATATCGATCATTCCCGGTTTGTCTTTTATGAATTTTTTTCTCTTTCTCTCAATATATATTTTTATTTTTATTATATAACTAATCAAAATCCATTCACAATAATAATGTAGGAGTTTGAATCGAAACGAGCTACAAACATTGGCCCTTCATCTTTATCATAAGAATAATGCTTCGTATGAACTACAGAATCATTTGAAAGAATGCTGTACCAGCTGTGATTCGATCAATGATACACGATCAATGGTAATATAATGCAGCAAAGAATTTTATAGCCATTTTTGCTAAAGTTTTTTTTCACATGTTCATTCACAGAATGCCATAAATTTGAACATTGAAATTGTCCACAAGTGTTCATTATTAAAAGAGCATGTTGTCAAGAAATTCGGAACAATCAAAGTAAATAAATTTGAGATCACTAACGATGATGATGTCGCTTTCAAGATGTTACGTTCGAATCGAACATTACTTGAAATGGAACTAAACGAACTACGAACTAAACGAAAAAAATTCATTTGTCTGAATGATAATTTTGACCACGATAATCATGATGAAGAGGAAAAAAAAGAATTGAAAAATGTATTGAACAATTTTTATTTAAGCTTGTTTCCATCTGCTTCACCCTATGAATTGAATGAACGTTTTGAAAACCAATTTCTTCGAATAGATCAATATCGAAAATGGAGAAATCGGAATAATTGGATTTATGACAATTTTTTCATTCTATTTTTTACATTTAATACAATGTTGATAATTTTAATTTTATTATTGTTTAAACTTATCAACAGAAATTGATTTAATTAATCAATCATCAAAAAATGAATGATAAATGACAAATTGATTTGATTATCATTGGCTATAATTATTTTTTCTAATTAGAAATAACATTATACAATACAAAAATAGAGAATTATTGATCTAAATCTTCAATTTCTGACAAGAGATTTTTTTCTTCAAAAAAATTTTTATAAAATTGTATTGTTTCACGTTTTCGTTGCACAGTTATGTATGGATTCTGTGATAAACCTAACAGCACTAGTTCCATAAATTGTCGAACTGGTCCACGTTGTGGAAACTCATTTAGTAGATTATCTAACAAAACGTGGTCATAGAATGGAACCGATTCTTCGTGATCCAGACCTAATGGGAGTAAAAAAAAATTACATTCATTTTGATAACAAACATTAATCGAATTACCTTGTTCATTATCAATTGGATATTGCCACAACTTTCCATCATCGGTCAATTTGATCATTTCTTCAAACAAATTTTTTGGTGGCCTTTCAAGAAATAATTCTAGCTCTCGTTCAGTCAATTTATGCCATAAAGAATTCTTATAGGTTTGATCGGTGAGATATATTCCTTTAGGATCGAAAATTGAGAGACATTCATTGGAAAATAATGATATTGGCCGCTTTCGTGTTGGTCTAGATTTATCGAAATCCAATGTTGAATCCAGAGGAAGTTTGATTCTTACCACTTTAGAAGTGGTACCCATTTGATCGTCAGATAGTTTTGGCTCAGTCTTACTAGCTAAAATTTTGTAGCTAATGCTTTCAGATCTATCTTCTTTTACTGTCATCATTTTTTTCCTAATCAAAATTAAAATTAAAAAATTAATGCCGTTATATAATGTGATTACAAACTTACGCTGCTTCGGCAGTTTCTTTTCGTTGTTTTTGTATTGAACCCAAAAGTTGTTTTTCTGTTAGTCGGGCTGAATGTCTAGGCATACGATCAGCAACCCTTCGAGCTGCATCAACAAGTCTTTTGTCCAAACCTCTAGCTAAACTATGAAAACCACCAAGAGAAATAACAAACAATGATAATCATTTCCGAATACTTACACTTCCATCGGTTCGAGATCTTCCTTAACCTCAACCTTTTCTTTTGATCGTGCACTTTGTCGCACGTGAATTTTAGGCTTGGCAATCATTTTATTAATCGTATTTTTATCATTCGGACCAATTGATTTGAATGAGTCAACCTTTTTTTCTAATGATGTTAATCTTTCATTGTCTTTAACTTTAATTACACTAGATTTTGGTGTTTTTTTCGTTTTTACATTATCATTATTCTCATTATTTGAACTTTTCTTGTCGCTTGATAAAAGACGAATTTCTCTTCTTAATATTAATAATCGGTGAATACTAAACGAACGTTGGGGATACATTATAATAATAACAAATATATAACTAGTTGTTATTCAATAATAAAAAATTTCAAATCAATTGCGAAATTGATGTGAAAAACCTGTACAATGCATGCCATATGAGGTTTGGGTAGAATCCAAAAGGTTAAAATAGAATGAAAAATATATGTGTGTGTGTGTGTGTGTGTGTGTGCAATGTGTTGATGATGATGATGATCTGTCGCATTTTTTTTCTTGCTTGCTTGCTTGTTTTATATGATCATTGATGGTTGCGGCGGCACATGCCGTTGTTTTATTACATTTGTTGAGTTGATACGCGCATCAATTTTCGGATGTATCATCACCAAAATCGTGTATCTTTTTCAATAATTTATTTCCGAATTTTTTTTCTATATCCATGCGAATGATTGTTTCATGATAATCAATTGATTGAATATTGCTTGTTTCGATATTTTTTCATTCTAAATCCTTTCAATCGACCTAATAAATATCCAATTTACTTAACAAATTGTTCGACTCATAACCTACATTTTCAGTGATTAAAAAAAAGCCATGATGGATATTGTAAAATTAGCTGAAGTTTTCAAAAGTACCCTCGATGGCAATTATAATCAAGCAGAAAAACAACTTGAACAGGTAATTAATATTTTATCGATTTTTTTTTCATCTATTTCAAATTATCTATTGCACAGATCCATAAAATAATCGGTTTCCTACCCACCGTACTTCAAATTGTTATGGAAACAAACATTGAATTGCCAGTGAGACAAGCAGCCGTCATTTATTTCAAAAATGAAGTTTACAATTATTGGCAAGAAAAAGATTCGAAAAATAATCAGCAACCATACAGCATACACGAACAAGATCGGGCTTTAATTCGTAATTCAATTATTGATGCATTGGTGCTTTCAACTGAAGTCATTCGAAACAGTTTATCAATGGCCCTCAATTATATCATAAAATATGATTTTCCAGAAAAATTGATTGTCACCGATAAAATTGTCCTCTATTTACAGACAACCGATTCAAACAATTGGATGGGAGCATTGATTGTTTTGTTAGAATTGGCCAAAAATTATGAATACAAAAATAATATTAGTAAAGCACCATTGTTGGACGTAATGAAGGTTTTAGGTCCAATCATTTACAAAATGATGGCACAAATCCTTTCAGATAATTCGGAACATATGGTGTTGATGCAGAAAATGATATTGAAAATTATTTTTATAATCACACAATATTCATTACCTCTAACTCTTTTTACTGAAGAATTTTTTACTCAATGGATGGAAATTATTCGCCAAGTTTTGGATCGTCCTGTGCCTGCAGAAGTGAACAATTTCGATATTGAAGAACGTTATGAATTGCCATGGTATAAGGCAAAAAAATGGGCTTTGCATATTATTGTCAGGATTTTCGAACGTTATGGCCCTTCAAAAGGTCAAAGTAAAGAATACAAAAATTTTGGCCGCTGGTACATGGAAACCTTTTCCATGGGTATGATTCAGGTGATATTAAAAATGTTAGATCAGTACAATCAAAAAATGTATCTTCCACAACGTGTCTTACAACAATGCATCAACTATTTGAATACATGGTTTGTATTTTTAATTTCACTTATATTAAAAATTATATTAAATTCCTTTTATCATTTAAAGTGTGGAACATCTTTTCACTTGGAAGTTATTGAAGCCAAATATTTCACAAATAATCGAAAAAGTCATTTTTCCATTACTGTGTTACACGGATGAGGATGATGAACTTTGGCAAACTGATCCAGCTGAATATGTTCGGAAGAAATTTGATTTTTTTGAAGATTATGTCTCACCGGTTAGTGCCGCTCAACAATTTTTATGTACTTGTTGTAAGAAACGAAAAGATATGCTCAAAAATACTATCGAGTTTGCCATTCAAATTTTAAATTCGAATGTCAGTACATCTCAATATAAAGATGGAGCGTTGCATATGCTTGGATCAGTTTCGGATATAATGTTGAAGAAAAAAATCTATCATCGACAAATTAACAATATGCTTGCTTATCATGTTTTTCCTTTTTTCAATTCTGATCACCCATTTTTGAGAGCAAGAGCCGCATGGATTTTACATTTCTTTGAAGATTTCGAATTTGACAATGACCTTACATTGGGTCAAGCAGTAAATTGTTTACAGTATGCTTTGATTCATGATAAACAACTTCCAGTCAAAGTGCAAGCAGCAATTTCACTTCAAATTCTAATTGTCAATCAAGAAAAAACTAGGCCAATGATTGAGCCAAACTTGGACACGATTATTATAGAATGTTTGAATATTGTGAAAATCTCCCAAAACGATGATGTATCGAATGGTCTTCAACGATTGATTTGTGCTTATGGCGAAAAAATTTTGCCGATTGCGGCTAAAATAGTCACTAGTTTGGTGGAAATTTTAGAGACCATATTGAAAACTAATGATGAAGTCAACGATACTACAATAACAATAATGGGATCATTGAACACAATTGACACTGTACTCATGTTGATCGATGATCAAGAAACTCTAAGCATCATCGAACCAATAGCCATGAAAAGCGTTTTCTTGGTTATGAATGAAAATATGAAAGAACTTTATGAAGAATGTTTCAACATTGTAACTACATTAACAGACAAACATATTTCGAATGATATGTGGAAAATTTACGAATGTATCTTTCAGATATCAACCAAAGCCGATGGAGTCGATTATTTTGCTGATATGTTGCCCTCATTACATAATTTTTTAACCGTCGATCCTGACGCATTCATCAGTGATCAGAATAGGATCGTTGCATTATTTGAAATTTGTAAATTCATTCTCAATTTTGATTGCATCGATGATACCTACTGTAATGCAATCAAAATGATTGAAGTTTTCTTTTTACAATTTCGCGAAAAAGTTGTCAATTTTATTCCATCATTCTGTGAAATTGTGATGGATCGATATTTTCAATTGGATGATCTCAAAACGACTGAATTGAAAACTCTTTGCCTACAAGTGTTATTGGTCGTATTGTACATAGATAGTGGTTTATTTTTTCAAATCATTGAAAAATTGCAGCAAAAATATCCCAGTAAAAATGTTTTAAACCATGTTCTGGAAGAATGGCTTTTGGATATGAAATCCTTTATTGGCTTACATGATCGTAAAGTATGCATATTGGCCTTATGCAAATTGTTTACATTGCCTGCTAATATGATGCCGCCTAAGATCCGTGAATTAGCTCCTGAGGTTGCAACAGAATTGTTAAAACTGTTTGATAATTTGAAAGAAGCATATAAAGCCAAAGCCATTGCTGATGCTGTAAGCACAGATACAGATAGTGAATACACCGATTCGTCTGATGAAGAAGATGCCATTGAAGATGATTCAAATAATACAAAAGGTAATTATTCTTTATATATTAATTATATAACAAATATATAAAAATTATGTATATTATTTAACTATAGCAGACGAAATGGATGATGGCGAATATTTAGAAGACGAAGACGGTGTAAGCGATATTATTGATGATGATGATAATGAATTGACAGAACTGGAAAATTTTGAAACAACCATAGACAAAGATGATTCACATGACGATGAATACATATTGTTTAGAAAAACGGTGGAATTTTTGAAGCATCAAGATCCTAATTTATATAATTCACTTTTTGGTAATTTAACTCCTCAACAAATCAGCTCGTTGGAGGATGTATTTGTTCTTGCTCAACGTCGCCAGGACGCCGCTGGTAATTATTGGATTGAATATAATTTTATTTCCATTAACAATAATACTAAATTTTAAAAAATTTTCCACTAGAATCACGTAAAATTGAACAAGGCGGTGGTTATGTTTTTTCTGATCAAACCATACCAACAACCTTTAATTTTGGTGGAAATTTCCCCATCAATCAAAATTAGATTCTGTTTTGTTTTTTAGATTCATTCATTTATAAAAAAAATTCTAAAATCAATTATATTTTGAAAATAATATTGAATTTATTATAATCACTTATTAATTTTTGGAATAAAATCTGTTTTGAAAAAAATCCAAATTTTTTTGTCTATTTCGAAGTTAATTATGTTAAAATAGCCGCCTCTATTGTATTCGGCTTCCGCGCCTCATGTGTGTTTCAAGCTGAGCCAAATTGTTTTCTCTGGTGCTTGATTTCAATTGCTTTTTTTTTTTTTTGATTTAAATTGTTTTCAAGATGGTAAGTTTTAATGTCGATTACATTTATATAGAGATTTATAATTTATTATTTTGTTTTCATAGACGATTAGCAAAAATAATAAGATGATGCAGTACCTCAATTATAGAATGAGGGTAATACTGCAAGACAGTCGAATATTCATTGGAACGTTCAAAGCGTTTGATAAACACATGAATGTCATTTTGTCGGAATGTGAAGAATTTCGCAAAATTCGTGGAAAAGGGACCAAAGGGATTGAACGAGAAGAAAAACGTGTACTTGGATTTGTATTGCTTCGCGGTCAGAATATCGTATCATTGACAGTTGAAGGTCCACCGCCACCCGATGAAGGTCTTCCACGTGTACCTGGTATCATTCCTGGTCCAGGATTAGGGCGACCTGCTGGACGTGGCATTCCTGCTGTAACTGTTCCACCAGCTGTCGGTGTGGCACCAGGTCTTCAAGGTCCCGTTCGAGGTGTGGGTGGTCCAGCTGCAGCCGCTATGACTCCTCAAGGCCGTGGCATTACACCGGTTGGTTTGGCGGCTCGTATTCCAGCTCCACCTGGGATGCCAATGTCAATGCCTCCAGGTATACCACCACCAATGGGTCGTGGAATACCACCGGTTGGTACTCCCCCACAGCCTCCACCAGGAATTAGACCACCACCACCACCTGGAATGATGCGTCCACCTCCACCAGGTGGTCCACCAATGCGACCACCAATGTAGACCAATGAAATGTCCATCATTCGGAAATTTTTATCATACTTTTTACTCACATATATAATTTTCATTTTATAATTGTATCATATATATAATTATCATTTCTTTTTCAATAAAAAATCAATTTTTTTCAAAAATAAACTATAGATACATAAAAATATCTAGGTTAATTGTTGCATCACCAGATGGTGGCAAGAATACAAAAAAAAAAAATCTGTCGCCGTTCGATTCACGCGCACACACAAAAACACTATAGAGTAAAATGAGATGAATGTTGGGCATTATTATAATAACAACAACAACAACAAATAACACCAGCAGTGATGAATGTATTTAATGACAAAAACATCATCAATCCAGCAACCAGAAAACCAACGATAATAGATAGTCAAAAACAACAAACAAAACAAAAAATTCCATTTGGTTTTAATTTTGGTTTTATTGTGTATTTTAATTTGCTGATTTGGCTGCTTCTGCTGGTGATAAGGCATTTTCTCTCAATCTATTTATTGGTGTGTATCTCTTTCTAGTTACTTTCTGGTTGTTTCCTGAAGGTTTTTCATTCTCCCATTTATTTTTCATTGTCGTCATTGTTATTTTCTGGTGTTACATTTACACACACACACACAAACGTATTGTTTTTTGGCTCCTTGAAGAGATTGATTTTCTCGTTTCCACGGTTTTAGGGACAACTATAAAATAAAACAAAATCCATCTATATAAACATATGCGATATGATTATGTGTGTAGAATTTTATCTCGAGTTAACCTAATCATCACATTAGTCAACAACGTATACATAACAAGATTTACAGTTATCCGAATCAAAATCAGCTTAACTTTATTTCATCACTCATTCTGGAATTGATCTTCATCATACAACGCAATCAAACATTGAATCATCAATATTTGATTGTCAACGAAATGAGCTAAAGTTCTATTTATTATCCTGGTTCATTTGATATTGATTGAATCCTTGAGAAAAGATTAATAACACGTTGGACTGGTACAAGCAACATTCGACCGGGTCCATCAATAAATTGATATTCGGCTTCATCTATCAAATACATTTTTTTCTGAATTTTCTTCCCTTTGATCGGTGGTGGTTGACAACACCGTTTACGTTTCGCCTTTCAAACTGGAGAAATTGCCCGAATATATTCGTGACACAATGGACTGGTTTATTGGGTGAGTATTTTTCACTTTATTTTTATTCTATTCATACATATAAAAATTCGTCATTTTGATCAGTCCAGATGGTTAGTGACAACAAAACAAGTTTTCGTTTTTATAATCATCAATGAATTTATATTAGATGCCAACAAATAACAGGTGCACAATAAATTCAATGATGATGTTTCCATTGTTTTCAATGTTTATCATGATGATTTTTTACAATCCGTCATTGTTCTTTAGCTGATTATAAATTTGAAATTCTTTCTCTTCCCTATTGTAAGGAAATTATTAAAATATTGAGATCAATTTATCTTTCGTTCAATGTTAGTTTACTTTTTTTTCATTAAAATTTAATTGAAAAAGCGGGAGAGGGAGACTGAAAGTGTTCGGCGTTTATGATGTGTTGATCCATGTAAGGACTTGTATGTATCATTTCCTACTTTTCTTTCTCTCTCTCTATCACTCTTTTGCTGTCTTTCTTCCCTTATTTATACATAATGTTATCTTTGTATGATTCGGTTAGCTTTAAAGAGAAAAAATACACAATGAAATTATTATAAAAAAATATGCCAATCATATAGTGAAGAGAACTCGTCACAAAATGGTTACATTTGGATAGATTCTTTTGATCCCGATTTGTTTCCTCATCTTCGTCATCATCATCATCATCATTATCATGTTAGATACTCATCGAATTATGATGAAACATAACTATCGATGATCGATGAAATCATTGAATAATACTATGTTTGTTCTTAATTTAGTTTGGTTAGTCTTTTTATTTGGTCATTGCAACATTGTTTTTTTTGCTAAAAACAAAAATTTTCATTATCATCTTCATATCTGTATTTTGATATAGGAAAACCCGGCGAAAAGACAAAGATCCGAGTCCATCACAACAAGAAGAAACCAAACATTATCTTCATAGCGCCATGCTTGAATGCACAACATCGGAAGCCAAATTAAGGGAGATTGTCAATCTAGCCGAAGGTTTGGATTATAACGAATGGCTTGCGTCACACAGTAAGTGTTTTTCAAATAGCCGATTCCGTTAAATAATTTATTTTATCATTTTAAAAAAGCGATTGCTTTTTTTGAACATATTAATCTACTATATGGTACCATTTCCGAGTTTTGTTCAATGTCTGGATGTCCGGATATGAGTGGTCCATGTAATCGGTATGTATTATAATTTGTTTTCATTCCATCTGTTTATTTTGGTAATTATTTTTCCGTAGACAATACTTATGGGTGGATGAAAAAGGTAAACGAATCAAATTAACTGCTCCACAATATGTCGATTACGTAATGACTTACTCTCAAAAGGCGATTAATGATGAATCAATCTTTCCTACGAAATTTGGTAATCTCTTGACATATTTTATTCTAATTTTTTCAAATTAAATTTTTTTTTCTTTTCAGATAGAGAATTTCCTCCTACATTCGTATTGACTGTCAAGAAGATAATGAAATTATTGTATCATGTAGTGGCCCATATTTATCATTCACATTTTAAAGAAATAGTTTTGTTAAATCTTCATCCACATTTGAATTGCATTTTCGCTCATTTGATCTTGTTCAACGAACGTTTCAAATTAATCGAAGAGAAAGAAGTGGAAGTTTTACATGATCTAGCTGTAGCTTTGCAAGTTCATCCATCAAGACAAACATTAATGGCCCATAATCCTAATTCTAGTGAACAATCTCGTTTACAATCGGAAACTGGAGCAATTAATCATCTTGACAAACAAGATGACCGCCGATGTATAGTCGATGATACTAATAATAATATAACAATGGCCACAGATTATTGTAATCCAGATGTCATCACAACGCAATGTCGAAGCATTAGTGCACTAGATGATTATCGAAACTTTGATTATCAAACAACGGACGAGAATCTAGAATATTTGAATGATCAAAAGGAAAATCAAAATGCGTCAAAAGTGAACAATGTTTTCGGCGTCAATTCGCCAATGTTGGTCGATGAACAATTTGTCGACGATCCAAAAACATTGTTTCAAGTCGATTCTCCTGAACCTATGATGGTCGAACCGATGATGTCATCAGAAAATATGCCTAATAAGAAATGTGCGTTTGATATACGGAATTCTCTTAGGGAAAGAAGCATCTCAGCAAATGCAGTGCTTGCTACATGTAAATCATTTGAGACATTCACTACTTCTCCAATCACTCGTCGTTCGAATTCGGATCGTACTTCGGCAAAAAGCAATTCGACATTATTTTTCTGTGCTTCGAATAAAGACGAAAAACCACTGTCACTTGATCGTGATGATCATTTATTTCAATCAAACACAAATTTTCCTAATACTGAAGAAACATGCTAACTGAACTAATGATGAAGATTCGTTTATTCATTTGGCAATTATTTTTTAATTCGATTCGATCTCGATTTGTTTCGACAACATTTGTTTGCTTGATTGTTTTATTTTTTCTTTATCGAATTTCTTATTCGTCAATCACTCTCTTATGCCTTATTCGAAATTTTTTAGTCATTTATATTATACGTTATAATTCGCTTGATGATGGTCGATTCTCTTTCTTTCTCTCTTTATCACTCTTAAGATAAAAAACGATAGTGGCGATAAACAACAAAAAACATCCATATCATTATCACCATCACATATTTAAACAGCCCCTTCTATTACTTTAAGATAAATTTAAGAAAAGAATCATCATTCGTAATAATGTTTTATTGTTATTTCTGCTTATTCGATTGTATCTATTTTATCGCTTTTATTCTATTCGGTCAACATTATCTGTGATTTCATTGGATTATATATGACTCTAATCAAATTATTCTATTGAGATGATATTCTATGATAAAATTTATTAATTTTTTTTTTCATCAATCATGCAACGAAAAAGAAAAAAAAACATTCATGTGCAAATTTCAATCAGTTAATTCGTATTTCAATTTCCTTTCGAATGAATGAATATATTGAATTTGAATTACAAAAAGGCTGGTTTTGAAATTGAAAAAATAATTGATTCTTATGTAAACTATGATTCTCTCTCTCTTGATCTGTTCTTTTTAGAATTTGAATTAAATAAAATTCCAAATGTTTTTTTTTCTTATTTGAAAATGACATTTCAATAGTTATATTAGGATGTTGAAAATATTTTGGATTTACTGCGCATCCTGAATTTCAGGATATTCTATATATCTATTCGTAAAGAATAGCATCCTTATATGTTTGTGTGTGTGTGTGAGTGTGTATGTGTTTCAAGAACGTGAGCTGTTTGATAAATTGTTTTGGTTAATGTCAACGATCCGAAAAAAAATCCAATCATCATGATTTCGAGGTTTTCAATAAAATTTTTTCTATTATCATCAGTTTTGCTGTTGCTTACATTTACAACGGAAGCTCATTTTCATACAAAACGATTACATGATGACTTGTTTAGCGATTGTAAGTTTTTTTTAAAATATCAAATTACATCATACAGTTGATCATTATTTTTCCATCAGATAATCGATTAATAAGGCCATCTAAAAATCATTCATATAAATTAACTGTAAACATTGGACTTAAACTAACACAGATTATAGATATAAATTTGCGGCAACAAGTAATGACCACTAATATATGGCTTGAGCAAAATTGGTATGATTACAAGTTAACTTGGGATCCAAATGATTATGGCGGAGTCGATATGATCAATGTTCCTGCTGAGAATATATGGCTTCCCGATATAGTTTTATTCAACAATGCGGATGGCAATTATGAAGTGACATTAATGACTAAAGCTACAGTTTATAGTACCGGTTTAGTTGTCTGGAATCCACCGGCACTGTACAAAAGTACATGCAAAATTGATGTTGAATATTTTCCTTTTGATGAACAATCATGTTTAATGAAATTCGCTAGCTGGACTTATGATGGCCATGAAGTCGATATTCGACATGTTAAACAGGAAGAAGATTCAACTTATGTGGATGTTGGTATCGATCTTAGTGAATTCTATAAAAGTGCCGAATGGGATATATTGATGGTACCAGCGAAATATAATGAAGAATATTATGAATGCTGTTCAGAACCATATCCAGATATTACATTCAATCTTACGATGCGTCGTAAGACATTGTTTTATACGGTCAATTTGATCATACCATGCGTAGGCATCACTTTTCTTACACTAGTTGTGTTTTATCTACCATCTGATAGCGGTGAAAAAGTAACGCTTTCTATTTCCATTCTTGTCGCTTTAACTGTGTTCTTTTTGCTTCTTGCTGAGATTATCCCGGTAATTGATCATTCATTCATTGTGTTAGATAATAATATTCAAATTGATTTTGCTGCTTTTAGCCAACAAGTTTAGCAATCCCATTACTTGGTAAATATTTACTGTTCACCATGATACTCGATACACTTTCCATATGCGTCACGGTGGGTGTTTTGAATGTTCACTTTCGTTCTCCCGCTACTCATATCATGACACCTTGGATTCGAAAAGTTTTCATTCACATCTTGCCCAGAATACTGTTGATGAAACGACCAACTTCACAAGATTGGCATGCAGAATTAGCAGGTTGGAAATGAAATGTCTAATGATAAAAAAAAATTAACCATAGATTTTCATATACATTTTTTAGCAATCGGAAAAAAAGGACGTGGAAGATCTAAAAAAGAATCGGATGGTAATCGTGGACCATCATTGAAATTCAACGGAAATTTTCATGATTCGCTTGATTCATTTCAAGAATCCATCTGTATGTCCGGAAGTCCTGATCAACCTGGCCCATCAACATATTCACCACATCAAATGGAAGAGTTGAATCAATTGTATGAACAAAATTATGCTCATCTCAAGCAAATATTCAACATGGTCGAACTACAAAAGGCTATTAAAGGAATTATTCATCTTGCTGATCACATTCGAAAAGATGATAAAGACATTAACGTAATGATCAATTTTTCAGGTTTAATTTTTTAAATTATTCAGTTTATTTTATATTTACAGATCATTGAAGACTGGAAATATGTAGCCATGGTTTTAGATAGACTTTTTCTGTGGATATTCTCATTGGCCGTATTCTGTGGAACGTGTGGCATCATATTACAGGCACCATCATTATATGATACACGACGGCCAATTGAATCGGAACTTACATTGGTCACCCCACAAATTCAATCATAAAATTAAATTAAATAATAATAATTATTATAATTATAATTAAATTGTGTTTATTAGCTTGCTCAAAATATATTTAAATAAAGTCATTATAGTAATATAAACGTTTTTAAAAAATAAATCCTAAACTCTCCAAAATCGACGCATATAATGAGGAATTGTGTTGGTGCTAATTGTTGCAAACATTTATTGGCAAATTATACCAATATTTACCATCATGTAGATGGAATGGATGACATTATCGAAGCAATAATTTTCAACTTTTTCTCTGCAATTGTTAGTGTACAATGATATAATTGTGTTCAATTGTGATATATAATTTTCTTGCTTTAACCAATTACCAGATTTTATTGGCATTTTTGGCTGTGGTACGTTTAATTTATTTCAGACGTAAACAACATGGCCGGAATTGGAATAAAGAGTAAAAAAATTCAATTCAATTTAAAACACTATATTCAATTTTTAATAATTTATTTCAGTTGGCTAGATTTCATATATAGCGATCGTGAAGTGGATTTGTTACATGACGAAAAACCAATCAATTCTTCTCATCCAAATGCTTATCTTCATAGTTGTTTACATGATTATTCACATCTAATCACAAACAAATATATGTCAGATGAATGGGATGAATTGATTTCGATTAGTTATGATCATAAATTTCAAGATATTAAAAAAAGTCATCAAGCAAAATTGAATTCAGTAGGTCAGAAACGTCATTGGCTACTTGACTATACTTTTATCAAGGACGAAGATATACTCAAACATCGTGGAAAAGATGCAAGCAATTATTTATTATTTCAACGTTATATTATCTATATTTTGACATTCCTTTCCATTGTTTCAATGACAATTCTTACTCCAGTCAATATGTCTGGTGGTAACAGTCTTAGTACATATTATGAAATGACAACAATCAACAATGTTAAAAAAACTTCATCACTACTTTGGATACATACAATAACAGCGGTTGTCATTGTAATCATTGGAATTTTCATAATGAAAAAATTCTCTGATTACATATTTTTACCTCAACAAGAATCAACTGGTCAAACCATTTTGATACAGAATCTTCCTAAAAAGGCTCGTGATGCACAAAAATTGAAAAAATTCATTGAAGTCAATTTTAGTGATGTCGAAGTTACACGAATTACATATACTTATGAAATAGAAACGATAAGAAATTTACAAAAAGATATGAAAGCATTCCAATTTTCATTAGATTATTGTGAACAATATCAACGACATTATGGTCGTCCGCTATTGGTACGGCCATATATGTTTGGTCTGATTTGTCCACAATGTCCATTGTGTGGTATATGTTATTATCAGCATCAATTCTATGAATGTCAGAGACAAATCGAAATCGAAGTGATCAAAACAATAAATCAACCTCAACATGCTGCATTTGTTCGACTGAAAAATTCTATGATGGCTCAAAAAATATTGGATCACTTTGAAATCACTCAACATACTCGTTTATTGTACAGTATATATTCATGTGCACAAAAATTTTGCAATTTTGATTGCAGTGATTATAGCGACGATGACCCATATGGTTATAATCAATGGATAACACAATCGGCACCATTTCCTGAAGATGTTGAATGGAACGATATTATTATGAACAATCGCACATCGTATATTTGTTCATTTGTACTCAACTTGTTGACAATTATCATTTTTTTGTTTCTTACCACTCCAATTGTTGCGATGAATTTTTTACAGGAAATATTAATTTTCGGAATGGACATATCGATAGAAGATAATGAAGAAAAACAGATAAGCATTGGTTTCCTTCAGGTAAATCGGAAAATGGAAACGGAGCTGATTTCTTAATATTTTTCATTTCAAAACAGATAAAATGGGCAAAATACCTTAGCGCATTGATAATGAATGGATTGGCATGCATTCTACCGAATCTGATTATGTTGATCGAATTATTCGTTCCACAAACAAGTAAATCGGAGAAGAATTCGAAAATAATGAGAATGGTTTACTTGTATCTAATATTGATGGTGCTCATATTTCCTTCACTTGGACTCATGTCGTAAGAAACAATGAAAATTTCCAAAATTCAATCAAATCATTTTTCTATTTCAACACTACAATAACGATATATAGGGGACAATTATTGATTAAAAAAATTACTGATAAATCATTTCCAAGAGATTTTTACAAATGTCTATTTCCGGCAACTAGTAGCCAATTCTTCATCTATTACGTCATCTCATGTATATTCATAAATACTCCAGTGGAACTATTACGTTTGCCTGAACTAGGATCATATGTATTCAATTGCATAATCCATTATCCTAAAACAGAGGCGGAATATGGACGTGCCCGTATGGAAACAAATTTTCAATTTAGTTATGGTTCAAACTACCCACGTTTTCTATTAATATTCACTATTGTTATAACATATAGTATTGCCAGTCCCATATTAGCACCATTGGGTAAGCATTTATTTTGTTTTTAAAATTTAGTTTATTTTTTAATGAAATTTTTTTTTTATTTCCGATTTATGTCGTGTCATTGATTGATGTGGAATTATGGCTGGTCGATTTTTGGTAATAAAATAAATAAAACACACACACACACACACAGGATTATTGTTCATGTTATCCAAACATTTAGTGGATCGATATCATATATATTATTTATGTAGTACAACACAAGTGATCAATGCCAATATCCATCAAAATGCCATCTCATTTGTTTTAATTTCCTTTTTCTTTTCATTTCTACAATTGACAACATATATGAATACCCGTAATGAATTTTCGTTAACATTCAAACCATCAAATGTTTGCATTATCATACTATTATTATACATAATATTTTTATTGTTTGCCTGTTTTAATTTTGATTATTTTTACAGTCGATCAAAAGATCAACAACAACAACAACAACAATAATTATCACAATAATCTTAAAAATAAATATATTTTATTATCATTATAATTTTGTTTCACTAAACATTTAAAAAAAAATATCGTTTATCAAAATAAAAACAAAACAATCAATAATTAGTCTGAAATAAATCTGGAAAAAAAACGAGGAAGCGATGATGGCTAACAATAATACATTACATTAACAATCATCATCATTATTATATTATTATTAGTAGCCATCCTATCCTTTCCAATCAATTGTAACAATCAACCAATTTGAAAATATCAAAAGTTTTCATCATATGCCAACCACCATCATCAACCTATATACCGTATATATATATATAGGATCTCATAATTATTCAAATGTAAATATATTATTTTGTTTTTGTGGTTTGGTCATCCTCATCATCATCGAGAGCAATCAGATATTATTATTATTATTTTAATGACGTTGTTAAACGAGAAAAAAAAATTATAATAAGAAATATAATCACCAATCAAATCTAGTGACACCCATTCCATGACCAACAAAAAAAAAAAATGAAATACGTCAATGGTGCGCGCGTTTGAATACATATATATCAACACAAAGAAACGCATACCATTCATAATATATTATATTACATGGTAAATGCGTGTGTATCAAAATCAAAATTTAGCATCATAAATTAATGTGTGTGTGTGTGTGTGTGTGTCATAATATATACATCTATTGAAAAAGGAATGACAATTTTTAATAAAAAAAAAAAATTATTCATTCGTCTCTCTACGGCCATCAAATGTATGCCATATTTTCATCTCTTTGATGTTCAAATGGTGTATGCTTGCGTTTATATTCAAACAATTATACAAACAACATTGAAATCGATGAATGGTGAGTGAAATTAGTCATTATTATTATTATTATTATCATTATATTACCGTATGTTTGCAAGGTGTAATTTCCAAGAAAAGAGAATAATATATTTGATGATCAAATAATAATCTATTTGAACATTACCGAATTTATTTTCCGAAAGTTTTTCATTATCATGTCTACATAAAAAAAAAATTTCAGGTTTCTGGTTCATTCATTAAAAACGAATGAAAAGCTTGAATCTATATTTATATATGATGTTGATGAACAAAAAATAAAAAAAAAATTCAACAAACATCAACAACAACAGATCATACTATGAGTGAAAACAAGCAGACAAGACAGAGAATGAAATTTTTTTCTGCATAAAAAAGAGAACGAAATATAAAAATCTGAAAAAAACCAGGCTCGAGAATAGCAGCCAAGCTTTTTATTTTTTTTTTTTTTTGATCATGATGTGGAAGTGGTGGCCGTTTTAGTCATTATCCAATCATCAATGTTGTTGTTGTTGTTGCTACGATGATGATTACCAATAGTGATGGTGACAGAAACCAACACACTCAGGTAGGAAAAAAAATCAATGATCCAGTTTTTATATTTATATTATTTTTGTGTCGTTATGGCATAGGTTATCGTAATAGTCGTCGTCATTGATGATTAGTTTTTCATTCATCAATTTAATATTTGGTCATCATCATGATCATAATCATCCTCAACAATGATTGAGAAAATTTCCTTTAAAATTTTCTTTCATGTTCTATATATATCAGTCAATATGAATCTATGATCATAATCGTCAATTTTTTTTCCTAAGAGAAAAAAAAATCCACGATAATTGTAAGATGTATTATATGGTACAGGTGTTTTTATCAGATTTGATTCAAGTTTGTAAATTTTTTTTTCTATTGTAATCATTGATCTTATCATCATCATCATCACGTTGATTGTATCGTTGAAAAATAAATAAAACCGCCAATCAATTGATCCAATGATCGGATCATAAATGAAATAATCGCCATTAAATAACATTGATTTTTCTTGTGTGATGATGTAAATTACGGTGAAATCGAAACGAGTGTTGTTTTCTACAATTTCATATGATCCTTCTGTTTGTGTGTGTGTGTAAATGGCTCTTTCTCTCTTTCGGTGCAGTGAGTGTGAGCACGTCTTTTATTTTTTTTATATTTTCATCATCCTCGTTACCGTGGTCTTCAATTCATTCATTCATTCAATATTTCTGTTTCGGTGAGGCAAGCCATTCACCATTATCCAACGACGCGTTTGTTTGTCTTTTTCCATTCATTCACCACCATTTTGGTGCTCACCTGGCCTGTTTACATCACCGATAACCACAACAACAACAACAACAATAATAATAATAATAACGATAGTAGATCTGGCTATGGTCAGATATATGATGGCCGAATGAGAGAGAGAGAAAAAACTTTCAATTGAATCCAAGAAAATACAAAACTACAACGGAATATTATTTTTTGCCAACATGTCATTGTTTATGTGTTTGTGTTGAAATTTTTCCATTTAATCAATGATGATTAATTGATCCATTGAAATCCAATATGATTACAATACTCATAAATATGGTCATTATTATTATTTGATGTGCCATCATCTTGACAAAAAAAAAATTCGCAAGACACATCATATACATCGAATCATTCCACATTCCAGTATTTTATTGTTGCCATCATCATCAGAAATAATAAATTTTTTTTTTGTTTCAAATTCTTGTGTTTATCATCATCATCATCATCATCATTAATATTTATATTTATATTACTGCATATGTTTATCATTCATCATCAACATCATCTGGTCATCATTATTTTTTTTATTATAATACAACAAAAATTATGGTCCAAAAACATCATAATGATATTTAAATCAAATCTTCCAATAACAAGAAGCCTTATAATATAATAATAATTATATATATCATATTAAGTTTATCACAAAAAACTCAAATCCAAATGAGAAAGAAAATTTACAAATCTTTCATTTCTGCTATATAGGCGACATAAATATAGTATATAAAAAAAAGTTGATTACATTTTTCATATGAAATCCATAGTACCATACGTTTTGATGATTATTCAAAAGAAATCCATTTTTCGTACATTAACCATAAGCCAAAATATCGAATAAAAATGGCTGAACATTCGGATTTGATTTCGGAAATGGCCTATCTGGAAAAGCTAAATACTGAAGAGCGATTAAAATTGGCACGAAAAAGGCGATCTCAACAATTGAAAAAATGGTCACAACGAGAAAAAGATTATACCTATATGAATAAAAGAAAACGAGCCGATGGGAGCCAAACTGATACGGCTAAAGTTAAAAATAATAATAATAATAATAATAAGAATGGATATAAAGTTCATTTTGTACCATCTGTGATGTTGTTGGAAGCTGCCACTCGAAATGATATATACGAAGGTTTGTTTCTTTAAGATGTTTTTAATTTTTAGAATAAATAAAATTGATTCATTTATCTTGTTTCCAACAACAGTGAGACGTTTACTCATGTTGGGAGTAAGTCCTGATTCGACCAACGAAGATGGCCTTACAGCTTTGCATCAATGTTGTATTGACAATTGTGAAGAAATGATGCGTTTATTGATCGAATTTAAAGCCAATGTAAATGCTAAAGATAGTGAACAATGGACACCATTACATGCTGCCGCAACTTGTGGTCACTTGAATTTAATTAAATTATTAATTGAAAAGTAATATTCTATTGAAATCTAAATTCTCAGAATTTATGATTATTTTTCGTCATATAGTGATGCCGATTTATTAGCTGTGAATGCCGATGGTAATATGCCTTATGATATTTGTGAGGATGAACAAACATTGGATTATATCGAGGCCGAAATGGCCAAACGAGGAATCACACAGGAATTAATAGATCAAATCCGAGTGAAAACTGAGAATCAAATGCTTTTCGATATGAAAGAATTGGTTCAAAATGGATACGATATTGATTTGAAGGATGAACAAGGCGCCACGCCGGTATGAATAAATAATGAATTGTGTTTGATTAATTTACTGATTACTGATTCATCAATCTTTATAGCTTCATATCGCCGCTGCTAACGGATATATGAGCGTCATCGAGTTCTTGGTCGATAACAATGCTTCCATAGATGAGTGTGACAATGATTTATGGCAGCCAATTCATGCAGCTGCTTGTTGGGGACATGTAAGCTTTTCATTTAATTACGCTTGATATTCGCTTTTATTTTGACTATTTTTCAAATCAGATTGATGTTGTCGAATTCTTAGTTCAAAATGGTGCCGATTTAGAGGCCAAAACAAAAAATGGGGAAACTCCTTTCGATATTTGTGAGGATCCAGATTTAAAGAATCGAATTTTACAACTAAAGACAGAAATTGATGCCAAAAAAGCTATAAATTCAACCAGGTTACGGAGGTCACATAGCACCAACACCCGTTCACATTCGATTCGACGGACTAGTATTCGAGAAAAGTCACAAATTGCGAAAAGAGAAGCCATTGAAGAAGCGAGAATATGGCATGAAAAAGCTGGCGAATCCGACGACATTAAAAAAGATGATAGTGACCTTGATTCAGACACTCAATTCTATAAAGATTTTAATCGGAAATTGATAACAGAATCGCCAATTGATATTGATTCTATCAAAGTTAATATGGATTCAAATAATATTTTTCACATCTCGTCACCATCATCATTTCAATCAGAAAATGGAAATCATGATCTTATTAATAATACTTCAAACTATTCTAAGCCACAACCGGATACAGGGACTTATAATAACGATCATCATCAGCAAGTTGGATCCAGTCATCAATATGATTTAAACATTTCGAATGAACCTCAGGACAATCAATATCCTAATATAGAATATACACCACAAAATAGGAAATTTGATCGTATGGATGGCAATGATTCTCATCAATGTTCCAAGAATCATGATAGTTATCATCCTGATTTAAGTGGTTATAGTATAAACAATAATAATACCGGCACTGGTACGTTAATTGATCTCAAAAAACAACGGTCAGAAAAACATCGTAACAGCTTAAATAACATTTATTCCGATCGATATAAATCATTTGCAATTGATCATCCTTCTAACACTAACATTCAATCAATTATACCAACTAATCAAACTACAATCAATCATCATATGAAACCGACGACAACAAAACTTTATGGCCAGAATGTAAATCTTCAATTAAAAACACAAATGGGCAATGTTTCATCATTGAATAACACGAAAACGCCTTTCTCCATGACCACAAATGATTCCATGTTTGATTCTCCAGATGCTGCAAGGAAAAAATTTCGTGGTAATCCAAGTGAATTGATTGGTGAAGAAGAGAAAAAAGGTTGTTGCAATATTTGCTGATAAAAAATAATATAGAAATATAATATTCGCCTTTCTGTTTTATCCATTTCATTCCAATCATTATTTATTCCATTGTAATTATAAAAAAAAAATTATCGCTGTGATAATCACGGTTAATCAAATTTTTAAAGAAATTATCGTGAACGTATGTCATTATTAAAATAACACATGCATTAGACCATTTATATAAGACGAATTTATTTTACAATTCACAAATGCTTTGCATCAAATGGACAAACACACACACACACAACAACAACAACAACAACACCAACAAAAAGAATAGAACATACTACTATAAACGAAAAAATGACAGTATTACTGATTTTTTCCAACACTTTCTACTTCCCAATTTTTGCTTGTTATAAATATTTAACGTGTTTTATAAATTTTAAAATAAGATTATTATTTTTTAAAAAAAATGAGCTTAAAATTTTTTTTTATTATTCATTTCCGAATGCAGAAACATCCTGAGTAAAAGAGAATTCATTATAACAAAAAAAAAATCATTTGTATTTATAAATATCAGCACAAGCATCAGATTGAAAAGTGTAGAAAAAGATTGTTCATTAAAAAAAATTCAATTTTTTTTATGATCAAATAAATGACAATTATAATGTTCGCTTGGTTTCCAACATTATCACATTAATATTTATGTATGTATTCATAATAATAAACTTGATTATAACGAATCATGTAATTAGCCATGAATTGATTATTTAAATTGCTTTTAAATTTTTATAAAAAAAAAAATTTCTTAGTTTACTATTAAAATGGTCGAATGAATCGGAAGCGATGAATGTGATGATGAATATATTATTAGAACAAAATAAATTACATCATAGAAAAAAGATTACTAGAATAGCACATCGGTTTCTTATCAGGATGAGGCACTTCTTTGAAGGTTGTATATTTTGGAATCAATTCATCACCTCCATTGAAATTGATGAATGCACCAAGATTGCCCATACGATCGCAATAGTTGGGAGCGGAAAAAACTGTTATACATTTACCACCATGAGCCTGTTTGAAATAGTCAAAATATTTTTAGATAATGAGCTTTATTCCATTTATATTGAATCAGACTTACCACTTCATAACCATTATCTTTTACTTCATGACTTCTGATGATATAGTCCAAATTATTCAATTTGAGAAAGTTTTCAGTAATATCCGGTCCAAATTGACAACCAACACCTCGTTTGCTTGGTTGGCGTCCTTCTGCAGGCATTGGATCGGACCATAAAATATCGCACATAAGACCATCTTCAGGTGGCTGTCTGAATCGATCAAAATTGCGTATATCGTCTAATTTAACATTATCTTTGCTGAAAAGGCCTCCATGCATGACCAGAATTTTTTTGTTCAAACAGTGTGCCAAAGGAAGACATTCAAAGACTTCGGTGAATAGATCATACATTTGCTTCGAATATTTTTCTTTGACTTCACCTTCAAAACCGAAAATTTTGTTCATAGTTTCACTTTCATGATTACCACGAGCTATGAACAAATGATTTGGATAAAGAATTTTGAATGCAAACAAAACAAGAATACATTCAACCGAGAATGATCCTCGATCGACCACATCACCATTGAAAAGGTAAGGATTATCTTCACTGGGATAGCCATTTAATTTGAAAATGTTTAATAGATCATAGAATTGCCCATGAATATCACCACAGACTGTAAATTTTTTTCCTTTCGGTATTTCAATGTCCACTAATGTTTTTGACTTAGAAAATAATTCTCGTGCATCCAATATCAATTTGTAAGCATACTTTCGATGCAATCTTTTCTCTTCTTTAAATGTATCCAATAGTTCTTCAACGAACTCTTTTGTAATTTTTCCATCAACAATTTTCGGTCCATCATACGTATCATCGATTGTCATCGATTCAAAATCAATGGATTCGGCCACAGATCTTTTTAATGTATCCACAGAGATTGCTTTCTCGAATGCTTTTTGATTGACAATTTTTTTGCATTCCTGACATTTAATCTTGGCATCCCTATCGTTTGGACAAAATTTAACAACAGTTTCGAAATCTTTTAATGCTTGCTTGAAACGTCCATTGGCCATTTGGGCCTCGGCTCTCCTATAATAGCCTTTGATATAATTCTTATCGATTTCGATAGCACGGGAAGCATCAGTAAAGGCATAACCAAAACATTCGGTTTTAAGATAAGCAAAACTTCGATTACCATATAGTATTGCATTATTTGAATCTTTTTCGATGGCCATCGAATACAATTCGATTGCATCTTCATATTCTTTTCTTTTGAAATATTCATTAGCTTTACATTTCAATTCTTCAGCAGTTAAGTCTTTAAATTCGGCAAATTTGGATGAATTCGTCACCGAATCACCGTCGGTATTCATGGCAATGAAATGTTGGATGATGAATTTCGATATATATTATTAGAGCCCAAACTAAAGAAAAAAAAACTAGAAACAGCAGACAATAAACACTAAAACATGCTGATCCATGCAATGCGATATATCAATGCCTGCTTAGTGATCATGTTATTCATATATGATTTCCATCAACGACATCTAACGATATTTATGTGAATTAATAAACAAGAATCATTTCATGCTTGAATTTTATTTTTTTTCATTGCACAATTTAAGTGTATAATTTTTAACATAAATAATCGAAGATAATTCTTTACAGAATTCATCCAACACAATAAGACTCTGCAAAATTTTCATTTCCTTTTCATCATTATCCTTATTGTGATTGATATTTTCATACTCAGCTGGAATCATTTCGCCAAGAAGTTTCAATTTAGTTTTACATAATTTTTCATGAAGATGATCAATACCTTTAACCGATATCTGTAAACTTTCGATCAACTTATGCAGAATGTTGAATAAACTTTCATCACTATTTTTTAAACGAATAGTAGGATTAAGAAAGTAATTATTTATGTATTCATTTGGCACAAGAGAAATTTTAGCCAAAATTGAGAATAATTGTATACTCATTTCATACGGAAGTTTTATCAATAAATTCAAATTATCAAAAAGGATTTCGACAAAATTATATTGGTCATCATTACCTTGGTCATCATCGCCAGAAGTTTGCCGAATTCGATCTGTATCCCATTTGGTAAAACATGTGGATATAAAGATATGAAATCCTTTTACAGCTTCTTTTAGATAAGCTTCGAATTCAGCTCTTTCTTGTTGAATATAGAATTTAAGCTCATCAGGCACTAATGATGTAAACAAATATAAAATCTTGATCAGACGATCCAACTCCAAATGAAAAGTTTGATTTTTTATATTTGATAGATGACAAATTTCATTTGCAACCGTATTCATCTGATCGAGCACGATTATTGAATTGAATTTAGATGATATATTGGCGCAGACGTTGGGCTTCTCCAGCATCGACCAATCAATATCGATTGTTTCAACATTGTTTTGAAAACTTTTTGCTGAAAGTTGTTTTATGACAAGATCGTTGACTATGTCAAACGAAGGCCTCGAAAGAATATCTTCAAACAATTGTAATGTTGCGGATGAAAGTTTAAGAAATTTTATTCGATCATCTTCTTGTTCAAAATCGCGTCGGATAATGTTAGAAATATTACATCGTTCCAACAATATTGTTCGCAAATGTTTTTTGGAAGGTCTTACTGGCATAATAATCACAGAATCGTTTTTATGATTGGACAAAATCAAAAAATGGCATATCAAATCAAAAAGGGAAGAATTTTCAATATTTCGTAGACAATTGGAAATCAATACTGTTGCTCGGAATACATTATCGAGAGCATCAAATTCATTGGCAAAGCCATCACCCAACAAATCGGAAAGCAAACAAGCTTGTAAAAAGTTTTTTTCAAATTCATTCAAAAGATTCTGTTTCAATATTGAATCTTCAAGTAAATTGTGAATCACCAGATCAAAGAAAATGAACCATTTGAGAAATGATAAAAATTTTCTTATAGATGTCGAAAACAAGGGAGAATCATGTTCTTGTAGCAACAAAGAATTAACAGTCTCAATTTCTTCAGGTTTAAGTGAATGTGGTATTGCATTATAATGGATGATGATCTGATCGATAATCTTGCAAGCAAATGGAGTTTCCTCGGCAATCACTCTGGCTGCATTATTATCTAATATCTGCATCAATCGAATGATTGAATCACCGGCTAATTTTGATATTTCAGAATCTTCACTATATAACAAAGACAGTAAGGAATTTATCAACGGAAAAGAATTTATTGAAAAAAACTGCAAAAAATCTGGATTTTTGATCAATTTGATGAGCGATGTCAAAAAATACATTTCCGTCGTTTCATATGGACTTGCCTGTATTTTGCCACAAATAATAATTAGTTTATTCAAAGATTCATGCACAGATTTGTGTGGAATCAATGTAATTTTAGAATCATTTAAAAAACGTGTAAAAAATAAGAGAATATGTGGACATATTCCAATTGGTGTGTCGGTTTGAGCAACAATGCTTAAAGTTTCAAGAATATTGTTCTGCAAAATATATTCAAACGTTGGACATAAAGCAGATGAATCCTTTTTTCTTTTCATCCAATCTAATTGTTCCGTTATGATTATATCGGTCATTTTGATTAATTTGTTGGCCAGATTGGTGGATTCAATATGAAACTTTTCTGCTTGAGTTTCGTTATCATCTTGTCGATAGAATGTGGTGAATGAATTCCAATGATAAAGAAATTCTTCAAAAGAAGTAACTGGTGGTGCAAGAACATCCGATAAAGGACTATTAGAAATCAGATTAAACATTATCAACAAGTCAAATTATGATCATCAAAAAATTTTAATTTTGATTTGCAAATGATACAAATGCCTGAATCCACTTTGATGATTCAATCTATCACAACATATATACACGTGTATCGAAATAGCGTATCCAGTTTTGTAAAAAAAAGCTCATTCTTAATTCTGAATTTATTTATTTATTTGGAATTCTGTTTTCTTTTGGGGCCAAAAAATCGCAATGAATGATCAAGTTACGAGTTCAGATGAAACTACCACAGAAGAATCACCAGAAAAAGATAAAAACACTGATAAAGATGGCTGGTTTGTACAAATATATTTTTATGACTATTTTGTTCAACAATTTTCATTTGTTTTATATATTCAATATAATTCACTAGGATTTTAGAACTCGAAACGGCATTGTTATCCGATTGTGATATAAATGTGATTCGTAAGATGTCCAATCAGCAATCAATCCCAAACAATTTACGATATGAATTTTGGCAGGTAATTATGATGATTTTTGGATAAATCAGCTTTAATAAACTTTTATATCTAGGTTTGTTTGGGCATCAAAGGACGTGTAAAAATCTTAGAAGATATTTTCGATCTACCCGAGCAGAATTTGATTCGTAATGATTGTCAAAAACTAGTCGAAAGATTGAACAATTCTAGTTCGGAAAAGTTGTCAATATTGTCCGATCTCGAATCGATTATAACAAATTTTTCCCGGTTATATCATTGCCCATATACTTCGAAAAATGGGTGGATCGATCTTTTAGAAACATTGATACATCTAAATGTTAAACGAAATGAATTGTTCAAAATATTTGAATCAATCGAACTTCGTTACATTACCAAATATTACAACTGTTCCAAGGAAGATTCGAAAGATTCCGAATCAATGTATATGCAACCCTTCCATCTATTACGTTTATTTTTGCTTTATCATGATCCAGAATTATGCAATTATTTCGATACCATTAAATTAACTCCTGAACAATTTGCCTCGACTTGGGTAAGGCATTTAACCATTTATTTTATCCATTTATCTAATAAAATTTGTCTCCACTCAGTTTCGTAGTCTGTTTTGTTTGGATGTTTGTAATCCGAATGTTTCATTGAATCTTCTGGACGCTTATTTTACTTATTCCGATTCATTTATGATATTCTATCTGTCCCTAGTCATGATCATCAATATCAAGTACGGTGAAATCTGTTTCTAATTATAATAAAAATGTCTGTTTTTTAGAGATGATCTCAAGATGAAAAACGACAAAACCGAAATCATCAACATCTTATCCACCATACCTTCATCGATCACCGAATCTGATATAAAAGATATGTTTTTTATTGCGGAACAACATTTTTTAGATAAAACACCTTTATCTGTCAAAGTGAGTCAGAAAAATAAAAATAAAAAAAATTTCAATTTATATTTTAATCTTCCACCTTTTAGGAGTTTCAGAAATTACTTTTTCAAGTTTATTCCCAAGCTGATATCTATGATGATCTTTGTCATATTGAAGATCTGTCCAATCTACTTTGTCTCCCGATATCGATACAAGAATTGTTGAATAGTTGCCAAAACGAGAATAATCTACGATATTTTGTTGTTGACTGTCGGTCACCGGATCAATACAATAATGGTCATCTTTTGACAGCTTTCCATCTCGATTGCAGTCTGGTAAGTTATTGAGCTGTTTTTACGATTGTCTGGCTAATATCAATTTAAAATAGATGTTGAATGACCCATCAGTGTTTGCAACAGCCGTTCAAGCACTGTTGGCCTCACAAAAACAAGCTATCGAAGCTAACGCGATTGCTGGAGGTGAACATCTCTGTTTTATTGGAAGCGGCCTTGAAGATACAGATGGCTACATTCACATGGTTATCTCTTCATTTCTACAGAAGCATCATAAATATGTTAGCTTTCTTTATGGTGGTTTTGAAGCACTTCATAAGACAATCACGGAGAAACATTTAGATCATTTATTAGTAGATCATAATATCAAAAACTGTCTATGTTGTATGGCACAAAAATCAATTCGTTCAATTCAAAATGACCATTCATCATCGTCATCATCATCGGATTCTAAATTTACAAAAGATGTTGATCATTTGACTTCGGTATTTTTTCAAAAGTTCTCCACTGCCGTTAAGCCTAAAATCAGCGAAATGAAAGAAAAGCTAGTGGAATATGTTGTAAATCCTAATCAAAAACCGGTGATCAAACATGTTAGCTCGGAAAATCTAGGAAAACGTTATAAAGGAAGCAAATTCAGTCTGGATGATACGAATACAGATTTAGGTAACAAGTAAAGACGATTTTTTGTTTATGATTATAATCATCTCGATTTTTATCTATATTATAGATGAAGATTCGATTGATGTGAATGCCGATGATGAATTATCCGAAATCAATATAGAAGAATGGAAAAAACAACAAGATCTGATTGGATGTTTTGAATGTTCCAAAATTAATTCGGATAATACTAGAATACCTGGGTATGTCATGGTGAAATGCCAATAAATCTTTTTAATATTTTTTTCCCCATATAATAATAGATATCTGGCTGTGACCAAAACGAATATATACTTTTTCAAACATTCCAAAAATCGTGAAGGATATGGACAAATACTAGTGCAACGACCATTAGAAATGATATTCCAGATTACATCAAAACGAAAATGTCCTGAGATCATAACATTTAAATATGGACACTCAAATAGTGGTGGCAATGAATCGGTTTTAATTGCCAAAGATAGTCTAATTCTTGTCGAACCATTTGAAGTGATTCGATTAATTAAACAACAAGTAGTCAATTTATTGGACCAAAATCATCTTAATTCTAATCAAAGAGATTCACCGAAAGAATAATAATAATAATATAAACGCCAACACACAAACACACCTACCACAGTTGTATTTGAAAATTAATTTTTATGAAGCCCATGAATTATTATTATTATTATTATTATTAATTAATGAAAATAAATGGAAAATATTTTTTTTGGAAAATATAATATCTTTCTTCTTATCATCATTCAGTTGTTTGTTGCTTTAGTCTATGTATGTGTTTGAATGGTGAGTGTAAATTTGATAAATGTATCGATAACAAAGTCGATCCACAAAGTAGTAAACATATACAAACATAAACGTTGTTTACAGTTTGATAAATGTTGTTTTGTTGCAAGAATATTAAGACTTGTTTTTTTTTTTGGTACCTTTTATTGTTTTGAATCGAAATGGCCCATTTCGGTATAATAACAATGATGATGATACTATCTTTCTAATATTTTGTTTGATATATACAATATACGTATAAATTTATTATTTGTTTATTTTCAGATACAACCCTATTGAAAACTAATATAGTATCCAGCGAAGTTAAACAAATAGCTCAAATACTAAAATCGAATTCATTATCAATTTATAATGATAATGATGATGCCAAGGTAAAATCGAATTATCAATACTTTTGTGGTCATTATGTATTTATTCATTTGTTCTTATAGCTTCGAGATTTATTACTCGTACTCAATTGTATAGATTTAACAACATTGGCTGGCGATGATACTTACAGTAATGTATCCAGGCTTTGTTATCGAGCAATACATCCATTGAGCAACAAAATAGTTGAAAAATTATCCAATCATGATGATTATCACCACAGAAACAATATCACAACAGGTGCTGTTTGCGTTTATCCATTAAGAGTTGGTGACTGTCGTCAATACTTGGATAGAATCGATTCCAATCTATCAATAGCTTCGGTTGTAGCCGGGTTCCCAAGTGGTCAGAGTCCAATCACAGTAACATTGGCTGATATTACTTTTGCCATACAATCGGGAGCAAATGAAATCGACATTGTCATTAATCGATCATTAGTGTTGGCCGGTAAATGGCAAGAATTGTTCAACGAGATCAAAATCATTGCTCAGCACTGTCATGACCAAAATGTGCATTTGAAAGTGATACTCAGCTGTGGTGAACTGGGTAATTTACAGAATATTTACAAGGTATGTAACCATCATTATAAAAATCATTACTCAATGACAACCATCTATTTCTGTTCATACAGGCATCGATGTGTGCCATGATGGCCGGAGCTGATTTCATCAAAACATCCACTGGAAAAGAATCGATCAATGCTACATTGACTTACGGTCTGATTATGATCAGAGCTATCACTGATTTTTATATTGCTCGAAAAATTCGTGTTGGGCTTAAACCTGCCGGTGGTATCAAAAATGCTTCCGATGCTCTATGCTGGATCAATTTGGTCCGCTTTTATTTGGGACCCGAATGGCTCAATAATAAATTGTTTCGAATCGGTGCTAGTTCGTTACTCAACAATATCGAATTTGAAATCTTTAAATTACTATTCCACCGAAAACCAATAGAAAATGAACTGTCAATGACATGAATAAATCAACGAGACAAGATTTATTTACAAAAACAAATCTTTATTTTTAGAAATCAATTACTTTAAATTAATGACAAATGTTTAGTTTATTTTTTTGGAATTTTTAAATGTTTACAAATTTTTTAATAAATGTGTGTGGACATTAAACGAATTGAATTGAAAATGGTTATGAATGAAAAGGGATTAAGTATGGGTGTGTTTGTGTGTGTGTGTCTGTTATATTTAGCGTGTCCAAGCATTGAATGATTTAGGCCGAAGAAGTGACATCCTCACCATCTTCTTTTTTTTCTACGGTTTCGGAATCAGTTTTCAATTTCTTTGGTGTTGTTTCTTCGGTTTTTTCACCTTCATTCGAAATGGATTTCCTTTTTGGACCATCACTATCATCTTCAGTTTTTTCGGCATCTTCTTTGACTTCTGGTTCTTCTACTTGTTCCTTGTCTTTGTTACCATTAGCAGCTTCCTCATTGGTTTCTTCAGCTTTTGTGCCATTGTCATCAACATTTTCTTCGGTGTCTTTTTCAGCATTACCATTGGCTTCTTTTTCAGCTTCAACTTCAACTACTTTTTTCTCTTCAATTGGTTTCTGAAAAGATATGTAAATTATAATTAACTCTAATGAAAATCATAAATGACAATTTTACCTTGGTAGGAGTAGTTTCAACCTTTTCAACCTGTGGTTGTGGTTCAACTTCGGGAGAACTAAAAAAAATGACAATTTAAAAAAGATTTATGACAAAAAATAAGAATACTTACTCAATTTTGGTGCTCGGCATTTTTACTATTTGTAATACGAAATCAAAATCAAAAAAAAAATCAAACAAAAGAACAAGTCGAATGACAAGCCGGTAAAACGTGTGTTGAAAATTCGAAAAGCTACGTTAAAAAAAAATCACACAACGAAACAATCACTTCAACAGTCAACGATCAAATGAACGACTTCCGAGCTGTACATTTCATTTAGAAATGCTTCACCAATGTATACATGTACCTTGTTGTATATGAAATATACTATCACGTGACCATTGATTTAAGCCAATCATATACAAGTTGATCAAAAATCTACGCAAACGTATTTCATTGTTCATTGTTTGGCCTTGACCACTATCACATTAATGGTAGCTGTAAAACATCTACGAAATGATAGTGGTAGTGGTATATATATTATATGTTTATCACAAACAAACAAAAAAACTAGATAAAGACAAAACCCGCGGTTAATGACAAACTGGCGCCAACTTGATTCGATGAACACATGCGCAATAATGATAATTTAGTTTTAGACCCTAGCCTTCTATGATTATAATATTTTTTTCCCAAAAAAAAACTGGCTTAGCTTTTGGGACAGGCAAAAAAGTGAGAGAACCAATGAAAAGAGAATGGAGAATGAGAGAGAAAAGGAGACAAAGCAATGAATATGAAACTAGAAAGAGAAAATGAAAAAAAACCATCCTTTCCATCTTTGAAAAAGTAAGCCGGTCGATCTCGTATGGATTTTTTTTTTATTTTATTATTAAGACTCCAAAATTATAGAAATTAGGATGAAATGAATAAAGGAGAAAACAAACAAACAAAATAACATGAATGGATTTAGGAATCATAGGTAGTAGCAATGGCTAAAAATAAGTCCATCATTGTCCATCTTGTTGATTTGCGTGTCCGTTAATTATTCTTTAAAACCCTTTTGAACCTGAATGATGATGATTAAAATGGTAGAGAGACGGTCTGAGACAGACAAACAGAGAAAAGACAATTAACAGCATATAAGAATAGCTTTCATTTAATTCAAAATAGAAAATATTAGAATAATGATAAAAGATGAAACAATCTAAATATAAACTATATAGCTCTCCTTTTATACTTGTTTTTTTTGTGTATCATTCGGAATCCATCACCATCATCTTCATATTACCTTGTATGTTTTTTTTGTTGTTGTTGTTGAATATAACATATTCGAATGCTTGTTGAATGGATGACCCCACTACACTAATAGGTAAAAGCAACAAGATTTCCAAACAAGTTTATTGCTCATATACACATTATAGTTATATACTCTCTTTTTTTCTCTCTCTCAAATCACTTTATCATCATCATCATCACGATTGAATGAATGCCATACACAAGAACACATACACATTCAATGCTATATATCCGGCCCCATTGGTCATTGGACTAACAAAGAAAAACATGACGATGAGAGCAATGAAGTTTCTACTATTTTACTTATTATATTTACCAATAGTGTATCTTTCTATTTTTTTCCTCCCCCAATATTTTATAACCACAAAGCGATCATCATCAATGTATCGTTTTGATGATTTTTTTTTAGAAATCCGAGAAAAAAAAAAGAGAACTATACACGATCAAGATGATAATGATAAGGATGACCTAATGTTGTTCAATGATGTTTATCAAAATTCGAATGTGAACAGGTTTTGTTGTTTTTGTTCAAATTCGATACTCTCAACAAATAAAAACATGAACATAAACAGTTTGCAATAAAAACAAGACAAATTCTTATCGAAAAGATGATGTTTTGATGCCTTTTGACCCTTTCGATCAATATATTCATTCAAAGGTTTATTTATTCCTTCAAAACAAAAAAAAAACAAAATTTAAACTTTGTTTATTTTGAATATTTTTTTTTCATTTTTATGATAAATTTAAAAAAATTATTTTACATACAAAAAAAATTGTAGTGGAGTTTTTTTAAAGCTGTAAATAGAAAAAAGAGAATTAAAAATAAAAAAATCCGCGTTTGGCGTATACAAAAAAAATAAAGCTACCAATTGTTTGACGATTTCAATGATTGAAAAAAAATATATTCACAGATCAAACTTATTCAATTGTCCAGTGGATACAAAATAAAATGGTCGATGTTCAATGGATTGATTATTTTTGTTATTAATACATTCGCCATTAATACTAATAATATCTGAATGATGATCATCAGTATCGGCATCCGATTCTTCTAGTATTGAATCCAATTTTGGTGCACTTTGTGATCGTTCCAATGGTTGTTTAAAATATTTTGATCCATTGACTAGAAATTTTTTCCTTATCGGTAATGTATGATTTGGTGTTTGTTGCCGTAGATAGATTTCTCGACGAAATTCACGTAATGCATTATAAAGACGTATTCTTAATTCATCAGCCATTTGACTTGCTTGATTTGAACGTTTACATAGTACAGCATGACAACGCAATTCGGGTTTTCCACGTTTACCGGTATGTCGATATATCCAAATGAATACACGTGGATGTGTATTTGTATTCGTCACATAGGTTATTTTATTCGACCAATATTCAATATTACCCAATTCACGTGTATATACTTTCAAACCCGAATTACAAATAGTTATCTTCATCTTGGTCAAAGCTTTTTTTCCTTTTCTACGTTCATAATTTTTCCATAAAATATTCAATGGAGATTCAACAAATTGATCACCTTTTGCCCAGAATGTTGGTACATTACCTAAATACGTTACATGATATGTAAGATCACCACGATTTAATGTGATGGAACGTTTCTTCCAGAATTTTAATCTCGAATGTACATCGGTCAACCATACGCTTAGATTTTGATTTGATGAACACCATTTAGAAAATGAGAACAACTTTGAAACAGATTCAAACATTATAATAATATTCTGTAGTCATTTTGTTGAAGAACTCGATGACATCACACTGTTTTAAAATGATGATGATCATCAGAGAATCGCGTTTCTTTTTCTTTGGTTTTTTAATGATTAATAATACATCACTATTTCATCATCATGTTGCAAGCAACGTATAGAAAAAACGATCGAATTTCGGTGAAATGATGTTCGAGAATAAAGCACAAATAGGTGGACCTAGACAAAAAACGTGGCTCATTTGTGTCTCTCTATCACTCACTTTTGCTTGATTGGTAATGAAGTGAGGGCCCTAGCTAGTTTATTGCACAGTTATCTAGTTCATTCGGCCATAACATGTTGATTGGAAAAAATGCTTCAAGTCATTTTGTTCTGTCATCATCACTCACAGCCGTGAAAAAATTCAGTGGACATATAACGTAAATTAATTACGTTCATAAATGACATTACGAATGGTAAAAATGCATCAAAATCTTGAATCCATTAATTTTTTATAATGTCTACATCCAAAGGTAAGTTTGTAGATTTCTGTGTTTTTGTGAACATTTTTTTACATTGATTTCATAGGTAACGTTAAACAATCAATGAATGAAGATTGTAGTGAGAATGATCATGATTTTCAAACGGTACCATTCAATCCGAATAAATCTCTTTCTATCGAACAACAGCGGCTTCGATTACCGATTTACAATGTAAGATTAATCTAATCATTTTTAATCGTTTTTAACCTAATTCAAGTATTTTATTAGTTTAAGAATCATATAGCATACCTGTTGGAAAAATATCAGGTTCTAATAGTCATTGGTGAAACGAGCTGCGGCAAAAGTACACAATTACCTCAATTTTTACATGAATTTGCATATGTCAATTTCAATGAAACATTGGGACAAATTCAAATCATCGGTATTACTCAACCTAGGAGGATAGCCACGATTTCATTGGCTTCAAGAGTGGCCGAAGAGATGAATGTCGATTTAGGTGCTGAAGTTGGTTATTCAATTCGATTTGAAGATGTTTGTGATGAAAAATTGACAAAAATCAAATTCATGACAGAAGGTATACTCATCCGAGAAATGATGAATGATCCCCTACTTACTAAATATTCGATAATTATTGTGGATGAAGCTCATGAACGATCAGTAAACACGGATATTTTGCTTTCATTATTGAAGAAAATAATTAAAAAACGTTCCGATTTAAAAGTGATAATTTCATCGGCAACACTAGAAACCGAATCGATCTGTAATTATTTCAATACGATTGGAAAACAAAAAATTGATAGATCTACTGTTCTATGTATTGATGGACGAACGTTTCCAGTTGAAGTGAATTTTTTAATCGAACCAACTGCTGATTATGTTAAAGAATCTGTTGAAACTGTGATAAAAATTCATGAAAATTTTCCTAACGGTGATATCCTTGTATTTCTCACTGGCCAAGAAGAGGTGGAAGAAGCCGTCGAATCAATATTTGAATATTCCAAAGATTTAAAAAGTACACATATAATATTTAAATTTATGATGCGTTAATTAATCAAATTTTATTCAATTTCCATAGATAAATATGAAAATTATAAAAAATTATTGGTATTTCCATTGTATGCATCATTGCCGACCAATGAGCAAGTCAAGGTATTTCAAATTCTACCTCGTCATATTCGTAAGGTAATTGTTGCGACAAACATTGCTGAAGCTTCGATAACTATTCCGGGTGTATCTTATGTCGTCGATTGTGGTTTCGTAAAAATACGCAATTTTAATTCTAAATCAGCCACCGATTCTCTAATGGTTGTACCAATCACGAAAGCATCAGCTCAACAACGTTCTGGTCGTGCCGGTCGTATGAAAAGTGGCTATGCATTTCGATTGTATACTGAAGAAGATTTTAGAAAGTTGGCCGATTTTACTTTGCCTGAAATTGAGCGAATCTCACTTTCATCGACCATTCTTCAACTCAAAGCATTGGGCATCGATAATATTGTTAAATTTGATTTTATTTCACCACCACCTTCCAAAAATATTATCGCTGCATTTGATATATTATTTGCATTGAAAGCCATAGATGATAATGGATCATTAACTGATCCTCTTGGAATGCAAATGGCTGAATTTCCTTTGAATCCAACATTTTCAAAAATGCTTCTGATTTCTGAACAATTCGGTTGTAGTGAAGAAATTTTAACCATCGCTTCCATGTTACAAGTTCAAAATATTTTCACCTATCCACATGGTCAACGAGCACAACAGGCTAGACGAGCCAAACATAATTTTTCTGTTGAAGAAGGAGATTTAATTACCTATTTGAATATTTACAATCAATTTATGAAAGCTTCACAAATTCGAAGTTGGTCAGATAAAAATTATCTCCATTATAAAGGCCTATTACGTGCTGTTGAAATTCGCAATCGATTGAAAAGTCTATTACATAGATTTAAGATTCGATTAATATCGAACAACGACGTAGAATCCATACTAAAATGTATTGTCGCTGGATTTTTTACTAACGCAGCACAATTAGGTGAAGATGGCATCTATCGAACTATTCGTGGAAATTATGAATTACATATTCATCCAACATCCGTATTGTATACAATGAAACGTTTACCGAAATTTGTCTTATTTACCGAAGTAATTCATACGACCAAAGATTTTATGAAATATATTAGTGTCATTAAGCCTAATTGGCTTTATGAATTGGCTCCACATTATTATGAATTTGGAACAAAAAAAAAAAAAAAATGATCAAATGATCAAGCAGATCTCAAATTTATTTTTATAGTGATTCAGGAATGGTTACATAATACAAAAATTGTTTCAAATCATGTTTTTGTTGCAAACCACGAATAAATGACACAATTCTATACGAGTTAATTCTGTTACGTTTTTTTGTACAGTTATAAAAATATATGATGATGATAAATCACAAAAAAGATTATTTTTGTCAATCTTCTGAGAAATGTGTGTGTGTGTGTGTGTATGTGATAAATAAATATAGATCAAATCTTTATACTATATCGTATGATTATGATTAGTGGGAAGATATCTTTTGAATTTTTTTTTTATCAATATCAATATACTTTTGGTTGTGTTATTTATTTATTTAATATTTTTTTTTGCTGATGACTATACAAATCTGATTATGCCATTTTTTTCCTGTTTGATTGAATGTACCGTAAATGATAGGTTCCAAGGTTACCAGATTTTTTTTCTGAATATTACAACTAACGAGAAAAAAAAAAATAAATGGAGACAAAAAGTTGATATAAAAAAAGAAAAGATAAATAAATTCAATTTCATTAACATTGTTGTTTACCTTATTGAAAAAGCCGTTTTGCTGATGATAATAAGAAGATGATCGCTGATGACCATTGCCACTGTTATCGGTATAAATATCAGAACGATGACCAAGTGTTCCATATAAATTATGGATTTCTCGTTGTAATTGAGTTCGGCTAGCATAGATTGGTTGCTGTGTTGAATTTGTTTGTATTTCGACTACTTGGAATGCTTGATTGTTGTTATTGCCACCGGAATTACCGCTAGTAGATAAATTCAATGAGCTTGAAAATGTGACTCGATTTTGATTCTTGAATGACGGATTGTATTGTTCTGTCGAATTTAATTCCGGTACGGATTGTTTCCGTTGTAATGCACTTGAAGCAGCCGCTTTAGCTATCTCATTCATTGTCATTGCTACATTGTGTTGTTGTTGTTGTTGCTGCTGTTGTTTCTGTAATAATGTTTGACTTAGCTTATCAACAAAACTCTCATTATTCAGGCTACTGGATACGGTAAATCCATTATTTTTTTCAATGGAATTTTTTCGACTAGATGATCGAGAAGCCGATTGGCTACGATGCGAATGACGATGTTTTCCTAACATAAAAATCAACAAGATAAAGATTATTATGAAGATGTGAATAATAATAATGATAATAAATTAATAATATACCTGAATAGCTCGAGGTCATATTATCATCCGGAATGGATCGATTTGATGAATTTCGTCTTTTGGAAATTTTGGCATTGTTCTGATATACCAATGGTGATTGGCTCAGCTTTGTATTCAGTGTTTCCAAGAATTCACGATGTACATTTGTAATTTTATTGTAATGATGGTGATGTTGTGATTGGTAGTGATGATGATTATTATTATTATTATTATTTGAGGATGTATTCTGTGATGATATTGACGGTGTAGGCATTGTTGTTGCAATAGTCGATTCAGCTATGAATGCTTCCGGGGGTGGTGCAGGTAATGGTAACTGTGAACCATCATCGGAATCGATTGATTTGAATATGTTTGACGATGATTGAATTGGTTGCTGTTGATTATTGTAGCTTTCAAATATTTTCTTGACAATCTTGTAATCATTTTTATCTCTTTCACTATTAGGATTTGATTGTTGTTGTGCATGATAGCTTTTATCTTCGATCATTGTTTTATCGGATTGCTTGGCCATACTACATGAGCTTATATTAGTGAAATCGGTATTTTTCAGGGTAAAATTAATATCATTCATTGATTTTGTTAATACATTAATTTCATCATAAAGTGAAGAATTTTTCACGACATTAGATGCAACAGCATCATCATGATGTTTATTGTTATTGCCATTATTAGTAAAGTTATTACTATTATTTTTTAACGTTCCTAATGTAATTGCATTAGGATTTGATAAGGATGATGTCCGTCGTACTGGTGGGGCAGGTGGTGGTTTATTAGATTTTTGATAAATTTTTTCCTCACTTTTATAGATTGAATTCATCATATTAGAATTTTGTGAATGATCACTAGTGGTAAACATTAGACTTTTCTGAAGATCAGCATTGGTAGGCGTTATTGATCCATCTGATTCGTGACTGGGTAATAAATATGTTTGATTTGATGATATGGATGATGTAGGATTCTTATCATAAAATGATTCAGGATCATCATTTTTGTTTTGAATTTGATTGTATGAACTCAAAAATGGATTTGTTGACGTAATTTTTATTGTATTCTTTTCGGAATTATTGCTGGATGATATAGAATCAATCTGAAATTGTAGATCGTTATCACCGATTTTTTTCAAATTATTATCAGAATATGAAACATTCGATCCGTATACAGTTGATGTAAGCTGATTAAATGAATTAATAATTATATAATTTAAATAATTTTTTTTTTCATAAATTTGTACTCACCGGATCTGTTGTTGAAAAATATTTGCTCTGGGTTTGATGATTTGGTGTTTGATGATGTTGATGGTGAATATAGTTTGCAGCTGAATTGCTTGATGATGAATTATAACTAGATATTGAACACATGCTTGATTTTCTAGATCCTAATGAACTTGGTGAACTAGGAGGTGTGTGTATACTCCAAGAAGCAAGACTAGTATCATTCTTATTTAATTTAAGATTCGAGATAACTGTCTCACTCGATACGGGTAGATCGAATGGATCGACGGTTAATTTCTGCAATGAATCCATTATTTCTTGTATATGTGATATTTCACCGATCATGGATATTTCTTCTTCAATAAATGGCCGTAAAAATTTCACCAGCAAACAAAAATGACTTCGTTCTTCAATCAATGCTCGGCGTACGGCCTTTTTCTCTAAATCTTCAAGCATTAATAAACGTTCATTACATTCCATTTCAGAATCCAATGATCGTGTCAATGAAGATGTTGATTTATGATGATAACCGCCACCAATGGTGCCATAAATACCTTTACTATTTAATGAATCAAAAAAATCAAATTTACTTTTGCTTAATGAACGTGAAGAATGTTTTTTGTTGCCACGAATACTGCCGGATGTACTGAGTGAATCACAAAATTGACGTTTTTTAAATTCTTGTCGTAAGCGTTTCAATTCTTTAGTACGTTCTTTATCCAAAGCTATGGTTGCCTTTTTCCATTCTTCAACTCGTTCCTGTAGCGGTAAAATAAGACAATCCAGAAAAGCGCTACTGAAGGATTTTAATTTTGCTTCAACTGATCGTTGCCGAAGGCATAATCGTGTCAAAGCAGTTCCGATTTCTTTGGTACCACCACGAGTTGTCGTTGCCATATCGGCTATCTTTTGAAATGAATCCAAGAATGCTGTTGATGCATTTATTGTTGATTTAAGGTGAGCCTGAAATTTGGTCGCTTTTAGAATGAAATCATCCCATGTTGAAGAACCATTCTGTGAATGAATTGACACACACACGAAAAAAGACAAAAAAACAAATGGAAAATGTCATTGACATCAAATAGAAGCCTTTTTAAATGAATGAACAGAACAAACCTTTAAATCATTGATGATGATTTGAAAAAGGCCACCAAGAACATTACAATCATGTTCGGTTATGGTTGATTGTTCCATCATCATTGCTGTGATTATAGTTTAAATCATTATCCAAACAGATTCGAAATTGAATTGAATGTTGAATGTGAATAAAAAGGGATACAAGTTAAATAGGAAAAAATTAATGAATCGCACAAATGAATGTTAATTTCGAAAAATCCAGAGAACACGAGTAAAACAGAAATAAATAACGGAAGACAACAAGGCAACTCAAGACAGTTATGATCAAATTCAAAAATGATGTATTCAAAGACTGTTGTTAATGTGGGACTAAATATGTAAAGGTTAATTCGTAATTTAAAAAATAATACTCAAATCAAGCAAGTCATAGTGATAAGAAAAAGACACAGATCCACCGAACAACACTGGATATATTAACACAATCAGCATTTGGATCCTACAACGCGAACACACGGACCTTTTGAAAGCCACACAAATATCAAACATACAAAATAGTAAAAATATTACAATGAAAAAAAACCAACAGACAAAGGACTTGACACAGACACTTTCGTCGCTGGTTTTTTTTTGGTTTGGTTTCGTTCGATTTGGTAATCGTGGTAGCACACACACACACACACACAAACAAACAGAGAAAGAGAAACACAATAAGAATCCAGGCACCGTTATTTGGTTGCATCGGCGTACATTATATATATATGGCCAACAATGTTGAGATGTATGGTCTCTATTCAATAGGGTCGCTTCGTTGATGGATTCACAGTCCTTTTAACATTTTAGTTTCTGTGAAATATATACTCGTAATATAAACATTTAATATGATCATCGCACAAACACACACACACACACACTATACTGTAGTTTATATGTAAGTGTGCACAGAAGTGTTTGAATCTTGAAAAAAAAACTAAATAAAAATCAATATCATAATGGTGAAACAAAACAAAAAACATGAATCGGTAATGATGATAGAAAGAGGAGGAGGAAAAAAAAAAAAAAGATTCCGATTCTAAAATATATACCATATGCTTTGGGCAAGAATAGCAGTGGTCTGGTTGGTGCCCATTCACGGTAATTACAGATATCACAAAAAAAGAAAGACAATGGCCGCGATCTGTTCTCTTGTCGACGTCCAATCTAAACAACAACAACAACAACAACAACAACACCAATAACGATTAGAAATGATCGTTGTTTTATTGCGTTGGATGATAAACTTTTTTTCTGTCTTGCAAAAAAAAAATGTGCAACAAATATAACTGGAATTTTTTTTTCAACACTCAAACATTTTTACAGCAATTAAATTGGTGATATAAATGAGGCCAAATGAAATGGAAATTAGATAATTAATTAAAGAAGAGCTAAAAGAAAATTCTCTTATAGTATTTCTAAGAATATATCGAATATATAGAACAAATTCGATTCTTGACTATTTTGATACCAAAAATAACACGACATATGTCAGAAACAATAAAAATCGAAAAAATCTAATTATCTAAATATAGTAACCATAGTTATAAATAAATAATCGAGACAGCATTTCAGGAAAAGAAGTGTATCAAAAAAAAAAAACAAGAATGTCATATATATGACCTTATTTATATAAATATTTATATTTACAGAAATCACATAACTACAGGCAAGAAAAAAAAACATAATATTACAATTCAAATTTAAATGAAATATAAATGAAAAAATGAAAATTTAAATCGGAAAAGAAAAAAAAATTGCAATCTCAATGCTGAGTCCATTTTATCGCTTTGATGTCGATGCCTTCCTGAATCATTTCCCATAATGGACTCATTTCTCTTAATCGTTGTACATGATATATGCATTTATCGATCGTATATTGTACCTCGTGTTCGGTTGTAAAACGACCCAAACCAAAACGGATTGATGAATGTGCCAGATCATCATCGGCACCAATTGCCCTTAAAACATATGATGGTTCTAATGATGCCGATGTACATGCACTACCGGAAGACAAAGCTACATCTTTTAAAGCCATTAAAAGGCTTTCCCCTTCGACATAGGCAAATGAAAGATTTACACATCCAGGATAAGTCATTTCAGGATCACCATTGCGAATAACATGAGTAACTTCAGAGGTGATACCCGTGATCAATTTTTCCGATAATTTTTCGATCCATCTACGGTCATTATCCATTTCTTTAGCAGAAATATGACAAGCAGCACCCAATCCGACGACTAGTTGTGTGGGTACGGTTCCGCTTCGAATTCCTCGTTCTTGACCACCACCACTTTGAATCGGTTCGATTCTCACTCTAGGTTTACGACGAACGTACAGGGCACCAATTCCTTTTGGGCCATAAATTTTGTGACCACTTATTGAAATCAAATCAACTTCAATATCCTTGATATTGATTGGTATCTTGCCCACTGCTTGGGCTGCATCCGTATGAAAAAATACGCCACGCTCTCGACATATTCGGCCAATGTCTTTGATTGGCTGTTTTACACCTATTTCATTATTAACAGTCATTATAGATACTAAACTTGTTTTATCGGTGATTGCATCTCGTAACTGTTCCAGATCGATTATTCCATTTGATTTGACCGGTAAATATGTGACTCGAAATCCTTCATTCTCGAGATAACGGCAAGAACTAAGGACACATTTATGTTCGGTTTGAGTGGTGATCACATGATTCTTTTTGTTTTTATAAAAATTTGCCACACCTTTGATGGCGATATTGTTGGCTTCAGTAGCTCCGCTTGTGAATATGATTTCTTTTGGATCGGCTCCTATCAGAGTGGCAACTTGTTCGCGAGCATTTTCAACAGCTTTTTCACTTTCCCAGCCATAAACATGAGTTCGTGAATGTGGATTTCCATATTGATTTATCATAAAAGGTAACATGGCATCCATAACTCTTGGATCAATCGGAGTAGTAGACTGGGCATCAAGATAAAGTGCATGTAATGATGTTGATTTTTGTTTATCACGATCATCTAAATGAAAAGAGTTGAAAATTCAATTAAATTCAAAATAAATTATAATTATTACTTTCGATGGCCAATTTTGTCTGTTCCAATGATGACAATTTACGCGACCATACATTCATTAATGATAGTGATGTATTTCGCATCAAACAACGTGAAGCGTTCATATTTTTCGATCTGATCTTATTTATTTTTCACTAGCGAAAAAAAAATTTAAAACCGCAATCAAACATGTGACTTCGTAAGCACGAAGACATGCAGCGACACTCAGCTGTTTTCCCCTCAGTCTCTTTTTACATACGTCGCTCAAATAGAATTTTTCCGGTTAACGATTTATTCACAAAAGAATATTTATAGAATAATTTTCAAATAGAACAAAAATTTTATCAATATTTTTTTACATAATAAAATACGTGAATAAATGTGTCAAGTTTTTTTTTGAAAATTGTCATCATTTAGTTGATGATCAATGATAAATTGTATGAAGGAAATGTGCAATTTATTTATTTGCAAAATTTATCCGATTTCATTTTGGCTCGTCTGTCCAATAATTCTTCATGTAAACGTCCTTTGGTTTTGGCCTCTTTCAATGAATTAACATTGTTAGTATTTAGACGTAATTTTTTATCCTGAAAACTTTGAAATTTTTTCACATAATTTATTTCACAATCACGAAGCGTTCCTTTCTCTTCGTCCGGTATACTTTGTTTAAGTTTTTCCAAACGTGTCATTTCAGGATTGATGTTTGTACGAATTTTGATGAATTCATTGTCGCCAGCCATTGTGCTTCGGGCAACAACATAAGGTAATTCTGATTCGGTTTCATCAATGGATATGAAACAACCATTGGAAGCGGAAAGAGCTAATTTACCATCTTGAAATATCGGATCAAAATGTTCACGATTACTTATGGCATCAGAATGTCCAACAACTTTTCTATGTTTATCAACGGCTAGATATTTAAAATAACCACTTTTGATAGCAATCTGTGCTGGTGTAACTCGAACAGCGATGAAAATTTCTTCAGGATCTGGTCCTTCGCCTGGTGAATGCGGACTTCCGAGAATTAGATTTCCATTATCCAATGCTCTAACATATTGATAAGGAGTAAATTCAATACAAATCGACCCGGTAATTTGTTCGAAACGATCGACTCGGAACCAATTTCCATGCTGTGCAGCATCATCGAAATCTATCGCAGATGTTGATGGACTGTTTCGAATGTCATTATCATCATCTTCACGGGCTCGTTTATTTTTCTTCTTATGTTTTTTCACACCTTTTAATTTAAGTTTACTCAATCTGACATTTGAATATTCTGACATTTTTTAAAAATTGTAAATAAATGCCTTTTTTACTATTTCTAATGCATGCACACACTGCTGCGCTGAGCCAAATCACTTTTGGTTACGTCTTATAAGAATAGGAAGAGTTTCACGTGGTCTCAAAATAACAGAATCATCAATTTAAAAAATGGAAATTGAAAGTGAAAATTCAAAAAAACAAATTCAAAATGAAGATGAAAATTTTTTCCAAACAATTGGTAGTCGAAAAAAATTGAAAACACTTAAAGTGATACCAAATCTTCCCAAATGGATCGATGAATCTGTCAATTATTCAGGAGATATTCAAAACAATTCGGTTGGACTGAATGAAATCGAACAACCAATCGATGATTGTTTATTGAATACTCTGCGAAAAAATGGTATCGAAAAATTGTTTCCCGTACAAAAAGAAGTTATTCCAAAATTGATGGAAAGTCTTAAGAAGAAAAAATATTTTCGGCCTAGAGATATTTGTGTCCTTTCACCGACTGGTAGTGGAAAAACATTTGCTTATTCAATACCTGTAATTCAATATCTACTTGATCGAATTGTCACTCAAATACGGGTGTTGGTCATATTACCCGTGAAAGATTTGGCCAATCAAGTTTATAAAGTGTTTCAAAATTTTTGTGAAAATACAACTCTTAGAGTAGGATTGGCGACTGGTTCATCATCATCCAATACGTTTTATAAGCCGAATGCAGACGGAACTCAAACAATTTGTTTGGTTGATATTCTTATTGCAACACCAGGAAAACTTGTTGATCTAATTATGAACAATGAAGATAGTGGAAGAGATTTTCATTTACGAAATTTAGAAATATTAATCATCGATGAAGCTGATCGCATGATGAATGAAACTCAATTACAATGGCTTAGTACAATCGAATATGCTGTTCATGGATCAAGCAGAAAATTTTATTGTCCATGTTTGACGCCCAATGCTGAAAGTCTACAATGCAACTATAATGTTGATCCACTTTGTGCATGTTCCACATTTCAAATGCGAAAAACATTGTTCAAGATTTTATTTTCAGTAACATTTACAACTGATCCGGAAAAAATTGACAATCTTTCGCTATACAAGCCTTTACTAATCAATATGAATAGCAGCAATAATGATGATTTATCAGAAAGAATAAAACCTGTAGCATTGCCCGAAAATCTAAAAGAATTGATGGTAATTTCCGATCAAGATAAAAAACCACTTATTTTATGGCATTTAATGAAAAATCTAGGCTATAAACGAATTCTTTGTTTTGCGAATTCTATCGTCAATGCTCATAGACTTGGCCAATTGATGAAAAAACTACCAGAATTGATTGTTCATGAACTTCATTCAAAACAAAACATACATAAAAGAACAAAGATTTTAAAGAAATTTGCAAATGGATCCATTCACATATTAATATCGACGGATGTTACAGCTCGTGGTATGGATATTGATGGCATCGATTGTGTAGTTTCCTATGATCTACCACGTAATGAAACTGCCTACATTCATCGAATTGGTCGAACAGCCAGAGCTGGAAAACAGGGAACGGCCATAACATTAATTTCGCCTGATCAATTGAAACATTTCAATATAATACTACGCAGAACACACAAATTTTCATCAACATCTAATGATAAAAAACAAATGATTGAAAAATTATCGATAAAAAATTCCGATCTAAAACCATTAATATCATTCTACACGAAAGCATTGGAACAATTGAAAAATGATGCCAAAAGTGAATGGAAAAAAGATGTGCACGCTCAACGTCAACAATTAAGGAATAAATCTTCATTTAAATCATAAAATTAACTTAGTATTATAAAGTTTAAAATAAATTTAACTATAGTTGATGTCGTATGCTTGATTTTTGTTGTTGTAAATTAATAAAGAAAAAAATTCATTTCTCATTATTATTCGATATTCACCATCGATCGACATCTTACTAGCCAGGTATCATGCATTTGATTATATATTCACACACACATCCATATTACCGAATATTTTATTGTTAAATGTCAGATTAACGTACATTACGAGCAGACAGTAACAAGCTGACTCGTTTAAATTAAATTGTATTTTTATAAGTCAATTATAAATAAAATGGTTACATTGTTTGAGCTTAATCGTTCATGACTATCATGATTAAGATAGAACAAGAAAAAGCGATGAGTGTCATACGATATTTTGTCCGAGGTCGACTATAAATTTATTTAATTCTAAGGAAGAACAAAGTGATAACTCTTGGTCATCTGTTGATCAATTCTGTTGTTTTTGCTTTTTGGTTTTAAAACACTCAGAATTCAAAATAAAGAAAATGACAAATTTCCAAACTAACACGACCTGTTCAGAATCGAGAAAATGACAAATTTCAAACTAACACGACCAGTTCAGAATCGAGAAAATGGCGAATCCAATCTAATACGACCAGTTCAGAATTCAAAATTCAAAATCGAGAAAATAGCAAGTCCAACCTAACACGACCAGTTCAGAATCGAGAAAATGACAAGTCCAACCTAAACACGACCAGTTCAGAATTGGTTGGCGATGCTTTATTGATTACTTTCCCAATGATTGTAGTGGTTTCGATTTGCTCATCGCTGTCCACAGTGATATTATGGTCCCACACCACGGCATTTTCTTTTGTCACTTCATCTTGTTCGTTTATTACTGCTGCTGGTGATTTGTCATTTTCACAATTCTAAACTGGTCGTGTTAGTTTGGACATTTGCCATTTTCTCGATTTTGAATTTTGAATTCTGAACTGGTCGTGTTAGTTTGGGAATTTGTCATTTTCTTGATTTTGAATTCTGAACTGTTCGTGTTAGGTTGGATTTGTCATTTTCTCGATTGTCACTGGATAGATTTCAACATCACACATATAATTCAACTTTGATTCAATTTTGTTGGTCATTATTTCGGTCTCATAAAAACCAAACATTTTTCAGAATCGATATATTTGTTTTCACTGGGTACAATCTCATTCTCATTCATTTCATTATATCTTTTGAAAAATATCATGATCATGATTTATAATATAAGATGGATAATGAGTGAAGATGGCAAAGTTACTAAAAATTTTCCATCTGTATATGGTCGTAAAATAATTGCTATTGATCTACATTTTGTGTTCACTCAGTTTTATCGGGACATGGAAAATTCAATGTTTACCTGCATTGGCTAAATTGGCTATCGTTATAAGACGTCTTGTTTTGTGGTAATACTGCTCAAAGTTCTATTCATCTGATTTGTTTATTTGTGCGGAACGAACTTTAATTGAAAATCAATGTGATGTAAATCTACATGATCTACATGAAGAGAATTTATGTATTTGGCTATAATTCTTTAAATATGATTTTAAAAATTTATAATTTATTTTCTTCCCCCCATTTTTGAGGTATAGGGGTTTTTATTGAATAAATAAATAAATAGCTCGACTTTGAATGAAATAACTGTCCATCAATCAATTAATCCTGACAAATTGACACCAATTTATCAAACAGTGGCGAAAATTCTTTGGCTCAAATCACTAATGATCAATATGTGATAAAGGTCAATTTTTACTTTCCATTGAAATTACATTATAATTTTTTTTCATCAATTTTGCATCTGATATGATAATATCTATCATATCATGAGTGGATTTTTATTCATTTTTTCATGCTAAGTCTACGGCAAAATAATGCATTCATTTTGCCGCCAAAAATTTCAACTCAAAGTACAACTAATGGGCAACTGCACATAGTCAAATAGTGGTAGTAGTGCAGCTAACTATTTTCAATGCAAATGTCGCGCTTCTTTTCCCCTTCTATTCTCCATACAAATTTGAATTTGATCGTTGGAAAATCGAACATTCGAACTCAACGGTCGTCGAAGACGGTTGTCCTCACTTTGAGCTATTTTTCGTGATCATGTCGTGATATTTTTTCATTTTTTCTATTTTAATCATGGATTTTTGCAGTAAATTTTGGAACAAAGAAATTAATCGATTCAAGATTATCGTTGTTAAAACATATTGCGGTCTAAGATCAAAAATTGGCCCCGAAATCGATGAAGATCGTTTGGTTCGGTCATCATGTAATCATGACTCAAGTTGGCGAACAAATCCAATTTTCGGTGACTATCAAATGTATTTATGACATTTTGTTTTTCATCAAATTGTATTCAATCACATCCTTTTCAAGTTTTCTTTTTCAGAGTCCATTATACTTGATGTATGACAATGTATGGAATTCGGATTAATATGTGAAAACATGGTCAATGAGGTAATTTACATTTTGCCTTTGATTGAAAATGCTAACAATTTTCCTTGTCTTTTGAAGCATAAAATTTTCATTGATGATCAATGATCATTAGAATCATATAATTGGTGCCTTCTTTATAAAAACGATCATGGTAATGATGCCGAACAGTACAAATTTGTTGGTGGATATCTGGTCGCTAACATGGTACAATGTCCAATGAAAAACATCATGTTCATCATCAGGTAACTTTGAAATTTCGCTATCAATCAATGATTCTAACACTTACGTTTCTCAAAAGTCTATTCAGAACATGCCTGCTTTTGATTGAATTGTCGGAACAACTTATCCGGTAAGTCGACATATTCATTCTTCATATTTAATAAAGATTGGTCTATCTTTTTTTATTAGGTTCGTTCCTGAAATTTTACAATCATCAAATTGAAATTCGATTGATGATTATGTTCGAGATCAATTCGGCGGTTCCATTGTTCATCAGCATCCAATTCAAGAATAGTTTGACCATGTTCAACACATGATATCAGGTTAGGCTAGGGGTTAGATTAGGCTTAGGAACATGGTCTGATTATTTCCTATTGAATTTGATGCTGATTTAATCTTTTGAATCAATGAAGCGATCGAAAACATGATTATAAGTCGAAGATTCATGGGATGGAACACATATATGAAAATGATCATGGTAAGCAAATGAATAGATTAATTGAACAAACAATTAATATTTATTTTTACTTAGGATCGCCGGCGAACAATTGGGAAATTGAATCTCGAACCACGGATAGAATTTGGACATTGTCTTGGAACATGGACCGCGATTATGGATTTATTTATGTCAAACGGGACAATTAACGTTTTATGGCGCAATTTGGATGTGAAATATGCATGTATTTTATTATTTAAAATTTTTAATAAATTAATATTTCAATAAAATCAATTAAATTTCAATATATATCGATTAAATTAATATGAGGGGTAAAGGGAATGAAAGGGGGGTCAAAATTGCTGCAACAATCGGTGAGCGACACCATCGATGATTTCGATATATCGAAAAAACAATCGGTCAGTCGGGTGGTCGCGAAAATCGCGAGTACTCGCGAAAATTGCGAGTAGACTATCGATATATCGATAGTCAGTCGGCCTATCGTATGTCGTTTGCGAGTACTCGCGATTTTGGCGAGATTTCGGGTGACGCCAAAATCGCGAGTACTCGCTGGCCACCACTTTCTTTTCTGTGATCCTACATTTGGTGACCCGTCCTAAAGTAAAGCATATTTTTATTGAAAAAACATCGATTTTTCTTAAAAGAAAAATGTCAGAAAACGACAAGAATAAACAACCACCAATACCAAATAAACCACCAACATCGACACCAATTGTTGAAAATGTGCCAATGTTCTCAGAAAACTACAGCTCAATTTTCGACATTAATCCAAACAACAACAACAACAGCAATAACGGTGGAAACAATAATAGCAGTATCGAGGAGATGAGAAAAATGATCTTGCAAAGTCAACAAATGGTTCAACAACTAGCGAATCTAATGATTAATCAACAGCAAAATCATCAACAACATCAAATTGATCAACAATCCAAACCACCAACAAGAGTGGACATTCAACCATTTTGGGAAAATGACCCAGAAGGCTGGATAAAACAAGTCGAAGCAGCATTCCAAGCGGCACATGTATCCAATGAACAAGACAAATATTTTAAAATTATTTCTGTGCTTCCGAAAAATGTCATCGATTCAATCAAAACATCAATCGATTTATCATCATTTGATCCTGGTAAATTATTAACATTGAAAAATCGTCTCATTGAGCGCTTCAAACCATCGAAAACAATGCGACGTGAACGATTGCTAAACAGAAAAAGTCTTGATGGTCTCAAACCGTCAGAAGCATGGTTTTGGGCAGTACAAATTGCTGGTGACATCTACACAAAGCCTGAACTATTGGCTCACTGGGTGAAATGGCTTCCTAGTGGTATTGCATTAACTATTGAACAACAAGTGATCCAACTTGAAAAACGATTAGATAGCTCAGCCAATGATCCACTTGTAGAAGAAAGTCTACAACTATTGATTAATACTACCGATTTGCTAGTCGAACGTCATCCAGAAAAATGTGATAATGTGTCCGCTATTCGGAAAAAACGGCCATATTCATCATCATATAATAATCGTAGCCGTAGTAGAAATCGATCGTTCAGCCGTGAAAGAAATCAGCAAAGATTCGATTCGAATGGAAAGTGGTGTTACAACCATTACAAATACCGCGAAAAAGCTCGGTCATGCGCAAATCCAGCTAAATGTACGTTTAAGAAACGCCAATCAAATCGGTCGACAAACAGCATTAGTGAATCACCATCATCATCAACAACCACTACCACCGCCACTACCAGCAGCATTCAAACCATCAATCATCAGCAACAAATACCGAATCAACATCCGAATCAGCACATGCTAGCACGTGGTTCCGTTTCTTCCATCAACAACAACAACGAAAATCGATTATTCATAAAAGAATATATTTCGTCTCAACCAATTTTAATCGATTGTGGTTCTCAAATATCAATTTGGCCATATGCAGCAACAAATAGTAAACAAAGTATGAAGTATGATGACATCAAATTGTATGCGCATAATGGTACATCAATCAATACCTATGGCAACGATATATTTAAAATCAATATCGGATTCAAAAATGATTTCTTATTCAAATTTATTGTAGCTGATTCACCATACATCTTAATCGGAATGGATTTTTTGTCCAAATTTAACATTTTGGCTGATTTCAACAAGAGAAAATTGATAGATGGCAAAACAGGTGAGAGTATCGTGGCTAAACAAAAACAATCATCATTCTATGGAATATCGGCTGTGTCTGCTAATGCCGATGTCCGAATCAAACAAATTCTCAGCAAATATCCGAACATCACTAATCCAAACATATCGAATGAAGCCAAGCATGATATCAAACATCACATCATCGTTACCACCAATCAACCAGTTGCTTGTCTTCCAACCAGATTAGATCCCATCAGAATGCAGCAAGTGCGAAATGAAATCAACATCATGTTAGAACAGAAAATCATCGTACCATCATCATCGCCATATGCTAGTCGTATCGTAGTTGTTCCCAAACCAAACGGGAGAGTCCGGGTTTGTGGTGATTATCGTGCATTGAATGCCATAACTCAACCTGATCGATATCCCATGCGCCACATTCATGATTTTGCTCAACAATTAAACAATTGCATCATTTTTTCAACAATCGACTTGGTATCAGCTTTTCATCAAATTCCACTAGCAGAATCAGATCGAAACAAAACAGCCATCACAACGCCATTCGGCTTATATGAATATACCAGATTACCATTTGGACTACGAAATGCTCCGAGTACATTTCAACGGTTCATTGATATCGTTCTTAGAGATCTGGATTTTGTTTTTGCCTATCAAGATGACATATTAGTAGCGTCTAAAAATGAAAACGAACACGTAACACATCTTGATATATTGTTCAACAAATTAGCCGAATTTGGTTTAACAATCAACATGGATAAATCAACATTTTTCAAAAATGAAGTAAAATTTCTTGGCCATAAAATATCAAAAGATGGAATCAGCGTATTGGAAGAAAAATTAGACGCCATCATAAACTATCCCGTACCATCAACAGTAAAAAGCTTGAAAAGATTTCTTGGTATGGTCAACTTTTATAGAAGATTCATTCCCAATGCAGCTAAATTTATGGCATCTCTTCATGATCTAGAGAAAGTAGATGGGAATTTTGAATGGTCAACTGAAAGAATGGCTGATTTTGAACAAGTCAAATCATTATTGTCAAAAAGAATCAAATTAGCATATTTTGATCCAAAAGCCAAATTAGTATTGAAAGCTGATGCATCTGGAAATGGCGTAGGAGCAGTATTAGAACAAAATTCTGGTGGATCTGTAAAACCACTTGGATTTTCAGTAAAAGTTAAAAAGAAAATGAATTAAATTTACCAACATTCGACAAAGAATTATTAGCTTTGTTTCTAGCCATTCGTCATTTTGAATATTTATTAGAAGCAAGAACATTCACAGCATTTACTGATCATCGTCCATTGGTAAATGCATTGTTAACAAAAAATAACACGAAACGATCTTTGGTTCAAATGCGTCAAATGGCGTACATATTACAATTTACATCAGATATTCGGTATATCGAAGGTCATAAAAATATTGTAGCTGATGCTTTAAGCAGAGTAAATGTTGACGAAATACAAACATCATCATCATCAATTATCGAATCAAATACGCCGTCAACATCATCGAATACCTCGTCATCACTGTTGCAGTTGAGTTTTGCCTTATTTTAGCATGTATTTTTTTTTATAAATGGTCATCAAATGCATGTATTATATTATTTATATATTATCAAAAATGTCCGGCTGTTTTTATCTCTTAATTTTTTAAATTTCATTAAAAGGAAAAAAATTGTGATTCTTTTTTTTCTTGGTGCAAACATTTATTGAAGATTTTCATTTGTTTTTAAATAAAAAAAAACTATTAAATTTTTGCCAATTTTATTTATCATATATCCCATTTGTGCTTGTGTTTGTATATTAGTGTGTAATTGATTCAATATAATTTCTTGAGACGATAATTAAAAAAAAATATGGATAATCTTCAATCAGCGATATTATCCCGGTAAATAATTATTAATTTTTTTTTGGGGTATAAAAAACTCTGCTTATTGTTTATTTATTTCAAATTTATATCAAATTACATAAAGCTTTACAAATGCAATGCCAACGCCTATACGATTACGGGATCTAATACGTCAAATTCGTGCCGCTCGTACAGCCGCTGATGAAAGAGCTGTTGTACAAAAAGAATGTGCTTATATCCGGTCAACATTTCGTGAAGAAGATAATGTTTGGCGATGTCGAAATGTGGCCAAATTACTTTACATTCATATGCTAGGATATCCAGCTCATTTTGGTCAGGTAAATGTCAAATTGTCAGTCTGTTTTTTTTTAAAATTTTTTCCATCAATTGTCAATGTATAGCTTGAATGTCTCAAACTCATCGCATCTAATCGATACACGGATAAACGAATTGGTTATTTAGGCGCCATGTTATTATTGGACGAACGCCAGGATGTCCATCTATTAATTACCAATTCGTTGAAAAAGTAATTTTTCATTCAATCTATGAATCTATGAATCTTATCCATATATATCGGTTATTGATCTATTTAATAGTGATTTAAATAGTCCACAACAATTCATCGTCGGTCTAGCTCTCTGTTGTTTGGGTGCCATTTGTTCGGCCGAGATGAGTCGTGATCTACTCGATGAAGTTGAACGTTTAATGAAATCATCGAATTCTTATATCAAAAAGAAAGCTGCTCTTTGTGCTGCTCGTATGGTCCGAAAAATACCCGATTTAACCGAAATGTTTATGAATACAGCTAGAAATTTTTTATCGGAGAAAAATCATGGTAATTTTCTTATTTATTTGTATATTCGATTCCTCAAAAATTATTGCCTTGTTTTTTTCATTAGGCTGCCTTATAACCGGTATTACTTTGATCACAGAAATGAGTGAACAAAATCAGGATGCGTTAAATTTTTTCAAAAAGGTATGTAATCTATTTTTAAATGAAAAATTATCCTACAGTGATTCTGTTTCCATTTATGTATAAAATGCTTTTGCTCTAACTAACAATTATTTTTCTATTTTTTCTTTGATAAAATTTTCTTGTTTTTTCCAATCTACACGCTTTCGCTTTACATATTCGTTGTTGTAGAATACTGAGGTATTTTTTATTTCTATTAAATCTTATGATGATTGGAGTGGTTTTTTAGATTTATTTGAAAACGTTAAAACAATTTGTTTGTTTTTTTTTTTTTATTGTTTATCAAAAAATAGACTGTTCATAGCCTGGTACGAATACTTAAAAATCTAATAATGTCTGGCTATTCACCTGAACATGATGTATCAGGTATCAGTGATCCATTTTTACAAATAAAAATTTTGCGTCTGTTACGTATACTGGGTCATAATGATGAAATGACCAGCGAAATTATGAATGATATTCTAGCTCAGGTACATAATGATTTTATATGATGAAATGTGTAATTGAATTTGAAATTTCATATAATGGTCCTAAATTAGGTGGCAACCAATACAGAGAGCAGTAAAAATGTTGGCAATGCCATTCTCTACGAAACTGTGATTTCTATAATGGATATTAAATCTGAAAGTGGGCTACGTGTTTTAGGTATCAACATATTGGGTCGATTCCTATTGAATACGGACAAAAACATCCGTTATGTTGCATTGACTACATTATTGAAAACTGTACAAGCTGATTATAATGCAGTACAACGACACAGAACGACAATTGTCGAATGTTTGAAAGATCCCGATGTATCTATTAGAAAAAAATCTATGGAACTTTGTTTCGCATTAATGAACGAAAACAACATCAAGACAATGACCAAAGAGCTCATCTATTTTCTGGAAAAAGCCGATCCAGAATTTAAATCCATTTGTTCATCCAATCTATGCATCTCGGCTGAAAGATATGCTCCAGATTCTAGATGGCACATCGATACAGTGATCAAAATATTGAATACAGCTGGAAATTATGTACGCGATGATGTCGTTTCGTTGCTGATTGAATTAATATCAAGTTGCGATTCATTACATCGTTATTCGATTTGTCAATTATGGTTACAATTGAAAGAAGGTGATCTATCAAGCAAACAACCTTTGGTACAAGTTGCTATGTGGACATTGGGAGAATTTGCCGATATGTTGCTTCAAGCATGCGGTAGCGAAGAATTGGATGCAATCGATGTAGATGAAAGTCAAACAATCGAAAAATGTGAAGAAATTCTGTCTATGAATCATGTGAATTTAGTTACTAAAGAATATACGATCAGCGCATTAATAAAGCTGAGCGTTCGATTTCCCAATCAAACCGCCAAAGTCAAACAGATTGTTGACTTTTTTGGTTGCAGCCACAGTATTGAATTGCAGCAGCGTTCGGTCGAGTTTACCACATTATTCACTCGGCATAATAAACTAAGACCAAACATTCTTGAACGTATGCCACAAATACCAAAAAATGAACGTAAAATATTCACTAAAAATGAAAAATTTGATCAAATAAACAAATTGGACAGTATGGAACAAACGAATGAATTAATAGCAGCTACTGGCAATTCAGTCCCACCGAGTGACAGTTCGGTCTTATTAGATCTTCTTGATATTTCGCCTACTTCCTTAATGAACAACACAACCAATACATTGCCACTAGCCGAAACCATTTCTACAAATCAAACAAATGATGTACTGGATTTATTAGGTAGCCTCGAAAATAGTGATAATGATAACACTACATCTGCAATTAGTGTATTTAATGAATCATTGGTCGATAATTTCAAGAAGAATGATATGAATAATTTGGACACAATATTACAATATAACAACAATAATGTGATGAATGGCAGCGCCGATGGTCAACAAAATAATTCCATTATATCATTTAACAATGAAAATAATCTTTTCGATATGATGTTAGAACAGGAACCGATTGTAAATGAAAAAATCTCATCAATTACAGCATTTGAAAAAAATGGATTAAAAATTGTTTTCCATTTCGAACGTAATGTGGAAAATCCGTTGACTATTTCGATAACGATGATTGCCACAAATACTACAGATCAGCCTATGAATGATTTTTTATTCCAAGCAGCTGTGCCCAAGGTATTTTTCACATTTGATGTTTTCATTTCTAATCACCTTTTTTGTAGTCATTCCAGCTTCAATTAATGCCCCCATCTGGTACAATCATTCCTGCCAATAATAATGGCTCAATAAAACAAATGATCAGAGTGGTCAATCCGAATAAGGTAGGCAGAATTTTTTTTTTTCAAAGTTGTTTATTAATTTAAATTAAATTTACAATTCAGGCTCAACTGAAGATGCGTTTACGTTTATCATACAAATTTCAAGACCAGGATACACTTGAACAATGTGATGTAACAAACTTTCCGAAAAAAACTTGGCAATGAAACAATGACATCATCGTGGTTGGTCATCATCTTTCTAAATTATCAATCTACAAAATTTCATTACAATATATCATGACAAGTGCCTTTTTTATTTGAAAGAATGTCAAATGGAATTATTCGATGCAAAATGGAAAAATGATTAGATTGTTTGCTGTAAATATACATCTATCTTTTATTGCTGCTTGTATTACAGAATTAATTTATTAACAAACGATCGATTGATAAGAATTTAGTCATTTATCATAATTGTTACAAAAATCAATCAATTTTATCAATATAAAAACTCAATCACTCGATCATAAAAGTGCATGTATCACGAAAAAGATTTTAAATTAAATGAATAATATAATGATCATCAAGTTTCATTTCAAGATATCTTTCAATGCTTCCTCTACGGTCGGATGTTTTATATGAACACCCAATTCTTCCATACGTTTGCTAATGACTTTCTGTCCTCTGGTCATCATTACAGCTCTTTCGGAGCTGAATACAAATTCAATGATCTGTTCCGGAATGAACAGAAAACTTGGACGCCATAAAAGACGGGCAAATGTTTTGGTAAATTGATCATTAGTGACAATTTCTGGTGCAACTCCATTGATGACTCCAGCGAATTTATCATTTATTAATGCTTGTATGAATATGTTGCAAATATCTTCTATATGTATCCATGGCATATGTTGTGTACCGGAACCGATTTTAGATCCTAGGCCTAAAAAGAACAGTGGGTACATTTGTTGAATGATGCCACCATTTTTGCCTAGTACAATGCCACTACGAACAATTACATTTCTAGTTTGATCGCCTTCAACTTTACTAGCTTTTTCCCAATCTGTACATAATTTTGAGAGGAAATCATGGTCGCCACCCGTAGAATATTCATCATAAATCTGATTGGGGTCAGGTCGATAATATCCGACACCAGAAATCGAAACAAAAACTTTGGGTTTCTGATGACTATCGCATTGATTGATGACGTTCACCAACATTTGATTCGTATGTACACGACTGGCAATGACATTTTGCTTGAATCCTGGCGTCCACCTACGCGTTGGATCAAGTACATTCTGTCCAGCCACATTGATAACTGCGTCTGTCCTCTCTGGAATACCATTCTGATTCAAATCGTCCTAAGAGAAAAAAAATTAGAATTAAAAAAGACAACATTGACTGGTGACCATAGCAACTATAGACAGAGTCATTCTTTTATATAAAAAGCATTTTTATTAATTTTCAAGATGTATTCTTGGCAAAAAAATGGCCAATATGATTATGATGAATATAAATTAAATGATGAATTTCAAGTCGATTCAAATCAATCGATTCGAAGTCTGTACGTCGACGATGATGATGATGAATATTATCCAAATATTCCAGATGTCGAAGATTTACACAATCAAGAATTCATGAAACAAACAGCGATGGCACCCGCTTCATTAAGTTATCCTAAATTAAACACTATTGAATTGACACGAGCAAAATCGCCTAAAAATCAACAACAAACAATATTATCCTCAAAAGAGGATAAAGAATTATCAACATTATTGGATTGTTTACTACCACGTGATCATGTAGAAGAGGACGATGCAACTTGGTCATGGGATTCATTAATGACCGAAATAATGAATAAAATGAAACATTCTTCAAAATTTAAAGTTTCAGAGAGAGTTGAAATTTCAAACAATGATTCGGATTTAGAATAACACTTACCCATGTTATACTATTAGGTCTTGGCATACGCGATATAAGACAGGTTTCGAATCCATCTTTTTGTAATTGTTTCGTAAGAACAGAACCAATAAAACCTGATCCACCAGCTATATGGATATATAATATTTAATGTCATGGTTATGAAATGTATTTTTGATTTGGCAATAAAATACCTATTAATACTTTTTTGATGTTTGCTCCGTTCATTATTTATTTTTTTAGAAATTAATTACATCAAAAAAAAATTTTTGTTTTCAAGTTCATTCGATGAATTTAAACAATGTTATCTTTTGGATCGCTCCATCTATTGATAATGAAAACAATTTCTTTTTCTCTCGGCAACAAAAATAAAATTGGATATTTTATGCAAAAAAAATTTAGAACTGGTTTGTGTTTTCCCAAATTGATGATTAACTGATCATCGAATTGAGAATCTTCAATAGACATAATATTTATATATCCATTCATTCATAATAATGATAACATTGCTTAACCATCAAAATCATCGTTGCTTTTTTATGTCGATTCATTGATTGATTAGTTTATTTTTCTTTTAGGTTTAATCACAAACATTCTTTTTTTTTGCCAATATATAAACAGCTTCAACACCCATCATCGATTATCCAATGTCAGTCATATCTTGATGTCGACGTTTGTTTAGCCATGATTAATCATTAACGATAGTGTCATCGCCCACAAATTGAGGAAATTCTATTCATTTATTTTTTTCATTCATCAATTACATCGACCTGTTGATCGAACAAATCAATCATGAGTGACCAACAACCTTCTACATTAATCAACGATTCCGTGGAAGAAATCTCACGCGACGGAACTATCACATCGAGTGGACAATTTTTTGATTCATTTAAGCCTAGGTAATGATTTTATATAAGATTACAATGCATTAATCAAAGTAATTTCATTAGATTCATGAATAGTTCAAATGACTTATCATCCAATTACGAACAACTAATTGAAAATGAAGAAGACAAATATCGAACACTTACAACTTTCTCTGGTGTTTTCGCACCAGTAGCATTGTCGATGTTTAGTGCCATTTTGTTCCTTCGTTTAGGTTTGTTGTCATTTTGAATGAAGGTTCACTAATTTATTTTTATCTTATTATCAGGTTATATTCTTGGCAATTCCGGTCTTTATCTGACTGTTTTTCAGCTCATCTTATCCTATTCAATCTTATTCTTAACAGTTTTGTCTATCTGTTCAATTGCAACAAATGGTGCCATTCAAGGCGGAGGAGTTTATTGTATGTACATTCAATCAATTGTGTTGTATATTTTTTCTTCATATTCTTTCAATAATTTAGTTATGATAAGTAGAGCTTTAGGTCCAGAATTTGGTGGAGCCATCGGAACTTTATTCTTCACGGCCAATGTTTTTTCCAGTGCTTTGTATTTGATTGGCTGTGTAGAAGGTATTGTCAATAATTTTGGACCATCTGGTGGAATATCTTCATTTTTACCATCAAGTTATTGGTGGTCATTTCTATATGGATCATGCTTAAATTTTCTAAATGTTGTCATTTGTTTAATCGGAGCCTCTCTTTTCGCCAAGACATCTGTGTTAATTTTTGTCATACTTTTGGGTTGTGTCAGTTCAGTTTTGATCAGTCTCTCTACTCGTGGTCATTTATCATTTTTCGCTCCTCATGAAAACATAAATTTTCGAAATCAAACTCTCAATTTTACTGGATTCAATTTGGATACTTTTTATGGAAATCTGAAACGTATGTTTTCGAAACAATTAATGTTGAATACAAAATCCTCATATATAAGATATAAATTGATAAAAATTTTTAGCAAATTTTACTGTTGATTACACAACTGATCATACAACATCATTTGCCGTTGTCTTTGGTGTTTTATTCAGCGGCGTTACTGGAATAATGGCAGGCGCTAATATTTCCGGCGAACTAAAAGGTAATATTTTGATTATGTCCATTATAATTGGGTTGATCATTGATTTTTATCCATAATGCAGATCCGACCAAATCAATACCACGTGGAACAATTGGTGGTGTGATTTTTACATTTATGACATATCTCATTTTATTCATTTTCACCGCTTTTTCTTGTCCAAGAGAATTGTTGATCAATAACTATATTTATATGCAATCCATCGATTATGCCCCGGTATTGGTGGCCATTGGAATTTTTGCCGCCACATTTTCCGCTTCATTAAGCAATCTTATTGGTGCATCACGAGTATTAGAAGCATTATCGAAAGACAAACTTTTTGGACCATTATTAAATCCGATCAATAAGTATTCGAAACCTGGCAATCCTATTTGTGCTGTGTTAATCACCTGGTTCCTCATTCAATGCATCATTTTCATCAACAAATTGAATCTAATCGCACAAATTACATCTGTATTTTTTCTACTTTCATATTTTGCCACAAATTTTGCATGTCTTAGCCTGACGCTTACCTCGGCGCCGAATTTCCGGCCAACATTCAAATATTTCAGCGGCAAAACTGCAGTTTTAGGCATCATCGGAACCTTAGTTATGATGTTTGTTATAAACACTGTTTATGCAACTATTACAATTTTTCTTTGTTTGATTCTTGTCATCATTCTGCATATTCGTTCACCACCTTTTCGTTGGGGCTCTATTACACAAGCACTCATCTTCCATCAGGTAAACGATTCGAAAATATTTTGATTATTATGATTAATTTATTTTTAAAACCTCAACCATAGGTCAGAAAGTATCTTTTAATTCTGGATAACAGAAAAGATCATGTCAAATATTGGCGTCCACATATTCTCCTTTTGGTTTCTAATCCAAGATCTTGCATTCCTTTGATTCGTTTCACAAATGATCTGAAAAAGAGTGGATTATTCATCATTGGAAATGTCAAATTGCAAAAGTTGGATGATTTTGATGTTGATCCAGTTATAAATGAATCACTTTTATGGCTTAAACTTCTCGACATGCTGTCAGTTAAGGCATTTTTCGAATTAACTTTGGCAAATTCAGTTCGAGAAGGATTTCATCATCTGGCCAGAATAACCGGTTTGGGAGCTATGAAGCCGAACACAATTTTTCTAGGATTTTATGATAATCAACCGCAAATAGACTTTCTACAGAATGATACTAATTTTTTATTGATAAAAGCATCACTTACCGATAGTATCAACGATTTCCCACCACTACGGCCAAATGGACAGAAAAGTCAAACTGAAGAGTCATATGTGACTATTCTATCAGAATCAATCTTCAAATTTAAGAAAAACGTTTGCATTGGTCGTCATTTTAATACATTCGACAGAGTTAGTATAATGTTGTTATATTGTATATATATGAACTTAATTCGCTAATTTTTTTCCGAAAATTTTAGGGCCAAATTCCTAATCTTAAAAACAAGATCATCGACATTTGGCCAGTGAATTTTTTCCATCGAACTGGAGAATTGTCGGATAATTCATGGAAATTCATATTGCAGTTAGCTTGCATATTACAAATGGTACCCGGTTGGAAAAATTCCACTAGTCTTCGATTGTTATTATCAGACAATTTTGAAAATACCATGCTATTGAAAAACCGATGGGAACGAAGATTGCGTATGTTGCGAATTGAATGTCAATTGGAGATTATCAATTGGGAGGAGAATTCATTGGGCCCATATGAAATCGATTTCATAACCACGACCGACTGGGAGAAAGAGGATTATTTCCAGAAAATCAATTCATTCATTCGATCTTATAGTGAACATTCGGATCTAGTTTTTCTTTATCTTCCTACTCCACCACGTAGTCGTGAAGGTTATAAAGAATATCTCAAATATCTCACTTTAATTACTGAGAATCTTCCCCCAACAATCATGGCTAATGGTATTACTGAGGTTACATCCGACTCGTTGTGATGATTTTGAAATTTTCGAATTATAATTAATTTAATTTATGTAATTTAACAATTTTTAAAATTATGAAAAAAAACAACAATAATAATAATTTTTTAATAATTATGACTTTGCAGATTTAATTATTCCTGTAAATGCGTTTCGAGCATTTTTTCAAAAGCCTGAAAAAAATTTAGTTTGTGAAAATTAATATTATAATATTCTGAGCAATCATATCAATTGGTACCTCGATTTCTGCTAATGTTTCGGCTCTTATCTCATTGTTTGGAATATGTTGACGTTTAGACACATTATACACAATATTCGATGGACGATTACTTGATTGGCTATCATTCAATGATGCTAATGATGAATCCGAAATTGTTAACACTTCTGTATATGAATTTGAAGGTTTACGTTTGGATATCTCGATGAGTTTAGGTTTGGCTTTGTTCACTACATTTGTATTGATGCTGAATTCACTTGTATTAGAATCTGTACTGTTTCTGAATTTATCCGACAAACTTTTATACTGTTTTTTGGCCATTGAATTATTATTATTATTATTATTATTATCCGAGTTTGAAGAGCCTAATAGTCCGGCAAATGATTTTTTTCTATTTTGTGGTTTTGTACTACCGCTTCTTTTTCGCATTTCATTTTGCATATTTGATGCAGCACCTTCATTAGCTAATGCCCAGGTGATTTCATCAGTTGATTTTGCTCTTTTGGCCGTCGACCATCGGCCGCGAAATATTTTGTCATCCACTAAATTTCCAAGAATCCTAAGTGGACTTCGTCGAGCTTTAGTCACACTTATATTGAACACATCTTCATCGATCGAGTTTTTCTTTAAAACATCAAATTTTCCGGATGGACTTAGAGTATAATCAAAAGTATTTGTAGTACTTGTCGGTGTTGTTGAGGTAGATTTCTGTTTCGAACTTTTGTTCGGAAATATTACTGAAATTACAAAACGAAAAATCATAAACAAGTTCTTTTTGTCATATCAAATAAAGCGTTTACATGATGGAATAGATGAAGCAGCTTTCAACATGTGTGTCTTTCTTCGGAATCGAGGACTGGCTGCCGATTTTTTGTCTTCACTTTTTTTGGCCAAAAAATTTTCTGTTGTTTTACTTCGGGAAATTGTTTTCGGTGCATTCGAAACGGATGGCTGAAACACATCATCATTATATTCATTTAATTTATTCTCTTCCATCGTTAATATGGCATCGAATTCATTCATTCTATGTTGAAAATAAAAATAATGAATCAATTCATCGAATGACAACCAAGAAATTAATTACAGAATGGTCTCATCAGTTTCTCCCAGAACAGCATCATCATCATCATCATCATCATCATCATTTCTTGCGTTGGAAATCTTGTTGTTATTACTATTTAATTTATATGAATGAATTTCACGATGATAAGATTTCATTTGACCATAGCCACCATCGGTATTTGAAACCTAATTAAGCGAATCAAATCAAAAATCAGAAATGATAATCATTCCATACCTGTTCTTGCTTCAAAAGATTGGCATTACGCAATATTTCTTCGTGAGCTTTTGTCGTCGCACTGTCACAGGAATTATCCGTTTTATCATCCTCTTGGCTATCCTGATATCTGGTCTTAACTTTTCGTCTGGAATTCATTCGTGAACGAAAATCATCCAAACTTTCATTGGGTTTCATCATTTCTTTGTCAAAATCTTCATCAAGATGAGTCGATTCGGACAAATCTTTTACTATATGAATGGAATATTCTTTAGTTGAATAGACAACACAACAAATACGGAAAATGAATTTACAATTACGTATACATTGATAACGGTTGTTTGCAGCCACACCAAATGTGTATGAATCGGATGAACTTCGTGAAAATGATGAGGAAACATCTTCAGCGATTTCCATTTTAAAATCATCCGAACCACTTTCACTTGTCGTATCACTTGGTCGCCTTGTGAATGGAACGAACTATGTAATTCATAAAATTATTAGATTTTATCAATATAAAATAAAAAGAAAGCCATCAATCAAATTCTGTTTCGTGAATGGAAATTCTTTGTTTACCAATTAAACAACACATACTAACTTACCTTTGTTGCCGACAAACTTTTACGTAGTTCTTCTTTATTCGATTGTTTTTCTGAATATTTTTGACATGGACTTCTTCTCATATAATTCATTTTTGGTTGTTATGTTTGAATCTTTTTTGCTATAAATGATGATGTTGATTTTATTCTGTCCAAAAAAAAACCGGATCACATAAGTATTAACAAAATTCAATGAATGAATTTTGAAAAAAACTGATTGAACGTTTGTTTTGATATTTGCATATTATTCAGAATACCACCAACATCGCCATCATAATAATCATCATGAATGTAGAATGTGAAAAATTTCAAATTTTAATCCAACTAATCAACAAAAAGTGCTAACGATCCAAACAGCTAACATAGTAGTAGTCGAAATTTAATTTGTCGAAGAAAATCATCATTATCATCAAGATGAAATTCATTTGAAATGGAGTGAAGAATGATGGGAGGAGGAGAAAACAAAGAAGTTGTAAGTTGGTTTACTTTACTTTTACCGAGTTGATTAGTTTCATATCGAGGTTTAAAAATAGAACAGAATTCCTACGGTGAATAAAAATTTTTCAAACGAATCATCATTCACATAGCCGTATAGCATCGGCATCCTACATTTCGCACCCATATTTTACCCAGGCTTTTTTAAAAATAAATAAAGCAAAAAAAAGAAACGAAACACTGTTAGCTAAGGAGGTGTAAGCAATTTGAAATTTGATTCGACAACGACGTTGAATCTAATGAATTAGTAATATGAATGTTGCTGTTACATTGAAGCTTCATATTTTGGCCCAATTCCAACGACAACACACAACATAATATAATATAATTCTTGAGAAAAAAAAATAAAATATTCAAAAAATCCAAAAAAAAACTTTTATAATCAATAGATGGCGATCATATATTACTATTTTCATATATCGTCACATGACTATTGGCTCATCTTGCACACTATAATAGTGTCATTGTTGGTCGCGCGATCATTCCACTCATTTCATTCTCATACAAAAAAAAAAAAAAAAAAAAAATTCTCCACTGTCAAATTCTGGGATTGTCCTCTCCCTATATTATTGTGTGTTTTGGGTATATATATTGACTTGGAATTGTGTCAATTCTCAATTCCTATAATATTATATCTTGTACTTAAAGTCGAGTTTATAACATTTTTATTGAAAGAAATGTAATTACAAATGTGAATTTATTTCCCATTATAAAATGTGGCTCTAAATTTCGATTGATCTGTGATTTTTCATCGTTTTTTTTCTCTCACTGGCTGGTTGGATATATTGGTTATTTGAAATATTTCAATTCAATTCATTCGACGAAAAAAAATGACGACTACAACAACCAGTGTTCAAAGTCCAATAAATAATAATAATAACGATAAAAGTCATTCGCCTTCATTGTCGAATCTATCACAGTAAGTATTCAATTATCATTTTTGAATAGATATCTGTCCATATACAAAAAAATAAAACTTAGACAACATCAGGTATCATATGATTTTTTTTATAGCCCGGAAATATTGTTTCAAAAATAATGCTAAAACATTTACCTGTTCTTGATCTTCAAATTATTCAACAAAAAAAAAACTTGAATGTCTAGCCATGGCTCTTTTTTTTCAATCTACCACCACCACCACCACCATCATCATCATTGCCATTATAACCATTCATATCCATAAGGTTGATTTGTAAACCAAACGATCATTCCGTTTCTCTTTCGTTTTCTCTCACTCGAAAATATCCAAGAAGAGCTAATTATGTTATTGAATTGAATGTATATAACATACAGAACACATTATTGTGTGTACGTCTTTGGCATTATACTACGCAATCACATTTGTTTACAATGGACCATTCTTAAAATGAAAAGCTAATGGTGATAATAATAATGATGATGATGATGATGATGATATATCCCGAAAAACATCATCAAGTTCACTATTATTGTCATTTGAATCATATTGTACATGTGTGTGTGTTTATAAAACAGATAATTTAACAGAAACAATAGTTTCTGTTGATTCTTTTTTTTCACATGATAATAAAAAGTGATAAAATTAAATAATAAAAAAAAACTTTTTTAAATTGATTGATATATATGGCAACTTTAAAATTTTTCGATACATTTCGTTATGCTTTGGAGTGCGTTCATTCATCTCTTAAATTATTTTTCTTTTGTTTGTGTTAATGGTTTTTTTTTCATATGTTTTTTTTCATTTGTTTAGGTCTGAATTGAGTAAATTGATGACAACATCAACGTTGGTCGAAACTGTTTCAATAAATTATGAAGATTTTACTGAAGGATTTCTTACCTGTGGTACCTGCCTGTATACCTATGATGGTGATGAACATTCACCTAAATTATTACCATGTTCCCATACGATTTGTAAAATTTGTTTGGAGAAAATCTCATCCAATGCAACGTTACGTGATCCATCGGGAAATTTTCGTTGCCCAATCTGTCGTGAATTGATTCAATTGCCTCGTGGTGGTGTAATGGCTTTTCCGCCATCATTTTTGGTGAATCAATTGTTAGATTTAGTTGCCAGTCAACGGCGTGAGGTTATCCCAAAATGTTCGAGTCATGTTACCCAAGAGCTTCTTTATTGTGAACCATGTGATCTCGTTTTTTGTAATCTATGCACTGGTGACAAACATGATAATCAAAATGCAAATAGTCCTAGCCATGATAGTGATCATGCAATTGCCAATCAAGAACATACGGTAACTATTTTCAATTTAATTGTTTAATTCATTGTCATTTTGCTGTCATTATGTTTATCATTGTCAGGTGATACCCTTCTCGATTGCAATCAAACGAATGAGCGAAATTCTATTATATAAAGCGCAACAGTGTATTAGTAAACTTGATGAATCATCTCGAAATGTCCTAAGCGAAATGCAAAAGCTTGATCAGAATACTGAATTGTCATTTGAAGATATTAATAGAACATTCCAAGAGGTAATCAATATTGTTGACAAGCGTCGACAAGAGCTATTGAATTGTGCCAAGAAAATTCGTGAGGATAAACGTAATGTGTTGCGAGAACAGCTCAATAATATTGAATTGGAAAAATCGCGACTTGAAAAAGAATGTAATGAATTCAAATATCAAGTCGAAGTTCGTGATATAAGCAAAAAGATTAATGATCTGAAAGCAAAATTAAATTCCGTTAATACAATGCTAGATCCACGTGAAAATTGTTTTCTACGTTTTGAGCATTTACAAAATTCCACAAATAGTATTCAAGAATTGGTCAATAATTTTGGAAGTATTCGTACAAGTAACACTTTTCCATCATTGTGTGTTGCGACCGTTGGTAAATGTTCTATTCATCTTCGATCGTTTGCCAATGTGACCACTTTTGATTACAATGGCCAACGGCAGAAATTTGGTGGTGATCCCATCCTGGTAACTTTGGTACATAATAATTCTCAGCAAACCATTCCCTGTAAACTTAACGATAATCGTGATGGTACTTATGAGGTACAATTTGTACCTCCAAAACATGGCGATTTTTCAATGAAAATTACTATATTCGGTCGGCCAATCAAGACTTTTCCTCTAGAATTCACAGTTTCTGATCATATAAATCCACTATGTATATATGGCGGTAAAGGATTTGATCATCATCAATTCTCTCAACCGACTAGTCTAGCTATTGATAATGAAACTGGTTATGTTTATGTGTTGGACACAGGAAATGGCCGAATAAAAAAATTACTGCAAAATCAATGTAACAATTCGCCATTTAGGCTCATCTGTCACATGGAGGAAAAACATTTCGAAAATCGTGCTGCAACGGGCATAGCTTTTTGCGTTAATTCCCGGTCTTTACTAGTCACTAATTGGCGAACCAAAAATATTGTTAAAATTGATTGTGATGGAAGATTCATTGGAAAATTTGGTCATTCTGAATTGCTTGAACCGACATGCATAGCAGTGAATCCTAATTCTGGTCAGATATTGGTTGCCGATAATTCTTCCAATGCTATCTTTTTATTTCAAACGAATGGTGAATTTGTCAAAAAGATTACAACATGGGTGAATCCTAACACCAAAAAAACAGAATCACTAGGGGAAATTAATGGCCTTTGTTTTCATCCAGAAACCAATGATATTATTGTATCGTCAGAAAAATTATTAATTTATTCACATGACGGTGAATTTATTAAGCCACTATGCAGTGATTCATCAAATGGCAAATCAAAAAATCGTTTCTATGGTGTGGCCGTTGATAAGGCAAACAATTTACTTGCTGCACGTGCAGATAAATCACGTAATATAATTCAAGTGATTGATTATGATAGTGGCCTTTTAAAATTCTCCATCGATAGCAATGATGCTAAATTAAAAAGACCAAGTTGTTTAGCATTGACAAATGATGATCATGTAATCGTTGTGGATCTGGGCAACGATTGCATTAAAAAATATCGCTATTGTTAATATCTAATGACAATTTGTCATTCATACTTTTTCTTTCTTTCTCTCCCCTTTAAAATCTATCTAAAAAAAAGTTTTTTTTTGGTGTTTTGGACACTTTTTGATTTCATCTGATAATTTTTAATTTGTGTACTTCATTCCATCATTTATGTCCGGATAAGACCAATATGCTTTTTTTTTTCTCTTGTTTTCAACTTAAATCCCTTAGTGTACTTAATCACTCAAATCATTTACATTGAGTTGAATTTATTTAATTTCTAATCCGCTAAGTGATTAACCAGCTAGAATTATTAATACTTATGATGATATGATGATTATGAAAAAAAAAATATAATAAAACTTGTTTCTAAACTTGTGTGTTGAAATTGTTTTCAAATTTTTTTAATTTTGAAATTGAATCGCCAGATGGTGTTAATCGATTATGTTGACCGATTTTTTTTTCGCATTAATTCAATATACACACACACACACGTTCACAGTTGGTTGATTTGATGGTAAAAAAAATACAAGTCACAAACGAGCGATTTCGTATATTTTCTTCCACTCTTCCGATGACGTTGACATTCAAATTTTTTTTTTTGTTTGTTTGTTAATTGAATGAATTGAGAATATTTTTGTTGTCGTGTCATTTGTGACCAAAGTGAAAATATATCCTGCATTCCAATTTGATTAGATTTGACATAATCCATTGTTTATCCATAATTTGCATCCATGGCTGACCGTCGTCGTCAACGAAAACGTCCAGAGGTATTTTTTGTTTATACTTTTATAATAATTGAATAATTATTCACTTTTTTTATTGTTACCTGGATTTTTTTATTCATTTTTGTTTGTTTGTTTTCAGTCATCAGTAAATAATGAAGAATTGGAAAAGCCAGAAAAAGTGGAATATGAGATTGCAAAATATCTACGATCAAATTTACCACCTAAACAAACTACATTGTTGGGCCATAAAGTTGATTATTTCATTGGTATTTATCTAAATTGATAGGAATTTCATTATATGATATCGGATCATTTATTTTAGCATCTCGAGCCATCGAATTGTTGATGAATTCCAAATGGGCCCAATCGAATAAACGTAATGATGAGGTGATGTTTCCTACCCGCGAATCGGTCACTAATTTCATGAATGTCATGTTGCGTCACAAATTTTTTCATCGTGCGAAAGCTATCATCGTTAAAAAGGAAATCAAAAAGAAACAAGATACGGATAGTACTGATGAAGGAACAAAATGTGAAACGAAAAAGATGAAAAATGTTAGTGAAAAGTCCAACAAAAATGTGAAAGAACAATCAACAACTTCAGCGGAAAAAATGGCTAAAAAAGAGAAAAAGAAAGTCAAATTAGACATGCATATGGAACAAATTTTTGTCGATGCTAATGAGGTATTTTTGTCTATTGGCATTTGTATGAATTTAAATTATTTTTTATGATTTATTATTGTTAGCCATATGTTTGGATCTATGATTACATCCCAATGCGTACATGGTTGATAGGTGGTGGACTAGTGATAGCGGCTATCGCGATATGTCTTTTCCCATTATGGCCTCGAATTGTTAGAAATTATGTCTACTATTTGAGTATAGCCGTTGCTGTTTTCTTATTCTTCATCATTGCTTTAGCACTATGTAAGTACCAGGATGATTATTAAGACACATGTTATAGAATGATTATTTTTTTTTCTTATAAAATTTAGTAAAATTAGTAGTATTTGCAATTGTTTGGGCATTAACGTTTGGACGTCATCATTTATGGATTTTGCCTAATCTTACAGAAGATGTTGGATTTTTTGAATCATTTTGGCCATTGTATAAGCATGAATATAAATCTAATAGAAACAAAGACAATATTGATGATGATGGTGATAATACCGATGAAAAAGGTCCTGATATTGATAGCATGAATAATATGGATGAATGTAAACCAATAAAGAATAAAGGTGATAATGAAGAGACTGAAGGTGATGATGATGATGATGATGAAAACGGTGAAGATGACGAAAATTGTAATGAAATTCTGACAATAATATGATGATGATTCCAATACAACGAATGTTACGCCTTGCGCAAAAAATACCAATGGATTTGAAATATTGGATTCAAATGAATGTGACGAAAATTGAAAGTAATCCTCAAATCTTTTTTTTTTGCTTATATTTCTATCCTGTTATTATTACAATTATTTCCATTTTTTTTATAAACATCTGCATGTGATGATCAAAACTCTGAAACAAAAACGAAAAAAAAATATTAATTTCGAAACAAATGAGGCACATTTATTAATATTATTCTCTTCTTTTCTTTCTCTCTCGATAACTTGCATTTCATATCATCTTATTTGTTACATAAGATTATTAAAAATATATATTTTAGCCTTTCTTTAAACGATGAAAACCGATTAATTAATCAAAAAAAATATCGATCTTATTTATTATTTAATTCAAACAAGTTTAATATTTTTATGAAGAGCAAAATAATAAATGATAGCCATTAGCCGTTGAATTAATTTGATACAAATGAAAAAAATTTCTCCATTATTGGCATTCGTAATTGTTGGATCATTGTGGTGGTCAATATGGACGGATGTAACCATAATAATCTGCATAGTAATCGTAATGATTAAATATAGAAAGCATACAATTATTTTTGGCCAATGTTTGGCCAATAATGATTTGGTTTTTCCATCACGTAGAATATCTTCACGAAAAAATTGCAATAAAATCAATAATGTGGCCGCAAGGATTGCCAAATCTTGTAAAAGAAATAAATATAATTTTATAATCAATGTATTCGATTGATTATCAAATTGCAATGATGACAATGTTTCCGTTAAGATATCGATTATGATCAACAAATTATTATGTAATGGCATTATGTTTTATTTTTTAATATTTTTTATTCATTTGATGACAACAAACTGGTTTTTTTGGTATTCCATTTTTTAACTGTATTTGGTATATTTTATTGTGTTATATGAAAAGCTTGATGGTTACTATGGCAATTCACGAATTGAATCGAATCAAAAACAATAAATTCATATCATGATCAAATATAATACTTTTTTCTCTCTATTAAATGTATGAATGAATATTGAACACAAATTCAATGTAATGAATTTGGCCACAAAGCTTACAATTTCAGTGCAATATGTATAATATATAAGTAGATGTGAAAGCAATGAAGTGAGGAGTGAGAAAGGATTTAGAATTTTTTTTTCTTTTCAAAGTTAATATATATTAAGTTTATGAAAGTTTCAATGATGATGGTAGTAGTGTTTATAAGTGGTTGTGTTAATTTGTAATGCAAAGACGATAGGAGAAAATTCCATGAACGATCTGAATGATTCCACAAATGGCAGCACAAACCTAAATGGTAAAAATGATTTTTTAAAAAAAATATCAATTTAATCTTTAGGAAATGAAAAGAAAATAATCGTTTTTTCTGATACTTACGGAAGCAGCTTGTATATAAGTGTTACGTTGTGGATCAGCAAAGGCAGTAGCAGCGGCCCAAAGGCCAGCAATTAACATAAGGATTCCCAATATGAAATGAAAAATGAAATCAAAGCTTGCTTTGGGTAAAATTGTAGCACTACCCAATGAAAGTAATGCAGCGATCAACATCAATGTAACCGTAACCCAATCGGCAAAGCTGACCAACAAAAGGAATCGATCAGAATCTATGTTAACTTCACGATTATAATTATCGAAATGCATCAAGGCCATGATGAAAGCGATCAATGAGAAGATCTATTTAAACATTGTTGATAATGGAAGAAAAAATATTATTTAAAATGACCATATAAAGAATTCGAATAATCACTAACCATGATGAGAAATTTCAATAGGCCCAATTTTGATGAAAGATAACCCGTATTGATGACGATCACCGAGGAACGGGCTGTTGTTGTGGTCGTCGTTTGTCGTACTTGAACGGTGGCAGTTGGCATTTTGGTATTTATTAATGTATTAATTTATGGTCAAAAAGAATTTAATGAAAAAAAAATTAATCAATTCTTTTAATGGTTATCTGAAAATTAAACAAACAAACAAACAAAAATCAAATGGTCGAATAATTCGTTCAAAGATGTTAATGAATGCTGTTGATGATTGTGATTTTGATTGTGAATGAATGAACGGACATCGAAATAGCTATAAAGATTTTCCTTTCTTGTTCTAATGTTCGTGTTCCTCTTTTGCAGAACATCCAGACATACGAAAGCCAAAAGTAAAAAAGACGACGCTATTTTTAGGAAGAAAAGAAAAACATAACCATGTCAGTAGTTGAATGTTGCATTTCCATCATCAACAAGCATAAGATTTTCGTGAATATTATATAGATTTATGTGACGATTTGTGCAATGAATGGAAAATGAATTTGTAGAGAGAGAGTTGTGTTTGTGGGGGTTGATAAAAATGGGGAAAGAAATAAAATAATGTGTGTTGTTGCGTTTTGTTGTTTCACTCTGTATAAGTTTTTGTGAATTGTTTTTGAAAATGAAACCTTGAAGAAACATATTTGCAAACATGACAGAAGAAAAAGAGAAGAGTCAAAAAGAAGCTAGATTTGGGTGTGCCCATCCTTTTTTTTATATTCACATCTATCTATCTATCTATTCATCCATCCATCCATCCATTTAAAACGTCGAGTTTTTAAATGGAAGCAAGCAATAGAGATGTTCATCATCATTGCGAATGAACGCGTGGAATATTGCCGCATTCCAACACTTTTTTTGTTTGTTAACTACTTTAGCTGTATTCGGTTGCTAAAATGAATGAATGAATTGAATGAATGAACAAATTATGATGATGAAGTTTTTCATCTACTCCTACACATGCCAAAATGATAATGATGTTTAAAGCTATATGCATTATAAAAAAAAACAATAATAATAATATATACATTCGATTTTCAATCGAATCTGGTCTTTTCATATTTTTAACAATTTCAACAGGCAATATCAACAAGTTTTTCATTAAACACCAATGACGAGACAATGTTGATGATATTTGGCGCCATGCAATATTATGTTGACATATGATAATTTTTTTGTTGTTGTTGTTGTTGTATTGTTTGGTGTGTACATCTGTCGGATCCATCATCATTTATATTCAATGATGATGATGATGATGATCTTGTCAACAACAATCCTATATATTAATTTATTCATTCAACTAAAACAGAATGAACATTTAGAAATAGAAAACAATAATCCAATTTAGAACAATGATAATCATAGAATAGAATTAGAATTATTATTTTAATTTGAAAAAAGTCAACTTAGATAATCATATTTTATTTTATTCATGAAGTTTTTGATTAGCTTGATGAGTGAATATATATTCTACATGTGGCAATTTCCATATATATGCATAACGATATTGCCAGCTCATTGTTACTTTGTAAGTCAATGAATCTGAAGGCAAAAAAAATGAGGGAAAATTCTATTTTTATAAAAAAAAAATAAATTCTATTATTTTTTTATAACCATTCCAATTCCATTTGTCTAAGCTTTTTTTTCATTTCGATCATTAATTTCGAATGTTTTTGAATCGAATTTCGAACGTTTACAAAAAAATAAAATAAAAATCTCATCCAACACATGTATACGTGTTTGAAACGGTATGCACAGAAAAACATATGGACCATTTATTTTGTTTTTGATTATGATGATTCATTCATTTGGTTTCCCACAGGGTTAGAATTCTTAGATCTTGAGTTTCTTAAATTTCTTTTTCACACCTGTTTGGAATTAGAAAAATTTATAACTTAAGGCAAATCAACAGGCGATATTTAATCATATCTGATAATGATCATTTTTTCATTTATTCCAAGATAACTGTTCGATATTCTTTAAAAAAAAATGCATTGTGTTTTTATATGCCTATCATAGATTTGTATATGATGATTGAATAGCGCGTATGTGTGTGTCCTATTGTATATATATACAGTAATATCCCGCTAAATGCTGACTCGATTAGCACAGTTTTTTTTTTGCTCAAAAATTTTGAAACGTAACCCAGCATTAAGCGTGGTATTACTGTATCTATATTTATGTGGATTTTTTTCAATGGATAATGAAATGACGCACAGATTCTTCGATAATGCCAAGTTGTTTTTTTTTTTGCTCAAAAATTTTGAAACGTAACCCCAGCATTAAGCGTGGTATTACTGTATCTATATTTATGTGGATTTTTTTCAATGGATAATGAAATGACGAAAAAAAAAAAAATAACGAACACAAGAGATAGACGCACACGTCCAAAGTTCGTTGAAAATTATATACACAAACAATAATAATAATAATTTAACGTTTGTCGTTTATATAATTTTCTTCAGTAAGATATAGAACATATGGATTTTGTTGTATATCTATATCTGTGTGTTTAAATGTGACAAAATTTATATTATAAAAGTATATAATATATATAAGTTTGAGAGAGACAAAAATTGAGTTTTGATAAAAATTATCATCATAAAAGTGGTGGATATACAAATATCATTCCAATTACTCACACACACACACACATTCCATTCATATCAGTAGAAATTCGAGTTAATATATACTCGAATTTATTATTTGTTAATGATATCAACATATATTGATTTTATTATTTATCATCATGAATTGAGATTATAAAATCTGGTCTCTTTGACGTATAATTGGTCATTTTTTTTAAATGTATGTGCTTCACTGTTATTATTGTTATCATGAATGATGATGATGATGATGATCAACGCAATGACAATTTTGTTCGAGTACAAAAACGTGATTCGAATTTTTTTTTTTTAAAGTTTTTGTCCACAAATAAAATTCATTTGATCTCTAATTTATTGTGACGACATTTAATATTTGTGACGGTTACAAATAATGGAAATGAATTTTATGTATTTTAAATGAGTGAAATTATTATTTTTTATCATTATTATTTTATTTGATTATTATAACGAAATTGACATTATTATTATTATTATCATCAAAATGGGTTCTTGTTTTAGTCGCATGAAACATTGTTCATTGTTTTCAAAACATCACAACGTTGCTTTGAATGAAAATCAAGCATCATCATCACATTTATTTGAACATGAGAATAATTCATCACATTCTTCTATCGATTTCTTTCTAGAAGATATTGATGAATGTCTTAATGAAACTGAAAAGATATTTTTGTCGGTTATTGATACTATGTAAGTTTACGAATGACTTTTATTCAATTTTGATGATAATCTTTTTTTTTTTTTACTTAGAAATTTACCACCCCAATTACAACGATTAATAGAGATTGCCAACACTGATCATGGATGGTTGAAGATTATTAATTCTATGATAAATGTGATTGGTACTCATGCTGTTAAAGGTCTAGTGGAAAACGATCATATTGGACCGGCAGTAATCATACTGTTATTGGAAGATTCTCAACTTCCTACACGTGAATTGATACGAGATCTTTTAGCCTTATTAAATCCATATTTTGAACTTCGTATTCATAGTCCTTGTGATGAAACCATCATAAAACATCGAAACATTTGTGCTATATTATCATTTTTGGCCGAAAAATTGGCTGGTTCATTAAGCGTTAATTTGTTATCGATGAGAATCATTAAATTTTTAGAAAAGGTTATCAAAGAAAAACATAATCATTTACATGTACTATTTGCATTGAATTGTGTGGAAAAATTTGCTCGAACAAGTAAGTATATATTTGTATTTTGATTTTCTTTCTTTAAGTAACCATTTCATTATCTTTTTTTCTGATTTAGATGAAAACAAGCAGATAATATTGAAAAATTTTGACATTGTAAAAGAATTGTGTGAATTGGAAAAATACGTACAATATTTTTCCATACAAGCATTATACTATTCATCATCAACCGAATTATTGAAATATCAATTAGGTTTCTGTGCACAATGGTGTTTGGATAATGTATTCACTAAGAAAGGACGAAAATTTTCATACAAAAAAGTCGACTATTCTAATCTAAATGTCATCTTAAATGTGAATGATAAAACCGAATTTCTTAAACTTTCACCCGATGGATTATCGGTAAAATCAAATGAATTTTATGTGTGTGTGTTGTTTAAATTTTCAATTAATTATTTTTTTCTAGGCTCGCTGTGATACTTATACATTTGAATGTGTGCGATCAAATTATCATGTGTCTTCTGGAATATATTTCTATGAAGTCATTCTGCTCACCAGTGGTATCATGCAAATTGGCTGGGCAACAAAATCGACATCATTTAAAAATCATGAAGGCAGTGGAGTAGGTGATGATGCTCATTCCATAGCGTTTGATGGATGTCGAAGAGTAATCTGGCACAATATGACTAATTACGAACATAATCTTCCATTATGGAATGCTGGTGATATTGTTGGCTGTTTGATTGATTTCAATAAAAAACGTTTCATTTTCTATCTTAACGGCAAGAAAGTTGAAATTGGCAGAAAAATTTCCCATAAAATCAATTTGGTCTTTTCCGATGAACCATATTATGCAGCCGCCAGTCTAATGTCTTATCAACATTGTCATTTTAATTTTGGCCAAGCACCATTCAAATATCCACCGAAAAAATATAAATTCAAAGATTTCAATTCCGAAGCAATCATAACGAATAAAGATGATTATAAAGTGATTCCAATGTAAGTATTATTTACCAATGGTGAGCAAAATAAAATGATCAAATCAATTGTTTCATATTTTTTTTAGGCGCGTCAAAATTAAAGCATGTAACAAGTCATTTTCATTTTCAAGTAACAAACGAAATCTATGCAACATTTGCTGTGACAAATCTGCAAATGTCCGGCTAAAACCTTGTGGTCATGAGGTATATATATAATTTCTGATAAAATCGTTTAACATTTTTAAAATGATGAAATTTTTTTTTAATAACACAGGGAATCTGTAGTGATTGCGCAATCCAAATGGAACAATGTCCATTCTGTCGTGAAACATTCGTGCATTTTGAAGATTTACAATGAATTATTTTTCTCTTTTTCACAAATTATTTGACCAATTATTATTATTAAGTCATTGCAAGAATTTATTAAACAAATTTTATTTTGATTTAAAGACAATTCCCAATTTAGAGATGAAAAAATGTCATAGATTTTATTGTAATGAATTTATACACCATCACCAATTGACTATATATTTTTTTCAATAAAAATTTCATCTCATTTTATAATTTTTTGAATTCAACAATTTCTATCGCTTATACTCGTTTTATCCGATGAGAATCTTTTATCAAATTCCTGTGGATTCGATAATGGATCAATGTCGGCAAAAAGATTTAGCCATGTATCCAATGTACTATTATTATTATTGGCAGGAGTAGCGGTTGAAATCTGTTTTGATATAAAAATTTCATAAATATAGATTGAAACATTAATACCATAATTTGATACCTTGGCTGTTGTTTTTGATGATGAGGAATTTGTTTGGTCATCATTTAAAATGCTTGAAATTTTATCATCAGTAGTTGGAAGTTTATGGGTGACATCTTTCGATAACATAAGTTTGTCGAAAAAACTTATTGTTTTATTTGGTTCATCATCATCAATGTGATCCGTGTGAATCATTTGGCCTAAATCAATTAATGAACTAGGCATATAGGAATTGAGATGTTCAAGTTTAATTTCTTTTTTTCCGTTCATATCATTCTCATTATCATATTCGTGATTAGTTTCAAAATTAAAATCAAGTAACGCTTTCTCCATGTCCGATTCTTTTCGGCCACTCGCTACGATTTCTTTATCTTTATTCTTTGGATTTTTAGAATTTTTTGGATTATCATTTTTTTTACTAGAACCATTTTTTCGTCGACCACCAAGATATCGCTTCTTGGCATTATCATCGGCCGGTATCATGTCCTTATTATCGGTATAATCAGCTTCAAAAAATATTAAAATATCCATTTCGTTTGTATTTGGTTCATTAGCGAGAATTTCTTTGAGTTTTTCTTCAAAATTTTGGTGCGCTTCATCCACATTCGAATCAACATCATTCAATTCTTTCAGCATGGTGAATTGATAATTCAGATGAGATTTAAATGTGTCGACAAAGATGTTCATTGTTTTGGTTGTTTTACCCCAAACAGATTTCAACATATTCTGATATGAAAGAAGAATATTGTTGAATAGGTTACATCTTGATGCACTCAACAGATCGATCTTTTGAATGGTGTCAATCTTTAACTTTTCAAATACTTTTTTCTTTTCTCGAACATGATTTTGAATTTTTTTAAATTTATCCATTTGCATATAGGCATCAGGATCAAGTTTTTGCGAAACATCTTTCATCCATAATAATGCGGCACGATATCCGGTACGAGATTTTTCCATTTGTTCAACAGTATCAAACGTATCGGTTACAGCTCGATATTGAAATGTTTGTATATCACGAAATGAACGTATAAGAACATTACGTAACATAATAAATTGATGACCAGCAAATAGGAACGTTTTGCCTGAACCGGACATAAGATTGCCCGCTTTAGTTGTATCATGTTTGCCACATTCCCGAAGAAAACGACCAAGGATACATTCTTCTTGTGCCAATGCACATACACGATCTTGATATATTTCCAATAAATTCAAAAGATTTTGATTGGTTTCATCAATCGATTTAAGTAGCTAATTTTATTGAAAATAAATTAATTGATTATGACACATATAAACTGAAACAAACCTCTAATTTAGCATCTAATTCGGCATCAGAGGCGACAATAAAATCATCTTCTTTACGTTTGATTTTCTTCAAAAATGTTTGTTTAGCCTCCCAATAATGGAGCTGCATTTTCGAAATGGCTGAATTATCCATTGTATTGATTTGGAAATTTTTAATCAATCAAATCGAGTCACAAAATTCTCGACATCCTGTCGATCGAGGCAATTTGTTGTTGTTGTTGTTGTTTTTTTGTTGCCACATCGGCTACTATATGTTTTTTTATGTAAAAACAATTTTTAACCATATTGTTCAATTCTGAATTCATTATCAATATAATATTGGTATTCTATATATACAAATGTATGCTCGTATGTGTGCGTGTTTGACCATGGAACCAATTCAATAAATGGAACCTAGACGCATAGAAAATGTCAATATTTTTTGGTGCTCTATAGAGAGAACACCGGCTTCTTTTAATATCATTATATATAGAAGATATGTGTCATATCATTCACCCAAAAGTGAATAACAAGGCGTTCCACATATATACTCATTCAATTCTAATCATGAAGATTGGGGATTGATATGTGCAATTGAATGTTGCATTGCACAAAAAAAACACCATCGATTGGTTGAATGGTATGTTTTCTTTTTTTTCGATAAAGACGAATTTTAATAATGATGATGATGATGATGATGACGATAAAACTCCCATAATGATGATGATTGTGATCATAGAAAATTGCGTTCAACGACAATCGGCTGTGTTGTTCGTATCCGTGTGTATGTGAACGGCTGCCACCAAGCAACTTTTCGGGTTTTTTTTTGTTTGTTTGTTTGTGTATATGTATGTTTTGTGTTTGTGAGTTTATTATCATTTTTCTATACTCACAAACTTCATTTGATTTGGCTTGACTGTGTTCCTTGCTGCCAAAAAAAAACCAGCAGGAGAAAAAAAATCGAGTGCTTTGATGCTAGCCTTTTTGATCAACAACGAAAAAAAAAAAAAAATAAAATAATCGGCTATAGCCCGTGTCATGACTTGACTTGTATTGACACTTGCTGTTTTATCAGTTAGTGGTCTGTTTTCCATCATAATCATTATATCAAAAAGATTTGATATTTGATATTTTTTAAGTCCTTGATCTTTATCTGAATTTTTTCTTTCGAATTCCTTATAATTCCATCATCTATATTCACCAGTGTACATTTTTATCATTTATGAAGAAAAAGAGAAAAAAACCATCTATTCTATTTTAACATTTATTCATTTTTTTTCGCTGAATCCCATTGGATGAATCATCACATTAAGCCGGTCTTTGTTTCGTTTGATCATTAATAGATTATCAGCATACAGATTAACTCCCTCATTCATCGATAATTGAATAATCATCAATAATTGTGTCATTCCCATTTCAGTCCATCAGCAACATTCCATTTTCCTCTTTATCGATTCTTATTGTTTTGGGAAAAATTTCAATCATTTCTTCATCATCATCATTATATAATCATCATTGACCAAGATGCCAGCTGTCAGAGGTGAAGGAATGCGTGGTTTAGCCGTATTCATATCGGATATTCGAAATTGTAAGTATTCCTTTTTGATGAATGTTTTGCTTTTTAATATCAAAAAGTAGAAGAATTGGAATCATATGTTTATTCGTATAAATAATCATTGTTCATAATAATCTAATATATTATAAAAATATTTTTATTATATTAAAGGCAAAAGTAAAGAAGCCGAAATCAAAAGAATCAATAAAGAATTGGCAAATATTCGTAATAAATTCAAAGGTGACAAAACATTGGATGGATATCAGAAAAAGAAATATGTTTGCAAATTATTATTCATCTTTCTTCTTGGTCATGATATTGATTTTGGTCACATGGAAGCGGTCAATTTGCTCAGCTCGAACAAATACTCAGAAAAGCAAATAGTAAGGAAAAAATTTGAATGAATATCTGAATATTTATAGTTATTAACTATTTTTTAAAAAAATAGGGTTATCTATTCATATCCGTGTTGATGAATGCCAACAGTGATTTGATGAAATTAATAATCCAATCAATAAAAAATGATCTAAATTCTCGGAATCCTATTCATGTTAACCTTGCATTGCAATGTATTGCTAACATTGGCTCACGTGAAATGGCTGAAACGTTTGGAAATGAAATTCCTCGCCTGTTGGTTACTGGGTTAGTATTTTGTGATTTTTGCATTTTTCAATGAAATTAATTTTGTAAATTTTGTAATTCAATTTCAGAGATACAATCGATGTAGTGAAACAAAGTGCTGCTCTATGTCTACTGAGACTCTATCGTGAGATGCCTGATTTGACACCTAGCAATGAATTTACCTCTCGAATAATTCATTTATTAAATGATCAGCACATGGTAAGATAAAAATTAATACACTATAGAATTATAATCTGATTTTATCATCGGAAAAAAACCAGGGAGTTGTTACTGCTGCCGTTAGCTTGATCAATTCATTAGTGAACAGAAATCCGGATGAATATAAAGGCTGTATTTCTTCAGCTGTATCACGATTAAGTCGTATAGTGACTGCTTCCTATACGGATCTTCAAGATTATACATACTATTTTGTGCCGGCACCATGGCTATCGGTGAAGCTTTTACGTTTGCTACAAAATTATCCACCACCGGAAGATGCCGGTGTACGTGGCCGACTAAATGAATGTTTGGAGACCATATTGAACAAAGCCCAAGAGCCGTTGAAATCTAAAAAAGTTCAACATTCAAATGCAAAAAATGCTATACTTTTCGAAGCCATCAGTTTGATTATACACATGGATAATGAACCAAATCTATTGGTTCGAGCCTGTAATCAACTGGGACAATTTCTTCAACATCGAGAAACGAATTTACGCTATCTAGCTTTGGAAAGTATGTGCCTTTTAGCCACTTCGGAATTTTCCCATGAAGCTGTAAAGAAACATCAGGATACCGTCATCAATGCTCTAAAAACCGAACGAGATGTAAGCGTACGACAACGAGCTGTCGATTTATTATATGCAATGTGTGATAAAACCAATGCCGAAGAAATTGTTGCCGAAATGTTATCATATTTGGAGACGGCCGATTATTCCATTCGAGAAGAAATGGTTCTCAAAGTGGCTATACTTGCCGAAAAATATGCATCTGACTATAGTTGGTATGTGGATGTCATCCTGAATTTGATACGTATCGCCGGCGATTATGTTAAGCGAAGAAGTTTGGTACCGAGTCATTCAGATTGTCATCAACCGTGAAGATGTTCAAGGTTATGCAGCTAAAACTGTATTTGAAGCTTTACAAGCGCCTGCCTGTCATGAAAATATGGTTAAAGTAGCTGGTTACATTCTTGGTGAATTTGGTAACCTAATTGCTGGTGATCAACGATCAAGTCCATCGATTCAATTTAAATTATTGAATTCGAAATATCATTTATGTTCTGTAGCCACACGATCATTACTACTGACTACATATATCAAATTCATCAATCTATTTCCAGAGATTAAAGACGAAATTCAAACCGTATTAAAAAATCATACCAATATTCGCAGTGCTGATGCAGAAATTCAGCAACGAACTGTCGAATATCTTCAACTCAGTCAGATTGCTAGTTCAGAAGTATTGGCCACTGTGCTGGAAGAAATGCCACCATTTCCTGAGCGAGAATCCTCAATACTGGCATCGTTAAAAAAGAAAAAACCTGGAATGACATCCGATAAAGTCAAACGTTCAAATTTTGCTGCAAGTGCAAACGCTTCTTCCAATCTTTCCACTGATTTATTGGGTCTAAATACGACAACCAATGCTACTGGTGTCGATTACCCGAACACCACTCAAACACAGAACAACTCAAATCTTTTGGTCGATCTTTTTGGTGATTCTACCACAACGACTGCAGCACCGGCTGCTAACGGAATCAATGGTGGTAATGTTAAGGATGTGATTCACAGTAATGAAGAATGTATCCAAAAATTGTTACTAAAAAACAATGGCATAGTATTCGAAAATTCCCTCATACAAATTGGTCTCAAAAGTGAATACAAACAAAATCTGGGTCGAATAAGTATATTCTATGGGAATAAAACAAATGATTCCTTTCTGGAATTTTTGCCCACAATTACATGTCCTGATTTATTGGATCTGAGTAAGTTTGTATTCTTATTATTGTGATAATATCATCATTCGAGTCTTTTTTTAATTTTTCATTTTAGATTTGAATATTCAAGTCAAACCTGTGGAAAATGTCATTGAAAAAGGTGCACAAGTTTCTCAATCATTAAATGTCGAATGTGTCGATCATTTTGCAATATTGCCAAAGCTAGTTGTACAATTTGTCATCAACAATGTTCCACATAAATTTGATCTACAATTGCCCATCACTATCAATAAATTCTTTGAGCCTACATCAATGAATTCAGAGCAATTTTTTCAACGATGGAAAAATTTGAACAAGTATGTTTTTTTAATCATTTTTAGAATTTTTATTAAATTTTATCCTTTTTATTTTGTTTTCTGTCAAGTCCTGGACAAGAATCGCAGAAAATATTCAAGTCTAATTATCCAATCGATGGTGAAAGCAATAAAAGTAAACTTATTGGTTTTGGTTTTCAATTGCTGGAGAATGTCGATCCGAATCCTGAAAACTTTGTTTGTGCTGCCATATTTCACAGCCGTAAAGTTCAGGTTGGTTGCCTGCTAAGGTTGGAACCAAACAAACAAGCACAGGTAAATGACGATTTTCAACAAACCTTCCATCTAATAAATTTTAAATTTTTTTTTTGCCCATTTAGATGTATCGTTTAACAATAAGATCTAGCAAAGATGTCACATCAACAAGACTTTGTGAATTACTTCAGGATTTATTTTGAAACGTTTAACACATTTTTTTTGGCGCCACAATGATTGTGTGTATTCGTTTCATTGTTAGTTGCTATTGTCTTGTCTGCTCTATTAATAATATGAATATTTATTTCAAAATTGGTATCATCAACTATTATATATAAAAAAGAATCCGAACACCTCTGTAGAATCATCCTAATATATATGCTTATGAATGTTTGTGTTTTATAGGAGTCCATGAGAAATAAATAAATAAAATCTTGTGCATCAAAACATCAACATTATTATCCTAAAGAAAATTCAAAAATTCAATCCTATATATTGAATTGTTCTTCCATCATTAAAGAATAAAATGTAATTTTTGTCGTCTGAGATATATTATTATATCTAATTGAAATTCAAAAATTTCAATTTCGATCAATTTTTTTGTTGTTGTTGTTGACTTGTCTACTGTCCTAGTATATATGAACATGATTAAATGAAAAAAATGGTGCGTATTCAAATTCTGTCTTTTATCATCATCATCATCAACACACACACAAGAAATGTACGCAAAAAAGGCAAATATGAGAAGAGGCAGTATCGTTTATAGTTTTCATCATATAACGATGGTGGTGCTGGTGGTGTTGGTGGTGGTGGTTGTGTTGGTTGTAATATAACAAAATTCATATTCAACGTTGTTTTTTTGTATATGTGAACCTAAAGCGCCACCATGACCAACAACAACCAGTTCGTAAATGGTGTGTGGTTTAGTTGTATGCCAGCAGATGTATGTAGCGCTGTTTTAGAATCCTATAGATTTAGTTTCTTTTTCTTTTGCTTACTTTCTTGCTTGTTCCTCTCTCAAATGTCTCTCTCTCTCTCTTTCTCTTTCTGCCATGGCTGCTGGTGATGGTGTGCTCGCGCGATTTCGATTTCGATCGACCAACCAACCAACCAACTTATCCTACCAGATCAGGCCAAAGTGTATATAAAAGTTGAGTTCACAAACTTGGGTCACTGTTTAGTATTCGTTTGTTGTTGTTCAGTGTAATTGTGTTACGGTCATCGATTCGATTTTACGTTGCTATTGTTGCTGATTATGGTGTCATTGCTTTTCATTTTTAATCATTTTTTTTCGTTGTTGTTGTCATGAAGATTTTTTTACATTTTAAATCATTTTTTCAACAAAATCACGTTTTTCTGGCTGGTTATTTTGTTTGGTTGATCGATCAGGATTTGGTCAGGATCAACATTTCCATACATTCTTAGCGCCCGATGTAAATATTTTTTTTTGTTTGTTTATTTTTATTATCGCTTATTGCAATTCCTATTGCCCGCGTTGATTATATCAACTTGAAACAACAACATGATGTGTATGTGATTTCCAAAGTATGAGAAAAACGTGTGTTTATTGTACATGGTGTTTTGCAGCAGCCCGTATCGTCGCCATAGCCAACCGATTTTGTTTTACAAAGGTATGTTTTTGGTTGTATATTTGTTGTTGTTGTTGTGTGGGTGTGTGTATTAGTATATCGTGTACATGTACCATGTATGTATGTTTCAATTGTTTCCCAACATTGCATCGGACACTTCCGCCATCCGCGGTTAAATCAACTGTTTATACGCGCTAGTCATCAAACCAAAATTTCCATGTTTTTCCATTTGTATTGTTGGAATTCCCTATTCCCTAATTCTTACACACACACATTCGATTATTTTTACTAATAAACGAAAGTGGTAAAAAAAAAAATCATTGGTCAAAGTTCGAATTCATTTTAGCGCGCATGTCATATATCATGAGGTTCAAACTGTCCAAAGATATTTAGAAAATTTCTCATATCTATCAATATCGTATGTTTTTATTTTAATTTTTTTTTCTCTTTTTCGGTTAACCCCTTGTTTAGTTTATATATCTATTTTTTTATAGTTTGATGAACGAGAAATAAATGAAAAAAAAAATTGTCTTTTGGCTACCACTCGTGATCGAAAACACACACAATTCATTGAGAGAGAGGGGAGAGCTCAATGCAAACTTTTACACATACACACAACGCCCAAAAGGAAGTTTATTCTTTTTTTTTTTGCTGTTGATTGTAATGAATGATGAGAGGATGAGCAATAAGAATCAGCAGCAGCAGCAGCTTTGTCGTTTCCTTTGGGTAGTTTCATGTTAGACCACTGCTACAAAATTATATACTTTTTTTTTGTTACAGGCAATTTTGAAAATTCGACGTCATAAAATATGAGCGTATTTTTTTTCATTTTTATGAAGCTTGTATTGCTGCTGCTGCTGCTGCATTTTACAATTACGTACTTATTGCACATTCGTGTTGTCTTCCTCCCTCCTCTGTGATGTAGCGAGTGTTGTGTTTCAACAATTTTTTGCCGCCATTTTTAAACTCATGCTATTTTTTTCATGTATTCGCGCTCTCTAGTTTCATTCATCCTCCTCATTATATTTTTATATTCACGCTCAGCTTCCCTCCTCTCATTATTCATTTTAGATTCTTCCTTTCTTTGATTGTTAGTAGTGCTACTACATAGACATTGTCACAACTGCTACAATTTTTCTCTTTTTTTCTTTATAGCTTGCCAACATTCGTTGTTGTTGTAGCAGTCTCAGCAACATCAAAAAGAAAACATAGCGTTTTAGTTTTTTTGCGATTTTTTTTTGTTTGGAAAAAATCACCACAAAAGAACTTGTTCGTTTTTTGATGGTGCGCGCCTTTTTCTTCTGAACCTTTGTTGATTTTTTTTTTGTTTTGCCGTTGGTTGATTGGCATTTGATCTCTCACCAAGAAGTATAATCTACCGCATCTTTTTATTTTTCATCGAATATAAGTTTCATGCACATCCGTTAAATTTATGCATCGCAATTTCTACTTTTCCAAGCAATTTGCTTCTCATTTTTTTTCTGGCACGATTCTTGCCCCATTGTTTCAACATAATCAGCAATATACATTAGTGTTGTATATCCATGAAAAGAGCGCGTAAAGTTTTTAATGATTCAATCATCCCAATGAGTCATGATTGATGACGATCACAATCAAAAAGATTCTTATGAATTCAATTTTTTTGGTCAAATTTCATCAAGATTAGTTCGATTATTATTTCTGCATGCAGCTTGAATTTAGTTTTTCAGTGATCGTGTGTGTATTTTGTTTAGTGTTTATAGTGCTCACAGGTCGATGAATTGTTTTTTCCATTATAGTGGTGACCTCTAGCGTCAATTATAAAAATCGATTTGTTTTACGCGCCTTATACTTAAAAAATAAAATTAAAACAAGCGGCATAATGATTTGGATGTATATTATTTATATAATTTCAAAATGTTTTTTAATTACTATAGTCGATATTCTTTGTGAAAGACATGGGTAGTGAGATGTTAAAAAATGTTATGAAATTCATCTCACTACCTTGTCTTTGACGTAGGGTATTCGATCCGAATTCATCCAATTTCACAGCAAGATTTGTTCATATTATCTCATGAATGATTATGATATGTGTGTAGCCATCAAAAAGTGTTGTGAAATGTGTAATCAAATTAGTTTTGATCATATCCAAATTCATATCACAGCCTTTTTGATGTCTAAACGCATGTTCAAACTACCAGTAAAAAAAAATCCATCAGTTAACCCATTTATCATGTATGTCATTTTTGTGGATCATTCGGTTACAGATCTTAACTCGTGTAAATAGAGCTGTGAATTGTTATTTGAATCATATCACAGCCTAGTTAACACGATTTAGGTTTCTGATATATCATCAATCATAATTTTTATATTTATATTCGAAACCTACATTTAACATCTTGTTGATATCTTTGGATTCGTTTTCTAAACCGCCAAAGTGGTTGTGACAATGTTTATTGTAAAAATCATATCACAGCCAGCTTTGGTGAGTTTAGATTGCGAAAAAATATTCATCAAATTTGTTTTGACATGGAATTGTTGCATATTGTGGCCGATATTGTATCAATCCAATCTATAATAATAATAGTAGTGTCCTCTGCTTATCAAAGTGGTAGTGATCTGTTTCGTATTTTTAATCAATGCAATGCAAATATCATATCACAGCCACTTTGATTAGTGGTCCGGATTACTCAGTGTTCAATCGTAAAGAAAATTTTTACTCATCGAATATATAATAAATTTTATTATTTTGCACCCCGAACATCTTCATTGGTCCCATGGTAATAAAATGGTAATCAAATTTTTAAAGTTCCTTTTTAATTTCATTTAGCATAGCTACAATGGCATCGAATGTTTCTTCACCCGTTGGTTGAATATAACGGGCAGGCAACAAAAATCCATAAGTTCCACGATCACGTAATTCCACTGTGAAACTGTATTTAATACCGGCCGCACCGTAAGCCCAGTCTTTTATGAACAAGTATAATCATCAGTTTGGAAAAATTTCAACATTTATTTCGACATACCATCTGAACCGCCAGCGGCAGAATCTGTTAGAACAATTGAAATTGATAATTATTCATTTATTTTTGTTGGCTATATTAAATATACACATCTGCTTACAAAGTAATGACGTACTGCTTCCATAACGGTATTCTGTTCCATAACGCATCTTGAATGCTCTCGATGCAATTTCGGCCATTCTCATCATGTCTGCATGATCTTTGGGTAAATCTTTGGTCCAGCCCTAAAAAAAAAATAATTTTTCAAAATTTTATTTCTAAATAACTATGCTTACCATGGCGTAAGTATTAATTGAGAATACGAATGTAATGATAAAAATAGCTATAATATGAATTGATGAAATATAAATATTATTATTATATATATTTAAATGCAAATAAAACTATTTTTAAAAAATTTTACCTTGATTTTGTCCTTGTTTTGCATTACGTAACTTGCTATGGCTGCTGTTTCCGGTTCGGAAAAAGGACGAGGTCCATGGTATGTATTGGAACATGGATTACCACTGCTACCTGTTCGGCTCCATTGATATCCATAGTTTCTGTTTGGATCAACTCCAACACAGAAAAAACTGTTCAACAAAAAAAAATTCTAATAATTATCCATCAAAATTGTATCAAAATCATTTGCTTACCCTAAAAATGTTCCAGCATTTCTGGATCTAGTTTTACGCCAGAATCGATCGAAAAGTCTTGAATATTCATAGCCATCAGGATTTGCCGATGGTAAGATATGAAAATCGAATGTTTTGAGCATTTTTGATATTTCTTCTTCATCTTTTTCTCTTATCAGCTACCAGAAACGAAAATTATAAATCAAATGAATAACGACCGAAACATACTCTGCTAATGATGTATGTAGCTGTGGCTGGTGCAATCCATTCACGTGCATGAATTCCAGCATCGATCCAAATTATTGACTTATTTTGTCCTGTGGCTGGTGGATAGCCAATCTTGATTATTTTGATTGCTCGCCCTTCACCTGACTTTCCTATCGTCTCCATGGAACTAACATCCTGATTGGAACGTATCAAATCGTCGAGGAATGAAATAATCTAAATTATTATTGGAAATCAGAATTAATAATGAATCAAATTGTTGGCTATGCTGAAAATACATTTGACAATGGTTGATAACGTTGAAAAAATACTGTATCGTTGGGAAATCCTGAATAAAACAATGAATCTTCGACATTATCTCGTTGCATTTCAACCATTCTAAAACAATTCCATGAATAAATTTATTTTTTTACCAATCAAAAATTTAAAAAAAAAACTGAACACTTACCTTCCAACATCATTGATTAATGTTTCAGCTTTAATATTTTGTTTGGCTAAAATGGTCTGCAGATCATTTCCCAATTCTGGTGATACCATCAAATCGATAGATGAATTTAATGAATTTGGCATCGACCAGAAATCAATTTTCAAATCAACTTTTTCAACATCATCGGATAATTGTCGTAAATATAATAGCTGATCAATATTTTCTGCACGAACACGAAAAACTTTGTAACCATCATAAGCAATTTCTTTTTTTACAACACTAGTTAAATTATTACAATGAACATGATTATTATTATGGAAAAATATGGTGAAAATCAAACCAAATACGATACTCTCGATCCAAACCATGATCGAATCAGATGTATGAATGGACTATGGCTATAAAAAAAATCATTCGATCGACCAAGATTTGACCAGAAATAAAAACTTTATTTATTTATATATATTGTCAACCACTGATAATCGTTATTCAAATACGGAAAAAATCATCATCATTTATTTACTATTGACGTTTTTTTGTTTGCCAATACAATTTGCTATATCTGTTTCTGGTCATATTTTGTCATATATTTAGTAGTATTCTCTTTTTTTTATTTGTATTTCTATGTTGAACTGATCTCTGTTCATATCCTTCCGTCATTCAACCGTTTGTCGTTCATTTTAATTAATCAATAAATAAATTGATTCAATTTTTGTTTTCCCTCTTATAAAATGTTCACCAAAGCTGTTAAAGTTTTAGTCCATTTGGTGGTCAAAACCTAAAACAATAAAAAAGATCTGATAATTATAATTCATTGTACAACCTGTTAACCTTACCATATCCGATAATAAAAAAAAAATTTACCTTGGTCAAACAACAATTCATTGTGAATTATTGAGTCGAAATTTTTCATCTCTTTTAATTTGATTGATTGACAATTTTTATCATCATAAAAAATATGCTCTTTTTTTCTCGCTGATATTTTTTTTTAGCCAATTTCCGGGGTGTTAGCCATTTTATTTTATCTCGATGTTTTTTTCACTCGATATCTCGATATCTTTCTTTGATATGATATAAATCGATAGCTTTGTCTATATTGGATAACATTCAAGGCGCCAAATTTAAAAATCACTTACATCGTAACAGTTAATCAACATATTGATCACTTGGGTTTCATTATTCAGCCAATATTTTCATATTATATCATATTAAAATTGATCAATCCGTTTGCTCCAGAAAATGTTTGATATTTGATTTTGATCAAATGTTTGTATCTGTTGTTGATTTGTGCTTGTCTTTTTTTTTAAAGGCCTATATTTTTAAGGCTTTTGACTGATAATCGTTGGCCGACTGTGACGACGACGATGAACGAGATGAATTTATTAAAGATGCTTTTTGTGGTTTTGTTTTTTTTTTTTGATATGGAAGCCGCGGCATCTTCACCATTTCAATCAAAAAGAAATAAATCAATCAAATTATTCATTCGAAATTGAATTTTTTTGTTTGTTTGTCAGTACGGTGTATTATAAACATTTTTATACGTACGGCCAAAGAGATGACAAAAAAAAACAAAAACGATTATTTGTGACTTTGTTTTTTTCTCTTTATAGATTTTCCATGTATTCGTTGTTATTTGTATGTTTTCCTTTTTTTTCCATTGACGACGGAATAGAACAAAATGGCAAATCAGTTTATCTGTATGGCAAATCTATTGATCATTATAATATCACGTAGTAGTCTTCTACACACACACACACAAGGACCTCTTTACCCTTCTTTTTATATATGTATATTTAATTTAATTTTCACATCATTTGATTTTTAATAATAAAAGTTTTTTTTTTTAAAAAAAAGAAAATAAGTGTGTTCGATAGTGTTGTGTACTGACACATTTATAAGGATCGATTAGATTTTTTTTATGTATTTATAATGAATTTTTCATTTTAACAAATAGATCTAGACATGCGACATTAATTGATCGCTGTTAAATGTATGAAATTCAAGATGAGATGATCACTGATGAAAGTTCCGATTTATGTTTGCAATCTGATATGATTTCATCTTGTAAAAAATGATTGAATCGAATTCAATGAATTTTCTTTTTTACGACATTGACAGATTTATACTTGAATTTTTTTTTTAATATTAAAAAAAACATTTTTTTACTTTCGAAGGAATTTTTTTTTAAATTTTTTCATTAAAAAATAATAAATGGATTTGCGAAAAAAAAAATCTAGATCGGGTTGTATTACTGTCCCGACATATTACAGTATGACAATTGTGTACAAAATGAATGTAATGAAAAAAAAATGGCTAACTGATATCAGAAAACAAACCAATCGAAAAGACAAAATGCTTATTGGATTGCCTACTACTCTAATCACATATTGATTGATTGATAAATTTTCTTCTTCTTCTTTTTTTTGTCATTCAGATTAATTCGGATTTTTTTTCTATTTCGTTGGTCTATCGATTATCATCATCACATCGTCAATCGTGTCATATGCTGTCGTTGGTGTTGATCTGTTCGGTAAGCAGCAGCAGTCTATCTTTGTATCTCCATCGATGAAAAGCATCAAATTTTCATAAATCATTGAATTGAATTGAATCGAAATAAACCTTGAATAGAAAAGAAACCACGTTTGGTTCGATGCGGACAAATTGGTTTCAAATGAAGAAATTGTTTGTTCTTTCATAGTCATTAACAAAATAAAAAAAACATATATTTTCAAAGTTATGATAACCTGCTTATTGTTCAACAAAGAAAACCATTTCATCTTTCATTACGATAAATCAATCAACAAGTGAAAATTTACAATAAAGAACATCAAACAAATCAAAAGTATATGATATTTCTCTCTTTTTTTCATTTTTATTCTGGCTATTGAACATTTGAAAATAAAATTCTAATAATTATCACCATGATACATTACATTATCTGAAATTATATTTATCTTAAAATAGTTTTTTTCATTCAAACATGGAACAATCATTGTCCGTAAAAAAGCCTGTCGATAATCAGCCAATAAATGGTCGACCACATTTACAATCACTCAAAGTGTCTACATTAATTGATTCAAATAATGATCTACAATTTCCTATATCATCACCAACATATAAATCACCTATGAATGGAATTCCTGATACAAATATCATGGTCAGCAGTCAAAGTTTCAACAAAGATTTAGAACAACAATATAGATTATCATCGGCCGATGATGATTCTCCTATTGATGGTTTTGATTATATTATTCTTACCATTTGAGTACATGAATAACATTCATTTCTGTACATTCCACAGGTGGTTTTGGTTGGGTTGTTGTTTTCGCATCGTTCATGTGCAATGTTATCGTTGATGGAATAATTTTTTCATTCGGTATTCTACTGCCAGAGATCTCTGCTGAGTTTAATGAAAATAAGGCTACTACCGCTTGGATCGGATCATTACAGACTGGCTTATATTTGATTGTCGGTATGAAAATTAAATTAACGATTTATTATTTTTTTTGTACAAAGAATTTAGGTCTTATAATAATTTATATTAATGATGATAGGACCACTTGTAAGTGCATTAGCTTTAAGATATGATTGCCGTAAAATTACAGCCGTTGGCAGTGTTTTGGCTGCAATCGGTTTCGTTCTTTCATATTTCGGAACCAATGTTCTCACACTTTATGTTACTTTTGGTATACTCGGAGGTACATCATCTATTATGAATATATTAATATGAAATAAATTTCAATTATCATTTTAGGAATAGGATTCGGCTTTATTTTCCTGCCTGCAATCGTAACTGTTGGTTATTATTTTGAAAAGAAACGAGCATTTGCCACTGGAATCGCTGTCTGTGGTTCAGGTATCGGTATGTTTATCATGGCACCAATCATGCATTTTCTTGTCGAACATTTCGGCTGGCGTGTCAGTGTATTAATTTTGGCTGTAATCACATTATTCTGTGCTGGTTTCGGTTCATTTTTTCGACCACTAAAATATGATCCAAGAACGGATGAAGAAGTACCACCACCAGGAGCCATTCAACCGAAACCATTGTTGATGCGAATCAAAGAAGCTCGTGCTGCTGCTTGGGCTCGTTCCGAAGAAGAATTGAGTGAAGAATCACCAACCAGTAGCCAGAATAGTGCACCACCTCCTTATTCCGAAATTTTGGAAGTAGTAAGAACGCCCACTGAAGATAAAATTGTTTCTTTTTCGAGGAATAGTCTGTTTCAAGCTTCAATTGAAAATCGTAAACGTGCGAGAAGCACAATAGAAGCTGTTGGATCCCGTAATAATCTTCAAGCTGCTAAAAAAATTCCTTCACCACGAGATGAGATGCTTTATAGTAATCTAAGTCTTGTGGTTATACCTCAGAGTCGTTCGTACGCTAATCTTCGTTCACAATCAATGGGAACCATTACTAAAAGTGGTGAGCAAATGAATGAACCGAGCTTTTGTTCTGGTTTTGATTTATCGCTACTGAAAAGGCCATCATTCGTTTTATTGGCATTGAGTGGATTCCTTTGTTTGGTTGGATTTTTCATTCCTTTTATCTATCTTAGTGACAGAGCTAAACTTCTTGGTAAAAAAAATATCCAATCAATTTATTCAGTAGTTTAATCTATTATATTATTTAGGTTGTTCACCAGATAAATGTGCATTCATATTATCAATTATTGGCATTGCCAACACTGTTGGACGTGTACTTTGTGGTTGGGCAGCTGATTCTCGTGTAAATGCATTACTTTTGAACAATATTGCTTTGACTGTCGGCGGCATCGCCACCATCATTTCACCGATCGTGTTCAATTCATATTATTCGTTAATATTTTATGGTTCAATTTTCGGTGTTTCAGTTGGTAAGCAAATATAACTGAAACAACAGGATTATTCACATTTATTTTCATTCTATTTTCATTAGCATCATTTGCTACATTACGTTCTGTGATTACGGCCGAACTTTTAGGTCTGGAAAAATTGACCAGTGCATTTGGATTATTATTGCTATTTCAAGGTTTAGCTGTTACCATTGGCTCACCAATTGCCGGTATATATTCAATTACAAATATCAAATTTCTTATTATCAATGATGATAATTACTAATATTGAATTTCTAAATTTATAGGCTGGTTTTTCGATATTACTGGCTCCTATGATTATTCTTTTTATTTATCCGGAATAGCCATTACATTATCGGGAATAATGTGTTATCCATTGAATGCTATTGCTGCATGGGAAAAAAGATTTTTCGGTGAAAAAGAACAACAAAATGTCAACACTATATCGACAAACACGGATGATGATAAAATTTAATTCTGGATTTATAAATGGGTATGTCCAAACATTTCTTTTTTTTTCATTATTTCCAAATCAATTAACAATTGTACCATCAATAAATAGATAATTCAAAAAAATTTTTTTTTTTAAATTACATTTACTACATCATATACTGATGATTGAATCATTTAAAATGATAAAATTTATAATTATATAAAAAATTTGAAAAATAAATCATTTAATTAAATATATAAAAAAAACAATCATCGATTTCTAAAAAAAAAATGTTTTTTAAATGGAATCGAATATTAAAAAGATAGAATATAAAAAGCATATAGTATATTGATATCCAGTGAAAAAAAAAATTGACAAAAATGCTGCTTTTCGAAGTGAAACCATTCAAACAATTCTAGTCTTCTTGTGCACAGTGGAACAATTTTTGAATGTACATGGTAAAAGAATCTATTGAAATTTATTATTTAATTGATAATAAATGATTGTGGTCATCTGAATATGATCAAATCAACTTACCGACAAGTCGTTGATACATTTTAGGTTTATTTTTCCAAGCAATAGTAACAAGATAAATTGGAATGCCACTTAATGTGATAAGTGCACCGATACCAGTTTCATATGGACTCACATAGAATGGAAGAACAACAAGGAAAAGACATGTGATAAAAAATAAAATGGGTAACAAAATGTTAACTTTAATTGGACGTTCCATATGTGGTCGTTTCCAACGAAGCCATAATAGTGCACCAACCGATGCGGCTACGGCTAATGATTCAATAAATGCTGTATAATTGATTAGAGTATAGACCTGGGTTGTCGTCAAATATAATAACGATAAGAAACCCTGTTTTTGGTTTTAAAAAAAATGAAAAATTTTTCCTATTTTTTTTGGTTTATAATAATGAAAAAATTATTCATACCAAAAATATTAGACTAGGAATCGGTGTATAATATTTTAGATTGATCATGGCCAAACTTTTTGGTAAATGACCATAACGAGCTCCGACAAAGAATAGCCTTGAAGATGCAAATATTCCACCATTTAGGCCACCGAATGTTGACATTGCTACCGAAAATGGCATGATCCATGAAAATGATCCTAAAACACGATCACCGAATGTTACGGCAACAGCATTGGAAGTAAGCAATTCATGTGGAGTTAATACGGTGAAATATGAGATATTCGCCAATAGATAGATGATTGTAACCAATGGCAGTGATATATAAATGGCTCGTGGTAAATTCTTGAATGGACTTTTTAGTTCTTCCGTAACAAAATTCAGATAATTCCATCCGGCATATGAAAATAAACCAGAATAGAAAGATAAGGCAATATGACCAGGTGAAGTAGTTGTTCCTTCAAATGAAGCAGGATAAGCTAAATTTCTATCATTGCCTTTGACCAATTGAATAATACCGCAAACTATTATAATGATCAAGGCTAAAACTTTGGCAAATGTGAATGAATTTTGTACTCGGGTTGCCCACTTGACATTGTAACAATTGACAAATGTAAGCAAAACTATGATAACAGAAAAAAAAATGAAATCCAACACGTATTGATAATGAATAGAAATGCAAATTATTTTTCTGTCCATCATAAATTTTATCATCATTATCAATTATCATTCACTTACTTATAACTGAGGCAGCGATTAATCTTACCGCATTTGGTGGTGGTGCACAAACCGGGTAAATAGACTGAAGGATATAATTGGCAAATGTCATTGCAGCAATGGCATTACTACAAGGATTGATAATAAGCAATGCCACCCAAAGGAATCTGTACGGAACAAAAAAAAACAAATATATCAAGAAATTGAAATGATATTTCAAGTTTTTCATTTTCCTATGAGATCCGACTTAAAATTTGAATATATTCATCATACACTGTTTATTTATTTAGTTTTCGGCAAATGATTGATTGATATTCAAAAATATCGGAAGATGAAATCGTAAAATGAAATGATTTGTCGCCATGGTTTATGTTTGTGTTTGCGTGTGTGTGTGTGTGTGTGTGTGTGTGACGTGACTCTGAAGTTTGATTGTAACCAGATATATCCCGAATTTTTTTCACATCACATGTTTTTATCTCTTATTAAACTATTTTTTGATTAATTTATTTTTTTTATCCAATTATTTCTATTAGTAATTAATATCGAATTACTTTTCGAAAAAAATAACCAAACTTTAATCAATTTCAAACTAATGAAATGAGAGATGCTAAAGGAATTATTTTTAAAATTCATGTCAAAAAAAAATTGACAATGATTTAAACAAGAATCACTAAGTCATAAAGAATATGAAAACAACAAGTATGATATAGCTAAAAATAATCTCAACGTTTCAATCTTTTATTCGTACTAAAAATCACATCAATCAATTATATTGTCAACAGAATTTTTTTAAAAAAAACTTACAAAAATGAAGGTAACGGCCCGAATGCTTCACGAATGTATGCATAATCACCACCGGATTTCGGTATTGAAGTGCCTAATTCAGCATAACATACGGCACCAATAGTTGATAATAGACCACAAAGAACCCATACGACTAATGAAAATCCAACAGAACCGGCTTCCTGTAATACACCTCGTGGAGAAACAAATATTCCACTGCCAACAATAATACCAACAATAATGGCCACTCCATTGATTAATCCAAGTTGTTTTTTAAGTGCCACTTGTTGTTGTGGCGATTTTCCATTACCAGATTCGGACATATTAAACACAAAAAATACCAACACGAAAATTTCAAATATAAACACGTGGTGATCAAAAATGGTCAATGTATATGATATATACAAAAAAAAGATCGAATCAATTTTCAGTGGCGAAGTTTGCCGATTGAAAGCAATTTTTCGTCTGACTTTGCTTCTGGCATGTGTTCATATGTGTAAGTGCGTGTATATGTTTACACAAATAGACAATCGGAGATGATGAAGGCAATGATTATTGATTTGTGGATAGCGGTGATGATGATGTGTTTTTATTTAGATGGACATTGTCAAAAATTAAATTGAATATGATGTGAGAATTAGCTCAAACTTGTTGATTCAAATTTCTCAATTCTCATTGTTCATTCATTTATTTGAATCATATTGAAAAATTTGATGTTTTTAGATGGGCGTTCGGATTTAGAATGTACGGCAATTTTCAATGTGTGTGTGTGTGTGTTGGTGTGTTCAATGTTCAGACTTCTTCGTCGTCGTCGTCGTCGCCGTCGTAATAATAATCACTGCTACCACCAAACGATTTCTGTTCATTTTGTCGTCATCATCATCATCATCATCATCTGTATCATCATGTATGGAATCAATGGCTATGCCCTTGAACTGTTAAGTTTAGTCAGCCGATGGATTGATGAATGTATAGATGATGCCAACAGCCGAAGCCGTAAATTTCACAACTAAAATGAGCTGTTCATTTTTTTTCGAAACTGGAGCCTGAATCCATTCATCCAAACAACCAACCTTGCTATCGATTTGGTTTTTTAATATTCGTATCTGTTTTGTGTGTGTGTGTGTGTGCAAAATATATATATTTACTACTGCCTTTTTGCTTTGGATTTCTTTACACATAATGAGATGATAATCATCATTTTCATCGTTTAATAATTAGGCTTGAATATACATTTACCATTACTATGGTAAATTATAAATTATAAATTCAACGACGCGATAATCTTCTCTTACATAAATATTTGAAAACAATCATAGGATGGAACACAGATCTTTTGTACCAATATTTCATACACCATGGCAAATGTCATTGTCCAAATGTAAAGTAAATTAAATGCATAAAATTATGTCAATTTCATTGCTCTCATCATCATGAAAAAAAAAAATTTTTGGTCGACAACCTGTGCGCACCACTTTTGTGTGTGTGTGTGTGTGCATGATTCTTGTCAAGCAATCAATTTTGGAATAAAACCAGTTATTATAAACCAACCATCATATCATAAACAAGACACATTCGACCGTTTTTTTTTCTTACAAACTATTCAACAAAAGTTGCTGAGTAATTTTTTTTGTTATGTGCTATAGCACTGAACATTAGTGAATATTGAATGAGTGTGTGAAAAAAAAACAATATGTGTCATATCATAAACATTTTGTTGGTATATAAATAAATAAAACAACCAACAGGAAATTGTACATTTACAATTCATTAAATTAATAAAAAACAATACATGAGATGTCGTATTTATGATTAAATCAAACATTAAACATTAAAAATAGCGAAATGAAAATAAAATGGATCCATTTGATTCAATCTGTTTTGATTTTATATATATTTGGATTAAAATTAAAAACAATGAACGCGTATCAACATATTTCCTTGTTCATTAGGAAGTGGGGCCAAATTATAAATTGATCCAAACAAAACAAAAAAACAAAGGAAATAAAGTTCAATGAAAACGATATAAATGTGGACATCTGATTGTATCGATTGACAATCGATTTTGATTTTTTATTTTTTCATGAAATTTTGGCGCGTTCAACTATATTTGATTATTTGATTTCTGATATGGACACTATGCTGTGTGCTATACACACATTACGATTGGGATTCAAGCGCGCGCACATTCTTTTATATATCTCTATGGTGTTGAGCTAAACTTTAGCGGGCTTTATGGGCCAAGCTTGGCGGCAATCATAACTTGGCCGCCAAAAAAAAACAACTTTCTCTCTGGCTGAACAGACAACTTAGGGATCTAATGTATTATACATGCATGCATGCATGCATAGCATAAACATTACGCGCTTTTTCTATCGTCTGTTTCGATTTGTCCAGAATTCTTGCCTGGGTTCATGATCTTATTATACAAATCGAGTGGTTGGCCATTTCATTTCGAAGTTTTTACAATTCACTTGTCGTGGTTATATGGTTATAATTTATTTTTTAATAACTTATTGTAATTAATTAATTGTTTACCCTAATTCTAATATGTATGTATGATCGTTTTTGGATCTTTATTGTTTCAATAATATTTTCATTTTTTTCAAGGAATAAAAAAGAAAATTCGAATATTCGATCTATAGGGTGTAAAAGAAAAAGTCACGTAAGTTTCAGTGTTTTTAAAATATTTATCAGATTTTGTTAATTCTGTTTCTACTATTAGGTTTTGGATGAAGTCGACACAAATCGTCTGCCATTTAATGATACTCAAACATCCCAAAATGTTAGATCAAAAAAACAGAAACGTTCTAAAAGCACATTGAAAAACCCCTATCAGAAAGAAAATTTGACAAATGAATTAACACCATCAAGTACAATTTCAAGTTCACAATATCATTCGACATTCGAAAACCACACTCCATTACCAAATTTAAATTTTGCGAATTCGGTTGAAGTTTGGAATCTTATGTTAAAATGCGATGATACATATAAACGTGATTCTGATTTATTTAATCACCATACATCACTTCAGCCAACGATGCGAGCTACATTGCTTGATTGGCTAAATGAAGTTTGTCAAGCATATAATTTAACCAGGCAAACTTATTATCTTGCATTAGATTTCTTTGACCGTTTCCTATCTATTCAAAAAGATTGTCCAAAAAAGAATCTTCAACTAATTGGAATAACATGCCTATTTATTGCGGCAAAAATTGAAGAAATTTTTCCACCCAAAATGAATCGATTCTCGTTTGTTTGTGATGGAGCCTGTAGTGATAAAGATATATCCGACATGGAACTAGTCATCATGAACACTTTAAAATGGGAACTTCGTCCAGTTACACCAATCGCATGGCTTAATGCATTCTTCAAAGTTTATACATTTTCCGATAAAGAAAACATAAGCAAATCAAAGCAACAAGTGAATGAATCATTTTTGATTCCAGATTATGAATCCGAATTATTTGTTCATATTGCCCATCTTATTGATCTCTGTACATTGGATGCTGGATCATTAGCATTTTCTTATTCTGTGATAGCTGCTTCAGCATTTTATCACTTTACCAGCGAAGATGTTGTATTGCATTGCACAGGTATGTACTAATATCGTGTGTTTGAATTGTATCTACGGAAAAGAATAATCAATTTTTAATTTAGGAAAAACACTTGATCAATTACAAACATGCGTCGAATGGATGGTACCATTTGCAATTGCAATCAAAAATGCTGGACTCGATTTTCTTACAGATCTTAATAACGAAAAATCTATGATTCAAACGCACACAATCAGCCTGGAATTATTGGTTTGTAGTTGAATTTTTTTTTGTATCGCCATTCATTTATTTATTTTTTTTTTAATATCTATCGGTATAAAATAGCATAGTGCACAAACTATTCAAGCTGATATTGAAACGGAAAAATTGACTGTACTAGAATCTTCTGAAGCCAGTTCTTTATGTCCAATGACACCTTCCAAAATGGCAAGCATGCCACCAACGCCACCTCGAAGTACTGGAACTTCATAAAATCATCTTTGCCAATTCAATTTTTAGTTTCGTATTTCATCATCAATGGATTCGAATCATCCATCCATTATCATTTTAAGAATGAAATTTTATTCTTTAATCATGATAGTCAAATAACAATAATTAATTGTATAATTGATTTCGATTTTATTTCGAATATTTTTGTGCACGTATTTTTTAAAAAAATATTTGACAAACGATTATTCCAAGAGTTTAATCATTGATTTTTAATCCGACTTGCTTTGAATTTTGATTGTGGACGATGCGATGTTGAGATTGTTGTTGTTTCCTGTTTCTCCGATGGCTGTGAATCAGGAACGAGTCTTTCAATTATTTGTGATTTGAATGGCTGATCATTATCATTTTCCATTTGTTCGTTTTCATATTTAGCAAAAATGTTATTCAACTCTTCTTTAGACATTTCTTTTGATCTATTTGATTTATTCTTGTTTTTCTCTCTAATTTTTTCATTTCGTTCACGTATCCATTGTTGATATTCTTCTTCAGTACAGGTTTCAGTTATATTGACAAATTGACTACTTTCTTCTTGGAGATTGGTGGTCGTATTCAGCCATTCATTAATTATGGATTTTTGACGCTCAAGATCGTTAAGCTTTTCTCGACAAAATTTTAATCTCCTTTCAACAAACTCGATGGCTTCTTTTGTTGATTTTTCCACAAAATAATTATCACCAAGAAGAACTAATATTTCATTCGTATGATGAATGTAACCAGGCATATAGGCCAATTTGGTTCCACCGATGGGTATCATAATATCATGTCGAGTTCTATCAGCCAATGTTGATAGTCTTGTTTTCAAATGTTCATAATCATTAATGTATTTGGTGAATAGAGCAATGTTTTGTTCGCAAACATTTAATTCATAGCGTTCACGATTGAATAAAATACCAAAATTTTCTTCCATAGTTTTTTTTTTGAAAAAATTGTTTTTTTCTTTATTATTTGATATACTTGGTGAATATTATGGATCATTCATATAGATGGATACACGAATGCCAACCATGTGATCGGTTGCGTGTTTGAGAATTTATGGGAAAAATCATTTTTCACCTACGTTATCAAAATGTTTAGATCGTTAATACAAATATATAGTAAGAATTTTGGCCGAACATCAATCAATCAATTATCGATCAATATTAATTTGAATGACTCGAAAACAGTCAATTCTATATTAACAATATCCGTTCGAAATGGAAGATTTTCCGCACCAACTACCAAACGTCGTAAAACTTATCCGTATCATTGGTGGCCAAGAGCGGAAAAAACTTCGACACTGAAAAATTATCTAACAAAAGAAAATCAAAAATTTTTGGATGATATCGATCATAATAAGATATCACCTTTTCAAAATAATAAAAGTCCGTTGAAAATCGAACAAGTTGAAAAATGTCAATATGAAGAAGGATCAATTCGTTGTGGAGTCATCGCAAAAAAGATTGGCGTACAACCAATGTGGACGAAGAATGGACAAAGAATAGTGACTACCGTTCTTCAAATAATTGATAATCATGTAATTTCCTATATAAAAAATGAAGATTTTATCCGTGCACGAAGACCATTCTATAATCAGCATAAATATAAAGACATGGATGTATTAATTGTTGGAGCTGAAAATGCGAGTCATTTAAATTATCCATCATCTTATCTGGGATTATTCCAAAAGGCTAATTTACCTCCCAAAAAGAAATTGACCAGATTTTTTATCACCCCAAATGCAAAATTGACCCCAGGTACAGCATTAACAGTAAATCATTTCTGCGTTGGTCATTATGTTGATGTTTGGGGAAAAACTAGAGATTATGGTTTTCAAGGTGTCATAAAACGATGGAAATTCAAAGGTCAACCAAAACAACATGGTGTAACTAAAGCTCATCGACGTCCCGGTACGATAGCTCGAGGTCGAAAACTAATGGGCCCATTAAAAGGTACCAAAATGGCTGGCCATATGGGTTCAGAACGAAGAATATTGAAAGGTCTGAAAATCTGGCGCATCAATACCAAGTATAATGTTATTTGGGTTCATGGACCGGCTGTTCCAGGTGCAAATAATTCATGGGTATACATTTATGACACTACATCGAAAGCAAAGTAAGTCATTTTTTGTCCATTCGATTGTCCAAAATTAATCTCTGATTCTTTCATAGAAAATATAAAAAAGACAATCATCCACCATTTCCCACTTATTATGAAGAAGAAAGCGAAGAAAAATTGCCCGAAAACATTTACGACAAAGATCTTCATCCATTTGATGAACCATCTTTGCTTTTTGAAGAAACCGAGGAGGAAAGAAAGGCTGCATTGGCTGCACTGAAAATGACCAAGAAAGCAAAGATTGCCAAGATTCGTTAAAATCCATAATATTTGTAAAATTAGTCAAAAATTTTCAATAAATCATATGAATTTATTCAATTATAAATTGCATTTTACAAGAAAATGATAGACTATTAGCAATTAATTGAGTGGCTAAAATTATTTCATATTTATCGGATCGATCTTAGTTGTTTCATCGAATTTGAGTCCAAGATTGGCAATGTTTGCTTCATCTTTGATACCGTAAGCGTTGGCGACACGTTCCATATCTTCTTTCAATTTTTTGACAACTTCGGGACTCGAATCTACAAGGCCACCAGGAGCACTCTTGGCTTTGTTACTGTATTCTTTGATTTTATCAACGAAAAGTTTTTGGATCGGATCTGTTGCTGGCGAAGCTGAAGCAAAGCTTCGACAGATGATGTTTGGGGAAAAAGTAATCTGCAAACGCCTTAAAACAAGCATGATGTTGACCAATTCAAGACAAATAGAATAATGAAGATGATGAGCACCGAAGAATTTTAATCACCAAAAACAATCGCAAATAATAGGTTAGCATGACCTCATGAGCAATTCATATATGTCGTTTTGTTTTGTATTAAAATAAATGACTCTCGATTGTTTATATAGCCCATGAAAAGGACGTATGATATTTTTTAATTGAAAGTTGAAATTCATCGTGAAATAATGATTTCTTTACGAAATTTAACCCGAATTCAAAAGCTATTGGCTTTTCAAAATGTGTCAAGATTAGCGCCAATCATTTCAAATTCGTTATTATCCAATCGAGAATGTTCAAACGTAGCGAAAAATACAAACGACAAACAAATAAAACCTACTTTCTATGCAATCGATGAAGAAAAGAAACAATTTTTGACTAATTTTGCCACCTATTTGGCTGAATGTATGCCAAAATATGTTGAAAAAATGCAAATGACCCATACGGGAGAATTAGAAATAATGGTTTGTCCGGAAGGAATCGTCACTGTCATGGCTTTTCTCAAAGATAACCATGCTGCCCAATTTACAAATTTGTCTGACATTGCTGGCGTCGATTATCCAAGCCGCAAGAATCGTTTCGAAATCGTTTATAATCTTCTTTCATTGCGATATAATGCACGTATTCGTGTTAAAACTTATACGGATGAAATGACACCAATCGATTCGATTTGTCCAGTATTCAATGCTGCGAATTGGTACGAAAGAGAAGTGTTCGATATGTATGGCGTTTTATTTCATAACCATCCTGATCTCAGGCGTATTCTAACCGACTATGGTTTCGAAGGATATCCGTTTCGTAAAGATTTTCCTCTTTCTGGATTTGTCGAGGTAAAATATTTATTTGAAAGAATCTCTAATCTATTTATTATTCCCATCTTTAGTACCGATACGATGATGATAAAAGACGTATTGTAATCGAACCATTGGAACTGACACAAGAGTTTAGGAAATTTGAATTACAATCACCATGGGAAACATTTCCTGCGTTTAGAGAAACATCGCCAGTGCAAGAAATCCCTTTACCGGAAACCAATGATAATAAAAAATAGACACGCCATGAATAAGTAGAAAATAAAAGAAAAATTATTCATTTTGATTTATTAAATCGTTCACAATTTTGTTTAGTTCATTTTTAAATTTTTGATAATTGAATTTTTCAACCACATGATGATGGCCTCTTGATCCCATTTGATTGGAAAGAGTTTTATCTTTGATAAATTGATGCATTGCTTCGGCAAATGAATCGGCCGAATTAGGTTCGCATAAGAATCCGGTTTCATTGTTAATGATTGTTTCACGTGGTCCACCACAATTAGCTGCAATTACTGGGCGATTCATATACATAGCTTCTAATGGTACAATACCGAAATGTTCATTTTCGGGCGTATAAATGACAGCTGTACAATTTTGTAAAAGAAATTGTTTTTGTTCACCGGTCAAATTTTTCATGAATGTCACGTGGGATTTAATTCGTAATTTTTTCGCCAGCTGATTCAATTCTTCAGCATACTCAAGATTTTCTATATTTTGAAGATCATATCCACCAGCAATAATTAAATGTATTCGAGATCGATCCTTTTCTTCCACGTAATCAAATTTATCGTAAAGAGCTTTCAAGGCTTCGATTGCAAGCGCAATGTTTTTCTTTTTCTCATAACGATTTATAGAAAGAAAAATTGTGGCCACATTTTTAAATTTAGCGTTTAAAGTTCCGGGTATTTTTTCTTGAGCTGATTCGGCAAAATTAACAACTGGATAAAGAACTTTGGTTGATACATTGGCTAATGATTTAAATGTTTTATGGAATACTTCATCGGTGAAATAAGAATTGACCAAAATCATGTCCGAAAAACCAATGGCCCATTCTTCAAAATAATCGATGGGAAAACGATAAATTTTCTTTAAAAAAGAATCGTGTTTGGATAATAGTTGATCAGGAAAATGACAGTAAAAAAGGCATTTATGTTTGAAAGCTTTCAATATTGGAACACCACTGGGAACTTGATCACAGATGATCAAATCAAATCGATAATTTAAGATTAAATAGATGGTTAAATAAATCATGCGGATATATGCCCAAAAAGCCATGAACAATCCGAATGTAGATCGTGGTATCCAATCACCAGCGGTTAACACAGGTATCTGACCATTATTGGTTTCTTCAAAACAATGATTTCGATCATGATGAGAAGTGAATATGACTAAAGAATGGCCACAATCTTTCAGAGCCAAAGCTAGATCAACAATCAATCTTTCGGCTCCACCGATTCCAAGGTCAGGATGAAGAAACGCAATCGAAGACATTGATATGGGGGATATGATGAAATCAAATCTTGAAACCACGTCAGGTCCTTTATAATGTCCATTTAAACCTTAGGTAGAAGGAGTATGTAATTTTGATTTTTGATCCAATGATGTGAAAAGCTCAAATATATATTGAGTGAGTTATCAAATACAGATGATTTTGAAAAATAAAATTAGAATTACCTCGCCCTCAGACAGATCTACGTTGATGATTTCTTTTGAAAAATGGAAGAAGATATACCGATTCAATTGCCGGTGACATTTGTTCGTCTTTTGAATGATAAATTGTTTGAGAAAAAAAAGGCAGCATGTCGTGAGATTGAAATGTAAGTTTAAAAGACTTGAATCAAATAAATGAGTGAATTAATGTATTTTGGATTTAAAATTAATTTATAGAATGACAAAAGAATTGAATGCACAAAACAAGACCAAGCAGATAAAAAAATTGATTAAATATTTGGTGGAGACATTCATTGATAATTCGGCGGCTAATTCAAAAATAGGCGGTCTGATTGCTGTTTCCTCGGTGGCTATTGCTTTGGATACGGACGCTAAATTATATCTTGATGATATTGTCAAATCCATTTTTGTTTGTACTCATGATTGTCAACGTGATGTAAAATATCGAGCTTTGGAGTCATTGTACAATGTGGCCAAAAGTGTTCGCAGCGAAATTCTAATATATTTGGATCATATTTTCGATATAGTTATACGTTTGGGTGAAGACGTCGATGCCAGTATTCGAGAAGCATCATTGTTAATGGATAAATTGGTCAAAGATATTGTGATTGAAAATCCAAGTTTTAATATACGAAGCTTTGTTGATATAATTCGTGAAAGAATATATGCCATTGCATCGAACACAAGAAAATTGATTCTTTCTTGGATCAGTTTTTTAGATAGCTTACCATACATTGATCTACTAGTTTTCATTGAAGATATTCTTGATGGCTTGTTAAAAATCGCATGTGATCCAAATGTAGATATTCGGCGTACATCGGAAAATATACTTGAAGAATTTTTCGTCAAAATTCAAAAGAATCCAAAATCAGTGGAATTCAAGCAATTGATAAAAATAATTTTGATACATGTTCAAACTGAGAGTCAATTAGTGCAAAACATATCATTGAAATGGTTAGATCAGTTTATTATGTTGGGAAACAAAAACGATATACTCTATAATTCAGCTCATATTTTAGCTGTGATTCTTCCCTGTCTTTCATACCCGAATGGCGAGAATGAAGGATATGATAATGACAATTTTCAAAAAAAGAACACCGATCTTGCAAAATCAATCAACGAAAATCTAATAAATCTTGTTACCAATTCCAAATCGTACGATACTACTAAAAAAATTGATATTGAAAATTTAGATAAAGATCAAAACGACGAACAATTTAAAATTTCAAAAATATTAATAGTTTTGTTGAATGAATTGGAACTAGGCTCAAAAACATCACCACAAACTAAGATGGCCATTCTTGAATGGATCTATCAAATCTATGATCATTTGAATATCGAAATCGATGAATATTTAGAAGATAAACTTGTGAATATTTTGCTTACAACTTTATGTGATTCAACCGATAATGTTATATTGCTTGATCTAAAGGTATTTTGCAAAATCATTTTCAAATACTCGAATGAAGAAAATGAAAAAGAAAATTATCGTAAATTAATTAAACCTCTGGTTGATTTATTTCATAAAAATCTAAATATTCTACGTGATCGTGGATCATTTATAATTTGTCGTTTATGTGAAAATTTAGATGCTCAACAGGTGTACATTACATTCTCGAATATTCTATTAGAATATGACCATAAATATATCTGTTCCATGGTATACATATTAAACACTATTCTTTTGACATCAAAAGAATTGACTGCCGTTCGAAATGATTTGAAAAACATGAAATTAATAGATTCAAAATCATCGGCGCATAAGTTGTTTGATTTTCTCTATAAAACCTGGTGCTATTCATCTGTATCGGCCATATCATTATGTTTTTTAACTAAACGTTATAAATTAGCCTCAGAGTTGATTTTACATTTTGGCAACATTAACATTAATATCGACATCCTTTTGGAAATAGATCAACTAATTCAGATGCTCGAGTCACCGATATTTACTTGTAAGTGCCTTTGCCCCTCAAACTTATTTTTTGCATATATATTGATTTTATTTACTAAAAAAATCTAATTACAGCATTACGACTCGATCTTCTTGATCCTAACAATAATTACTATCTTTGTAAAAGTTTATATGGTTTGTTGATGTTGTTACCTCAAAGTGAAGCATTTCATTTATTACGAAAACGTCTACAGTGTATACCAGATTTTTCTCCATTTGAAAGTAAAAGGTATGATTTTTTTCTGGTTCATATTTTGATTATTATTCATTAAAAATTATTTTTTCATTTCACACAGACCATCGGAAACAAATAAGGCAAAGCCAGCCAGCATTTTTATCGGTAATCAAAACGATATGGATAAAGATTTCTCTTTAAAGCTAAAATATTTTATCGATATACAACAATCATTGGATTATAATAATCCAAATTCACATTCAATTCTTACACAACCACAATCAACATTATCATCATCAACTGCCGGTGTCAATAATAATTGGTAATGAATAGATTTCTAAATTATCCGTGGCTCATGGCTTTTTGTTTCTTTTCAATGTTGAATTTTATAGACATTTTTTTCCGCAATTTACTGAATTGGAAATGGTTATCATAGTTTCATTCGAAATCTCATTGTGCCTTGTGATCACACAATGCCATCAACAAAAAAAAACGAAACAAAAAAAAAAACGAGAAAAGCACCTTGAATGTCACGACTTTCTAATTGACTCAATAAATATACAAAAATTAGAATGCAAAAGAGTCGGTTATTTTGTTTCTTTAGTTGTTTCCAACGTCAACATTCATTCATCATTCATTTAGTCTAATTTCATTCATCAAATTGGAGAAAAAACCGAAAAAAAATTGCACTGTAATTACCAATTATTAAGATGCATTATGACTAATGTATTGTTGGTTTATATAACCTTATTATAATAATAATAAAAAAACATTCATGATTTGAAATTAACTGATCTTTTCCAGTGTGTGCGTGTGTGTGTGTCCGCTTTTTTAGTTGTCTATTTATCAAGTTTGACAGATCTTGTTTGATAGCCAAAGAATTTTATTTTCCATTTTTTTTGTAGTTTGTTCGTTTACATAAATCATTGATTTTAAGAAATGAAAAAAAAACAGGCTTAGCTTTGGCTTCCGAATGGATGCATGAATGAATGGATGAGTAAAATGTAAGAGGAAACAACAACAAGTTTACTCATCGAATGACATGACTCTTGAGGATTGTTGTTGTTTGAATAATCACAATGGGATGGCTTTGTTATTGTGTAAGATTAAGAACTAGAGAATTTTGATTATAAAATGAACAAAGAAATGAAATGGGAGCGACGTGTTGTTGTCGTCCAACAAGAATCGACAAATACACACACACACACACATGCTCGAACAAATGATCAACTTTAAGATTTTTCCGTTAATGACAAGTTGTATTTCGGGTATATCTTGTCATGAGTCATTCACTTATTCATCAAATATTGTCTGTCACCTTTGGCACCAAGCTTGACGAAAACTTGATCAGAAAAGTTTACTCAACTCAACTTTTTCGTTTAAATCTGTTGTGTTTACTAGCATTGGTTTTGATTTTTTTTTTTTTTTTTTTTTTGATAATTTTCTTTTGGTTTGCCAATCAAAATCCAATAACCTTCATTCATGGAATACATTATTAGCCATTTGACATCCATTGTAATGCATTGTAATACTTTGTATACTTACTTTTTTATTTTCAATTTTTATTTTCACTATAATTTTTCAAATTGAAATTTTATTGTTCTATGAATTTTTTTTTCATACGGTTCATTTGGTTTATTTTGAAATGAAAATTTTGTATAACACATAAAAAAAAATTAGCCACTATCAAATTATTATTTGTTTCATTTCAGTTCCCCACCAATATATCTATTTTCAATTTGACGTGGCTAATTTGTTTGTGATTCAACAACAACAACAAATTTTTCATTTCATACGCGTGTATTTGTTGAAACAAAACAAATTTTTTTTTTCTTTCTTGACAATTTTCATCGGCTTGAATATTTCATTTTTTTTTTTTAAATTTTATGTTCATCAACAACATTATCATCAAATCATTACAACAATGATGATGATAATCATTATAAAATAGCACATGGAAAAAAAAATTTTCGCATACATTCATACAATGACCGACTAATTTGGCCAAATTAGTTTTATCCATAACCAACATGTTCATCTAATATTCACATCGGCGACAATCATCATACAACATAAGAATGATGATGAACTTATGATGATCCCCAATCTTTATTCATCATTCATATCTCTCTCTCTCTATGAATGATGTCAAATTTTGTGTTCTTCCTTATCAACTTGTATACACGATATTTAGTCCAAGTGAATATCGAAATAAAAACAACAACAACAACAAAACAATTTACAAAGTTAATTAACAACTTTGCCCATTATCCATAATGTTCATTTGTATGTGTGTGTGTGTGTGTGTGTGTGTGTGTAAATTCAATTAAACAACATTTTCCATTAAATGTTATCTGATGTGATTATGAATAGATGAATAATAATTTCAATCATCATCATCATCATCATCATAATCAACACTATGAATGAAAAATCATTCGATGCATCTCATTAGTTATTTTTCTATTCATTTTATCCGTTTCATCATCATTATCATTAAAATCTTCTTAATCATTGTATGTAGATCAATCAATGTTCCAAAGGATCGAAACAAATAAATTGTCTCTCTCTCTCTCGTTTGTTCTTCCTCTCTTGTTCTTTAACATCCTTTTCCGAACCAAATCATGTTTTAATGATTTTCAACCAAATATATTCACCGACCTCATTGTCCATTTTGTTTTCTCTTCCTATCAACATCATCATCATCATCATCATCATCATTGTCGCCGTTTTCATTCATTTCATTTTATCGGAGCAAAAGTATTTTTTTTTATATATTCAAGTCCGTCCGTGACTCTTTTCCTTTTTTTTTTCGGTGATCCTCGGTTGGCTCTTTTGTCGTTTTTTCTCTCTCTCTCTCTCTCTCTCTCTCTGCTTTTCTGAATGTGTAGATGAGATATGACTTAATGTATCTTGGTTGTTGTGAATTCATTCATTTTTATTTCATTCATTTATTGATGGTGGTAATGGATAGAGTGTGTTCCGAGACACGAAATCAAAGTTCATTTGACAGCGACAACGATAAAAAAAAGTCGTGCTGCTTTTGATGGATATGTGTATATGTGTGTGTGTTTGTTTGTTTGTATGCATGCTTCACATCATTTCATCAACCCATAAGCATCGTTCAGTTTTCTTCTTTTCACCAACAATAACAGTTAACCATTTTGTCTCATCAAACAACATTTCAACAGCCATTCGAGATGCTACATTATACACAGTTATTTAGCATTAGTTTAATTTTTCAATAGTGTTTTTTGAATAAATTTCTTTGCACATGTGTGTGTGTGTGTGTGTGATATATGAATTGAAGCCAAAAAAACAAAACCGAACCCAATGATTTGAATGTGTCACCAGTCTGTTTTTTTTTTTAAATCATCACCATCATATCATATCTATCCATTTAGTTTTGTGTGATGTACTTGATATGTTTAAAGATTTTTACATCAATTTTTATCGACATTCATCATTTTCGTTAACTTTGAAATGATTTTGTTGAATATGTTTTGGTGGAATTAAAATTTTTTTTAATTTATTTTGATTTTTTCCTTTTGGCCGATCGAATGAACAGACACATATATTTAAAATCGTAAGTTTATTTAACAAAAAAAATTTTTCACGATTAAATTAAGAATGGTGATTATGTTTTCGAACAAAGCATGATGACGAAAAAAAAATTTAAAACACGTCTCTCAACCATTTGTGTTTAGTAAATTATGCAATTTTTTTTTTACAATTTTACCTATTTCACGTATTTGTTTTTTTTTCTTGTTTTTTAAAATTTCAATGCAACTTGTTGCGGTTCCAATTGGAACAAACAATTTTTTTTTTGCTCTGTCATATATTCTTGTTGTAAATTTAAAAAAAAAATGTAGAATTAATAATAACTTGTTGCCAAGTATATCGTTATTCCACGTTGGCAACCTTAAACTACATGTTATATGTCATGTCATGTGTGATATTTATTGAGTCAAATTGTTAAATTTTTTTTTTTTTGGTTCATCTTTCTTTTCAATTATTATTTCATATATGATGATCATCATAATCATTGTTATATGAATGAAAATCTCTTACACAAATGTCGATCAATAAATGAATGAATGAATGATGATGACGATGATGATTATAATGACGATGATGATGAAAAATCTGCAAGTTCCTTGTCAGTTCAGTCATTTTCAATTTATAGTTATAGGAAAATAATTTTCGTCCTTTTGAATTGTGATGTTGATGATGATAATAATAATAATGGAAAAGAACAAGCCAGGTATAGCCATATATAAATAAAAAAAAAATTATATGAATGAAAAATTCGAACGTAAGCAATTTCTATTGATATCCTTATCGATTGAAAAAATGTGAAAATTGATTCAAATTTTTTTTTTTCAATTGTTGTTGACACACAATATGTTTATATATATACAATCAAATATCAAAAAATAATTTACCATTATTATTATTATTGTTTGATCTATTTTTATTTTTATTTTTTTTTTCTTGACATCATCATCAACATTTTCGATAATGGTCGTTAAGATCCTTATCGAATCTTCATTATAATAATGAAATTCAAATGCAGCAATCAGATAGAAAAAAAACAAAACAAGAAACAATGACAATTAAAACGAGATTAACGATAATGATAAAAAAAAAGAGGCACTCGATGGTCAGTTTGTATTTGTATTTAAAGATATTTAATTTTAGAAAATCGATAGCTGTGCATGTACAAAATTAAAATACTCAATACATTCGAATTTGTTTTTGTTTTGTTTTGTTTTGTTTGATTTTCAAATTTCAGAACAGAAGCTTTTTGTTAGGAAATGAAAAGCTAAACAATTTCAATTTATGTTCGTATCTTTGATTTTCTCTCTCTCTCTCTCATACTGACCATTACCATTATCATTAGGTTCTATTAATAACTTTGAATTTCGGATATATATGACGAATATTTTGAAAAAAAAGGAAGACAGTAACATCAACATAACCGAAAATTTAGTCATATTTTTCTTCGACTTTTGCACTCTTTGAAGTAGAGATTGGATGTTGGTCGTTTCTATCCCCGAACGATCAATGATCAATGACCACAAGTCATTATTCATTGCAATATTATCAGTCATAGTGAAATCATTTTTCATCATCATCATCATCATCATTTTTATTTTGCTCTGGATTTCGAACGGTTAAAAAAACTTTTTTTGACTCATTATAATCAGATTCGGTTTTTTTTCCTTCACTACCATACTCTACTGTATGGATTGGAGTCATCGTTTGTCGTTTATTAAGATGAATTATTTGTCCAATATTTTTCGATCGAACATGATCATCAATCATTGCAATCATATATGGAAAAAAATGAATGAATAATCATAAGTTGTGTAATCTATGACTTTTTTTCAAGAAAAAAAAACAAATAGATCCAGCTGAACTAAATTGGAAATAAAGCCAAAAACTTCAATGAATTTAAGACGGTAATCAATCAACAAACACGAAGAATATAAAAAAAAGACGAAATTTCATCAGAACAAAGTGGTAAAAAAAATTATCAGTGAAATTTAATTTTCAATTCATTTTGGTGGAGAACAAAAAAAAAACAAACGATTGACGATATTTATGATGGATACAACAACAACAACGGCTGTCGATCGCGATGGAAATGCATTAGGTGGCCTATTTCAGAATATAATTGTCGATCTAAGGGTAAAGTGTCTGTTTCGAATTTTTTTTCATTCTAGTTTTTTTTTTTTTTGATTGATCATCGCAATTTGAGCTTTTTGATTGAAAAAAAACATTGTAATTACACACACACACACACACTGGTTTGATTTAGAACCTGAAAACCACAAAGCAAAAATGGATCGAGGATTCGCTCAATTCATTCAATTTATTTATTCATTCATTCAATCATTCATTCATTCACTGAAACATATCGCACATAAGTTGTCAGACTTTTTTTTCTTTTCATTTTTTTTCATACAAGATAGCCATATATATTAGTTTATTAACGAAAATATTTCATCCTTAATAAAGCAAACACTTTTATATATATTCATTATTATTTCTGTTATGATGAAACCGCATCATTTTTTTCCATTATCGGAATATACTTTTTTTTTACTTGAAACGATGTTAATATATAGGTTTTAGTCCATAAAAATAATGATGATAATCTGGCTCTTGTTTGGATTACCAGGCCCAAATTTTTTTCCCCTTCTAGCAGAATATAAACACATTTAAAATTAAAACTCTTGTTTTCTTTTTTTAGTAAACATCAAAATATTATTGTAATTTATAATGGTGACTATCTTTAGAAATTGAATTCATTCCAAAAAAAAAAACAACAACAACAACAACAACAACAACATTGAATGAAAATGGCATGTCGGCTACTTTCTCCACACACACACACACACACACACAAATATTATGATGATTTTTGCAATTTCGCGCTCCTTAAAATGATGATCATAATGATGATGATGATGATGATGATAGCCATCATTATCATCATAATCATGAATTGTTTTTCTTCCTGCTCTAGATTATTATTTTTTTTTTTTTGTTTCTTTAATCCAAATGTGTTGATTATTGTTTTTTTTTCATTTTTAAAATCATTTTTAATATTCCAATAGAATGGCGCCAACAATTGGGATGATCTATTATTGAAAGCCAACAAGTTTCATCTACAGCTAAAGTAAATATTGTCATTACATCAAAAAAAAAACACGTTGATGTTTCATTATTATCGTTATTATTATTTTTTTGTACTTACTTAGATCAACCATAAGCTCGTCGACCGCTTTTTTGGATGCCTTCCAGAAGATTGCCGACATGGCTACAACAACCCGAGGTATGTTTAATTTTCAGTTAGTTAAGCTTTTCTTCATGATTGATCTGTCGTTGAGTTGATCTATAGTCGGCGTTGGTTTTAAAATTTTTCATTATTTTTTTATTATTATTATTATCTTTCACCACAGGAGGAACCAAGGAAATTGGAAGTGCATTAACAAGATTGTGTCTAAGAAATCGTTCGGTCGAAGCTAAACTAAAATCATTGACTAGTTCATTATTCGATAGTTTCATTTCACCATTACAAGATCGTGTTGATGAATGGAAAAAAATTATTTCACAAATCGATAAGGAACATAGTAAAGAAATAAAGAGGCTCAAACAATTCCGTAAAAAACATTCATCAGAAATGCGTGTTACATCGGCTTTTGCCAACAATACGTTCAGGATGAGGAAACATTTACCACGAGGTAAATTGAAGAACGATTTCCCACGTATTGGTTCCATGTACGATGTGGACAAGATTATTGAATCTGTTGATTGTAATAATAAAGAAAAATATTTTATGCTCGAAGAGGTAGAAAAAAACTATGTACGCCGTGCATTGATTGAAGAACGAATACATTATTGTCTTTTTTTCAACCTTCTTCGGCCAGTCATTGAAGAAGAGATATCAATGCTACAAGAAATAATCCATTTGGAAGAGATTCTCACCACATTGACTAGCCTGACTAATGATCCACATAAATTACCGACTTCAAGTGAAAATTTTTTACATAGTTTACAATTGAATGATTCAATAGTTCCAATACTTGATTCAACCTATTCAGAGTATGGTTCTCATCATCATAATCATCATTCTCGAAAATCAAGCATATCATCCATGGACAGTTTGAACACCCTATCAACTGACAGTGTTTCATTTAGAAATGTAAAATCATTATCACAGGTAAGCCGTTGAAATTTTTTTTTTTTTTTTTTTTTTGATACAGTTATTTTCAATTTTTGATTATAATCAATTTTTTTTGTATGACAATCAACAGCCAAACATTATACCTGGTTTCAGACCGAAAAGCATCGCCTCACAAGATTCAGGTTTTTTATCACACGATTATAATATTCCCAACATTGGACGTTTGGTAATCTACAATGGTGTCAACAAGATTAATAAAGATTCAACTGTAAGTCATTAGTTATTTGTAAATATTTTCTTGTGCTAAATTGATTTTTTTTTTGAAATTGTTTTTTTATAGACTGCTGATAAAGATCGTATTTGCATGTTGAATGGAAAATCGATTCGATGTTTATCGACAATCGAATCGAATGATGAGAAAGAAATTAAAGAAAAAGTTGAATATGCAACAAGTGCACCATTATATCATTCGAATACTGCTTGTCCACAGCCAATCTATGTCAATATTCATGATGCCTGTGATCGTACACGATTCACATCGGAAGGATCATTGACGCCCACTAATCATGATATTAATCCTATTGAAAATAGTAATTATAGTAAATATTATAACACTGTAAACAATTCAAATAATTTACAACAACAACAACAACAACAACAGCAAACAAACGTAGAATCAAATCATACATGTACGAAACCAAAACCAATACCACCGAAACCTCCTATGCGTCATAGTTCTAAATTATCAACCAATACAGCAAATAATTCATTGCAATTTATGACGTCTGAAACAAGTAAAAGATCAACATTGATTTTTGTTAAGAATACTGATAATCCGGATTTCCCGCCTCCACCACCGGAAGCTTTTATACGACCAGCTGAACAATGTGAAAAAGTTGCTGATAATCTATGCTGTCTTTATTCGGTTCCAAGCAGGAATTTAGTATTTTGCGATAACAAAGAATGTCTACAAGATTATAATAGACAGACATATCGAACGCCAATATATCATAGTACATCGTTGAATGCATTTTCAATGGATTCGAACCAATCATCGTCATCGATTAGCCAGCAAGAATATCACAAAAATCATGACGACAATGGTTGCCATGATTCTCAATATGACAATCATCATCATTATCAAAGTTCAATTAATTTATCATCTAAACATCATTGACATATTATGCAAGACAATTGATGAAGAAATTATGACGATTTTTTTTTTTTTTTTTTTTTTTTTTTTGACTAGTCAATAAGCTTTCAAAAATTTTTTATTATTATTATTTTAAAATTAGTTGTATTCAGTGTTTATGAATTAAAATCTGTTCTTCAAAAAAAAAAAAAAAATAATGAATTTTATATTGACCGCCTTTTTTCCAGCAAATTGGTTTAATTAAATAAATGAATTTTGAACCTTGAATCATTTAATATTGAATTATATTTTTCGAATATGAAATAATTATGCCGAAACTGTTAATGTTCCATTTCGAAACCAATTGTATGATATTTTCAAAGAATATGAAAAAGCAATCATTGCAAGAAAGCCGAGAATCTATAGACAAACATTTAGATATTATAAATAAAATGAATTTTAATTTCAAATTTTACACTTACACCTGCAATAATATAAGCAACCTGTGGTCCATGGTCACAACTAGCAAATATGATGAAAAATGAGGCAATCAACCAAAGAATCAAGGCGACCACTTCATTGGCCATTAACTAAATTTAAAAAAAAAATTAATTTAAAATGCATTATTGAACATTAAAACCATATAGGTTTACCGTCAAAGGAAGATTAATATATTGTTCAAGTTGTCGATAGAAACGTGTGATAAATATGATTATCACTAATATGGAAAATATTAGACAATACGAAGCAATGAACACATAAAAGTTGACACTACGTAAGAATTTGCAACGAGGTATTTCGATGACAATCAAACTCAACAATGAAATAACCTATAAAATGATAATAATTGATTTTAAAAATAGAAACAAAACAAAAATTCAAATCAAAATACATACAAATTGACAAATTCGAACCAAACCAAGTTTGGTTGAAATAAATTCCGTATCAAAGAATGGTTCTTCAGTAGTATAAGTTATTTCAGCCATTTTGATTATTGATTATCTATGATCAAATAGATTGAATATAAAAATAAAAATGGTCATTACAATGAATAAGATTCATAATGAAATAGAAAACTTGTTACATCATTAAGTTTTACAGCAAACATTCAAAATATATAACCATTTATGGTCATCATTATTTATGGCCATACATATACTCACCGATATATATTGTTGGATGTATGTAAAGATGATGATGATGATGTTGATTCGAATGAAATTTTGTTCTCCACTTGGCGCTAGATATGCACATAAAGATGTTGCTCTTCTTATAATGGTTCTAGTTCTTTTCCAATAGAGTGTTTGTTGCTTTTGAAAATCAACTATTGGTATAAAAATGATGGCTGTATGAAAAGCCAAGCCAAAGAAAAAATTGAAATACAAAGCGCTAAACACTAAAGCTAAAACTTTTGAACATTCATTCCCCAAAAATAAGAATAAAAACTTTTATTTTTCACTATTTAATCGTATAAACAAATTCATACATCAATGATGGTAATTGTGACTCTATTTATAGAGATGTCACGATCGGTGGTTGTTCTCCATCATCACCGAATTCACACCACTATAATTTATACTGTCCTAAATCTTTTTTTTTCAGAATTCATTTCTAACATTGTTGTTTTTAGACAAACTATTTCTGAATAACCGATGTGAATATTCATAATTTTGAGAAATTTTTTTTTCAAGATATGAGCTTAAGGCCAAGACCAACATTGTTGTTGATAAAAGTGCTAATTTTGGATTGTTGGTTTTTCTTTTGGAAAAATTCTGGTCAATGTGGCCTGTCAACAATAGGATAGCTCGTTCTCTCATTTTCAGATGTATATATGGCTAAAATTAGAATCACATCCAGATCTAGAGCTCAAAAAGCAACAGCTTTCGTTTTTTTTTTGTCGCGTGCCAAATTTTATAATCAACCATTTTCTGGTTGACTATCTTTTACGCGACCACATGTTCAACATTGATGAACAGAAGCCAATAATAATCATGGTGCGAATCATCACAATCTATTTGTATATTATTATTACAGTAAAATTTCGATTAATAAATAATTTTATTTCATTATATCAACAGTAAATGATAAATTTTGACCATAATATTCAGTGGTAAAAAAAAATTCAAATGTACAAAAATATAAATGTGAATTGGTATTGTAAAAAATAAAAATTCTTTTATGAATCAAAACTGATCACTGATGATTTTTCTGTAATAGACATCATCGTCAACATTATCGATGATTCTGATTTGGCAGCGTTTTTTGATGATGATGATGATGATGATGATGATAACGATGAATATTTCGTTTATGTTCCTGATGACGTAGACATGATGATTCTTCATGTTTATATAAATAGCTTTTCAATGCGAATGTTTTACCACAACGTTTACAAATGAATGGTTTGGTCATTGAATGTGTTTGAACATGTGCACGTAGATTGCTAAAATTGTTGAATTTGGAAATTAATTAATTTTCTATTCTTCATTATCAAGATAAATACCTTTTATCGGCAAATGCCTTGTTACAGATATGACATTTAAACGGTTTCTCACCGGTATGTGTACGGATATGGCCCTGTAATAGCCATGGTCTACTAAAACATTTACCGCAATAATTACAACGACAACCTTGTGTATGTGTTCGAACATGCATCGAATAGGCCGGCATCGATACATAGATTTTATCACAATGTGGACAAACACGTGCTTTTTTATCTGTAACACTACGATGTGTTTGCCTATGACGTGTTAAATTCGATGATGTACTATAACATTTACCACAATCAATACAAGCATGAATTTCATTGCCATTATTATTACTGTTGTTGTCATCGTTGCTATTGTGATCATTATCATTTTTAATAATATTAATCTTGTTTGAGAATGTATTTGAAGATTCCGAAAAATTCAAAATCACCTGTTGAATTACAATAAAAATATATTCAAATTCAGCATTATTCGATTTAACCACTTACTTTTATATCAGATTTAGCCAATTCAATTCTTGTTTTTGGTGATGATTCGGATTTTTCATTTTCATTTTTTTTATTTTCATAATCATCTTTTTGTGGTTATGATTAGCAATTTTTTTCGATTGATTGACATTGTTGTCATCATTATTTTTATTATTATTATCGTTCATCGACAAGTTAGAATTAAATTTTAATATTTCATTCGATGAACGTCCATAACGTTTATTGGTGATTAAAAATGATCTAGGCATGATATAGAATTTTTAGCAGAAAAGAAAAATTAAATCATTAGAATAAACACTTTGTGGATTTTCTCAATCACAATGTTTAATAATTATTCATAACCACCATTGCAACAAGAATGAAATGAATGATTTTTTTTTTTAATTCATCATCATCGACCAAAAAAAAGCATCTTTTTCTGTTTATAGAATTCTTCCATCACACACACACACACGCACACACATACTGAACAATGTGATTTCTTAATATATAAAAATGAGTAAGAATTCAACAATTTTGTTTGGATAAAATTTATAAAACTATTAGTATATATGCAAACTGTTGCATATTTCTAAAATTAACTATCTCGAACAATTCTGAATCTGGTACGCTGGGTGGCTGTTTTTTTCTTCTTCTTCTTCTTCTTCTTTTTCATTAATGTTTATGGTTTTTAGCCCGCTTGGATTTAGATTCAAACGCACACACATATTATATATATACACATACAAACACATCTTATTATATACAACGCATACAAATCTAATATGAACGATTGCCAACATAACAAAACAAAACCACCCAATGAACCATCCGAAACCACCCAATTATAGAGATGAAAGGAAGAATAAAGATTCTACTATAAATAATGAATAGTTTTTTTCTACCAGATGATACGGATGATCCAGATGATGATCATACATCTTCAACAAAAAAAAATGATACACTTACAACAACCAATGGCCACTACTTATTATGTTTCTGCATGGTTTCATCATGATCTTTGCTATGAAGCAAACAACAACAAACATAAAAGAATCGTAAATGTCAAACACGTGAATAATGTCTTTTTCCGATACCATTTATATTGACAAGTGGTTATTTTAGGCATATGTATCATCATCATCATCATCATCATTATTGTTGTTGCTGATTTTCACAGTAGCCTTTGTCAAATAATTTACTACACTACATAGACATTAACAAACAAACATATATACATCATTATGGTCACTAGCATCTGGGCAATCTAGCATTGTATCGTATACATATGGTTTTTACACACACATTAAATTACATTACCAGGGTCAAAGTTCATTATGGGCCATAATAATATGGACCTTATTTTATTATGATGATGATATTGATGAGGAAACAAAATTCTATTATTATATTAACAACAGTTATTGTGTGATCGTTAAAATTCCACAAGTGTTTTAAGTATTAGGATTTATAAAAAACGATGCAATCATTTTTGGCATCGTTTTACAAATCAAAATACAATATGTTTTCCTGTATGTGGATTGATTATTTTATTTTTTTTTTGTTCTCTGTTTCCAAGAAAAAAAAATTATTGGAAATGAATCAAGAATTAAATCAAACACACACACATTCAATCCATACCAATCTGAAATTGGTAAATACAAATAAAAAATTCGATCGTTAAAAACATCAGAAAAAAACGAAAAATTTATTTATATCCAATTATTAGAATTGCGGAGCAATTTTTTTTCTGTTTTTCTAAATTCTATCATTCAACTATTTTTGAAAATATTCAAAATGGTGGAATATTTTAAATAAAAAATTTAATTTTATCATATTTTTTCATCAAAAGATGGCAGCAGTAATCATTGGATATGATTCGAATCCTGATCATAATAGAAAAACTGAAAAGTCAATGATTTCTTTGGATCAAAAATTGATTGTTTTTTTTTAAATTTTAAGTTTTATATTGAACAAAAAAAAGTTCATTTTTCCCTTTGTTGAAAAGATCCATTTCGATTATATAAACTCGATTGATGATGATGATGATCTGAATAGAATGCATGGAAAATGATATTTTTTTTTTTTGATTTCAAACGCCATCATAACATTATTATCATGCGAAGTTACCTTGAAATGTTTCCAATTTTGTTCCATTTATTTCTCTTTTTTTTCATTGTATGACTTGAACAAATGGCTGTTATCTTGATATCTAAATCTATAATCTATTAATATGATTATTATTATTATTATTATTGTTGTTGTTGTTGTTGTTGTAAATTCTCTTTCGGTTTGTTTATTTATTTATTTTTGTTGTTGTTGTTGTTATTTTGGAGACTATTATAGTATCCATTTAAAAAAAAAATAAAAAGTTGAATAGATAAATGACAATGGCATCAAGGTAGATTGTTGATAATGATGATGGTGAAGGTATCGAAAAAAAAGCAAGGCTTGTCTATGTATGTATGTTGATATTGGATCATCAAAAAAAAAAATCAAATCAATGTTAATGGCAATTTATAATACCTAAACAAGATAAATAAACATTATTATTATTATTGTCTAGGACCGAGTATGACCGATGAATAGTATAACAATATATGAACATTACCATTATGATTGATAAACAAAATAAAAAATAAAAAAACATCGATCTATTTCAAAATTGATCCAAAAGTCAAAAAAAATGATAATATTGACTATAGGAAAAAAAACTGTTGTTATTATTGTATCATCATCATTATGGATAGATAGATTGGTAATGATAATAAGATGGCAAAAAAAAATAAAACATACGCATCAAATAGTGTTATCTTATAACTGATCAAACATTCTTAAAAAAAAAAAATTTTATATACAATGTTTGTAAGTTTGTGTGTGTGCCATATGCAATCAAATGGATCATTTGATAATTTTTAATTTGTTTGCTTTTTCTTCTTTAAACTGTACAATAATAATGTTTTTTTGTTGTTATTGTGTCTTATTTGTTTGTTTGTTTGTTAGATTTGATATCTATGATCATTACACAATCTCCAACATCCTTATAGAAAAAAAATGTATCCATTCAAATCTGATATCCAAAAAAAAAAAAAATCTTATATAAACTTGAATATATATATACAATGGTCAGCTAAATTCTTGATCGAATGATCATGTTCTTAGCTTTTAAGCAAATTCTGATACTATTGTGACCGATCAACTGACTGACCGTCCAACCAACAAACCAACCAATAATTTGTGCATATAAATAGAAAAAAAAATCATTTAAATGATCATATAATGATCAAGTTGATCAATTAAAAAAAAAAACAAAATAAAATAAAATAAGGACCATGTGATTGACCTCTTTCGCATACTCTCTCATCATAAAAAAAATGATTCTCTTTTTTCAAAAATTCAACACATTCTCACAACATACACAATAGATATATAAATATAACCGCGAGTGTGTTTGTGTGTGTGTGTAAGTGCGTGCCAATGTCTATCGGTTCGTTAGTACGTGCAAAAAAAAAAAAAAAATAAAAATTTCAAATTAAACAATTGTTTGTGTGTGTGTGTGTGTGTGTATGAATGTGGGCAAAAAAAAAGAGAAAGTAGTTTCAATGTATTTTTGGTGACACAGTAACCTCAAACTTGGAACTCGACAATAATAACAACAACAACAACAACAACATCATCATCATCATCAGACTATAGATAAATGAAATTTCATTCTCGAAAAAAAAACTGTTTTGGCATAATCATCATCATAGAAAGAGAGAGAGAGAGATAGAGAAAATAGTAACAGTTTCAAATGGATCGAAAAAAAATCTTTTCTATGTCTATACACATTGCTCAGGGACGATCGAAAAAAAAAATTATAGCCAAGAAAAATGATGATGATAATAATAAAAATAGCAGCAATATTGCTAGCAAAAATAACAAAATAAAGTTCAAGATTATTAAAATTCACATAAAGAATCGATTCGAATGAAAATTGATGATTGTTTTTACTATTTTGCTGCGATTGATATTGCACACACACACACACACACAAACAGATATGATTTGTTATTATTTGAAAATTTCCCACATAAACAAAATATATATACAAAACAAAAGGAAAATACCGAAATTAAAATCAAAAATCCGTTCCTTCACACACACACACACGGCATCATCACCTCAATCACACCTTACAAACTCTCATCTATTTCCCTTGCATGGAGGTGTGTATTGAAAAGGAAAAAACACACACACACACACCGAGCGCGGCAAAAAAAAGGTCAAGTTCGAAGTCATCGATGCATTACGAATATTTTTGAACAAGTGTGTGTGTGTGTTGTTGATAATATAATTGCAAGAATTGGTGCTGGCTCGTCGAAAGACACAATAAAATGCAAATACTTTTGCAGAATGTAAACCTGGCTCATTTACACACATACATCAAGCGTCTTAATGATTTAGATAGATTAGATTTTCCTTTAAAATACATCAGATCATTTTTTTTGATTGATTTATAATCTCTTATTTCGGGCCATCTGGAACCATTTATTTATGGTTCAAATTTCAATATGGATCGATTATCCAAAAATTTTTCTAGATTCGAATCGAACGTTTTTTTTCTGCTGATTCGGTGATTACAATTATTATTTTTATATTTTTTTCAAATTTTTACTATTACTGAGAAAGTAAAAGTTATTTTTTTAAATTTCTGTTTTTTTTCTTGTTGTTGTTGTTGTTGTTTTTGTTATCGTCCCGAACAAACAAGTGTCTGCCTGTGTTTGGATCGTGATGGAGAAAAAAAAACATAACGAATGGCTCCAGCTCCATCCATCCAACCATTCGTTCGTTTCATTCATTCATTTGTTCGTTATTTTCAGTGAAATGGTGATATGTGTCAAGGTTAAAAGAAAAAAAAAACAAGTGTTATATGATGATGATCGAATTTGAAACGAAATGGCTATAGTGCCATTTATAATGCAATGGCCCATAAAAAAAACAAAACCTTTTTTTCTCTCTTCAATTTAAATCGATTTGCTTGACTTGGCTTATTATCGTTGTTGTTTTGTTGTTGTTGTTTTGTTATAATAATATCCAACCATTTTATGAATACTTTTAAGGAAAAAAATAACCTGTATTCCTTGAATACCGATATAACCACAAAGAATTCAATTTGAATTAATTCAATAACAAAAATTTTTTTTTTTTTGAAAATCTTTGATATATTTCATCAATTTGATTGATTGATAACAAGAAACGAGAATTTTTTTTAAACATTTAAATCCTATATATATAAATGTTGATGATATATAAATAAAAAAAAAAAAAAGAAAAGAAACAAACAAGAAACATTTTTGTTCATTTGTCGAATATATAATTACTAGGAGTTTTTTTCGGGTAATAATAATAATGATGATGATGATGATATGATTAGGAAAAGGAAAGAAGGCTGATTGTTGATTGTTGAAATGAATGACCATTGTATTTTGGTTTTTTTTTCGGGTTTATTCAAAGGATACATGATGATGGTGATGATGTTTTGTCGTATGAGGTATCGGGTATAGAAAATAAATTTGAATTTTTTTTTTTGCTTCACTTTTTTTTCATATAGATTTATAATTTTTTAAATTTAAAAAAAAATCATCATATAAATTAAATCGTTTATTAACAAAAAGCAAAAATGTCGAAATTTTTTTTTTTTTTGTTTTTGGTTGTTGAGAATGAAACAAATTGAGAAGAGAAAAAGAATTTGAGAGGTTCAAGAATTGATTGGGAATTTTTTGTTTGTTTGTTTGTTATTAAGACGGGACGGTATGGGTATCGGAGGCATTTGATATTCATTTTGATAATTGTGTGTGTGTGTGTGTGTGTGTGTGTATGTAATTAGTTTTACAATTTTCATTAACAAATGAAGAAATTCTTTTCAAATTAAAAAACAATCAATCAATATCGATAATGATAAATATAGGCGTGTGTGTGTGTGTGTAAGATAATTTTTTTTTAAATATTCATGTAATAAGATGAATAATAAGAAGAGAAAAGAACTTTTTGTCGGCAGGCTGATTCAATATATAATTAATCGTATATTTGAAATATTTTCTCCAACAAATTTGCCATTTGTGGGTATGTGTGTGTGTGAATGATTGAAATCAAACAACAGAAACAGAAAACAATTTTTAAAGATATAGAATAACTGGGCTTTTTGTTGATTATATATAAAAATGATGAAATAAATTTTTTTTCTGTGTTTTGTCTTTTTTTTCATATCATTAATAATTCTATATATGCCATTGATGATAACACAATGAATATTCTTGTTTTTTTTTATTATTTCATTCATTCATTAAATAAAGGTATTCATGAGATATAAACGAAAAAAAATGGAAAAAAAATTCAACAACAACATCATCATCTTCCTCCACCATTCGGAAAATAATTGATTGATTGATTGATCGGTGATTGATTGATTGATGATTGATCAATAAGAGAATAAATTAAACATTTTACATTGAATTAAAATTTGATTGCATTTGATGAGATTCCATTTGTAATCCTTTTTCAATTTCTGAATCAACACTTTCCGGCGGTACACCGACAGTTGTGAGCAAACTTTTGAGAACATTCAATTCTTTATATAATGAATCAACTTTTTTTCGTAGCTGTTCATTTTCTCTGGCTAATTCTGCAACTTTTTTCTCTGTTTCACGGCTACGTATTTTGGCCTTTTCACGACTTTTTCTTACGGCTATATTATTACGTTCACGACGTTTTTTATATTCATCTGATCCTTTATCCACGTGTTTTTTCGAATTATTCTTGTTGCTACGATTATGATTATTATTATTATTACGTCCTGAATGTGATGATGTTGATGATGATGATGAAATTGTTGTTGTTGTTGTAGCGGCATTCATACCGAATGCCATATGCGCCCTTGATATCGATGATGGATTTGAATTATCTCCCGGTTCGACAGCTGATCTCGTATTATTATTATTATTATTGGTTATACGAGCATCATTACCATAATTTGGAGCAAATGGGCTTGAAACAAAAACAGTATTTGTCTGACTACAAGTGTTTGTTGAGAAATCTTCGGAATCGAGTGGTTCCTGTTTGACTGTAGAACCGGCTTCGAGACCATAACGATTAGTGCCAATTGAAGGCTGTTGAGGCATTGGTGTGTGCTGCTGCTGCTGGTATGAATTATTTGAATTATTATTGTATGTGGATGAGGAATGCGTATTTCCGCTACCGTTGCTACTATTACTGTTACTACTACTATTATTATTATTGGTATGGGTGTTGTTGACTGATTGTTGTTGTTGTTGTTGTTGAACAGAATTCAAATTATGATGTGTTTGATGAGAATGAAGTTGTTGATGATGATGAGGATGTTGTTGTTGTTGTTGTTGTTGTCGTTGGTGGTGGTGGTTTAAACCACCTGTAATCACTTGATTTTTTTGTTGTTGTTGTTGTTGATTGGTTTGTATTAATCCAGAGAATAATGATTCCTGGTCGATTGGTTGCTGCTGCTGTTGTTGTTGTTGTTGTTGATGATGATGGTGATGATGATGATTGCCGGAAGTTTCGTTTTGGTTGTTAACTGTATCGTTTGTAATGAATTGTTGTATGGATATATGATCAAGAGTGAGCTCAGGACTGTTGAGATCGGTCGGTATACCCTCCGAGCCGTGGGTGTTGTTGTTATTAACGTTTGTTGTACTATGAACAAGGGATTGTAATGTTGGTGAAACGCACTTTGAAACACGATTCGATGCCTTGTTTGTACTATTATCGAACGAATTATTTAGTGGCGATGTATGATCATAGAAAATGGAATCCATTCCAATCGATACCGGGCTGCATATTATTGGCCACTCAGTGTCTAGTTCATATGAACGTTGTTGCTTATAGGACGCCGTTGTGACCGTGATATCTGACTAGCTGCAAGCTTAATAAATTAAGCAGCAGCCAGCTCAACCAATTTAACCGAAACAAATAAAAAAAAACAGGAAATCACAAATAAAACGGTAATCACACTAACGGGCCAACACACCAAACACACGCCTTTTTAATTTACACTTTCACTTGTTGGTCGTTGATGATGACGATGATGATGGTGATTTTTTAAATAAATAAGTTTTTTTTGATAGGTTTAACTTTGATAAGTTGTTGCACAATTAATAATGCAAATTATAATAAATGATGATCCGGCAAAGTTTTTTTTTTTTTGGTCAATTCAAACTGTGAATTAAATAAATATGAAAAATTTTGAATTTTCAAATTTCAAATTCTTAACAATGAGTGGTGTCGAGCCGCGTCAAATTCAAATTCAAAATTCTTTTTGCTTGTATAGAGTATATTCAATTCAACAACAACAACAACAACAATGGCATAATGTGTGTTGAATGAATGGCGCGCCAAGTTGAAATCATGATATTATTTGGAAAAAAAAAATTTCAGACCAATTCAATGTGATGATGATGATGATGATGATGATGGTATATACAAAATTGAACGAGAGAAAAAAAAGGTAAGAATACAGTTTGGCCGTCTCTATATATGATCTATATGTGTGTGTGTGTGTGTATGCTTGTGGTGTTCACTGGAGGAAAGATGAGAATCGATTGCCAACCAAAATGTTGATGATGATGATTCAAACTAAACTGAAATCCAATGAAACTAACAAAATAAAATAAAATAATAATAAAACTACGCATACACTATTATGGAAAAAAAAATAAGAGAGAGAGAGAGAGATACTACTTTTTTTTCATGGATACTACTTTTTTTTTGATGCGTACTGACTTTCATTTTGGATGGATGGATGGTTTGTATATGAAGATAGAATGGGAATATATACATACACAAGCAGACAAAAAAAACGCTTGCAACTTACAAATGCAATGCAGTGAAACAGGAGTGTTGGAGTTGGTTTTTTTTACTTTTTACTTTTTGGCTTGGGTGATATTTGAAATGTAATGAAATATACGTATAACAAATGATATATAAGTGAGATATACAAGTGAAAAAGAGAAAATGAATGTATATGTGTGTGTGTGTATGATAAAGACCGAATCAATATAAATTTTTTTTTTTTTGGGAGTATATATGGTTATATATGGTCGAAAGACGCACGTTCCAAGAAAAAAAAAACACACACACACACACATTTTGGGTTTCAAATATCGTTAACGTACGTGTGAGATATTTATATTTTGGTGTTCCAAATGGTTGAATATAGCCAAAAAAAAAAAAAATTCTCTCCATCCCCTCCTTCCTAGTCGATTTTATCGGCTACAATTTTATTTTCTATCAAATAATATCAATTGAACCAATTTTTTTTCAAATAATACCAATACACACACACTTGTATTGGTTGATAATCGAATGGTGTGTGTGTGTGTGTGTTGGTGGTGGTGGAGTTGTATCCAAACAAGTGCTAACGAGTTCAAGCAAGTGAATTATTTTTTTTTTTTGTTGTTGGCTCTTTCTATCTCTTTTTTTTTTTTTTGCTTTTACTTTCATATATTTTGTTTCAATGGATTGCTTTTTGGATGGCTCGATGTCCTTGGTGTTTGTCGTTGTACTATTAGTTGACGATGATGATGATGATCTTCATCATCGTCTAATACCACAATGTCTGTGTGTGTATGTATGAATTTCTGTTATTGTCTTGTGTATATTATTGAAAATAGAGAAGATAAAATCAACTGGGAGCCATAGAACTTAGCATGACATCATCGAGTGGTAATATCATCATTATCAATAGCGTCGGTGGCGGCGGCGGTGGCGGTTACTATTTCTAGTATCTCTATTTGATGAGCTATGAAAAATATTTTTTTGTTCCTAATTATTCAAAAATTATAGAATATTATAATAATAAGAAAAAAAAATTTAAAAAAAAACAGACCTAAACCTGGTGAAGATGACGATGATCTATCTGATAAACGTAATGAAACGTTTTTTTTTTTTTAATATTTTGGGGTTTTCGAGTCGAGCTGTTTTTTCTTTCTTGGCTCAGATTTTTCATTTTTTTTTTACTAAGAAAATACTAATAATTCTCTCCATTTATATATATATATATTCATTCACAATATATACTCCTTCAATCAATGTGTCACATGTTGCTTCTTTTGATGACGGTGATGTGTATGATAGTTATTGCCACTATATGATTGCAATACATTTTTCATTTTTTTTTTTTTTTTTTGTTGTTGTTGTTGTTGTTTTGTTTTATTTTATATCACATCATATAACATTATTATTTATCATCATTATACACATAAACAAGACACATATAGGCACACTGACTTCCAAACGATCCTTGAACCTTCCTTCTTCTTCTCATCATCATCATCGCCCATCATTTGATTTTATTTTGATTTTTTCTATTTTTTTAAAAAAAATTTAAAAACCTTCGGGCGCCAAAAACTCTATGCATCATCATCATCATCATCATCATCCTAATCAGATATCAATCTATCCATACTACCAATGATCGAATAATAATAAATTTGTTTTCTCTTTGATATTTACCACTTACTAATAATATTCATCATGTCACTAAATTATTATGCAATAAATCTTGGATTGATGATGATGATGATGATAATGATGATGGTGGTGAAAATTTGGTGAATAACAGGTTTTTTGTTTGGTTGAATATTTTTTTTTCCTTGTTAATTTATAATTGTGACCATCATTTTTTTTCTGTTTATATCAGTGATGATGATGAAGATGATTTTGGTGAGAAAAAAAATTTGTTTTTTTTATATATTCCTTTAATTAACTGATTTGTAACGGATTTTTATTGGAATAAATTCTTGAAACGAAAAAAAAAATCATTTAAAAAAATTGTTTCATTGAAAATAAACGATCAACTGAAAAAAAAAATTTGTGATTGGTCAAAAATATTGCAATCCATATTGGAAATCCAGAGGCAATTATTTTGTTTGTTTGTTTCTTTTGTTTTTTTTTTTTTTTTTTTTGGTTTGGTTTCTCTTTCATTAACACTTTTTTTTTATTCTGATTATTAGAGGAAAAAAATGATAGTCAAAATCTTTATGGCCAAAAAAAAAAAAAAAATTTTTTGTTTGTTTGTCACATTTGTTTCTAGTTTTTTTTTATCTCAACTATTATCGGTTTGATTGAGATGATGATGATTTCAGCAATTTTATCCTCTAGGCTGGATCGTTTGATATTTTTTTTTTGCTTTGCTTTTCTTTTTCAATACGTTTTGAGAGTAATAAAACAAAAAAAATTTTTTTTTTTTTTGTACGTTAAAAGTGGTTTGACAATCCACCATTTATAATCATCATATGTTTATTTTTGGTATACAAATCGATTCGATGGTGGAGGAAAAAAAAATTTTTTTTTTTCATTCATATTGATTAATTAGAAAAATAAATCACCAGGAATATTCTTTTGTGTGTGTGTGTGTGTGTATGGGTCCTGTTGATTCGTTTCCAAAGGGGGTTGCCAACGAATTTTTTTTTGCTTAGAAACTAATAGTTATTTTATTTGGGACTGGTTGTTTAGTAAAAGTCTGATAACAATGTCATTGTTAAAGCAAAAGTTTTACGAGTACTAACGAACCTAAAACTTGGAATTAAGACCAGAGTTTTTTTCCATTTGGTACAATCATATTCTATTTTTTTTGCCATTCTGATTTTATTGTTGTTGTTCAACTATGAAGGCCTTGTTTTTCATGTTTCAAAGCTGACTACTACACGGTGCACTACTATATTCAAACTGGGCCTTTTTTCTTTTTTTTTTCTTTTTTTCACATTCATCGATCCGAAAAATTCTTGATCCTACCGGTTGGACTTACTCTAATATAACGGTACTGAACTAAAGTGAACCACACTGCATTGAATCGAATGCGAATCGAACCAAATCAAACTGAACTGGTCTGAAACTGAACTGAATTGAATTGAATTGAAATGAAATGAAATAGGGAGCATGTTGATTTATTTGAGTGCAAATTCTATGATATGTGTTGTGCAAAAAAAAAATCATTCCTAATGGAATAAAGCAAATGAGAGAGAAAGATAAAAAAGAAAATATTCTGAAACAGGAATCAAGAATTCACCTCTATTCCTCCGGTATTTCAATGACACACACACACACACACACACTTACCAGTTTGTATCGGTATGCGCCTGAGTTGAATAGTTTTTTTTTTGTTGCTTCTTGTTGGACCTAAACCAACAGGAAAAAAAACCAATGTGTATGACAACCAATGAAAACCAGTGAATAATGGTGGTGATCCATACTGGAACACAGCTAACATCTGCTCCGACACACACTTGTTTCAACTGGCTACAACTAGTTTGATTCTAGATTAAGGAGATTCTAGTCCCAGCGCTTTGTGCACATTTTTTCCTTTTTTTTTTTTTTATTTTCATTTCACTCTAGTACTTTCCAAAAACCAGATACTACCAAAATTCCAGTCGATGTTCATTGGTTTTTTTTCTGTCTTTTCTTTGGATTGTCAACTATCCTGTGATTTACTCACGATTCGTACATTTGGATAATTTGACAATAGAAAGAATGAGAATCACTAATTAGATAACTCTTAGATATCTATGAATTGATCAAGTATGATAATTTTTCAAAATATAATAACATCTAGCATTGTAAAACATTTAGAAAATATGAATTAATTCAATTACAATTATTATAATTAATTAATTTTTTTTAATGGTGCAAAATTTTATGACAAAATATAATAAAGAACTTGATTTGATATAATTCTTTTTTTCACCCAAAATTCTGTCCACCCATAGTCAAGTAGTGACATCTGTTGTTAAGCTATTGAGAACAAGAGCAGATCACGAATTTTTTTGTTTTCAATGAATGTGTAGCATGGTTACAAATGTTTGCGGCATGAATTTTCTCTCCACATTTTCAACTCCTTTGACCGTTTTATGAATTTCAAACATTATCCAGTTTTTTTCTTCACCAATGGATACCATTTACGATTCTAATCAAATCACAAATGTGACAAATATTCGAAATATAAATACATCATTGAATGGAATAAAAAATACCCTGTATTTTTCGACACCATCCAATTATTTATCAGGTATTTGATTGTTAATTCAAACTTGATTTTCTTAACATTTTTTTTTATTATCATTTTATTAGCTAAATATGTTTGGAATATAATCGATTCTCGATTAGAAGTGTATAGTTTTGAGCAAAAATGTAATAATCGTTTAGTGGCTTCATTTGATTTTGGTCGTATTTTCAACGATTCAAACATATTGATCACCAATGTGATCCGTTTAGCTGATCGTTTTGAACTTACATCACACTTTCGCCATCCATATAAATTAATTGTCATTTTAAGCTTGACAAATGCTCAAAATTATATCTGTCTATTGGATATTCGTCTTAATTCAATCATAAATACGATCGATTTTCCATTCATTATAACCTGTGCTGAAGTTGTACTCAGTGGTCAGAAAGATAATGTAAATAATATGCCATTAATCAACGAATTATGCTTCATGAATGGCTGTTTGGCTATTGGTTGTGAAGGTGGTTTAGTCTTTTTCATCGATCTTATTCTCGATTCTTATTCTCCCGAGCCTCTAATTCCAAAAAGATATCAATAATAACACCAAATAGTTCTCATATGGATATGAACAACAAACGTCGAACTGCAATATTTCACAATCAGGTTCTTTGTATAACATTGAACAGTGAAGCTAAGAATAAAGGAAAATTCAATTATAGAGCTGATGATGGCACCATCATGGCATCCTATCTTCAAAACCAAGTTTATATTAGTGCTCTTCATTATATACCGCAATTGTCATTGATTTGTGTTGGTTACAATTTTGGCGGTTTTCATCTCTATAATCTTCAAACATTCATTCTTGAATGCAGTTGCAATGTTGATCCGGATTTATTGCCTGTAATCTCGTTTTCATTTCAATCACCTGAAAATGATCCGAAAAATTACTCTTATCTTTGGGTTGTTCGTGGATTTCCTTATCGTGTTCCAAATGTTTTTGGAACACATTCTCCCGTTGGAATGTCATCGGTTTTCATCTATTTACTTTGTTATCAGAATAGGAAATATATTGAAAATTATGGAATTCTATATGATACGTTCAAGCTATGTTGTTGCAAATTTGAAATGCTCCTCACTTCAAATTTTTCGGAAAAAAATACTTTAAATAAGAATCATCAAGCGAATAGCAGCAGATTAATCGACATGTTCACTATACATCAAATACTACCGGTATCGAAAACAATTGAAGAAGAAACGCTGACAAATCCGATCGATTACAACTATCTCGTTATAGCATGGGAAACGTCCACTGGAAAAAATAAGGAATCTAACTTTTATTTTTGCCTATTCGACCTTAATCAATGGTATAAATCTCAAATGCCTAAAAGTTTTTGCATTGATCAAAATGGCCATTGTCCGTTCATTTCATTATATTCGATGAATACATTGTCGAAGATTTTTCAGAATAATATCATACAAGCCATCTATTTGCCAAGTATTTCAATTTCAAAATTTAGTTCAAACATGTTCTATTCGGATATCCATTCATATCCAGTATCAATATCCTTCAATTTGACCGTTGCATCCACTTCACAGCTTTGTAACATCAGCTATCAAGGAATTCAAAAACGTTTAATATCTTTCTTGAATTCTTCAAATCTTAAAGATTTAATGAGTAATTGTAATGATATCGTTGTAAAATGTTTTAAATATGGTCTGATTTCTGGTGAATATCCATCGACTGATGAACTAACAAGCGAAACAAATTCAAAGCTCTTTGAACTGTTGAACGTTGCATTGGAAAATAATTTGAATTCTTTATTAATTAATTTTATTGAAAAAGATTCCTTATACACAGACGGCTCAGATTGGATGCTTTTACTAGATTGGATCTGGACCAAAGTAGAATCAATCAAAAGTTCTATCGACATTTTTGTTGCCCCACTATTTGATTTATCCGGTACTAATGTTTCTCGACATGACATTGCCAAGTTGTTATGCTATGAAAGCCATCTCGAAACATTATCAGTATTGCTCAAACAATTGTTGAAAAATTCCACTAATGATTCTAATCTTGGTTTCGAAAAACTCAAAGCACGCATTGAAATTGTTAATCTGATTCAAAATTATCTAAAATTCATATTATTCTTCGAAAATTTTGGCTTTTTACCTGAATGTCAAGATTCCGACGATAGTGTTAATGAAGATCGACCAAGGTATTCATATTTGAAAACATTAGAATTTTATTGCAAACGTCGCGATGATCTGATGGCAGTGAACAAAAATTTTTTCAAAAGTAAACATATTCTTCTCATCGACATTCTTGTCAAATATTTGGAACCACATATCGGATCGATTTGGAATTGCAAAGATCATAAGAATCTTTATCCACCTCAAAATCTATCAATGTTATGTAAAATTTTTTTGCTAGATGATGTTCCTTCAGTATGCAAAAAATCAGTTCTTCTTTATTTCTTTTACGATTTATGCGATAATCTTAATGAACATGGAATTGCTCAAAAGCTTTCTGGTTTGATTTCAACCATCGATATCGATCAAGGTGTTCAATATTTCATCGAAGGAATATGGTTTCTGGACCATCAACACTATGATCGAGCTCTTCAATTGTTCACACATCCAATGGTGTCAACTTCATTGAGTCATTTGAAAATTAACATAGGATTGTTTAATGATTTGATGCAACGTATCATTGAATTGTTCTTGTATGAAAATCAGTACGAAAAGGCTTTAACATTGACAATGAATTGTAATCATCTTATTCTGGATCAAGAACAAAACGAAAATCTATATATTCAGATTTTATTGCTCAATGGAAATTTATCCAGTGCATTCGAATTTCAACGACAACGACGTGCCAATTCAAATTCTTATCACCTTTTGTACAAGCTATTTTTCGTCTGCGAAAAAATGGACACATTGGTTCAAGTTTGCCGTATACCTTTAGACAATTTTGAAGAAGAAGTGTTTATCGAATATCTTCTTAATTCAAGTCAATCAACATCGAAAATGATTCTCGTTTTGTACTTTATTCTAAACAATAAGCTTGTTGAGGCAATTAATATTGTTAAACAATTTGAACAGGAATTCCATTTGGAAGAAGATAATAAAAACATTATCGATTTGATCGATGCATATGTTACAATATTGCCAACATATACCCTCGATTTGGCCAAACAAATTCTACAGGCAAATAATTCGAGCAAAACAAATGGAACTCAATCCAAAACTGTTTTAATCACTAATCAATCAATCACTTTGACTCCTATTCGAAAGTAAGTCTAATTCAATTGAATGACAAGAAAATGATTTAAATAACAATCAATTTTATTATTGTTTCCATTAAACAGAATAGAAGAATCTTTGAAAAAGCCACTTTATTTATCGCCAGGATTTTCAAAATCGAAAATTCTCAAAACGAAAAATCAAAATGCGATTGGAAAATTATTCTCAATCTTAAGGACACCGGATATGAAACGTAAACTAATCGATAGTGTCAACAATAGTTGTCGATCTGATTTAGCTGCGTCAAAAAAACCTATTTTGAAACTGGCTAGTGATTTAAGTATCGATACCGATACTGGACATAGTAAATTGAAAGTATCATTTCTCAACGAAATCGATTCTTCTAATGGCGAAATTTCAAACAATAAACTGACCACCAATGAATTAGAACCAATGGAATCGAATTCTAGCTCTAGTAGTAGTAATACAATTAAAACTATTGAAGAAATAACACTTTCAACACCATCAGCTCGAAGGTATACGATTGAATCTATTAATAATTTAATTAATAAAAGCGTTATTAAAATTTCATTATTTTTTATTTATAGATCCAAAATGATTCGAAAACAAACCGTAGCTATGGATTCCCCTACACATCGTATGACATTACGAAGTAATCGAAAAAATTAATAAAAATGAATCATTTTACCACATAAAATGACAATGAATGTTTATATTGATTATCATTCTTTCTTTCTTAAAAATCATTATAATTCATAACTTTGTTTTTCATTTAACCTAAACGTTTTTTACTTTACATTAAATAATTTATATTCGATAAAAAAAAGTACAATTCATATGTTGTTGTTATTGCATCATGCGAAGCTAATGATTATGCTGGCGTCATCACCGCATTTACACACACGCACACGCATACAATATTGATTCAACTTACCATTTGCCGCTGCCAATATTGTCAGTATACAAATGGTGAAGTAACGAAATGAAAAAAAAAACTCAAAATGATAAACCATAAAATAGCCAAACACAAAAAAGCCAAAAGTGAAAATAGCAAAAATTGAAGATAGCTATAATAATAAAATGTGTGTTTTCGTTTTTGGCTCTTTTGGCTGGTTTGGTTGTTTTTTTTTTTTTTTTTTTGGCTATTTTGTAGAGGAACCATTACATCGAGTATTTCATCATAGCTATAGTTATTTTTTTTTGTTACGAAACAATCACCAGTGGACAAATTCTTGGTAATTTCAAAATTATTTTTCATCCATTAATGATTGATTATTTTTTTTATTTGTTCGATTATTATTATTGAATAGAAATTGGTTTCAATTTTTTTTTCGATACATATTGATATTGCTTTTGTAATAATAATTATATATTATAAATTGATAATAGTGATTGAAGAATTTTATTATTGTGAACAATTATCGATTTAAAAGTGTGTGAACGGATTTTCAATTATCGTCATCTGAATTCTTTTGGACAGCAAATAAAAAAAACAATGAGCCCAACAAGTAAAAAACAGCCATTAAAACTTTCTGTCAAAAATGAAATGATGGATCAAACATCATCCGATAGTAGCAGTATGGAACAATCGGATATAATTGGAAGAAATAAATCCACATCCAGCTCGAAACAATTTGGCCGTGTTAATCGAAGAACATTGGATAAAAATTCGGATGAATATAAAAAAAGGCGCGAACGAAATAATTTGGCCGTTAAAAAATCTCGAAATAAATCCAAACAAAAAACACAGCAAACACAAGAACGTGTAAACGAATTGAAGGAAGAAAATCAACGTCTAGAGACAAAAGTGAAAATCCTATCAAAAGAATTAAATTTTCTAAGGGACTTGTTTTTGGCACATGCATCCTCACATAGTGGTGGACAATCGATCGATGATGAAAAATCACGATTGATGGACGATCGAAACACTGATAATGGGCAAATCAATCAATCGCATGTGATCTCTTCATCATTCTCGAATAAATTATCCTCAACAACATCCGAAATCGAGAAACATTAATGTCACAATTATGGTGTTGACAACGATGATAATCGAAAAATTCAATTTTCAATTGTTTGATTGCATTAAAAAAAAATGATAATGACAAATAATTTAGAAAATTCCAAAAATTCTATCATAGTAAAATACACGAGTTTTTCATTTATCATGTAGACCTAACTGTGTTGTTGAATGAGGAGCGAGTTTTTTTTCAAAAATGTATAATATAATAATGATAAAAGAAAAGAGAATCTTACCATATTATAACCAAAGCATCATTTTTTTTTCTTATAAATTTTTGGTCATAATAAATTTGTCATTTTTATTTGATTTAAATTATTATTGTGAGAATACAAATTTTGTTGCCGATGATGTAGTACCGTCCAGTTGACGATCATCAGAGTAATTGTTTATACCGGTGATCGTATTTGGATGTATTGTATTTTGATCGGCTTTCAGTATACCAACATTTTGCCATTTTTCAAAACAATTAGCTGAATAGTGATAAGAAAAGAAAGTAAATTCTAAAAAAATTCAATTTGGAAATAATTTTTTTCATACCTTTCCAAAGCCGTACGGCTCCATCATCACCTGAAGAGGCCATCAAAGTACCGGTAATATTCCAAGATACTCTCCATACTTGTGAGCCATGATCATCAAATGAAGCTATCACTTTGATATTATAGCGACGTTTATTTCCAATCGGTGGATTGTTGGTCGAATTGGCCATACTTGCAGTTTGAGAATAAGGTTCAGCAAAATCTTTTTCATTTTCTATTAATCTGATTGAAATTATTTTGACATCTTTGGTGGTGGCCGCTCCTAAAAGATCATATGAACGGCCAACATTCGGTGCAAACGCAATATCATGTACCAATTCGTTGACATCTTTGAATGTTTTATCAATAATTTGCTGCCAATCACGAGCCTGTTCATTAAACTCATAGAACAAAATTTTTGACCCTTGTACGTTATTGTCATCGCTGCCAACAGCTATCATTGGAAAATTTTGTCGAAACAACGAAGGATTCCAAGAAATGGAACTACAAGCTTTGTTGCAGTTAATTTCATATTGAATAGACCAATGGGTAATATTCATAACATCAGGTGCTTCGTAGATTCGAATGACTCCATCGAGAGAACAAGTTGAAAGAATAAGTCCAAAATGTTTAGGTGCAAATTTGACATCTGTAACAGATGTTCGGCTATCGACAAAACTGTGACGCTTTATCCAAACAGATTGATTGTTTTTTTCATTTGTGTTTTTATCACCAACTAATGACAAAATGAATCCATTAAAATGAAAGGGTTTAATTAATCAAAAATTTAATTATACCCATCTCTTCCCAAACAATGGCAGTTCTATCAAACGAACAAGTGGCAAGTATCTGTCCAAATTCGGGATGTGCCCAAGTCACTTTCCATACAGATCCAGCATGTGTTTTCCATGAAGACGTACACGTCCATTGGCCATCATCATCAATGTCCCAGACCTGAAAATATTCTAAATTAACACATTTGTTTGAAGAAAACATCGAATATAAATTGTACTTTGACACTTTGATCTGAGGAACATGTAGCCAATCGTCGACCATAATAATCATAGGCGATGTCATGGATCAAATCTTTATGGTCAGCTTGTATACTTCGTGAAACCATCATGAAAATAATTAGATTTGGACCAAATCAAATTGTAAAGATAATAGCAATCTTAAGACTTTAAAATTTCAATTCCAATTTGAGCACATGACAATTAATAAAGTTCATAAACGACGTACTATACTAATTTTTGTAAACAGAATTGCATGTTTTGAAAAAATATTCGAAAAATGGATAATTCTGGTAAGATTTTCAGGTCATTTTTTTCAATTTTAATCATTTTTTTTTCTCAGCAGAAATATTTTCCTCGTTACCAAAAGAGGTATGTGATGTTAGCCATCTGATCGGTATCGAGCCGGGAACTAGTAATAAGAAACCAGAAGAAACAATATGTGACTGGATTCCAAAAAAAGATCAAAATGATGATTTTAAATACAAATTTTATTCATTATACGAAACTATTGAACAGAATAAATCTTCTTCGTGTTCTAAACAAAGAGGAAAAAAATGTTTAAATTCCAAACAAAGAAAAGCTTTGTTTAATTTGAATAAAGATAAATTGGATTTCAAACAATTCAAGGCAATCAATCAACTTTGGCATTCTTATCTGGATTCAATATTGGAAGATGTGAAAACTAAAGCCGATGAATTGAAATTAGCAAGAATTGATTTACATGGAGCCTATCTTCTGGTATGTAGCTCGAAAAATCCCTCTGTTATTGGTGTCAAAGGCTACATGGTACAGGAATCAAAAAATACATTTCGAATTTTAAACAATCAAAATAGACTGTTGGGTAATTAATTCAATTTGATAATAATAAGAAAAATTTAATTTTAAAAACTATAATTTTTACATAGAAATTCCCAAACATGGAACAATATTTGCATTTAAACATGGAAATAGATTATACAAAATTAATGGTTATAATATAATGATGTCGAGTTTCAATCGTTCGAAAGCCAAACCCAAAATGAATTTCATTAGTGATTTATAATCTATTGATGATTGATGATTAAAAATGCGCTGTGATTGAATAAATCTCTTGTAAATCATCGATGATCTATAAATAAAATTTAAAAAAAATACTTTCATTTCAATAATTGAGTTTAAAAATTATTTATAATTTCTTACCTGTTTAGCAGAGGTACCAATCTTTTTGGCAATCTCAAATTTTTCATTCAAAGATAAATGTACGTATTTATACAGTAGATCACCATCGAGAATGTTTTTGCTAGGATTCATTAGATCCATTTTTCTCATTTTGACCATTCTAAATGCTTTTGGATTCAAACCAGCTATGTGTTGAATATTTGTAGTTAGTAAATTTTGTAACATCAACAAACGTCTATAAGTCTTTTCAGGAATCGGAAGCAAATATCCAATGCTACCGTCTAATGTAGCAAACATACTAACATGTCGTCTGAGATAAGTCTGCTTTAAACGATTATCAATGTTTTTAAATTGTATCCGACAACGAATTCTAAAAATTGAATTGACAAACGATCCAAGATGAAAATCGCCACGCCGAATTAAACGTGTACCACCAATACTTTCCAATTGATCAGGCTGATAAGCGTATAATATAAGATTTTTATTCACATCTGATACCAAAAAACACATTTGGCTATTGTCGATTAAAGTATTCACAAGCATACACCTGTAAAGAACGATGGTCACGACTGACAAGCGATAATGTTCGTGTTTCTTCCTGATATCGTAACAATGAAATCGATTTATAAACATCGCTAACCAATATTAAATTCTTCAACGATATGGCAGCATGGACATAGATTTGTGTGTCTATGAAAGCAATACCAATTAATTGTGATTCTTTAAGTTGCCAAATGTAAATTTTTTGTCCAATCGCTGATAAGAGATATCCACGAACCTGACAAATGGCCGTAACAGGACCTTTTTGTTCTTTACAATAAACAATTTTAATTTTATGCTTAGTCAATGGTTTGCCTGGTTCTGGAACAACTTCGATTATGTCAAATATCCATATTCTTCCACGATTCGTAACATCTTCACCATAGCTATAATTTGTACTGATAGCAATATAGCCTTTTAGACCTGAGCTAGTACCTTCGGAAGCTAACATTACGGTTTTCAAAGCAGTTATATGCTCCCATTCATCGAATTGAACTAATGTACCCGGAATGATTGTCCAATTGACTGGTGATAATAATTGAAGTTCAAATTGTTCTGTTTTACAATGAATGTAACGAGAATCGGATTCAATAAAATCATAATCTTTCTCTTCGCCACCAATTCGAACGATTCTTGTTATATCAATCAAACGACTGGTAACAAGTGCATAGGTTTTACTTTCCAGATGATAATTTACATAATGAACAGTACGATTGATTGGAATATGTTTGTAAGGCCAATATGAATCTAATTCATAACGATTAGCAAGTGTCGAAAATCTCAATTCTTCGTTATTATTGAAATACAGATAACCATTTGGACAATTGACATTGTTGAACATGGCAAATGAGCTGATTGCTCCATCCATGTCCATGCTATGAGATCTCAATTCGCCACGATAAGTCATGAAAAACCAACAAGGATAAGGACCGCAGAGAAATACTCCCGAAAATCCGCCAATGTTGGTAAACGAGCGTAACCATGATCGATTTTCGAACAAATAGCATTGGTCAACATTATTTTCATGAAATTTTGGCAATTTAACAAATTGAAGATGAGAGCCAATCTTTTTGAATCGTATCTTCAAATGATTCTCAACTTGTGATTCATAAAATGGAAATATCTCATAAATGAAAAAGTCTTCATCGAAACGAGCAAACAAATATGGATGACTATTTTGTAAACCTAGACCACAAACAAGAATTTCTTTGGTAATAGACATCGTTAGCATATCGGTTTGATTTTGATACGAATGATCTGTTGTTTGAATACTGTCTACAAGTACACGTAATCCTAAAGGAAAATTCTTGATCAGATAGACCAGTTTAAATTCAGGAAGATTATAAATTTCAAGCACACCGTTTTCTCGCACAATAAAAAGCCAATATGTTGGTTCGGTTTTTGTTATTATCGCGATTTTGGTATCATATTTTTCTTCAACTTCATCATTCATTTGTTGATCATCATTTTCATTTTGACATTGATTATCGTTATTTAAAAAACTAGCCATCGAATTTCCATATAATAGTTCATCTTCTTCATCTATCGTTGTAGCCGATGATAGCGTTGAAATTGTTGAGGTCAAAGGTAGAGCGGAATTGGTTTGTTTCACGACCGTAGATTTCTTTGAATTTACCGATTCGGTCATTTTGGTTTTTGTAGTGAATAAACCGCTAACATCCTTATAGATGCAATGTGAGACAATACGTGATTTGGCTGTGGAAAGATCCGGTTTGATCACCACCAAACGAGCGGTGCTTTTCGTTAAATCAATTTTCAGTCTCAACATGATGATCACACCTTTTTCAGATATAAGAACAGCATAAGGATCTGCAGTGGAAACATGAATCAATGGAGATCCAATGTCGATGGGAAAATGTTGAAGCTCACGAGTACCATCCAATAGACGAACACTTTTGGCACATACTTGTAGAATATATTTATTATCACCAATGTTGCCGGCAAAAATAGTCGGACTTTGTGTGATGAAACCACTTTGATCGAGTTCATTAATTTCTTGACCAATTTGGAAAACTAATGTTGAATCTTCTTGTGTAATGATCAAATATTTATGCACCATGGCTTCGTTATCAGAATAATACAAGTTTGAACCGTACGCTGTCCAACAATCATAACATCCGGGCAATTTGAAACTGGTTTCAATCTGAGGTTTAATTGACCGTTGTAGTACGGTGAGACCACCGGTTTGAAAATAGCCTGAAGTAGTAACAAGTTCCATATGAATATCTTGCTGGCTGGCAATATTCTCCAAAACCAAATTCGGCTCACCTAGACAAACGTTGCCGCATGGACCAATATTGTAAATAATATCGCATAATTTCAATGTACAAGACAAATTTTGTTGTTCAATCGATTTATGATTAATTCGTAATAAACTTTGAGTCAAATTTTCATCATTTGCATTTTCAATTTCTTCATTTTCTGAATTCATACTTTGTTCTTCTGTAACATTTCCTTCATGTTGTTCATTCGAATCTAAAAACACTTCGGTAGATTTATCATCCAAATTGGATCTTTTCAATTGTTGAGTATTATACCAATCCTCGCCATAGAGATACTCATCTTCAGATTGAATGTTTTCATTATATTCAGGTATGATCATTAAATTTCCATTAATAACGCCATTCTGATGAGTGAATCGTGTACTAGAAGACATTTCTGGATTATTCGAATCCATCTTTTCAGCATATTGAATAAGCAATGAATGGCTTAAACGAGATCCAATGAAATAGAAGCTTTCATCACATTTAATCATACTAGTTGCTATGGCTGATGATGCGATATGGATGAAATTGAATGTTCGTACACTTCTAGTCATATCATTATAAAGTTTCAAAACATATAATTCTCCATCCTTCAAGCTTAGTAAAATTTTATTATTGGAAATAAAAATTGCCTGACAACAGTCCAATGAAATAATGACATCATCTTGTGTTTTCAATGGAAACGAAGTATTGCTATCATTAAAACCATTTAACGATATACCGTATGGTGGTAAACCTTGATTTAAATGTATCAAAGCATTAGCAGCGAATATTAATACACCACCGATTGGTTTTGGAATCGGTAAGGCAGCGAATGTGTTGAATGGAAGATTATTCATAGACCAGATATGCGGATGGACACGTTGATGAACATCCAAGGATAGAGTGATCATCGAAACAGTATCTTGACGGACGGCTATCCTTCCGGGCCATGTTTGTACTGGTTCATAAAGTATCATCAATGTAGGTTCATAGTAGTTATGTAAAAATTGTATGTCAAGCACATTTGTTATATTAACACCATATTGTTCTGGATTCAATATCAATTTGTACGATGGCAATACTGGCAATTTCTTTTGGTTTACAGAAGGAGTATTTTGACTGTTTAGACTTGATAGAAACAATGAATCCTGATTATCTTCAACGACTACATCCTTACGGAAAGGTATGATTATAATGTTTTTATTATAGACCAACATGGCAGCACATCGATTTTCTGGATCAACACGAACCAATGGAGGCCGAACATGAGTCGTATAGCCAGATTTCATATCATCATCTTCAAAATAATGCATCGATATTGTTTTGAGATCATGTGTGCTTGGATCATATTCAACCACCGAAAGTTTTGCATCATTGAATGCTAATATAAGACAATCACGATTGGCGGCCAAAAATGAAACAGAATTCAATGATTCAATGTTGGCATTCAATGTAAACGTTTGTATACATTCGAGCTTGATATTGTCATATGAATCACCATCTTCAGGATAATGAACACTTTTGTTAATAGGATGATTAACATTGACATTATTCGATGTAATTGGAACATTGATCAGACGATAAACTTTAAGTTGATTCAAACCAGCTGTAATTAGATTTCTTTCTGAATAATTATAAAAATGACAAGATGTGGAATGTTCCACCTGAGTTGATGGATGAATTGTTTTGCAAATAGCATACATTTTTTCACCAAAAAAAAAAAAAAAAAAAATAAACCAAACAAATTCAAAAAAATGTAATGATATTCATTATCGCTACTATTTTGAGTCAATAATAATAAAAATCACCTAAACGGCGGTTCTATTTGTGTTGTATATAAGCAGCATGTTACAATGACAACAGATGATTTTAAAATCAAATCTAATTGCCATTAGATGGCAGTATGGTAGAATTGCAAACATTTTCGAAATTTCACCAAAGGTTCTGTTTCGTTCAACAATTATGCACCATTATTTGTTGTAATCATAAAACCCGACAATGGCTTTTGGCCACCTTTTATAATATGATGATTAACATGGCACTCGTTAATTTGATGAAAATCATTTATTCAATTAGTTTGAAATTCATTTAATTTTTTTTTATAAGAATTTATTTATTCAAAATTATTATTTTGATCAAGATTTTGTGAATCATACAATTCTCTAAAATGAATTAATAATTCTGTTAAATTTGTACCATATTTGCCGGATACTGGAATCACTTTTAAATGAAACAAATTATTCGTATTCAAATGTTGTAGAAATATTTTTAATTTTGTGGCTGAATCATCATCACTATCTATTTTATTAGCGATGATCGTAATAGGCTTTTGTAATAATTCACTTTTGTAAAGATCTATTTCTTTCATAAGAATTTTCAATTGTTCAAATGGTTCATCAATGGACATGTCGATGACAAAGAAAAGGCATACACAACGTTCAATGTGTTTAAGAAAATTCAATCCTAAACCTTTGTTACAATGAGCTTCCGAAATGATACCAGGCAGATCAGCGATGGATAATTGTTCCATATCTTCATATTGTACAATACCTACAGATGGTTTTAGTGTTGTAAATGGATAACTAGCAACTTTAGGTCGAGCACGAGATAATGCACTTAACAAAGTAGATTTTCCAGCATTTGGAAATCCAACTAAACCAGCATGAGCAATAATTTTCATCTCAAGAATCCATTGATTATCTTCACCTTGTGCTCCAACTTCGGCTACATATGGATGTCGATTTTTATTGCTTAAAAAATAATGATTACCTTTTCCACCACTTCCACCTTTGGCAGCTAAAAATTTCATCTTATCACAATATAAATCGGCTACAATTTGATCTGTTTGAGCATCTTTGACTAGAGTTCCAATTGGCACTGATATGGTCATATGTGGAGCATTTTTTCCGGTCATATCTTTATGCATACCATTCTCTCCTTGTTCACCAGTATATTTAGATTTAATCTGATTCAATGATTTAGTATTTTTTGATGCTTCGAAAATAACATGACCACCATTGCCACCGTCACCACCGCTTGGTCCGGCTTGTGGATTAGACCAAAGTTGAAGAAAACAGATCATACCATCACCTCCTTTTCCGCCTTTTACGTGAACACGTTTATAGTCGATAAATTCAGATGAATGGATATTAGTGGAAGATTTATTCTTCAATGATCTTAATGGAGCGGGATGCGAATATTTTTCAACATTTTGTTGATTATTATTATCCGATTTAATTTGATCGGATAGTTTTAAATTTGAATGAATAAATGGTTCGGTAGATGTCGATGTTGAATTATTATCGTTCAATAAATTAATAATGGGAAAAATTCTATTCAATACAATACGTTTACGAACATGTGAAATTAATGACATTTTTCATGCAATACATTATGCAATATACATTCAAAAAAATGTGAGTGGAACATATGAGAAAAATCTAGAAATTTAAAGAATTCACTCGAATGAATGAAATGAATGTCTCTGTTCGTTTCGAGAAACATCTACAAAATTCTCCACTATTCTAGTAACCACTACAACGTACCACAATATTCGACAAAAATCCCGCCTTCTCTCCACTGTTGTAGAGTATACGAGGAGAATCCAAGTTGAAATAGTCGTGATCGGCCGCGAGTATATAAACTCCGGTGCCGATCGACTACAGCAACTCAATTGACTACTAAAATTGAAATCAAATTCAAAATTCAAATCTCTCAAAACTCTTATTCTCTCGTTAATATTTTTTCAAAAAATTTGATCATTTTCAACTGTTTAACTGTTTATTGATTTATATTTGTGATTTTACATAATTAACAACGAAAATGCCGTCGAAAACATTGAAAGCCCCTGCTATTGGTATCGATTTGGGTACCACATATTCATGTGTTGGTGTATTCCAGAATGGTTCCGTCGAGATAATAGCCAATGATCAAGGCAACCGAACAACACCCAGCTATGTTGCCTTCAATGATACTGAACGTTTAATTGGTGATGCTGCCAAGAATCAAGTTTCCATGAATCCAACTAATACCATATTCGATGCTAAACGTCTGATTGGTCGTCGATTTGATGAATCATCAGTGAAATCAGATATGAAACATTGGCCATTCAAAGTTGTAAGCGAATCTGGAAAGCCAAAGCTCGAAGTCGAATTTAAAGGCGAACGAAAACGATTCTGGCCTGAAGAAATCTCTGCTATGGTCTTGACTAAGATGAAGGAAACGGCTGAAGCTTATCTTGGACAGAAAGTTACTGATGTTGTGATCACTGTTCCAGCTTACTTCAACGATTCCCAACGACAAGCGACCAAAGATGCTGGAGTGATTGCTGGATTGAACGTATTGCGAATCATCAACGAACCTACTGCCGCAGCTATCGCCTATGGGCTGGATAAAAAAGGTGGTGGTGAAAAAAATGTTCTCATCTTTGATCTTGGTGGTGGAACATTTGATGTCTCGGTATTGACCATCGACAATGGTATCTTCGAAGTCAAATCAACTGCTGGCGATACTCATCTTGGCGGTGAAGACTTTGATAATCGCTTGGTGAACCATTTTGTTCAAGAATTCAAACGAAAATTCGGCAAAGACATCATGTCGAACAAACGAGCCTTGCGACGTCTTCGAACATCATGTGAACGTGCTAAACGAACATTGTCATCATCAACTCAAACCTCGATCGAAATTGATTCATTACATGAAGGAATCGATTTCTACTCAACAATTACCCGAGCCAGATTTGAAGAACTTTGCTCTGACTTGTTCCGATCAACATTAGAACCTGTTGAAAAAGCTCTTCGAGATGCTAAATTAGACAAATCCAAGATTGACGAAATTGTTTTGGTTGGTGGTTCCACTCGAATTCCCAAAATCCAGAAATTATTATCAGATTTCTTCAATGGCAAAGAACTAAACAAATCCATCAACCCGGATGAAGCTGTCGCTTATGGTGCTGCTGTCCAAGCTGCTATATTGACTGGAGATAATTCGAATAATGTCAAAGATTTGTTATTGCTTGATGTGGCACCATTATCATTGGGTATTGAAACTGCCGGTGGAGTTATGACTACTTTGATCAAGCGAAACACTACCATACCTACCAAACAAACGCAAACATTCACCACCTATGCTGATAATCAACCTGCTGTCACGATCCAAGTTTATGAAGGAGAACGAGCAATGACCAAAGATAACAACCGCCTTGGTACATTTGATTTGACTGGTATTCCGCCTGCACCAAGAGGTGTTCCACAAATTGAAGTCACCTTTGATGTTGATGCAAACGGTATATTGAATGTGTCGGCAGTTGACAAGAGCACAGGTCGACAAAACAAGATTACCATCACTAATGATAAAGGTCGTTTGTCGAAAGCTGATATCGAAAAAATGGTTCAAGAAGCAGAACAATATCGTGAAGATGATGAGCGACAACGTGAACGTATTGCTGCTAAAAACCAATTGGAAGCTTATGCATTCCAATTGAAATCGACAATGGAAGAAGAAGCGGTCAAATCGAAACTGTCCGAAGAAGATCGAAAAACCGTCTTGAACAAAGTTGATGAAACCTTACGATGGCTGGATTCAAATCAATTGGCCGATAAAGAAGAATTTGAACATCGACAAAAAGAAATAGAAAATGCCTGTCGACCAATCATGATGAAAATCTACCAGCAACAACAACAACAACATCATCCTGGTGCAAATGGATCTTGTGGCAGTAATGCATATCCTGGCTACAATGGATTCAAATCAAACAATGATGGACCAGTAGTCGAAGAAGTGAATTAAATTTATCCATTAGAATAAAAATAGATATCGACATAATCAATCAATTATAATATAATATGACATCATAAAATAGTGTAAAAATCATATAATCATTTTATTGTAAAAAATCAGAAATTTTATTTTAAATTCAATAAATTTTTTTTTTCAAAATCTTTTCATTCTTTTCTTTTTATTACTTCTATTGATAAACTTTTTTGACTTTTTCTTTGCTGGTTTAAAGTCAGTTGAATTGTCAATGTTAAGAACAGATATGTCATCAAACTTGGTAACATCATCGGCTATCGAATTGACAGTAGCCAATTTTCTAGCTTGAGCTTTTTGTTTTTTCGTCAAGTTCAAACGGATAAAATGTTCTTCTTCATATTTTTTCTTTCTATTCAGGAATTTTCCTATGCCCGATTTTCGGTTAATTAGTCCATCATATTCTTCTTCAGGTGCATCGTCAAATTCTTTTCGTAATTCGTTTATTATTGAACAGTTCATAGCACGTTTCTTGGCACGTTCCAAATTTCGAGCTTTACGTTCTTGTTCGTCTTCATATTTCATTTGTGCTAATCGTGGTGGAACATAAACTTTATTCTTATCAACTTGAGGTTCTTTGCTGGAATCTTTTTCATTTTCATCTTCTTTCGTTTGATCAGTTTCAGATTCATTTTCATCTTCGATATCAAAGGAAAAAGTTGGCCGAGCATTCAACGGATTGTTCTCGATTTGCATTCGATTGCTGCTCATTGTCTTCATCAAGTTATCCACTTGATATTTAAGTTTTTCTTCCAATGGTTGTATCTTCTCCAACACAACCCTTTCTTCCACTAGTCTTTCTCGAGTTTTATCATTATTTTCACCAAGTAATCGATGCTTGACGATGCCAGTTAAGTCGATCAGATAATTGACAAATATTCTGTTTTTCAAATCAAACAAAGAAATTCCAGATTCAGATGAAAGTTCATCATTTTTTAAACGATCCAATAGTTTTTTTGATGTCCATACACAATCAATCAATGATTCTTTGAATGAATTAAGAAGTTGATTTGTTTCAGAAATTGGATCTTTATCTTCCATCTCTTTTATTATTTGCACTAATCAATATATTGAATTGGAACCAAACATGCAAACACGCGAGAATCTACTGGATCGACTATTTGGACTTGTATGGTATGGGGTAAGTAGTTTTAGGATTTTTTTTATTTATTTTTACATCAGTCATTTTTACTTGAATCAATTCATTGTTGTAAATTATTTCTGGTCATTTCGTGAAAATGAACAAACAAAAGCATCGTTGGTCGCTCAATTTTACAAAGTTAGTAATTATTCTATCAACGAATAATAATAATAATATATTCATCATTATTTCTAGGAGCAATAAAAGTGAACGTTCGGATGTATTATCTCCACCTGGTTACAATTCCAACCATGGTTATATCCAAAACGAAGGTAGCCGTGAAGTGGATAATAATCTGATTGTCAAAAAATCTTGGGAAATAGCGTTAGCACCATTGAAACAAATTCCAATGAATCTGTTCATCATGTACATGGCCGGTAATTCTATTTCAATTTTACCAATCATGATGGTTGGTATGCTTTTCCTGGGACCAATTAAAGCTATATTCAGCTTCAATAAAAGTAGGTTTTAAATGTTAGAGCTAACATTGAACTTAAACTTTCATCTATTTATATTTTCATTTTTAGCATTCAAATTAATTGAAGGAAACCAAGCAATCATGCAAAAATTGATCTACATTATCGGCAATTTAGCTGGAATTGCTTTAGCACTTTATAAATGTAAATCAATGGGCTTGCTTCCCACACATCCATCAGATTGGTTGGATTTTGTCGAACCACCACAACGAATCGAATTTTCCGGTGGTGGTCTTATTACTTAATTTGTTTGTTTATAATTTGATTTTGTGTTAATAATGTTTTTTTGAACGCAAATAAAAACTGCAAACAACGTGTATGGATTTAATTTTGCCTTTGTTTTATTGTTTGAATCGAATTTTTTTTTAAATTGAAAATCATATGGATCAAAACGAGCCACAGCCTAAAGATAATCCTTGGTCGGATACAAAATCGATCGATACTTCCGATGCACAAATCAAGAGAGAAACGAAACAGTGCGTTCAAGGTCTGCCCACGGTATTAGCCAATGATATTATACTACAGAATTTATTGAAACCGACGGATGGCCCTAAAAACCAGGACGAATTAGGTCCAAATATTATGCCATTGCAACTTAATTTTGGTGGTCAAGAAACGAAAGACGTTGATGGAAAAAAATTAGCCATCAAAGATGCTCCAAATGGGAAAAAAGTTCAATACGATCCGGAAAAAGGATTTGTAATGAGTAGTTGGAGTAATTTCGAATTGGAACCACAATCTGAACAGTTGGTAACCGATCCCAAAGGAATTTTCATCAAACACATCACGTCAACCGTTATCAATCCAAATGATTTAGGCAAAGGTTCTACAGGAGCAGCGATCGATATGAAAAGTTTAACGGCAACTTCGCATTGTCTAGCTAGTAATGCATGGTCAAATGTTTTACTTTATAAGCCAAAAGAGATGATTTTCAAGTATGATATTGAACAGAAAAAATTAGTTGCCGAAGATGATGCAAATACTTCGTCTTCTAAGTAAATGCAGAAAATTTGTTAAACTTTTTGTGATTTGATTTTTACAATTAAGAACTAATTTTTTAATTAATGATAATTAATATGACGCTTGTGTAATCAATTGTCGATGCTTGTTTTACACAGCATTGACAACATGAATAACATAATAATCATGATAATACATTAGTATACAAAGAGGTTGTCCAATAATCAACGATAGCCACATTGCATAATTGGCCACTTTTTTGGGCAACCTTTGGACCAATAAGGCTAATGGTATTTGAAATGCCATACCAGCGAATGCCCAGATACGGTACATGTTCAATGGAACGGAGACGAGATATTCATGGAAAAATGCCGAAGCCAAAAATACAATGGCCGATGCTTTCACAGTGTTCATTTTGAATGACACAACCAAAGGAAGATAAAGATGTCGTACACACCATCGATGAGTTGGTGTATTCCATGTTCTCCAAAAATATTCAATCGATTCTGAATTCCACCAATCTTTGTAAAATTCGCGATCAGCAAAACGGAAAATTTCACCAAGTAAATTTAAATATGAATGATAAACAAGATAGAAAAATATCAACCAACATAAATGATTTGGAACCTTGTGAAAAAAAATATAAGGTTATCACTCAATAGATTTATGTATAAAAATTTTATTACACATACAGCAAGCTTCAATAATCTTTCCAACATTTTCGTATATGACATTTCCATGAATGGTTCTAATGAATTTTGAATTGCCGGCACCATCCATTGTTGTATTAAAGCAATCTCGATCTGTAGGAGAAAAAACTATCCATTCTATTGATTATCATCAAGAATTGTTAAAAATCAATTCAATTAACTTACAATCTCCAATAGACGTTTGATTAGAAAACTTTTACGAATTCGTTTGGTTCGAGGGAAATTTAATTCATAGCATAAAGTTGGTGCGAACATGAAATAGTATAGATTTGACAAAGTCAAATTGTTTGGATATTCAACAATTGACGATGATGATGATGATGATGATGATGATGATGATGATGACGAGGTAATGTGGCTGATTCCAATATCATTTTCATTGGTTGTTATATTGTTGTTGTCTTCTTTTTTCGATTGAACATTGTTCTCTCGATGCCAATAATTGGCCATATGATAGGAAACTAATTTCAAAAAAACTACCGTATAATAAAGACAGCATGTTGAACCAGCAATCGGATTAAATTCATAGCAATGAAATACTATTGGTGGTATGGTGAGTAAAACAGTTAGATACAAGCCGATCAATGTAAATAAATGTGAAAATTTTAGCAAATATTTGGTTAAAAACAATTCAATAATGAATGCAAATAAAATGAATGCATTCAAAATGATTAATAAATAAAATGTAGGTATAATGTTGCTTATGGTAAAATAATTGATAATGACGCGCATAGGATCGATCAATATTCCATATTTGAGTACATTTTCAAGTGCAACACGAAAATTTGATAAAAATAAGATTGTATAACAAAGATTAATTAGGCCACGATAGTTAGTATATCCGCTAGATGAACTGAATAATGAATCTTTGGGCTGATGAACTCTACAATCGATTAATATAATGAGTTGGCGGAAAAAAAACCAATTAAATCCATTGTGAAAAACTTACGGTTTGTTCAAAAAATCTTTGAATGATGAATTCATTTTTCCATTCGTCAATGGTGACGAAGATGTGTTTAGATTATTTTCAGGACTGCAATGGTTCATCATGATGGTCAAGATAAAACCTGATTCAAAGTAATATATGACAGTCAAACCTGATCATCAATGATGTTAATGAAGAAAACATAACCGAATGTAACAAAAAAAAAGTTGATTTTTAAAGTTTGTTCGGGGAAAATCTTCATCTTCTTTTTCATGCTCATTTCAAGCAATTTGCACAGTCAGGTTCATCAATTTTTTGAAAAATAATTGTTATTAACGTCATCATCGATCATGACAACATCGATTGATTACTATTATGAACCTTGACTATATATCAATTAATCAATGATCACTAGATAAATGATTCTTTGTTATCGTTGTCGATTTAAGCATCGTCAAAGGAATAACATCCTGTTGTCCTTGAATGTTTATTCATTAAGAAAAGAAACATTTCCCCGCCTATAAATCTTAGATACAAAGTGTTGAAAAATCAATTCACGTAATAAATTTTTTTATTATTATTAATAAAATTTGATTTATAAATTTATTTTGCAATTTAATAAAAGAATATTCCAAATTTGATTCTGTAGAGCGACAATTGTTTATCCTTTAAGGATACGATTCATTTGCCTATTTTGATTACTCACTGTATCCTGTGCTTTTTCCGATTTCGTTGCAATTGTATCAAGCAGTTTATTTTGACTATCAATTTCGGTGCCCAAACCTAATGCCAATTCTTTCAAGCGGCTAATACCGAGACCCATTTCGGAAAGATTCTCATCCAATTGTTGGTCAATTTCTTGTGATCGTATCTCATATGATGATAAATTTTTCGTCTTATCAGGCATGTTACGGCTATTCATGTCATCATTAACATCGAATTTATGGCTGATTCGACTATCGTTGATGACCGAAGTATTTTTCGATATATTCTCCAATGTATGTTGCAGTTTATTATCACTTGCCGATGACGATATTTTTTTCGTATTTACTGGCGGCAAATTTTTAGGATCCTGATTTTTTGAAAACATATTTTTGAAACCACCAAACATACTCTTCATGGATGAAATATGTTTTTGTGACATACGCATAATCGAATTAATTGAATCAAGTTTTTCATTGACATTATCCAGCTGTTCACGTTGATGCAATAATTCTTCAGCAGTATGAACGCCTATTTTTTCGGTTTCATAGATAAGCCCTAAAGAATTTTTCGTTGATTGAAGTGTTTGTTCTTCAATTCGCCGCCGTTCTTCAAATAATTGTAATCGTTTATCAGCCATTGATGAAGATGGATCATTATTATTAGAAAGAATATATCCCTTCGAACCTTGTCGAGGATGATTGAGGAATGTACTATCGTCAACATCTTCGAATTCGGGAATAGAACCATTTTTCATGTAGGACATTATGCAGGATAATAATATTTTAAAGAGCAGTGGTTTTAATGTAATAAAAAAAAATCAAATTGGGAATTTTTTTTCAACAAATAAAAAAATCTTGTATTATGTCTTTTTATATGAAATGTTACAAAAATTAAAAAAAATGTAAAACAATAAATTATTGAAAAAACAATGGCAATGAAAGGAATGATGATGATAAAATCCCCCACAGAAAAATTTAATACGAAACAATCAAAATATTGAATCGAATATGATGACGCCACAACTCATGCAACAGCTGCAGCTATTGTCTAATGACCATCATAAATGACGTTACCGATTTAAATGGATTTATTTGCGCTTTTTTTATTCCTGGAACCTATTGGTATCTATAATCATCGAATCTTGAATCGGATTCAGTTTTTAAACAATCATAAGCATCAGGACAATAACATTAGAAATTATTGCATTTAAAACAAAAGTTACTTTTTTAAGTGAAAAATAAAGTGCAACCAACAGAATTCACAATTTTTCATGATGATGATGGCGTCTGTGATGGATTCTAATTTTAGAATCGTTCATATTCATTGCGGTCATGTTCATTTTTCACTATATTCAAAGATCCTAATGGTGCAATTACATTATTTTAATGAAGAAAGTGGCTATACTAGCATTCATCAATTGAAAAGAATAATAGTGTGCCAGATTCTTCTCTCCACAGGCATTTTTCATGTAATCATCATAATTATAAAATACACAAACTCAAACAATGGATGAATCGTTGAAAGAAGATCAATCTCATAGCCATAATAATATCGATGATATCGAAATGATTTCTCTTTCCGATGAAAATCTAGGTACGTTCAAATAATTCTTTTTTAACTTTTACATGATAAATAATTGTTATATATTATAGCTGATATGCTTATCACAAAGTATGATTATTTGGATTCATGTATTGCGAATGAAAAATTTGATGCACAACTATGTAGTAATCTAGTGCTGTTGTTGAAATTCATTCTGGAGAATGGTCATCATATGGATGATGATGCTAATCATCGAGAACAAATGAACATGTTTTTCACTTTATTCCGTAACATACTCCGTAATCATTTGAAATGTTTACCAGATTCAATTAATTTGCTTATCCTAAGATTGATTGAAATTCGTGCAAGTAAATGGAAAATTAAATCAAGTATCGAAGAATACTATATGAAAAAAGTGGACAAACTTCAATCGAACAATAATATGTTCAGACCAAATAATTATCGTTCGTATAATGAAAAATCATCTGGCTATTCAAATATTCGTATCTCAAAATCATATAGCGATGTAATCAATGCTAACAACAATGCTGATGGTTCCCCACCAAAAAATTCAAAATTATTGAAAATGAATGCCAAAGGAGTGTATAAGGATGAAGTGTCTATAAAAAATTCCGATTCAGGAAAAGGCAAGTTTCAAAGATTTTTGTTTTTGAAGAATAATTTAATCACATTTTATTGAACAGTAATGGGCATTAAAGGGCGTAGAATTCATATGATTGAAGAGATGAGTGATACAATAATCTCTTTCCAGAAAGGTGAGAGTAAATGTGTAGTTTTTTTGATGTTTATTAAATAGTGTCCTCTATAGTATCACCAACTGCAAAAGAACGTCTAGTACTGATATCTGGATATAATCGTGAAAGTATTGAGAAAGCAAAAAATCTAATCGATGTCACCATTCGACAAAACATTTCACCAATACCATTCGAATCTCATGAAACATCAAATTTTAATGTGACATTGTCATCGATAAAAACGACTGCTGATCCAATCGAAGAAGCCCAATTTTTATATTGTTCATCATCAAATGAACTAAACATTGAAAATTCAAAGAAAAATTCATCCAACTCAAATAATAGTGGCAAAAATAATGCTTCCTCTGATACGACGGATATCTTTTCATATTCATTTTCATTCAACTTTAATAACAAAAATATTCAAATCAAAATTTCCGATTCAATCATTGGAAAAAAATTGGAACATTTTTTGAACAAATTCAATTTTATTAATTTTCTCATTAATGAAAATTTTGATAATCATGACAAAGAAATTTCAAAATCATCTTGTGATCAGAAAAAAACAATTATTACTTATGATCGCGATTTTTTGATGAGCCTTCGTGAATCCCATATGAATTTTGACGATTCTCGTTTGATGAATGATATAAAGGAGAAACAAGCATCTCTTTTACGTTGATGTCATCAATCATCAGAATAAGAATCGTTCATCGACCAAAGTTTTTTGAACTAAATTTTTACGTGCAAATCGTCCATATAAACTTTGTATAAACTATTTGATTGAAATGGAAAATGTAAAGAATGTCATGTAACACAAATTGAAAACAATTACTAACCAATGATAGTAAATAAGTGACAAAAGCATCGATAATGTAGTCGTGTGATAATAAATCGACAATTATGAATGTGATCAATTCTAAAGTGATCAATGTTGTTTCAAGTCCACTGAATAGAATATTCTCGAATAAATTATTACTATCTGTATTGGTCATTTCAAATGACTATTTAGTTTTTGTTTTAATTTAATAATAATCGTTTTTCTTACCATTGTAAAAATATCCGATACCCTGTGAAACGGATGATGATTCAAAATCCAACATGGATTCCATGCTTGTCTTATCCTGTACCCTATAATCAGCTTTGTCCAACATATGAGCAATAAAATTTATAAGAAAATTATTAATTTGAACATATGTTGAAACCATTTTAGCCATATCCAATTCGCCTAGATTCAGATTACCAAATGTATTGATTGGCCGTTTATTATTATTATTATTATGACTGATGGCTGCTGTTTCCAATAATCGTCGACGATATTCTTTAAGCAGCTCATGAATGATTGATGGTAAATACATTTCAAATGTTTGTTGATCAGTATTAGGCAATAGTCCACGTTTGGAACAAAGATCACTTTCTTCCATATCCAATAATCGATACATTTCCAACATATTTACATCACTTTGGCCATGTGGTGAAATGCCATGAATATAATAGCCATATTTTTTGTAGCGAAGACAAAAAACACTTATCTATTTAAATCAAACAAATCAGACAATTGATCAATTAATCGATAATACTCACATTGCTAACCGAACAAAGATCGATAAATTCATTTAGTTTGTTACAGATGAAATTTTCTTTAAAAAATTTTTTATAAAAGTATTGAATTAAAATCATGATAATATACAATGAAGCTATCGTAGGTATTCGTATGGCTATGCATTCCGGTATTTCATCGGCATAATTCTTATTGGGCAACAAGTTTAGATAAGATTGTGGCGCAAGTTTACAAAATTTATGAAATTCTTCAGTTTCCAAAACGAAGATTATAAGAAAAAGATGTAATCCAATGTTGATTCGACGACGTACAGACAATTCTATCCATTCATTTGCGATAAAATAACTTCTCCATATGCTTACGTCGGTTATATCAGTTCCACTATGCATTTTTCTTGTCGAATCTTTGCTTACATTGTCTGAAATTCGTGGCGATACATTACGTTTGAATTGTTCTGTCCTTTTTCTTGGACGTTCCCAATCGATGAAAAAAATTTCAATTGATGTTGAATCTGATAATTTCTTGATCATTTCAATCGTTTTGCAGATAAAAATTATAACTAAATATTGTAAAAATTGTTTTTGATGCTGATCGCTAAATATAAGTGCTCGCATCATTGATTGATATTTGAAAACGAGAATTCGATTCATGATGAATACCAACAGAATGCAAGCAAGTATGTTTGATACTGATATAATGAAGTAATTGATGAATACGGGTATGATTTGCCAATCAAAAATGTGCAACCTATTATAAAGGTCACGGTTTCGATTCATCATTGACCATGTTCGAAATGATGACCAAAGTATTGATAATGATAAAGAAAAAACCAAAGCAAATATGTGAAAATTGTACATAATATCATCATCATCATCCAAACGATAATTGACAGTAAGTTTGGATAGCAACTGTTGACTATTTTTTTTACTTTTGGCTGATAAATAATCATAATCGATACGAATTGATGCATAAAATGTTTGGCTATTTGAGTCCAATTCATCAATAACAATGTCCAAGGCAATATGTTTAGCATACAAAATGAACTCGAAATCTTTATTCGAATTCGATTGGCCCAACAATGAATTGAACAGGAAAAATCTAGTTTTATTCTCTAATCCTTGATGATTTAAGGTAATTGAATTTAATTGATCAGGTGCTGAAAGAAGATAAAGCTGATAGAAATAATTATCATCTTTTGAATAATCCCATAGTTGTTCAAGTTGATTCCATAGACATTGTTTTTGGATGTGAACACCAAGTAATAAATGGTCATGATTCATTTGTTGATGAGCACAGCGAAACAATTCGTTTAGAAACATTGGTCCATATTCTTTCAATGATCCATTGGGATTCAATTTAAGATGGACAATATCAATCATATTATTTAATCGATATCGACTATATAATCGGGTTCTATCAATATCTTGTTTTTTGTTCATTTTGTTCGAACTGGTTTCATCCGGAATGATTTGTCGTTCGATTTCATCGCACAGATCATCTTTCATATTAATCTCTTTTGAATGAGCTATCGAAACCATTGTACAAGCATTGACCAGATATTGACATGCTGTTTGATTTCGATAAAATCTGCAATTGTGAACTAAATGAAAAGAATCGTTAGAAAAAAAATTCACTATTTATCATATTTCAAAACGCTTACTGGCAGGTCTCAACGAATCGAACAGAAATTTAGATTTAAAACGATTTTCATCGAATGTAACAGTTGAATACGAATTAAGCTTTTTGTATGATATGAGATTATTACGTTCTAAGCAAATCCCATCTTCGATCAAATGACTCGATTCAGGACAATAACATGAATGGCTTTCATCGAACATATACAGCGATATATGACAACTTTGACAAGCAAAATTCTCAAATGGCTTACATTCATAACAATAGAATTGATTAGTTTCTTGATTCTTGCGCAATATTTTTCCATTAGGACAATCACAACCATCTTCTGGACAGTAGCCACAATATCCTTGAATTAACGATTGTCCAGTTTCACATACAGGCATTGGTAAGCATTCCAATTGGCCATTTCGGATTATCGTTCGATAACCATCGGAACAAACACAATTAGTTCTTTCATCAGGTTTACTTTGAAGAAATTCTTTAGAATTATTTGCAATCAATTTTGGTGTAAAAAATTTTGAACATGATTCACAAGAAAGCGTAATTGTATCAAAATAAGTGGTTCCGGTACATTGTTTTGGTTGAATAAATTTTTTTACTATCGATTCATTAGTTGAATTAATCATTAGCAAAAATGTCAATATATAAATAAACATTTCAAAAGCCATTAAAGACGATAATAGGAATATAATAGATGTTCGGGGTTTCGGCCGGGCGACAATGAATCAATATATGAATCGAATGAATCTTTAATCATTATTACTATGGCAACCAAATGTACAAAAAACCAAGGCAGGATTTGTTTGTTTTTATTATAATTTTTTTTTTATTTCTGTTTATGTTTTAATAAATCAACATGATATTTTATTACATTTGTAATTCATTTTTTTGAAAAAAATGGTGTTAGGATTTTTGTTTGAATAAAAATTTCATCAAAAAACTTTTAAATAATTTTCGTTAGCTGTTTCATAATTAATCAATAAAGATATTGATCGAGTTTCGAGTAACTTGATTATTGATCCATTTAAGGCTCACGCAATTCAACTTCATTTTCTTCCATTGTTAACGTTTTATTCACTTCACATTTATTCCATTGTAGTGTGGTCAATGAACACAAAGAATTTACCGATCGAAGTTCTGCTTCAAATTTATCCAATGAATCCATACCGCACAAGAAAATGATATATGGAAATAGGCAACGTTCATATTTGACGATATTACAACATAGTTTTATACTATAATCTTCATCATCGGTGGACAATGTTTCATGTAATGGTTCAAAACATTTGCTGACCAAACGAAAATTTTTCGTTAACGTACTTAAACAACCATCATCGACACAACCTTCAATTAGAATTGATGGATTCTTTGCTCCTGCAGATGTCTGTAAATAACAAACGGAATGGGCAATAATTCCGACAAATAGCCAACTAACCATCCAAAAGATATACATCCTCTCGAGTCTCGATTATATCTGAAAACATTCTAGAAAATTTTTCATCAATTATATGCTTTGTATATTCATTTGAATAGAAAGAACTGATCGCAAATTCAGATCATGTGCCTTTTGTTTTAAAACATTTCGACATCAAAATCACATTTTGTCAACCAGCCTATCAAATGATGACTGCTTTGTTATTCATTTATTTATTTTTTTTGTGACACAATTTCAAATCCATTGTACATTTGTGCATTTTTAATTATGAAACGCTTTCAACATAATTCCTAATTGTTATTTTGTTATAATCATTTCATTCAAGTGACAATAAAATTCAAATGAGATACTTGCACAGTATTAACTCGTAGTGAATCATTTTTGATCAGGTTTTTTTGATGTTTTACAATTCTTGAAATTATTTTGACCATTTAGTTGATCATTTAGCTAATTGGTTAATATTATCATCATAATCTCTTTAAATGAAAATCAAGAAAAAAATGTCATCAAATAAAGTTTTCAAATACGAAAATTCAGCAGCTATAATCATCTTGAAATGGAAAGTAAAACCTGGATTCGCGGTGAATCAAGTTCCATTCGTTTTGTTCACATACCGTGAAAACCAGATTGATGAAGATAATGACAGGCAACGACAACAACAATCACAAAATGCTGAACAAAAATTCAAAATCACAAAAAGTGGAATCATAATCAAAAAACTTTTGAAACAAAATGGTGATCATGTTGAAACAAATGACCAATTATTTGAATATGAATCATGTTCACATCCAACTTTGATGAAAGATCTTTGCGCTGTTTGCGGTGTCAACATCAGTAAATTTGATTCAGTTGAACAGCGAAAGATAGCTGAAAATACTAATGTTTCGATGGTCCATTCTATACCTGAACTGCGAGTTAGCAAAGAGATTGCAGAGGATTTAGGCCGTGCCGATGAAGAACGTTTGTTGAAATATCGTAAACTTGTATTGTTAGTTGATCTTGATCAAACAATCGTTCATTCGACTAATCAAAACATACCGAATGATCTCAGTGATGAAATTTTTCATTATCAATTGTACGGAACAAATTCACCGTGGTATCATACCAAGTTCAGGCCATATATGAACGAATTCTTGGAAGAAATTTCGAAATATTATGAACTTCATATTTGCACATTTGGTGCTCGACGTTACGCTCATCAAATTGCCCATTTGATTGATCCAAAATGTAAATTCTTTCCTAAAGATCGAATTTTATCACGGGATGAATTTTTTGATCCACGATCCAAGACTGGAAATATGAAATCGCTGTTTCCATGTGGTGATTCAATGGTTTGCATTATTGATGATCGTATAGATGTTTGGAACTATTCACCAAATGTTGTTCAAGTCAAGCCATATATCTGTTTCAAAACTGACGACATTAATGCGCCGGAAAAATTAAACATTGGATTCGAAAGCCAACTATCGAAAATTTATGATCAAGAAAATGACAGTAATCAAGAAGTTGAGAAACAAAAAGATGAAATAGATACATTAATAGTTACAGAGGAAGAAAAATTGAAAAATGAAATTGATGAAGAAAAGAAAGCATCCAAAGAATCCAATGAAGAAAACAAGGAATCAAAGACTAATTTGAAAGACAAATCCGTCGATGAAATAGATTCATTAAAAAAGGAATATGAAAACCTCCTTGATGATCAAGATGATTACCTTTTATACCTCAAAAGTGTTTTAATTAAGATACATCAAAAGTTTTATGGAGAATATGATGAAAAGATTAAATATCGATGTGAAGGAGAAGAAATTCTTATACCTGACCTCAAAAAAATTATTCCAAGCGTACGACGAACAGTTCTACATTCGGTTAATATCGTATTTAGCGGTGTAATAGCGACCAACACGTCACCTAGTTTAAATCGTTATTATCGACTAGCTGAATCTCTTGGAGCTATTGTAACAAATGATATCATTGCAAATGGATCGCCAAAAACAACACATTTGATTGCGGCAAAATGGGGAACAGTAAAAGTGAATAAATGTCTCAGATACAAATATATTAAAATTGTCACACCAGAATGGCTCATAGCTTGTGCTGATCGATGGGAAAAAGTTGATGAAGAATTGTATTTGCTTACCAAAGATACTGTATACAATGTTAATGAAAAGACTGATATCAAAAAAGTTCATTATGAATCGTTTCGTGAAGCATTAAATCAATCACCTTCAACATCAAAAGAATCGACTTCGGATTCTGCAACAATGTTGGATCTATCACCATTATCTAATTTTAGTATGAACGATCTCGATGACATGGGTAAAGAAGTAGAGGATGCTTGCAGTGAAAGTGGGGCCGAAAGCAGTAATGACGAACATGATGAAGATGATGATGACGATGATGATGATGGTGACAATGAAAAAACAAAAAAGTATTTGCCCAAGAAAGTCAACTATATGGACGATGAAGAAGAAAGCATGAATGATTATGCTTATGAAGGTGAATATCCCAAGGGTTGGAAAGATGAGAAAAACGAAAAACGTGGCTGTAAACGTCCTGTTGATGTTTTCGATGGCGATGGCGATGATGATGATGATGAGGATGAGGATGTAGAAGATGATAGGATCGATAATGAGTTAGATTTATCCGATTCTTCTTCCTCAACTCAATCGATAGGTTCTGTCGATGAGGAAATGGCTGCGGCATTGGAAAAAGAATTTTTCAATTCATAATTTACATGAAAAAAATTTAATGACTTTTTTCACACTTGATCATTGAAATAATAATTCATATAATCCATCTACTTTGTTGTAAAATAAAATAAAAACAAAAATTAATGGAAAAATAAAATTTGAATGATGAGATGATTGATAGATGACCGAAATGTTAAAATAGACGCTTCTATTTTAACAAATGAATCAGCAATTTGGCCGCATTCATTGTTTCAGTTCATCAATTCAACATTGTTATTGTGGCTACAGACTTTAAAAAGCTTATTATTATTATAACAACGAATTTTTTTAATCTTTGAAAAGAAAAATGGAAAAAGAATCAAGTGTTTTGGTCGAATCGACCAGTAATGCAGTGGTCAAAACACGCACTAAAATTGGTTCGATGATGGAATTGCCTTACAACAAAGTTGTCGTCCATCCACTCGTCTTGCTATCGGTAGTTGATCATTTCAATCGGATGGGAAAAATTGGCAATCTCAAACGTGTTGTCGGGTTACTTCTTGGTTCGATCAAAGGCAAAGGAATTCTGGATATTTCAAACAGCTTTGCAGGTATGAAATTTGATGATCCAAAATTTTTCATAATTAAAATTTATCTTTCCTTCAGTACCATTTGATGAGGATGAACGTGATAGATCGGTTTGGTTTTTGGACCACGATTATTTGGAAAACATGTATGCCATGTTCAAAAAAGTCAATGCCAAAGAACAAATTGTTGGATGGTATCATACCGGGCCAAAATTGCAACAAAATGATATAGCTATCAATGAATTGATTCGAAAATATTGTCCTAATTCGGTTTTGGTCATTATTGATGCCAAACCAAAAGATCTTGGCTTGCCAACTGAAGCTTATTTTGCTGTTGAAGAAGTACATGATGATGGCACTCCAACAACAAAAACATTTGAACATTTACTTAGCGAGATTGGCGCCGAGGAAGCTGAAGAAGTAGGTGTCGAACATTTGTTGCGAGATATAAAAGATACTACCCTTGGATCGTTATCTCAATTGGTAACCAATCAACTGGTTGGCCTCAAAGGTCTCAATGTTCAAATCCAAATGATAAAAAATTATCTAGACTCGGTTTTAAACGATAAACTTCCTATAAATCATACGATCATATACTTGTTACAAGATATTTTCAATTTACTACCCGATGTGAATAATCCGAATTTTGTCAAATCTTCATACATCAAAACAAACGATCAAATGTTGGTCGTCTATCTGGCATCATTGGTTCGATCAGTCATAGCATTACATAATTTGATAAACAACAAAATTTCAAATCGAGATGCTGAAAAGAAAGAATCCACTCAAACTAAAGATACGAAAAAGGATAGCGAAAAAGATGCTGAAAGCAAAAAAGACGGTAAAAGCAGCGATGAAAATAAAAACAAAAAAGGAAAATGAATAAAAATGTAATTTTAAATATTTTTCTCATTGGAATGATTTATTAAACTAAATTTTTATATGAAAACAATTATCAGAAATTATAAATTATCAACATAATTTTATCACCACATATAATAACGGGGATTTATTATTATTGCCACTTGGTTTATTTGGGAAAAAGGCCCATTTTACCACAAACTCTGCAATAAAATTATGATTATTATTATTTGAAATCTATTAGAATAATCATGCTTACTTACTCTGATAATCCGTGTTGATTATAATTGATTAAAAATTCTTTGAAATTATAATCAGGATTGTTGGTCAATTCTTTGACAAAATAGTATAATCCCCAAGGTCGAGGTCCAATTGCGACTAGTCGTTCGAGAAGAACGCGAAAAATAAATTCTTTTAATTGGTCAAATTCCTTGAAGAAATATAACAAGAGAGAGATGAAGTATTTTGTATCGATATTAGGAAATCGAAGATGATTAACCATAGCGAAGAAAAGGTAATAGAGACCTGTAAAATTTTATTAAATGATTAGAAGCAAGAATTTAAATCAATGAATGAATTATTTACGTTCAGGGCCGAAAAATTCTAATAGACATTTGATCATGTTCAAGGACGGCTCTTTACCAATGTTAGCCATGTTGACGTCGCGATTCTCCTTTAGAACGTGTTCAGTAATCGAATACAGAATCTTGTTAATGTATTCGATTTCTGTTTGTTTACATTTGGCTGAATCAAAATATGGTTGCAATTTTTTCAAATGAAACAATTGACCAGTTTTAAAAAATACATCAATGTGAATTTTAAAAGGTGATTCGGTAGTGAAATTGCCATCAAAGCTGTTGATAATTTTGTTAAAATTTTCCAAACTCAACGATGAAGAAAGTGGACTTGGTAAATGATAGGCTTGAGGAGAGGCACTTAGAACAATGTTATGCAATTGAAATGAATTATACGGAAGATTATCACAAATCAAAAAGCTAAATTGACTTAAAAAATCTGGGAAATCATGTAACAATAGCAGAAACAATTTTACCGTCCCCTGTATGGAAAAAAAGATTAAATGAAAATAAATCAATTATATAATAATAAATTATTATCACTAACCTTGTGTAAATATTTAAATGATTCTGATTCAATTTGATTCGTTTGAAAAAATGTTTTCTCAAATTCCAACAAATCTCGAATTAAAAAGTAATAATTGTTCCATAATCCTTTTGCATTCAGACCATTTAAACAATGGCCAATAAATGATCGATGTGAGATGAATTCCAACCAGGCGAACGTAAACGAAGTTAATTTTAATGGTGACATTGATTTAAGAAAATCGAAGAAAATTTGCATCAAAGATAGTTTTGTATTCATACAATGAATATTGGGAATTTTCGCCAAATTATTAATACGACTAGAATTGGATGTCACAAGTTCGTTGTTAAATTCTAGAAAAAACAAAACCATTACACGATAATAGCAAAGGGGGTAGAATTTTTGGATATTTGTCTTATGTTCCAAATGAACTTTCTCGCTCAAATCGGTAAGAAAACGATCAAGAACATTGATTTTGAATTCAATAGTTTCGTATTTGATCAGGAACAAAGCAAGATATATGAATGCATCTAAAACAGTGAAGCATTTCAAATGAATCTTGGAAAGATTCTTATCGGATGATCGGGCTGCTTCCAATGCTTGTTGACATCGTTCATAGCATAAATTAAAGCACAATTTCAAAAACTTGTACAATGATTCTTCACCCTTGAAAAAACCCTATCAAAAAGAAAAAAAAATGTCATGCGTGATCAATTGCAAAATCAATCTTACAGTTTGGAAAATGAAATTTTGAATGTCCTCGTGGTTATTCTGGCCTTCATAAATAAAATGGAACCATGTTCCTAAAATTGCTTCCACTTTCATTTCTTCCGTGGCATTGCTTGGTAGTAAATCAAAAGAATAAGTTTGTACATTTTTTTCGATTAAATTACTATCCGAATTATGCTCCGGTGAAGTACTTGTTGACATCCGTTTCATTTTCAATTTTGATGAATCGAATGTGCTATAAAAAGTTGATTTAATGGGAATATTATTAAAGTAATTTTTGTTGATATATTTCTTGCCAATAGCCTTTGCTTTTAAACGTTTTTCAATGTCTGGCTGAATTCGAAAGCAGATTTCTTCCACGGCTTTTTTAATTAAACATTTTTCGATAAACATTATGCATGGACTGATATTTTCATTGACAATCTGAGTAATCGTATCTTCAATGAATTTTTTATCACACATTGATTGATTCAGTTTAAATTCTTTGCAAAGAAATTCACAAAGCTTATCGGCTATTGAACCTGATAACGATTCATTACATGTCATCAATACATAACCAGTCAATGCGAAACGTGTGAAATCGATGGCAGCATTTCGTAGCTTTTCCGGATCGGGTTCAGAAGCAAAATCTTTACGGACAAGAATTTCGATAGTAGTAACAAGCATACCGGGTGTTTCAGCCCAATTGGATAACCATTCTTGAATAGCTTTGACGATCAATTTTTTGAATAATGTAGTTAATTCTGGATGGCATTGTATCAATCTGAGCTGAGATGATATTCGTATTTGATTCAATAGGTCTTTGAAAAGTTCGATTTCATTCTTATGCGAAACTTGGTGAACAGTTTCTTTTACAAAGACAGTATGTGAAGGAGCTGATACAAACAGATTAGAATTTTTCGGCTCTTGTAAATTATTTGTTTCTGAATCAATCATTACAAAGGGTTTAAGATATTCACAATATTTTGACACGCTTTTCTTTTTTTCACCATTTGGATTAATTTGCTGACAGATAACTTTATAATCATTGAGTTCTAATTGCAAAACTTTATACAACTTTTCAATTTCAAACTTTATCTTCAATTTGCAATCAGGTTTAATGTAGATTTCGGTCAATAATTGAAGCAATGTCATCAGCCATGGATTAGGTGGTTGAAAAACTTTTGATTTGCCACAAGAATTCAACACCTGAACGATGAACGGCACAACATGGAAACTCAAGTTTTTTGCTTCAGCTTCAATCAATAGACAATGTAAATCAAGATAAAGCGAAAGAATTGGCTTATTACGTTGCAATGTGATCATTCCAATCCATTTACCAGCGGAATATAATTTTCTATTGAGATCAGAAGATTCAATTCTAAGCAGATACATTCGTATTTTTTTATATGAATTTACTGCTACAGAATCAAAAATATCGATCAAATTAATGGTTTCAAGGAGATCGTAAAAAAGTTCATGGTGATTTGTTTCATTGATAGCACGACAGGTCAAACAATCGGATAAAAGATCATAGTTTCCAATATTTTCTTTGCAATCTTGTATCAATTGTGTGGCAGCCATTTGCAAATTGTTACTGTCCAAATTGTTGAAAATGAAATTTAAACGTTCTTTAAAAAGGAATTCCTGATTATTTGACAATTGAGATGAATGTTCTCGTTTCAATGATGACTGATTTGTAATTTGTTGGCTTTGATTTTCATTACGACAAGAAGACAAGTGACCAACATTTTGAAATTTGAGCAGATCAGAAGATAGTAGCTTTTCACAGAGGGCTGGATATTTTTGGAGTCTAGTTTCACATCTGTCTATTACACGAACAACAAAGTATAACAATTTTTGATCCTTCTTTGATGCATTTATGATATAGTAAAGTTTTTGCAATATGAATGACAATAAATTAGTATCAACAAGTGATCGATCGATTATGCCACCGATAAGTTCTCCTATGTTCAACAATTCATTTTTCTGATATTTCGATAGAAAATCAAGTTCTTTTAACAATGTTTGAACGATACAATTGAATACTTTTTGTTGATCTTTTGATTGTTTCATGCTTTCAAAGAGATTGAAAATTTTTTCATATTTCACTGGTTCAAGATTAGATTGCGTGAGAATGTTTTTCAAAAAACCAGTGGCTTTTTGTTGAACTTCTTTATCAAAAAGATTATCATTAAGTGAATGATAATAATTTGAAGATGAAGATTTTGAACAATATCGAATTTCTTCATTCGGTTCTTTCTTATTATTATTGTTGGCTGAATCAAGCTCAGCATATATTTTGAACATATCTTTCATATTTGTATAGTAGGTTGCTTCTTTGATCATTGAATAGTAATTCTCAAGACACGATGTGATAGTACTCAAGGTTTCACGATGAGAAGGTGTGGTCAATTTTTTGTTTGTTTCTGGTTTGAAGGACCGTTGTTGAACATATAATTTACAAGCATCGGAAAATGGTTGTCCAATCGTTTTCAACTTGTCATTAATCCATTTATCTAGTTTGAGATATTCACGTCGAGAAGCCACAGATGCTAAATCAATGATAAACAAATATGATGAATCGTTAAGCAAATAATTTAACGCCTTTAGATCTTGACTGATTTCTAAAATTCTTAAAAGCTTATTAGTTTGTTCATCGGGCGATGTGGCTTGATTATAAAGATCGACCAACGATTCAAGCAGAATTTTTTGATTAACTGTCAATGTACTTGAATTCATCGAAGGACCAGCATTGCCTGCAGACCATAGTTTCGGTATGATCAGATTAGAATTATTATGGTAAGTAGTATTAGAACCAGGATATATAATTTTTTTGATTGCATTCATCATTAATGACCGGCTAAGTTTATTATGTTCAGGATTGTTGACACCACTTTGCTCTATCAAGGCAAATATTAATAAATCGGGACATTTTTCCAATGGTATTTTCACAAACAAATTTTCGATTTTAGGCAACAATTTTTCCTTTCTGGACAATTCGAGAAGAATCCAATATAAAGCATTGTATTTCCAACAAATTAAAGCGAGATCTATTTGTTCATTTAGACATTTTATCCATTCCGGGACTTCTTTGTTCAAATTGATATTTGAACACGTTTCAAATATCGATGTAATCTTATTGTTTTCGATGCAATATTCTATGAAATCAAACTGAAAATCAAAATTATGATTCCATAGTATGGTGAAAAAAATACGGCCAATATTTTCAATGCCTGAAATTTGAGAAAAAATAAAATCATAATTGAGTCATTGATGATTATCACATACCATTTTTATTCGGATAATAAGTTTCACAAAACTTTAGGAAGGACTCGAAATTAAAAGACGAACTTGTTGAATACTTTTGTACAAATAAATATGAATCAATCAATGCCAGAAAATGATTAAGTTCAATCGAATTTTCATGACAACCTTTAATAAAATTTGCAAGATTAGCAAATTCAGAGCTTTGACAACAATTGAATAAAGTTTCACAGATTGAAACAGTGTCCAATGAGAAATCGAAATTTAAATTTTTAGATAAATCATCATCATCAACACATTGTTCGATTTCCGGTGATTTTCTAGAATCAGATTCCATTTCGAACAATTATGAGATCACAGACGAACAAAACAAAAAAAAAAACATAAGGACACACGCACAAATCCAACAGAAAATGTTCAATTGGATATTGTGAGAAATAAAATGCAAAAAAAATTGACTTGTTGAAAGTTGAGTTTTATGCATGCCATGCGTATACGCATTGGCTTCAGCATTCACAATCAGCAGTAGTCATTCATATAGTATAGGCAGTATAAATAATAAAAAATAAAATTTAAAAAATTCGAATGTAATTTTTTTTTTTTTATATATAATAGCAATTATAATAATAATAATAATAATAATAATAATAATAATATCAATCAATTCATCAATTCATAAAGATTAAAATAATACACATCAAGATTTCTTCCTTAAATGTCTGAAATGTTTGATATATGCTTCGACCAATTTATTGATTTTTGATGGATTAATTTCGCCACTTTTGCTATGACAAATCTGAAGAATCAAATTATTAAATAATAAATATAAAAAAAGAGATAAAATGAAATCCAACAAACCTTTGGAACAGCTTTTCGTAATATACTCTTGTATTCATCTTTGTTGATTTTCTTTTTTTGATAATACGGCTTCAATGCTAGCTTTACTTCTTCGATCACCCGTTCCTGACGATTTAACTTTTTCAAATACTAAGAAAAAAAATGATTTTAAATTCATTGATGACTTGATCATAATGAGAATGTTACCTTTTCTTTTATTTCCATATCTACAGCAGAGGTGGGTTGACCATCAAAAAATTCACCTTTCGATTTTTTCGAATTCTTACTTTTAGCATTACCATTCGATTTGATTTTGGAATTGCTATTCGATTGAAGTCTTGAGGAAGCAGTTTTTATGATTTGATCCCAAATTTCTTTCACATTGGCTAATGACGATGATGATGGATGATTTGGTTGTGTATGCGATGTGATTGGAGATAAACTATTAGGAGAAACTACATCCATGTCAACGATTTCAATTATATCATGATTGGCTGCCATTTCTTTAACCGTCGACGTTGATGAGTTTGCTTTTAATTGCGATTTACCGCATGCATTGGACATTCTGTTGTTTGAAGGGTTCTGTTGCTGTTGTTTCAAAGTTTGGGCATATTCTAGAATTTGAGTGAAATTACTTAGTGAAGCTAATTTGGCCGAAACATTTGACTGTTCGGAAGATATAGTAGAATCTTTCGAAATTGACTGTAAAAAATTCAATTATCAAAATTTTATTAGAATTTCTAATAATGAAGCTTACCAAACGGGAACTTTTTAACGTCGATTCAAAGCTAAACTTTTCTATATTTGGACTTTTCGAATGATCAGGACTTTGTAGAGGCAACTCAGGATCATAAAAATCACTATCTTTGGCCATGTCGAAATTTGTTTCAATAGCTGTAGATGATTGCAATACTCCAGTAGTAGATCCGGAAGATTTGACCACCGATGTTGATGATTGCTTTGACCGTGTTACGGTATCGGTCCCCAGCATTGGCGATTGAGATTCGTCTTGAGTGGGAGTAGGCAGAAATGAATCATCGTCGATGAAAATATCATTTTCATCAAAATCTGATATTTTTTCCATCTTATTTTCGACCTTTTTCGTTGTAACTACAGTGGATGTATTATTTGTCTCACTCTTTGGTAAGAATTTAAATTCATCCGAAAAGACTCCTTTCAAATCTGAAGATGCAGTTTTGGATTTGTTATGGTCCAAATGAAAATTTGTTATCGATTCAATAGAATCATCACTCAATTTTCCCAACGAATCATCAGAATGTGAACGTTCAGGACTCATCGTTTCTATCGTATTACCTTTATTAAGTTTCACTTCATTTTTGGGTTCATCACATTTTTCAATCGTTTGATTATCTTCTTGTTTTTTGAAATTTACATTAATGATGATTTTGTCGCCTAGGTTTTAAATAATTTTAAATAAGCAACAAAAAAAATTTGCATGAACCATACAAACCTTGAGCAAAAATTTCTTTAGAATCTATTTTCGGATAAGATTGAAACATATTAGATTTTGAATTTGATTTTTTCTCTGAATATTTCTTCTCTTCGACAAGACGATGACCGGAATTGGCACCTGAAGAATTATTTTCCGAATCATGCTTATGGCGATGATGATGACGACGATGATGATGGTGATGGTGGTGACGATGATTTTTTGCATTTGAATTGATTTCATCTTTTGATGTTGAATCTCGTAAACGATTGTCATTATTATTATTAGTTTTGGATGAGGATTGAGTGATTTTTACATTTGATGATGATGGCGGCGGACAAATGACAGCTTTCGATTCCAATTTTGAATGTTCATTTCTGGAAAATTTTCGATGATGATCATATCGATCATCTTGATTATGATCCAAAATCGGATCACTACGCTCACGTTTCCTGCTGCTATGATCTTTTTGATGAACGGATCTTGATGTAGTAGTTTCGACTGCTGCACGTTGTTTAGCTGTCGATGTAGAGGATGATGATGATGATTCTTTATTCTTATGAGCAAGTGGCCTTCCATGCTTACAGGTTCGAATTTTATTATCGGATGAAGTAGAATTTTTATGTGAAATTTTTTCATTATCCTGTTGTTTTTTTGTCGTTTTAGTTGGTGTTTCATCTTTCGTTTTGGATGCAGGTTTTTTAATTCTAACTGATTCAATGTCGGGAAATATGTCCTGATTTTCCTCATCTTTTACTTTTCGCAATGAACTTTGCAATTTTGAAGAAATCACGTGTTTTTTTATGTCCATTTTTTGATGATGATTATTGTTGTTTGATTTTTCATTTTTTTTATCATTATCCGTATAAACTTTTGCGTTTGTTTTTGATGTCGATTTTTGTTCTGATTCAGAATTAGCTCCAATTGCTTTCCATTTTGATCCGGAATTTTTGGATGTTTCATTCATTTCGGGATAGATGGGAACCCATTTTTTTGACAATGGAATATCATCATCATCATTGTTATTAAAAGACTTATTTTTATCACTAAGAAAATTTGTCTTCAATACGATGGGCATTTTTATTGGAAAATGCACATTGATACCTCCTTGTTGAGCTACCAATTGTTTCAATTCATTCACTTCATCGTGGTCATCTTCATCTTCAGAATCGTCACCGAATAAATCATTGATCGATGGGCGTCGTTTAAGTTTAACTGGCTGAGATTTTTTCGAACCTTTTGTTTCAATATTATTAATACTGTTATCGTTTTTGGAATTTTTTCTTGGTTTTGTGTTGAATTAATATCACTTTCATTTGTCAATAATTTATCATCTGCAAAGAATCAGAACAATTAATAAATTTAACATGAAAATCTTAATTAAAAAAAATAATGAAATCATTACCTTCTGGGTTAGATTCATGTTTCTTTGTAGGCTCTTGTGACTGTTCAAGTTGATTATTGTTATGATTTTTATCATTATTGTCGCTAGCATCATCAGGATGATTATCATCAAAATCTTTGTTATTGTTATCATCTTGTAAGGATTCAATGTCACTATACATTTCCATATCAATGTTTTTATCATCATCATCATTGTCAATATTTAATGAAACCACTGGTGATGGTTTTATAAAGCTTATATCTTCTGTATGATTAGTACTTTCTTGATGTGCAGACGATGACGATGAAGATGATGAGGATGAAGAGGATAAATATGAATTTCCCGATAGTGATGCTAGCCTATCGGAAGAACTATTATTTTTGAAACTATTACCATTATTTGTTGATGATGGGGGCGGTGATGATGATGATGAATGATTTGGTGAAGAATTGTTTGGACATTGGCGAATCGAATTGTTTGATATCGAGGAATCTGTTTTGAGATAAATTCGGCCATCACGAGCAATTGATAAATCTGACGATGAAGCGTGTAGGATTTCTTGAGAATTCATAATCTCGCTCAATACATCGATATTGGAAGAATCTCGTATCTGCAATGATAATGATTCGGTGGGTGTTTTAATTGAAGATTTATTATTGACAAATATATGATGTCTTGTATTTGTCAATAATCCAAGGCTTCCAACAGCCGAATCATCGACAACAGCATTATCGAATAAATCTTCACCATAGGAACTAAGATGATTCATTTCCAAACCATAGCCAAACATTGAAAGACCGCCGATGCCACTAAGTTGTCGAATTTCTGATATCGAGCGAGTTAAATTAATTGGTTTGGAAACCGGCATTCCAAATGGTGATTTAGGCTTGCAAACCAAACCTAACCTAGTTGCCAAACGTGATCGTGGGTCAGCTGCAGGTAGACGTTTCATGGATAATTTCGATTTTTTTGTACGCTTCCTATATTTTCTTCGTCGAGTTTTTTTAGTTTTATTAGAGCTCTTGGTCTTTGTTGTTTTTCGTTTTTTTGTTGTTTTCTTTCGTCTTTTCTGTTTCTTTTTCCGTCTAGGTGTAGTAGTTCGAGACATAACGTTGGAACGTCTAGCCATAATTCGATTACGAACTCTTTCGAATGCTCCAGTTCGTGCTAACGCTCTACGTTGAGCCAATCGACGTTGATTATTTTCTTCGTTTGTATCATCACCAAATAATCGTTCAAAACAATCAGGACAAAACCATTCATCGACTGGTATCGTTTCCAATGCTGGAATTAAACATTCACAATGATAGCCGAAATCGCAACCATCACAAAGTAATAAACGATCTTCCCGATCACATCGACCACAAATTTCGCAATATGTAACATCATCATTGTCAATTGTAACGATTTCCAGCACAGATTTTTTAGCGATTGGAACCTAAATAAAATAAAATAAAATTACGAATTGAATTGAATATTGCTTTCGAAAAATGTTTGCTGAAAAATTTTTGGATGAATTTCATCTCAGATTGAAAACTAATAATATTCATTTCAACACTTTTTCCAATAAAATCAATTCGATTATATATTGTAGATATTGATCCATACTTTGCGCATTTATCCAAATCATCACTTTTAATAAATAAAATTAAACGAAATATAAATTTTCAAAATAATTACCTTCATGACAATTTCACCATTAATGGTCCTTCGAACCAAGATGAACGAAAATGAATTTCTATCTACTGGACAGGTGTTTATTTGCTAAAATTGAAAAAAAAATTCTAATGTAAAAATTTATTCAAAATTTTAAAAAAGATTCTAACCTTGCTCCATTCTTCGATACATTCGAGGCAAAAATGATGCATCGATTCACATGAATCGGGACTGCCAATATCTTGGCCTTCGAACACATTTAAACAGATATAACAAGTGGGTGTACTATTTGGAGACAATGGCATCATTATTTCAGTGGTTATATTTTCCTGATCATCACTTTCAATCTCATCGCCAACATCATCATCATCATCATCATCATCAACTTCGTCCGTAGAATCGTCGTTATCATCTGATTCGGTTTCATCGTCATCATCATTGCTGCTAGTTCCTTCATCATTATCATCACCATCAGATTTATCATCGCCATTTTTATTATCATTCGTGACCATTTTAATATTATGATGATTTGAATCCATTATTTCAAATTCTTCATTATTTATAATTGATGTTGTTAATGATGATTCGATTTCATTTTCATCTTTTGATGATTCGTCTTGATCACACATTACCATCAAGTTTTGAAACAAAAATAATTAATCAAGATGGATTTATCTTATTTATAAATAAAATCCAATGTATTTGATAAGAATAAAATAAAATGAACGAAAATATAGATGAAAAAATATAAAAACAATAAATTAGGCACCGACTACCAAGAAATTTTTTTTTTTTGTTTGCCTACAGAGTTTGTGGGCTTGTGCTTATTCGTGAAGATGAGGGCACGGTATTATTCATAAACGTTAGGACATGCTTTTAATTTTAAATTCGAATTTTTTTTTTTTTTTTTTGATTTAAGATTCGAATAATCGATAAAAAAAAATTTGAATAATATATCTAATTGTAAAATTATTGCATCCAATGGACATCATGCCGGAAATGGACATGGAAAATAATGATCCAAATATCAACAATAACGAAATGGATTCGAATCATCAACAAAAATTGCTGAATCAATTGAATGATCTCTTGACAATTTGTGAAGAAAAACTTAAATCATTAGAGATTGAATTGATACGAATTAAAGGTAAATAAAATAATAATGGTTTATCGGAATAATTTTTTTACTGTCAAACTAATTTTTTTATACTATAGTTACCATGATTGAATCGAAAAATGACCCATGAAATTGTTGTTACATAAAGAATAATAATTTCCTTATTAGGGTCGAGATAATAATATAATAATCATCATTACTTTTGTGTTTGCAAAAAATACTTTTCAAAATGATCAAATTTTGTTAATCTTATCATCATTTAATAATTGTTTTTGATAAAATAAATGTTAAAACAATAAAATGACTATGCAAAATAATTTGTTGAAAATTTTTTTGGAAATTTTCTGCGCGCTAAATAACAGACAGTCTTGATTATAATATATATATATTGTATGTCTAATATACGTCATTGGCAAAACGAAGAATTGTGCAACTATCTTTCTATCAATTGAGCCTTTGCCAAACATCATCATCATCATCATCATTTTGTGTATCATGTTGTGATTGTCAAAAATATCGAACTTGAGATTTATCGAATCATTGATTTGATTAAGGGCGTTTTTTCTCAACTATATAAATTTAAAATCAAACTCAATCAAAAAATCAATCGATTTCATTTCGTTTTTATAGTTAGTTACAATTTAATTCTGATCAAATCTCTCTTTTTTCTTCAGTCATTCATCATCATGGTACATCCAAGGTATGAGTTTCTTTTTTTTTCTCTTTTTAATTTACATTGATCCGTTTAATTATTTGACAAATTTGAATTTACTATAGTACATTTGAACTAGGACCGCATACATTGAAAATTCCAAGAACATTACATAAGATTAATCGAAATCGTCTAGTTGAAAGATTACGTTCTGATAATAATATTCCAGAACGTTCGATTATCGTATTGCAGGGTGGAAAAACCCTTAACAATTATGATACGGACACCGAACCAGTATTTCGTCAGGAATCCTATTTCCATTGGACATTCGGCGTTGGTGAGCCTGATTACTACGGTGCTATTGATCTAACCACGGGCAGGTCATACTTGTTTGCACCAAAGCTACCTGATTCATATTCCATTTGGATGGGAAAGCTATATACTCTGAATGATCATCTCAATCGATACAATGTTGATGCTGTTTACTATACCGAACAGGTATCTACCCCCTTTTCATTCTTTTTTATGCTATCTTTTCCTAATCAACTCGTTCAAACATGATTACATTTGAATCTATTCTATTATTAGATATGCCAAGTTTTGTCTGGACTTAAACCCCAAGTGTTGTTAACATTGAAAGGTCTAAACACTGATTCCAATTTGGAAACATTCGAAGCTCAATTTGATGGAATTGATAAATTCAAAATTAACAATTCGTTATTACATCCTCATATGGCAGAATTGCGTGTATTCAAAACACCACAAGAATTGGATGTGATTCGTTATACGAACAAAATCAGTAGCGATGCCCACGTTGAAGTAATGAAATCAATAAGGCCGGGCATGACAGAATATCAACTGGAATCCATTTTTCTCCATCATTGTTACTTCAATGGTGGCGCCCGACATGTATCCTATACATGTATCTGTGCAAGTGGAACAAATGGTGGTGTCTTACACTATGGACATGCGGCGGCGCCAAACAGCAAAACTGTCCATGATGGTGATATGTGTTCATTTGATATGGGATGCGAGTATTACCGCTACTCGTCGGACATCACTTGTTCTTTCCCTGCCAATGGAATATTCACGCCTGATCAAAGAATTATCTACGAAGCAGTGCTCAAGGCTAATCGAACAGTAATGAATGCCGTCAAGCCTGGTGTCTCTTGGAGAGATATGCATCTGTTGGCCGAAAAGACTCAATTGGAACAAATGCTTAAACATGGACTATTACAGGGAGATATTGATGAAATGATGAAGGCTAGACTGGGCTATATCTTCATGCCTCATGGACTGGGTCATCTGCTTGGTATCGATGTCCATGATGTCGGTGGCTATCTCTTCCAGTGTCCACCACGTAGCACTGAGCCAGGCTTACGACAACTTCGTACGGCCAGAATTTTAGAGAAGGATATGGTGTTGACCATTGAACCAGGCATTTATTTCGTCGATGCATTGCTTGAACAAGCTCGAAATGATCCTGAACTATCCAAGTTCATTGTATGGCCTGTGATTGACCGATTTCGATCATTCGGCGGGGTATGATTTGTTCTAATCACAATCTGAATTGCTAGATGTGAAATAATAATGCCTTTTTAATATTGTTTAGGTTCGAATCGAAGATGATGTAGTCATCACAGCTGATGGTTGTGAACTTTTGACCAAAGTTCCACGTACCGTTGATGAAATCGAAGCTATAATGGCTGAAGGTCGAAAACGAGAAATAGAATTTCCTCAGAAAACGTTATTGGCAAATTACAAATAATCTATTCTCCGAGGTTCTTGTCCTTTTATTATTAATTAATCTATCCATTTGATCGAATCCGTTATGTTTTTATCTATCAATCTAATTGACAAACTGTCTGTGTGTTAAATCAATGAAATAAAATGATCCCAATTGGAAAGCAATTTTTTTCTTGCAATTCTATTCGTGTCGATCAAAACCAAAAAACTCAACCAGATCATATCCAAATTAGACCACAATCGACCAATTGAAGCGGGAGTATGCGTTAGCCTAGTATGTACCAATAATATTGTACCATAACGATGATGATCATGGGAAAGTCATCACGATCATTTACATCACATATCCACAGCCATAGACATTGATGAGGATGATGGTAGTGATGATTGGGGGAAAATTATTGTTCAAAACTAGCCAACCGACGACAATGACGACGACCAAAACTAAATCGATGGAACGCGCACACATTCATACACACACACACACCATAATAATAGCTGTATGAAGAGATGATGATTGAGATCAACTGCCAGCTGTCCCTACAAACCAGAAAAAATCGAATCAGTCCACAATAATACAAACTAAGCCCTAGGTGTGCAAGATGGCATTTTCCAACTCTCACTATCTCCCTATGGATCACTTGCATCCTGCTCTCCTTCTCTTTGGTTAGTTCTGGTTGTATTTAAATGATTCAATCTACGGCAACAACTGCCGTCATCGTGGTCGTGGCCATCATCAAATCCATAGAGTACCTAAGAGCTGTGATTGGTACAGCTTTTCGCTGCTGCTGCTGTTTCCGCCCGTTTTTCATTTGCCATCTTCATCAAATGGATGGACCGATCAACCAAAAGCAGAGTTAGTAACCGAAAAAATATCCATCCACTACTGAAAAAACCTAGCGTACACAAAGACATACACTTAGTGATACAATTTTCAGTTACAGCCACCGAATTTTCAAAAAAAAAAAAAAATGATCATCTTCCCCTCCCGTAGTTTGTTTCGTCGTCGTTCATCGACTCGACGTTTGTATGTTTTTGTGTGTTTATTCATGTGTGTGTGTGTGTATATGAGATCAGAGTTGTTGGAACAGCAATGGAACAAATAGTTCCCGCTGTATGTGTATGGACTCAAGAGTAATGTTGATGATGATGATGATGAGAAGTGGTGTGTATGTATGAAGAATAAGGGTAGTGAATACCACTGTGTAATACACAGCAGTAAAAGCAGCGATTGTGTCCAAGCTATCTGTTTGTGTTAAGACACGACTACTAAACAATTTCGAAACAACGAAACGGAAACGACAGACGGACTGATGAAATAGAAAAAAAAATATTTCAGTGTGTTGTCGTTGTTTCCATTGCCATTGGCTTTCATCTATCCATCCATCAATGATCTCTTTATGGTTTCTTTTACGTTTAAATTTTCCGGATCAACTAATCAATCGGATTTTATTTTTGTAACCATGGTATTTGTTCGATACCATGATCATTTAAAGCATTGTATTCTATTACGAAGTTTTACATTATGTTTGATTCTTTTTGTTAAGAGTGGTCTTCTGGATCAAGCTTTTTTTTTATTTTGTATTTTGAGACAACGGGACATTTATTGTAATCGACTAAACTAAATTATACGCAGCTGCTTTGTGTTCTCTATTTTTTGTGTGTGTGTGTGTGGTGTTTGTGTAAATTTTTTGTCTCCTTGTTGTCTCGTCATCATCTCGCAATCATCATCATCATCATCATCATCATCAACATCGACTACGACGGCAACATTGTAGTTATTTGTCGTTGCCATCATCATTACTATCCTTGCCATTCATCCATCTTCTGGTGATTGTTGTTGAGGGATAGCAGCAGCTTATTCTCCGACTACCACCATCATAATCATCATCATCATCATCATCATCAGCAACAAACACCATACTATCATCATCGACATAGCCATCATCAGTAATTCAATTTTTTTTTTTTGATCATCATCGTTAAGTTTTCGCCGACACACCATCATCAACGAAACCGAAGTTACCAACCAACATCATCATCTTCATCATCACAGCACTTCCATTCATTTATTGATCGTGATCTTGGCCACTGCAGACATAATCATCCAATTTCTTTCTTTTTTTGCATCATCGAATCCACAAACATTAATCAATGATCATATATTGATGCAACTATCGTCAGCTTGAGCTCATCTTTTTTTCCTTAATACTAGATGATTTGAACAATTGGCATTGTGTTTCATCATCATTATTTTTAACAACGATAATCAAACTGATGACAACATCTGCGCTGCATTTGATTGAATATTTCTTTTGTTTTCTTCATTAATGTCGTTGATCTTAAAATCATGAATAATATGGTCATCACAATATATCATTGAATTTGATATTATGATGAATAAATGTTAAAATTTTTGTCTTTGATATTACCTATTAGTAAAATATTATAACGTTCATTGTCCATTATTAACTCAAACCACCTTGGTGGTCAGGCAACAAACAAAACAATACAAACGACGGTATGTGTGTGCCGTGACAAACCAAGCACTGAAGACTATAGTGTTGTTCAAACTTCGAATTGTTCAATTGTTCGATCATCATCATCATCATCACTGCTGCACCACTACATCGGCATTGTCGAGCCATATATATGATTATTCTCTATTTTTCTATAACTTTCATTTTCACTTGGCACATTGTCACGTTTAATGGTGCCGGAAAATCGAATTTCAGCATTTTGACAAATTGTTTTGGTGTAGGTTTGATAATCCACAATTTTTTTTTGATATTATTGTTCTAATTCTTACTATTTTTTTCTATTTTAAATATGAACAAACATTTTTTTTAAGGATTACCTTTTTGTTTAATGATCTCGAAATTAAAACTTTTGAATTTATTCATTAGCAAAAATTAATCAGAAATTTTGACCAGATTGATGATCATTATTTGTTTTCTAAATTTAATTTGTGCCTGTGGTTCTAAATGATCATTTACTCAGTGCTACATTCCATCAATACGATATAGTCACATATAGTCGCAAAGTCATCATCATTCTAACTTGTCGTAGTGATCAACAACAACAACAAAAACAGTAGAAACATATAATCATCAAAAATGTCATTCAAAAATACAACAACTGTAGTATCAACAAAACTAACATTTCCATGTACCGAATGCAACTTCGAAGCTCAAAGCGCTCGTCAGCTATCTCGTCATAAAGCTGTGTCACATACCCAAAATGCATTAAAATGTGTATTATGTCCATTTTTAACCGCATATCAAACCAATCTTTTACGTCACCGTAAAGATGTCCATGGAATTTGTGGTTCCAAAGGTAATTATTGTTATTAATGTTATTGTGATAATTTTCAAAAAATTTTGTTCATACAGGGAATAAAAGCTGTAAATTTTGTGGTTTTGTTTCCGAAGATAACGATACGTTGATTCAACATCAAATAGAATTCCATCAAGATATTCTCAAAACAGCTCAGGCAAAATTCGCTAAAGAACTAGTCTCGGCTGGAGGCGAAGAAAGTGTTGCCGATTTTTCCGCAAATTTTGAATCAATGAGCGAAGATCTCATGAACAATAAAAACAATTCTTCAAACTCGGCAAACATTGTTCATACCGGTAATAAAAAGCGAGCAACATTGAAAAATCTGGACAAACATCAACAACATAATTTCAAATCATCTACGAATTCTATGAAATTGATGACTGCTAATAATGATGTAGTCGCTGATGATGATGATCGAGCAGAGTTCGAAGAATTTTGGAAAGCAGGTTTTATTGATCAACAATATGATGACCATTCGAATTATTTTGGATCTCATACTGCTCCACTAATCACAATGAAAACAGCTGACATTACACAAAACGAAAGTGTACCAACAACATCATCACGTTCGAGTACGCCAAAATCTCATTCATCATCGAATGTTATGAACGTTAATAATATGAGTAACAACAATTTGAATAATATGAATAATAATAACAGCATTGCAGATTTGCCTGCCACACGAATTCGTCGACAATACAACTGTAATGATTGTGGATTTCGTACTGTAAATCCTCGTGAATTTCTATATCACCGTCGGGATGGCCATGGATATAAGGTTAAGATTGTAGAATGTCCTTATTGTGTTTATGCTTGTCAATATGTTCAAAAATTGCAACGGCATTTACTTCTGGTACATAAACTCACATCCATCATGGATTCACCATCTGAACAAGGAGGTGCCAATGGTGAATTGGAACAATTACTAGTAAAACGAAAATATCGAAGAACTTCTCGTCCTATCGAAACAAATTCAATCGAACAAAATGTCAATCATTTGGAAACGATTAATGATGATGCAGCATGTATGTATACTTTTCAAAGATTCTGTATATATATCAATTATTTATTTATTTATCTTTATTTAGCCCCCTCGATAATGATTACGAACAAATGGATCGAAATCCTGATTTTGAACCGATGGATAGTTTTGAAATGAATCTAAATGAATACCATGAAGAAAATGAAGATGTCGAAATGGAATCAAATGCTAGCAATAATGATTCTGGTACATTTATTGATTCTTATCTTTTACTTAATGTATATGCTAATGCTCATTTTATTTTTGTTATTTATAGATGATAAAAAATTCATGTTCAACCTGGAATGTTATATTTGCAAGATTAAATTCGGCGATGCCATTTCTGCTCAAAAACATTTCCTCAAACATCACAAACATTCCAATTATAAAGGAATGGTGCCTATCATGAAGAATCACGATCAAAATCTCGAGGAAAGCACAAGTTGGATTGGACAACCAACTACTACAACAAATCAAAAGAAAGTTTTTGATAGTAATGCCAAGAACATCCATGTATGCAATTTTTGTGGCTACAAAACACGTTGGATTTCCGAACTCGAGCGTCATATTCGTGTTCATTCTAAAGATAAACCTTTTAAATGTTTGTTCTGCAATTTTCGTAGCAAATGGAAAGGCGATCTTAATCGTCACATTCAACGATATCATTCTAACGAGGCAAATCTTCAGGACCTAGAAAGCAGTGACAATAGTACCAATGGTGGTGGTGGTATTCCCATTTCATCAAACAACATGTCACCCGACGATAACCAAGATGATACAATGAATGAAGATTCATGCATGACTAATGGTGATTATGAAATGTCAGAAATGGATGACGATAACACGGGATTAGGCCAAGATGACCAAATTAATCCTAACGTTCAAGATAATGAAATTTTTGATCTGGATAATTCTGAAATAATGAACGGTAATATAGCTAAAATGTACAAATGCACATATTGCGATTTTACGTGTAGTACAGCATCTCGATTTCATGTTCATTATGTTCAACATCTCAATACAAAACCATTTCAATGTTCGGTTTGCGGTCATCGTTCTAATTGGGAATGGGATGTTACTAAACATATTAAAATGAAAGCCCAACGAGATCCAATCCATGAAAAAGCTCATCCAGTTCTGATTCATGATTCGGGTAAAAGAGATTATTCAAAATATAATAAATTTGTTGTTTGGATTGGCCGTGAAGAGGCAGACATTGCTAATGAAGTGAATAATCGAATCGATTTTCGTGCTCGACGATTCAAGAATGAAAGTGATGAATGTGAAAACGAAGACAATGGTTTTAATGAAACCGCTAGAAGTTTGCTGATACCTGAAGTTAATTTTGAAATCGATGATGAATTCGGTGTTGAAGGCTGCACTATTCGAAAATATTCGACAAGATCTTCAATTGTTTTCAGGCATCCAAATTCAAGTTCAAAACCTATATCATGTTCTCAATGCGATTTTCGTCATCATTTTGCTCGTGTCATGGTAGCTCATATGTCTAGTCATAATCAAGCAAAGCCATATGGTTGCACTGAATGTTCGTTTGAAACCAAATGGAAAGAGATGATCTTGGATCATTATTCCAACATTCACGAAAATAGAAATCCCAATGAATTCCAAATACGTTTCCGTTGTGCCATTGATGAAAACTCTATTTGTCGAATTTTATCTGCTGACGAAGTTGATCGTTTTGAAAAGAACAACGTGTCAAAAATATCGATTTCGGTTGTTGGATCAACTCCTCCATCACATTCTACTTCGACAGCAAGCATCACATTGCAAAATGATCATCAGAATTCTAGTCTTATCGAACCTAATATCTATGAGGAAAAAACTGTGATTCGATGCGAACTTTGTCCATTCATTACGACCAACATGAAAAAAATGTCGATCCATTGTCGATTTCATAATCCATCAAAAGGTTCACTTAAATGCAAACAGTGTCCATATTACATCAATAATCCAGATAAATTGATGCGACATCAAAAATTGCATCAAAAGACAGACTCCGTTTCATTGTCGGCACCATCATCGTTATCTACTTCGCATTATCGTACAAATATAAATAATGAGAGTTCAAATGATGTTGATTATCAACATCAATCAAAACTTAAATATTCGTCATTGATTTCCTGTTCTTTATGCTCATTCCAAACTTCAAATGTTCAAACATTGAATGATCATATGAATAATTCCCACAATCTTATACATTCCTCTCAAACAAATCTTGCTATTGACGATAACATTGGCGATAATGGGGATTATGAATTGAGCGAAAATATTTTGGAACAAACATTAGTCGAAAATGATTATAAAGATAGCTCATCACCACAGAATAATGAAAATCATGATTGCGTTCATTCATCATCATCAAACTCAAAGAATTATGGTGATGATAAACATAATAATTTGATCGCTGTTGATAGCATTAAGAATGGTGATGAAGCTAAAATATTTTCTTATGTTTGTCCAGGTCAGATAAATAATTTTATGAAATAAACTTAATTATATTCTAAAATAAAGTTATTTTTATTTTATTCGAATCCAATTTCCATAATAAAAATTTAAAATAACAGATTGTCCAGCGGCATTCAAGAGTCCGGGTGATTATAATGTTCATGCTCATTTTCATTCATCTAATTATCAACATGCTTGTCCATATTGTACCTACAAGTTAGTAATTTAGAATTATCAGTAGTTTTAATTGTGTTTGCATATTTATTCTCAATTATTTTTTAAAAAAAAATAGAGCACGGAATAAGCCACAGCTATGCAAACATCTTTATGTGCATACGGCTGAATATATAGCTAAACGAGCAAGTTCATATCCGCAAGGTACGAAATTAAAAGTCGAAAATCAAATAAATGTCACCAAGTCGAATTCGAATGATCAAACATCATCATCATCATCATCAAAGACTAATTCGACAAACAACATGGTGAACAAGCCTTCAATGAAAAAAACTGTACGTAAACATAGAACAAAAATACCATTTCCAATGAAACCGGTAAAAGCTCGTCTGAATAGTGAAGAGAATGGCAAACAAAACATTATATTCAAAAGTAACGATTTGATGGCTAGTCAAGAATTTTTAGAAACTAAAGAATATCTACAAAGAATTAATTCGGGTATCAAAAATCGTTGTATGTATCGTTGTTCAAAATGTCCAGCAGTATTTACTAAAGTCAACACTTTGATCTATCATACGTCATTGCACGAACAAAATTCTAGATTCACTTGCGAATCATGTAATTATTCCACCGAAACTGAAGATAATCTAAGTATACATTCATTGTTACATAATCTTACTGAATCACAATCTGCTTTGGGCTATAATTTCAATTACAATTGTCATAAATGTCCAGCGGGATTTTCCAAACGATCACGTTTAGAAAAACATTTATCACTACATGGTGCTCAATTTAATTGGAAATGCGATAAATGTGATTACTCAGTACGATATGCAGCTACATTAGTCAAACATCGGGCAATACATTTGATCAATCCGAATTTTCAAGCAATGGAATATGGCCAATTTGATAATACAGCTAATGATGATGAAGTTCGAGATGAGGCACAACAACATTCTTACGCCGTTCATCAAGAATCGAATGATGTTGAAGATTGTGAAAACTATACGAAACCAGATTTAAAATTAAAATTAAATCTTACAAAACTCAGAGACAATCTACATGTTGCTGGTACTAGTTTAAAAAAAATTCAACTTGAAGATGATAATGACCAAGGCTGTGATGATTATAGTGTGGCCAATATGTCATCCAATGGACAAGATGAAGATGATGAAGATTTACCTTATGCCGATGATGATAATATTAATCCGGCTTTGTTATTGGAAGAAAGTGTAATGGGGGAATGATCAGGTATCATCATAAAAAGTAATTTCTAATTGTCAGAATTTAATTTCATGTCATCTTTTTATTCATAATAAATACTCTTAATATTGCCAAAAAAAATGAGTTTTTACATTTTTTCATATCACACTCACCACCATGGCTATAACTATAACAGATGTTTACTCCATTTTTTTTTTTTGATAAAAAACAATATTTATCCGTTTCAAATTACTGGCTATTTTCTATATATGTTTGTGAAACAAAATACAACATAATAATACTTTTCATTTCTTTGTGTAAAACCACCACCAAACATACTACACGAGCTTTCCAAGTATCCCACACACACATTTTTATTCATCATTTATTATTTCTACTATCAATAATACGAAGCTGATGTATAATGTGATTTCGTTTCGTTTTGATCGAAATTTTTAATCAAAAAAAATTAGTAATTATCATTTTTTAAAAAATCAAAATTTTCTTTTCATACAATGTAAGTAATATAAAAAAAATTGTACGGAGGTTTCATATTCTTTTCACATTATAATGTGGTATGTTGATTGATTAAAGCTTTGAAAATGGATATGTTACCAAAAGAAAGTGCAGAATTTGTCATGTCTGTAGCGGATCATGTAACAATCAATACGAATGCTGTCAAAGAATTAGCAACAAAAGTAAGTATTGGTATTAAACAAATTTTTGATGCTCAAACAAAAATCTTTGCACAGTTGAAAGAATCGGTGGCATTAAATGAATATGACCTGAAAAAATGGAAATCGGATAATCCATTACATCCACAGGAAATGATAGATAAATCTATTGATCAAATATTCTTCATCGATAGTTTGAATTTTTCTTTCTGGCCCGATGAGAATCAGGATTTTTCTATCGAAGGTGAAATTGGATATTGGGCACTTTGTGCTGCTGTTAAACGAGCATTAGATGAGAAAATTCCGTTGACTAATAGTGAATACTATAGCCATATGGAGTTGCAACAATTACGGTATTTATTCCGTACTGACAATGGAATCGACATACCAATGCTCAAAGAACGAGTATCCATATTGAATGAAAATGGTGCTATTCTTATGAAGGTATGATAACTGATGATTTATAATATGAAGGTAGTAAACATTTCAATTTGTTGTTAATTACAAAGCATTTTAATGGTTCATTCGTCAATTGCATTCGCGCAATTAATTGCAGTGCTATCAACCTTTTAAAATTGATCTACGAATATTTTCCTTCGTTCAGAGATGAAGTGATATACAAAGGAAAAAATGTTACATTTTTGAAAAGAGCACAGATTTTGATTGCAGATATTTGGGGCTGTTTCGAGGGCAAAGGATTAGGTCGATTCGATGATATAGATCAATTAACCATGTTTGCCGATTATCGTATACCACAGGTTTTGCATTATTTTGGTGTGTTAAAATATTCGACTATTTTAGCAGAAAAATTACAAGAAAATAATTTACTTGTAAATGGCCATCCATTTGAAGTGGAAATTCGTTCATCATCCATACATGCTATCGAAATGGTCCGTGAACAATTGTCATCAATGATCGATGATGATTCGAATGCACCAAATTCAATACAAATTGATTTCTATCTATGGGGTTATAGGCGAACCAATAGTGAACAAATTGATGGTCAACGTTCACCATTCCATCGAGTACGTTGTATTTATTATTGAAAAAAAAATTCTTAATTTATCATTTGATAAAAAATGAAATAAAATTAATTAAAAAAAATGAATCAAAAAAAAAATTGGAGACAAATTCAATCATATATTTCTTTTATATATAAGAATGGAATTTTATTCTAGAGAAAGAAATTATGACAAAAAATAGGCTGGTGTAGGTGTTTGTCATTATATAATAATTAAAACTTGTTCAAAATATAATAGATGGATATACAAACGATAAAAATTAACAAACAATAAATGAATCATGCATAGATTTTTCTGTTTTTTTTAATTATATTACACTTTTGTGATGAAAACTTGCATGTGGGATTTGATTTGTATGATATTATAGAAAAATACAATGCATTTGAAGGTGAATAGAGTGATATAGTTTAGAATTTTCATTATTCAATCAGTGTATATGATTTATATGTTTTTTTTCATTTATATATGAAAAGAAATATTTAGAAAAAAAACGAAATGAAACAAAAACTAACAAATAATAATGTCAAAAATGAAGAAAAACGAGAAATAGTGAAAAGAAAATTAAAAAGAAAAACGAAAAATTTAAAGGTAGAACGTTGAAACGTAGAAATGGATGTTTGAAGAGAACGATTTTCATTATATTTCGGATTGATCGCATATAACACAATCAATGTGCATAATCAATTAAATTGTGAAGAATCAATTCCCGATGTAAACTCTGAAAGAATATCTGAATCAATTTGGCTATTAGAATCCCACAATGATGAGTGCAATATCATTGGTTGGGACAAACCTTTTGTATCGTTTCCAATGTTGGTCAAATCAAGGCTATCAAATAAGCTTGAACTGGAATTATCGTCTTCGATTTTGATCACTTTATTCTGATCATTACAGGCATTTGTATTACCAGAAACAGCAGAATGTCGTCCACCATTCATAATAGCCTTGGGAATGGCATTTGCTTCATTGGTCGAACTTGTATCCAAACCACAGAATTGGTTATCGAACGAGAATAGCTGTATAGATAATGAGACAAAAATGGACAGAATTATTAACATGAAAAATAGTTATAATATATACCCCAACCAAAGTAGATGGATCAATATTCAATGAACCGCCGTAGAGTTGATCTTGGAGCCAATTAAGTTCGGTGTCGATTCCTTCAACATGATCATTGAAATTCCTAAAGGGGGAAACACCAAAACTTGATCAAAAAGATGACAATTGGAAAAATAGTCAATAATTACTCAGTAGTAAGTTTCGACAAATTAGCCGAATTCGTTGCTTTCTGCTTGGAAGGCAGAATTAATTCAGTACTAAAGTTGTTAAGATGATTAGATGCTGTAGGCTGAGGTGCTGATGATGGAACATTATTGATGGTCTTTAACAATTCAGCTTCCGTAATAATCGAATCAGCATTGTCAATAGTGTAATTCGGTTGTAGTTGATTCTCAATAAGATTGTTTACTATTTGGGAGTTGTTCACCTGATTAGCCAAATCGATTTCAAAAATTTGGGGCAAATCGATCATTGTATTATCTTTAAGATTGGACAAACTATTGACTCCTCCAACACTAGTCGATGGAATCAACGAAGTTGTTTGGTCAGAATTCGGTGTTTGCAACGATTTTTGGTTAATGTCTTCACCCAAATCCAATTGTAAGCCATTTATAAATGAAGATGAATCATTATTAATAGAATCATTTCGCAGATTATTAGATTCTTCAAGATCTGTAATATCATGAATGATCGGACCACTGTTTGATGGAGGTGATGGAATACAGATAGTATTGCTTTCTTTGTTTTTGATTATTTTACGACTATTCGACCCGTTGGAATCAATCAAAAGAGGAGCTTTGCGTTTTAAACCTCCAACGACTCGATTTCGAACAATAGAAACTAGGAATTGAAGTAGTTTTTCAACGATCTGCTGCTGTTTAAGATGCTTTTGCCGTAAAATAGCAATTTCACGCCAAAGAGCTTCATTTTCTTGTTTCAAATTATTCAATAAACTATCGACAGAGTCTTGCCGTCCTTTGATGGATTCGACATCAGATAATATATCCTGAATTTCATCAACTTTTACAATACTAGTCAAGCATTTGCTATTGTTGTTGGTGGACATCTGCGTATGTATACCAAAAAACATTAAGTAAATACGAACATGTTTGACATGAAAATTATCTTAATCTATAATACCTTGCGTTTGATTAATTCCAACTGATTTTCTTGTCCAAGACAGAAATGGTGATGGAAAAATTCTACTTCATCACCATCCGATTTCAATCCACCATGCTCAATATTTGATACTTTACGGAATCCATCTGTTAAGAATTGAGGGAGAAATATTCGAAAGATAATTGACAAACGATAATACATATCTGGATTAAATACGATAAAAATACACTTACACATATTCAATTGACGAATGAATGAGGCCATATTGCTGTGCTTAAAATATAATGGCAAAATTTCCTTGGCAAAACGTCCTTGATCTTTAATGATGAAACTTCGTCCATTCTATGAGAATGAAAAAATTATAATGAAAAAAATTGAAATTTATCCAACATCAATAATATTATTATTATATTATGGTCATATTATATAACGATACATACCCTATTCCAACAAATGAGATCATTACTTGAATCATCGCAAACCAATTTCCATAATTTCAATATAAAAGTCGGTATATTTGCATTCGATCCTAAAGTATGCATCCTGCTAGTTTTATTTGATCTAAAATCAATCCGAAATTAAATCACAATATCATAAAATGGCCAACGGTGACAATTGTGTTGTTGCAATAATAAAGATGATGATTAAAGTAAATGAGCGGAAATTCTGAGCAAAAAAATAAAGCAAATAAATTTAGTAACTAGTCTTTTAGTTGGCTGGTTATATTGTTGGTTGGTTGTGTGTGTTTATGTAGCAACTAAAAATGGTACAATAATTCATTCACAATCATCAAACACTAACATAAAATTTAAGTAAGTGCCAACAACATTATCAACATTAGTATACTGCTGCAACATTCGAATTGAATATATATAATGTAATCATTGGACACAAACAAACACACACGAAGATTCACGGGAATCAAAAAAAAAAAAAAATTAAATTGAAAGAAAACAAAGAATGATAACTATGGTCAGTTTATGAAAATAATCATAACGGTTATTATACCGGATATCATTAGCAAATAGAATAACCAAACAATGGGTAAATATACACAAGTACACATTATGGATAAAAAATATATGGTAAAGTGAAATTTTGGAAAAAAAATTGAAACACGAAAATCAAACAAACAAACCTTAAATTTAGACCACACATGCAATGACGACAGATCAAATTTTGTTAATAAAGTGATAATGATGATTAGAGCTGTGTATAAAACCCGAATTGAAATGAAAAGCAGATTTTTTTTTATTGAAATAGCAAAAAATGGGAAAGCAAAAGCAATCGGTGTGTTGTTTAATATATCATCAAAATATAAATAAAATGAGTATATGTTGTGTTTGTATTGTGTAAATGTGGTGTGCGCTAGCATGTTGTTTGCTTGCTATCCACAAACACATACTTTTGTTCGAACGCGCAATATATACTTTTACTGTATAGCAACAAAACTAAAAGAGAGAGAGAGAGGGAGAGAGAAAAGATTCTTAAAACAAAAATATAATAAATTCGATTTAGATAGAGGTCGCTTCCATCGTTCAGCTATATAAACCATGATGATACATACATACATACCTTTTTTATAAAATCATGAACTTTTTTTTGGGGGGGACATTCAATCAATTTTTTTTCTAATCTAATCGTTGACTTATTTGATTGATCGATTAATTTATTATATTATTGTTATTGTTATTGTTGTTGTTGTTGTTGCTAAAACACACATCAACAGCTGAAACAAAATCGAATTATTATATATGAATTGATGTTGATCAATTGAATGTTATGAATAATGATGTTTGCTTACAATATGCACTCTGTATATGTCTTAAGATCATGAATGAATAAAAAACAAAGAAAATATAGCTTAAGTTTATGTTTTTATCTTTATATTTTGTTTTTCTCATTTATTTTCTTATTCATTTAAATGGATTTCGATTTTAAGTGTGTGTGTGTGTGTGTGTGAGTAATATAGTAAGGAACATTATTATCATCATCATCACCATAAAGTTATCAATGAAGGATTGTAAAAAAAAACACATAAAGGCTGAGAGAATACTTACATATTAATGATGATCAATGATTGGATAAATGATGCTTTGCTTTTTTTTGCACACAATAATCATTATGCAATCGCGCGTTAATACTCTGTGCATGACAGATTCAATTTTGAGTGGATTGCCTGAATCTACAGATGTATTCATTCCAGTGTCGAAATAGACTAGCCAGCCAGCATCGGCGCACCACGTGATTTGGTATTCTATAGAATTTTTGAATGTTTTTCAATTTTGATTTTTTGTTAAATTAATTTGAGAACAATGTTCATCGTTTTAAGTAAGTCGTTTTTAATCCTCGATAAAGATGAAGTTGTTTCCTCGCAAGATAATAACAATGGTCAAAAAGCTTTGATCGTATATGATTTGAAACGAGATTCTAGCAAATCGATTCAAATCGATTGGTGTCCATCAACTGAAATGACCAAAAATGATGCTGATGATGTAAAGAAAAATGCAAAAGAGCCTATCGTTTCTTTTAATACTGGAACATTTTCAAATTTGCACGATTTTGTTGCCATTAGTGATGATTTAAAAAATGTCATCATATTCGATCATAATTTTCATAAAATCAATCAATTCAAAATTAAAAAGAATGCACAAAAAATGATTTTTACTAAAAATGAAGAAAAAATTTTAATCTGCGACAAAGCTGGTGATATTTACGAATTTGATGTAAAACAATCATCATCATCGAATGAAGAGAATTGTGGACGTTTACTTCTTGGTCATTGTTCAATGCTATTGGATTTTCTTATCACCGATGATCAACGTTATATAATTAGTGCTGATAGAGATGAAAAAATTCGTGTTACACATTATCCAAATACCTATAATATAAAAACATATTGTCTTGGTCATAGCCAATTTGTTTCATCCATTCAATTGATCAATCAACAGACATTGGCCTCCGGATCAGGTGATGGTAAAATTAAAATCTGGAACTATTTGAATGGAAAAATTTTGTACACACATGATTTCCATGAACAACAACAACAACAACCAACCAGTGCAACAAATGGTCGTAACAAATCAGCAGTAAAGTCGGATTTCGCCATCAAATCGATGACAATCGATCGTCCAAATAACGGCCGATATATTTGTGTTTCACTTTTGAGCCAATCAATTTTATATTTATTTAAAATTCAATATAAAAATGATGATGAACATCAATTCGAATCATTGGATGTCATAACCCAATTAAGATTTAATCAAATTCCATTAATGATAAGCTTTGATTTAAGTCATATAAATTTTCTATGGATTTTCGGTGCTACTGCAATGGAAAATAATGATGATGATGATGAACCGATCAAACTATATGAACTAAAACAGAATGAACTAGCTCGTCCATTAATTCGTATGCAAGTGATTGATACATTGAATCAAAATGAACATTTTCGCCGATCAATTGCCGCTACTAAACGAGATGAATATGGATATTTATTCAAGCATCCTTTTCATAGCGAAGTAATGGTTGGCGAAAATTTTCAGCGTAAAAGGTCACGTATTGAAAGCTAATAGCAAAATATGGACTTCCCTTAATCATCGTAATCAAAACAATATTGTAAGCCATTGCTTGCCACTGTCAATTATCTGGTGAATCCGGATGTTTGAGCTAAACGATGTTTATCCTGTTTTCTTTCTTTTTTTTCTACTAACTAGCAATAATTGTGTTGTTGGTTATCTTGTATGTAACAATATTTTTTTTTTATATATAACATTTGGATTATTAATAATGAAAAAATCATTTGTTCATTGATCATTTTTATTGTAGTTTGTTTGTTTTTCATTTTCTATAAAGTGTTATAATGATGAATTGTAGAAATGGAAATAATCATAAATCAATCGATTCATTTAGAAATATTAGCCAAAAAAGATTACTACATCATAGTGATTCAACAATATCATATCAGATAGATAATCATTGTCCACCGATATCCATTGGATCCAGAGAAAATACAGCATCGATGCAAGAAAATGTCAAAGAATTATTGTCACGTCTAAGCCAATCTGAAGATATTGAAACATCGACATCACGTTCAATAGTGCATGGATTAATTTTGGTTACAATAATGATCACCTCATTGGTAGCATTCGTTTGTTCAAAAGTTCGTCGATGTTCCAACTTTGTCAATTTATATGATTATGAATATTGTTCAAAATATTTTCTATTCTATTCTTCAATGACAATTATATCTTGTTTGGCTACATTCATAATCTATTTTCTTCATCTGATTTCGCAATGCGACTTTTTATGTTTAAGTAAAAAGAAATATGAATTTGAAATAATGTTCATTTCAATTATATCTTGTTTACTGGTTTTAAGCTCAATTTGTTATATGACACATACAAATATCTTTGCAGAATCATTCACTCTAGTCAGTTTTATATTTTCATCATTGTCCAATGTTCTCTATTGGTTACGGATTATTATTTTGATTTGTGAAATGATACAAATGAAAAAACGATCACAAAGAAGATGTGCTGTGCTTAAACGTCGATTGAATTTAGATCTTCAACATTCAATCCATTCGATTGGTTTGAATCGTGTTGACAATGCTAAAGTTGTCAGCTATGTTCGTAACAATCAAAGAAGTAAAACTTTATCAACCAGTATATCTGATGATTTTGAAGACGATGTTTTTATTCAATAAAATAAACACAAAATTTCTGTTTGTTAAACACATACACATTAAACCATTAAATATGTTTTTAAAAAATAAATTTAAAAATTTATCAAATATAAAAAAAAATGCAAAGATAAGGAAAATTTTGATGTTGAAAACACCTGTTGAATTGCACTCGTTTGTTTACAAATGTTTTTAAGCCATTGATTGTGGTGGATTCCTTTCGCCTTGGGCAATTTCATTATTCTGATGTCGTATATAATTACGTTTTGCTTCATAACCAAAAATGGTACAGGCAAAAAATCCGAAAATCTAAAATTTTTTTTCCATATGAGAGAAACAATAGATATTTTATAAAAAAAAAAAAACAACAACATTAAAAATTATATAATCTGAAACATACAGCTGCTACTGTTTGTACACCACCACCAATTAGCATTAACAATGAAGCAACAAAATAAAATGTCGCCCAAATGATGCTGTAACCGAATTCCTATTCAATTTGATAAAAATAATTATTGAGATTGATGAAACATTCATTTCAAATCAGTGAATAATTACTCCAAGAATCCAGGGAAAAGTATACATTTTTTCCACCACATGAAAAGCATATAATCCAAACAATGTAAGACTGATCCAAAATGCACTCATTGATGTAAAGCAATAGAATCCAACACGGCCATTGTTCGGACCAAATTGTGCGACAATGAACGAGGCTAAACTTAAAATCTACAAAACATTATTTTATTGTTGATGTTGATAATGAATATCGGATACATACAATCACGACAATTTTCAGAAGACCTTCGTTTGAATTTAGATATTCCTTGTCGAACCAGATGATTGGCGTGACTAATGACGTCGTCGTAGTTGTAGTCGGAGCACCCGATGTAGATTGATATGATTGCATTGTGTTGTTTATTATTATAGAATTAATTCAATCAACAATCAGTAAAACACAGAAAAACAGTAGCAACAAAAAAAACTGTGAAAATGAATATTTATTGTTTATGGACATATATACTGTGTATGTATGTGATAATAATAATAGTTATATATGTTTAATCATGGAAGACTAGAAAATGCTGGCTGATTAATCTTGATGAAAAATGACAATCGAAAAAAATGATTGAAAAAAAAATATTTAAGGCTGTCGAGTCGATAGTTGATGTGTATATATTTGGTAAGCATATAAGAAGAAAAGATGATGTCCCAAAGTGTGTTTACAATGATGATGGTGGTGGTGGTGGTGGTGGTGGCGGCAGTAGTAGATTATTATTCAACAGTTTGTGTTCCAATATGACTCATGGTATATATGGCTTGTATGTTGTGACATGGAAAAAAAGATCACGATCAATGTGATCATAGGGCAAACATATCTAATTTTTTTTGTTGTATGTAAAGCAAGTTATAGCTCATTTATTTATCATCGAATGCTCATGATCATTGATATTTCCGAATGAATATATATCATTTATTGCTGATAATCCTCTTCTGAAAATAAACATTAAACAGACCATTCTGAATTATTTGAATTTTTTTTCATTGGTGAATGTGAATGATTTGGTGATCGATTGTTGCATGCACGGAAACTTGAAAAAAAAAATTTTTGATTATATTCCAAACTACAAAATTTCAATATGTGATCGATTGATTATTATCTAAATATTTATTTCTCTACAGTATTATTTTTCTCATTTTTATCGAAATATGGTAGGCGGTAATCCATTGCCTCATGGATAGAAGAAAAATTTGAAAAATTTGATTTGATTTTCAACTCAATATTGGTGTAATTTATATTTAGTTTCAAGTTCATTATCATTTGATGGTCATTATTATTAGACAAAGAATTAATGTTGTTGATTTATTTCGATCATAATGGAGAGTGAAATGAATGAAACCGATCCTTTATTGATAAATACTGACCGTCGTGATGATGAAATAAACAATATCGAAAACAATCATCTAATCGAATCAGAACAATCATCTGGCCAATCATTGGGATTCTTATCTGTCATATTCCTGACTGTTAATGCTACATTGGGTGCTGGTCTATTGAACATACCGTATTCATTCGATAATTCTGGTGGAATCATATTCGCTTTAATTTTACAATTGATTCATGTTGCATTGGTCATCTGTTCGTTGATGATTATTAGTTTCGCCACTAAAATCTCCAAAGTGAATTCGTTGCAAAATTTGGTTGGATATTTTTGCGGTCCGTCATGGTCAAATTTATGTGCATGTTCAATTTTCATCTATTCATATGGTGCATGTATTACGTATCTAATTGTCATCGGTGATCAATTTGACAAAAGTAATGGCTTTTTGAAATTTTTTACGCATAAATTTAAAATGATAACATTTTTTTGATCAAATTTAAGTACTAGAATTTTATTATGGAGCTGACTATTACAGATATTGGTATCTACATCGAGATTTTCTTGTCATGACCATTGCCATCATAGCCATTCTACCGCTTTGTATATCGAAAGATATTTCATTTCTTAGATTTGCCAGTTTCATCGGCTTTTTATCAACATTTTACATAACATTAATTGTTATGATTGAATATATTAAATTGCAGCCAAAAGATGTTAGCATTCGAACCGAGCCGAATCGTTGGACCGATATTTTCAAAGTTTTACCTGTATTGACATTTTCATTTCAATGTCAAACAAGCTGGGTGCCCACTTTTGCCGAAACAAAGAATCCCAGTTTTATTCGAATATTTGCCATGATTTTCTGTTCAATGTTTGTTTGTTTTCTAAGTTATTCATCGACTGCTATATTTGGTCTATTGACATTTGGTTCGGCAAACATACAAAAAGATATGATGCAAAATTATGATCCACGTGATCCATTCGTAGCCATTGGTAATTTTGTTATGTTTGAAAAAAAAATTTCCATTATTTTCCTTTTGAATTTTTCATCCATATAGGGATGGTCCTTTTGATCATAAAAACCATCGTTGTTTATCCAGTTTTATTATATTGTGGTCGCATTATAATCGAACAATTGTTTCCATTAGCCGAAGATACTCAATCATCTAAACGACGAAGATCAATACGTATAACTTGTGCCATAATATGGGTAGTGACATCGGCAACGTTGGCAATTTATGTGCCAAACATTGGCGTTGCCATCAATTATCTAGGTTCGTTGGCCAATCTATTTGTATTCATATTACCCGGACTATGTCTATACATGATCCTGTTTGATGAGCAACAATTTGAATTGATCAAACATGAATATGGATTTTTGGCTAACAAATCTTTGATACTAGTCATTTCTACTTTGTTCATTTCATATGGAATAGGAGTTTTTGCTTATTCAATTTGTCTTTCAATTTTGGAACTCATTCGAGAACAAATGATTCTTGAACACTTGTGAATTTATAAAGAATTGACACTCATAATATGATATAGTAGGATTTTTTATTTAATAGACAAATCAATTATGTGTAATGAATTCATTTTGACAAACTTTTTTTACTTTAAAATAATTTCCATACTCAAATATAATTTTCAATATCAAGGGGAAACGATGAAAGTGGATATATATAATATATAATACATGAAATTAATCGGGTTTTTCTTTTTTGAATAAATCGACTGCCGATGGTAATGGTGAAACTGAAGGTAATCGACTCAAATCGGGTAAATTTTGCAAATGTGATTGTAGCTCTTCACGTACAGAAATGACTTTTCTCAGTTTATCCCGATATTGTTTGAGACTTTGTTCAGCTTGAGTCAATGCACGACGTTGGCCTTCGATAAAATATACCAACATAGTGGATAATTGTTTACGTCCTTCCAGTTCTTTGGCCAATCTTGTGTTATATGATGTCAATATATTTTGTGCTTCATTAACTAATTTCACCCAATTTTCAGTAGGTCCATTTGTTATAACCTTTTCAAATAATTTAACATCAAAAAGTTCTGAAGGCATGTTGGAAATTTTTTGCCTCACATCTTCATCGGCCGATGCACAATTTTCTAATTCTTTCAAAATTTTAATCAATTTATCCGGCTCCACATTTTCATATTTATTCATATCGACAGGATATTCGGCTGCAATCTTCGATCCAAGCTTTGTCATCATATTATTCATAACATCTGCATCAAGTTGAAAATCAGGTGAAAATTTTTTATTACTACTGCTAATATGACCGTTTCCATGTGACGAACTTTCCTCGATATCTCGTTTCAAAGAACTTTTTGCGTTAATATTATTATTATTAGTACTATTATTGCTGTTATTATTGTTATTCGTCGTTCCATTATCCGGAACAATAACCGTGATATCTGAATTGGATTTCGATGTTAATGTTTTATTGTGTAATGCTTGTTTAAATGATGTTATATGATTTTTTTCATAAATGTTTCGTTCTTCCCAGATTTTCAACAAACGATCCAAAGAAGCCAAAGTCGATGCTTCAATTTCACTGTGAATGTATAATAATTTACTTAATAATGAATATAAATCAAACTTGAGCATGTCATACTTGGATATATGTTCGAATGCTTTTAGCAAGACGTTGAGAAATTCTTTAGAAAATTCTGGTCCCTTTTTACGGCTATTTTGAATGACATCATTAGCCAGATACATATAAGTTAATTTCCGTGCTGGTTTAGCTACGAGAAATTATAATTTTTTAATAAAAGTTAGAATCAATACAAAAAATTGCAAACCTTTTTTCAATCCTTGAAACCATGTTTGTACGATGGATTTATAATGTTTTCGGTGGTGTATCAGCCATAACGATACTGTCTGTATTGATTGTTGTGATGAATTTAATTCACTTAATTTCTTTTCAAAAGCTTGCTGTGTAAAGCCAGACATGATTTTTCAGTCGTTTTTTAATTGATATAATTGATTCAATATCGAAAAAAACAACGGTTGTTGTGTCGATCAATTATTTTGAAGGTCCAGGTCATGCTATTTCGAATCGTTGATCAATTCATTATCTTATTTTCATTAAAATGAATTAAATGTCATTATTCATTCGGACGAATAGTATATCAAAGCATCAGACAAGAATTTGTCATCAACAATATTTTTGTTAGTCAACAATAAGAAAATATAACCATAAAGAGCATGCTTGAAATTGGTATATAATATCAGCTGTTCAATGATAAAGTGTCGAAAAAAAAGACATTTGAACTTACTTCTTTGTCGTGGTGGTGGGGGGAAGATTTCTGTAGCTGAGAATATATTAGTAATAATTAAAATTGAAATTTAAAAATATGACAAAAAAATAATTCAGATTCTGAAAATGATTTCAAAAATAAAAATGAAAAAAATTTTTCACAAACATTGTTCATGAAGGGGTGTCCAAAAATATTACTGCCATTGTTATAACAAATATTGTTCAAAAGGCTGACACAAACACGTTTCGAAGGGTTCGCCATCTGTGTGTGTTGAACATACATCTCACCCATGAATACATTGATCGCGAGCAATAATTTGTATAATCAAGAAAAATTGATTTTGATTTTTTCAAAATCCAGATTTTTCTTTATGTTCTCTAATATTTGATTCATGATAGAATCATGACGACAACGGCAAATTGGACAAAAAATACAACCAACTATAAGTATAACGCATCGAATTCGTTGAATTTGACTGTCAACCGTACAATTAATCTGTAATTGAATTTCAATGACACTAAATATTGTATGCACATTAAAATATTTTTTTTTTCCATTTCAAATTAGATATCCACTTTCGAATTATACATTCGGTACAAAAGATCCATTGTTTGAAAAAGATCCTTCTGTTGAAGCACGTTTTCAACGGTTGAGAGATGAATTCGAAAAAATTGGTCAACGACGCTCGGTTGAAGGTGTTTTACTTGTACATGAACACAATTTACCTCATGTTCTTCTTCTTCAATTGGGAACGGCTTTTTTCAAATTACCTGGCGGTGAATTAAACCCCGGCGAAGATGAAATCGATGGTCTCAAACGACATTTGACCGAAGTATGTTTGATGCATAAATTTATTGAAATTTCAATTATTTTTATTTTCATATAAAATAGACTCTTGGCCGTCATGATAATGTTTCACATGATTGGGATATCGAAGATACTATTGGCAATTGGTGGCGTCCAAATTTTGAACCACCACAATATCCATATATACCACCACATATAACCAAACCGAAAGAACATAAACGTCTATTCCTTGTACAATTACCGGAAAAAGCTTATTTTGCTGTACCAAAAAATTATAAACTTGTTGCTGCTCCATTGTTTGAATTATATGATAATTCACAAGGATATGGGCCAATCATTTCTAGTTTACCACAAACATTAAGCCGTTTCAATTTCATCTATATGGAATCATGTAATAATACTAATAACATTAGTAATAATGAAAACCAAAATACTAACAGTAATAACAAATCTTAAGGCAAACAAAAACAAAAAATACACATTTGATCTCTAATTCGATCTAACATTCGAAAACAAAAAGTATACATGCAAAAATTCATTCATTTTTGATTTTCAATTTTTTTTTTGTAATCATCTAAATAAAAAAAAATTACATTTCATTTTTTTTCATTTAAAATTAAAAAAAAACTTTATTACGTTGTATACGAATTGTGAATCGAATTCGAATCCATTGGTTAATTCATGCTGATCAACATTGAAATTCGTTAAAAATACACACACACATTTTCATTTTCATTTCTGTCAAAAAAAATTGTTAAATCAATTTTTTATTCTTGGTTCTAAATTCCATATGCCTTCGTTGGAATCCACATTGAATATGTGAGTTCAATTTATTAATTTTAAATGTATGATGACATTTTACAATTTTGATTTTATTTCTTTTCAACACACATGAAAATACAGTTATCCATTGAAAAATTATTCGTTCATAACGAAAAATGACTATATGGAAAACAAAGATCCGTCATTACCCGGTTATTTTAACCGATTAAAACGTGAATTCAAATATTTGGGACAACGTACAACAGTCAAAACGGTATTGCTAGTTCATGATAATAATATGATCAATGTTTTGCTACTACGAATGGTGCCACAATTTTATTTATTACCTGGCGGGCAGATTCAACCGAATGAATGTGAAGAAGATGCATTAAAACGATATCTATTTGATGTAAATTTTGATGTTTAAATTTATTCGTTCATAAATTTTAATTAATTTTTGTTTGCATTTTTAATCTAGTATTTTGGCCTCGATATCGATACACAAACCAAACCAATTGATGTGATTGCTCATTGGTGGCGTCCAAATTTTGAACAAAATCAATATCCATACATTCCGGCGCATATATCACAACCAAAAGAATTGACTCGAATCTATCTTATGTCATTAAACGAAAGGGCTACATTATCTGTACCCAAAAATTATACCGTTGTTGCAACACCATTGTTTGAGTTATATAATAATGTTGGCATCTATGGAGAAATTATGGCAAGTCTTCCACAAGTATTGAGTCGATTCAATTTTAATATCATTACATAATTTAAATTTGTTTCTGAAAAAAAAATTGAATAAAAAAAAATTATCTCATCATTTTTTTTTCGTTGTCTTTCCATTTTGAATACATGATGATCGCTAATAGTTAAATTATTTAAATTATGTGTTATGCAACATTTATGTTTCAATTTCATAAATTAATTTTCAAAGTCGAATATGTTGTAGAGGAAAATATGAAATTTTTTTTTTGCATCTGATGGATTGGGGAATGAAAAAAAAATTTTTTTTTTCTTGATTGCAAATACAAAACATGACAACAACATGCATCATACGATGTAAAAAAAAAAAAAACATTCGAAAAATGATTTTCATGTCACAATGACCCGCCATTACGATGATGAGCCATGGATGAGTGGTGGTTATGGTGGATAATTGGAATTTGATTTTGATGCAATTTTAATGCCATTTCTCGATTCTAGGCTAATTCCAACGTAATTCCGTGTTCCTGTTGTTGATAACTTTCTCTCGTTCTGCCTGTCTTTTCATTTTTTATATATATTTCACTATAGTGGAAAAAACACACACACACACACACATATCAAAAACACATCAAAATGTTGCCTTTCTGACAACTAATAATAATATATAACTAGGGGAAAAACTGTGTGTGTATTCACTATGAGAATATCATGAAAACGGAATTTAAAATTGACAACATTGAAATGAAAAGTAGAAAGAAAAAATTCCTCACGAAACACAAAAGAATTACCGATTTCACATATATACTTGTTGTTGTTGGCTTGTTTCAACATCATATCAGTATATAACATCAGGCTTCATCAAAACTAGACAAAAAAAATCTGATTTCCATCATGATTAATGATTCTTTTAGAAATGACAAAAAAAAACGAGAAAAAAACAATCATGGATTTAAAGGATATAATGGAATATAATGGAAACCGAAACATAAGTCAAATATCTCTGTAGAATAAAATGCTCCAGGAATTTTGAGACAAAAAAAATGATGAATTAATGGTCTGGCCTGTATACTATATTTATTGGCTATTTGATTTTTTTTTATTTTAATAAAAATCATTCAGATAAAAATCAAATCTTAAATTACCAATAATTTCTTTATTCTTTAGAATACAATCTTTGTGTGTGTGTGTGTGTATGTGTTCGGATTTCCATTCCTTTACCCATTTGGAAAGAAGAACCAAAAATAAAATAAAGTTTGATGCTCAATGATGCTAAATTCAACGTCAAATTTGAATTGCAAATTTTAGCAAACTGAATCAAAGTTGAACAGAATAAAAAAAAACACAAATAAATCCACATTTTTTTTCATTATTATTTCATTCAATCTAATAATACTTATTGAACTAAAATTGTCATTGTTGGTGTTTCCAACAAAAATTGTCTGAAACTATCAAACGAATCAAAGCAAAACAAAAAATCCTGTCCAATCAACTAATTGTTTATAGCGAAAATCATCATTAAATCACAAAAAATCAATTATCAACAAGTTATTTTGGTCATTACTTTCAAACATCAAATTGACATTTTATTATAAATCATTATTATAGTAATTTTAAAAATTTATCCATTTTGTCACAATTGAATTGAAACTAATTATCATCATTAAATGAGCTACTTATTTGACATAATTTGCAATTTTAAAAAAATTCCATCAAACTACAAAGAGAATCTGACGTCATTCGGATGAATAATATTAGGAACCATCAGACTAAACCCGAATAAAAACAAAAAAAAAAAGAGACAAAAATGTCAACCGATGCCATTATCGAAGGATTATCTGTGTGTGTGTGTGTGTGATAATTTATTTTTTTTCCAACCATCCATTCATTCTTTTTTTTTTTTTTCATTTTTTATTTTTTCGCTTTTTTCTCATACTTTTTGTGGTCATTACCATCATCATCATCATCATCATTTAGGCAGGAATTCTTGCAATTCATTACATGAATACAATGGCATTTTATTTCTTTGTTTGTATTTGGGTATCATCAACAACAACAACAACAACAACTACAAGAGGAAAAGCCTTGAATTGTTAACCGAAAATTCCCATTTACTTCAATGAAAAATATCGTCATAAATTCGTGTCAGTCCTATCGGTTTTGTTGCAGTTACAGAAACAAATACAAGGCAAAAACAAGTGTTCCATTGGCCAATAGTGTTTGTGTTTAGTGCACGTCAATCCAAGCTATGCCCGGCAACCATTGTGATTCGAATCATCATCATCATCATTATTATTATCATGGAACCGTTTTTTTTGGCTAGTTTCGTTGTTGTTATGTTACTTGGGTGATTATATCACTATACTATATGACCATTGGTCAATGTTAAAATTATGATTATTATTATTATATTTGCTAGGAACAAAATCTATTTTTCTTTTCGAAAACAAAAAAAAAAACATTTTCAACAAGACAAGCCTAATTTGTATCACAGAAACAGGGCCTGAATAGCTAGATCAACTTTTCTTTTTTTTTTTTTTTTTTTAGTTTTAGGGCCAGTTTTTAGTTGTCAAGTTATCATACAAAACCAGACAATTATCAGATTCTTTTTATATATCATGTTTTTGTTGCTGTTGCTGTTACTGTTGTTAATAGGAAATGATTAATAACCAAATAACTTGTATGTTTCATTCTTCAATTACATCGATATTAACCACCTATTAAAATAATAGCATATTCTTGTTTCATTTATTAAAAATCTGGTTGCAACATTGCCAAAATTAAGATGTTTTATTATGAAGGAATTATATATTGGTTATATGAATAAATGAATGAGTTCCTTATTCGAATGTTGAATGTATGAAGTGCACTGACCTTGGTTCTTTCCATTCCATTCCATTCCATTCTATTTTATTCCATAAACATTGGGTGTGTATATATTGCCGTATGTAAAATACACAATATGGTACATGGTACACACACACACGGTAAATTTTTCATCCAAAACCCAACAGTTGGGCTTTTCTATTTTCATTTTATATATATGTGTGTGTGTGTGTGTGTATGGATAATACACATTTTCGGCATCAAAATTTGATATTTCAATGTTCAACTTTTATCATTATCATCATCATCATTGAATTTAAAGCTATAGCTTTGACTGATTCTTTTTCTTTCAATTCTCCCTATTCAACCATTCTAACAATTTGATCATCATCATCATTATTCACGTGCATCAATATGAGATTGCGTATCACATTTGAATCATTCACGAACATTTATTTAGTTGGTCGATCGGGAAATGTTGGTTGGTTCGCTGGTTGGTTTGAGATGGCTATCCATTTTTTTTGTATATTTTTCAAATGGATCGAAACACACACACACACAAGTTTACCCATGGTGATGAATATATACTATGTTATATACATCTGTTCATACATAATTTCATTCATTTTTGTGTGTGTGTGTGTGTGTGTGTGTGTTGTTGCATTGGATGTTTGGTTTAGTTGGCCCATCAACAATTAGGAACAACCAAAATTTTGGTCCAACAATAATTTGTATTGAAAAATGAATGAAACTTGCGTTGAACTCAGCGTGATTTTTGTATTTGTTTGCTCTCTCGGTTAACTAATTTTTTTTCCAATTTTTCTTCATTCATTTTTTCGGTCAATTGATGAGAAACCGGTGTGGTTGAATTGAACTTGTTTTTTCTTTGGTATTCAATGGTTTCTAGTAATCAAAAAAAAAAATTATCGGAAATTGATATTATTGACTATATTGATTGTAGCATATTTCATACATTTGTGTGTGTTTTTTTTTTTTTAATAATCCTGGCTATTATGAAATATCCAGAATTGATTGTTGGGAGTATAAGTGTTTAGTGGACAGAAAAAAAATTGACTGGCAACAACAACAACAACAAAAAGAGGAAAATATTTGTAAACCAAAATGCCTGAATAAATGAATGGAATCGATTTGGTTTTTCACAAATAAGGGGATTATCTGGTCAATTTGAGTGTTACAATATAAATGTGTTTTGCTACTACTGTCAATGATGATGGTGTCCATCGTTTGTTGTTGTTGTTGTTGTTTTTTTGGTTTTTTTTTTGGTGTTGATATAGTGTGTTGAATCACATCTTCCTTGATTCAGTTGATTTAAATTACAATGTGTAATATCTACACACACACACACAGAAAAAAATAGAAAAAATTGATCAATCGATTCAACTCTAAAATAAATGAATGAATGATTTCCCTTATACACACTGTAAATATATTGTCAACCAAGAAAAATTGTACTTGAAATTTCCGTTTCTGAAAAATTCTCAGCGTTTCTAGACCGCCTTCATGGCCTGCCGTTTGTCATTTCCAAGCATTTAATCAAATCTGAACCAAATCTAAAAAAAAGAAGAAACGGAAAAAAATTCTGGATGCCAATCTAAACTAAAATCCATGGTTTGGTTGATTGGTTGGTTGGCTGAATGGTTGGCGTGCGTATTCTCGTATATATCCAACAAACAACAAGATCGTTTACTCCCTTTTTGTATCCCGGGACCCTTTTTTCTCTTATATCTCTCTCTCTCTATCTATCTATCTTGCCTTGTATCATTCATCCATCCATTACAAAACTGTTTGGCTTGTTAAATCATGTGTTGGGAACGTACACACACACACACACACATTGAAAGTATGTCTTTCAAAATGAATAATCGATCGATTTAAAAATTTTGGCTCAAATACGCTAGAAATAGAGTTTCAAGGAGCCCAAAATACACACACAGAGAGAGAGAGAGAGAGAAAAGACAGAGTAAGGCCCAGTATTCAATCCAGCAATATTTAGGAATCATTACATCCATTTCATATCTCTACACCAATACAAGGAAAGAAAAAAACATCCAAAAGTAATGAGAAAAAAAGACTATGGAAGCTATTGCTTGAAAAAAAACTAGGCGTTTTATATTATGAGCATCATCATCGCCGTTTTTTTCTTCTATTTTGCTACTCCTGCTACTTTAATCATCATCATCATCATCGTCATCATCGTTTTTCCATTTGAAATCACGAATCTTTCGTTATGTGCATGTATATGGGCAACATTGATGACGACAATGATGATGATGCCAAAAAAAAAAA